AACAATCCCCTCTTCTATCTTTTATCTCTTATTCTGCCAACACATTCACAACTAAAACGAAAACAAAGTTGGTCGTGTAGGTCTTTAAATTCTTCAGATTTAAATATGTCCGAGAATTGTTCTATTATACCATTCGCAATCTTTGTCCATAACCTTATGGTTGCAATGAATCAAGAAAACTTCATAGTGTTACCTTTTCGTATGAAACTTCTTTTATTTTCTACTGATCAGTTGCTTTGACTCAATTTGCGTCGAATTCAAGGTAATAGTGGAGCTTTTGTTGGTTGATTCAGGCCATTGGGTAAAGGTCAATATAGTCCGTGCATTTCATAAAAGATACTTTCAGTTTTCATCTATTCCGCACTACAGTTAAATTAGATTTGTTAACAAGTTCTTGCTTTTATCTTCTGGATTTCTGTTTTCAAAAGTATATGAAGGAAGGAATGAAGCTTTTCACTCTACTAACATAGATGTTGGAGTCAGACGAAAGAGTTTGTGCTGTAGTTGTTTGAATTGTTGTTGTGCCGATTGTTAGACATTGTCTGTTCTTACATTACAAAAGAAAAAAAATAAAAAATAATAAACTAACTTTATTTTTTATTTCGGGAAATTCATGACCAAATTCAAGATAGAAAAGAGGTTAGAAAAGAGGTTAGAATCTAACCTTCTACCAAATATATTTTTGTCTGATTTATCACTCATACGAAGAAGTCTTGACAAAACATTTACGAAGAAGTCTTTACAAAATCTACGGGTGGAGAAAAGAGTAAAAAACAGTGATATCTTCACGTCTACCTAAACATTATTTTTGGTATTAAATTTCATGAGTTTCTGAGAGTTTAGACCATGTTAGAAAAGAGGTAGAAAAGAGTTAGACTAACCTTCTACCCTAAATTATATTTTGGGTCCTTTACACTCGATAGCAGAGGAGTCTTGACAAACGACATATACGCAGAAATCCTTTGACAAAGCATATACAGAGAAATATGAGAAATTCAAGAGGTGAAAAAGAGGTTAAGAAAAACAGGGTTAACTAACCTGTCTACCCTAAATTATAATTTTTGGTCCGGGAACAAACATAACGCCAGTCAAGGATGTATAGTTAAATTACATTTTGAAATCATTTCATTAACACCCTTTGTAAGCTCATTAAAAGCTTGTTTTGAGTCGCCACATTTGGCTCCACCGTATTTCTTTTCAACCAAAACTCACAAGAATTTCCTGCCATGAATTTTTATAACAACTAACTTTATTTTTTCATCCTCAAGGATAATTCATGACAAATTCAAGAGGTAGAAAAACATAAACAGCTGTAAAGGAAACTGAAAGGTTTAGGAATGGCTTAAAACCTTACTAACCCTAAATTATATTTTTTTGTTCCGGAACAACTTTCTCTCAAAGGGCTGTTGGCATTAACTCTTTGCGTAAGCGTTTCAGACCTTCCTCAAACTCTGTGCGTCTCTCTTGGATTGAAGATTGAGATTGAATTGCTGGGGGTGAGCTTGTGAACATCCAAGGGTTGGGAAGTAAGGCATAGGCTGTAGGGGGTAGTTCGCGGATAGCCTTGGGTGTGGGTAGTAACCTTGGTAGTGGAAATGGTATAAATCGCGAGTACTTGCTGGACTGAGTGATACTTTGGTGCTTTAGGTTCCTCGGGTTTGGGGAATGGGACTGGTTGGTGTACGTCGACATTTGTCTTGAAACGACAGTACAACTATTGTTCTGAAGCAGTGACAGTCCTTGTTCTGAAAAAGTACAAGTATTGTTCTGACAGTGCAAGTATGTTCTGAAAAAGTCAAAGTATTTCTGAAGCAGTCAAAGTACTTGTTCTGAAAAAGTACAAGCTATTGTTCTGTTATAAAAGTACCAGAGTATTGTTCTGAAACAGAAAATTTTTCTCGACAAATTGAGAGCTTTTACGGAAAATTGTGCTGAAAAAAGTACAAGTATTGTTCTGAAAAAGTACAAGTATTGTTCTGAAGCAGTAACAAGTATTTTCTGAAAAAAGTACAAGTATTGTTCTAAGCAGTTGCAAGTCCTGCTTCTGAAAAATAACAAGTATTTTCTGAAGCAGTAAGTTATTGTTCTGAAAAAGTGAACAAGTGTATTGTTCTGAAGCAGTGGCAATGGCAAAACATGCGAGCCATGTAGATGAGGCAATTTACCTTAATTTAAATAACGAGCTTGTTTAAGCAGACTGCGGCGGAGTCATGAAGCCCAAGGTCAATTCACCACTAATTTTCTGGAAGGCTTCTTTGAATCTCGAGACTTCGGACTGGAATTCCAATTCAAATACCAGACGTGGACAGCCTACGTGGCATAAGACAACAAGAAAGAAGCTCTCTCAATTCCTTGCCAAGCGTCCTTGGATACAACTTCCCATAACAGAGAGAGAGTTCCATTCCACGAAGTATACCAATTCTCAGAGGCACTGTTTCCACTTCTCAGGACGCCTTCTACTTAACCTCAAGGCGACAATCCACACCAGATTCAGTAAACATCCTCATTTTAACTCCACTTTTTTATGTTTTTTGTGAAAGTTGTCAAAAATAAATGTTTTCATGAAATTTTCAAGGGTATAGAAGAGTGAGAAAAGAAGAGTTTAGATCTAACCTTCTACCCTAAACATTATTTTCAATACTTTTTCAGCACTTTTCCGTATATATATGAAAGCAATTCGAGATAAAAGTCATAGATACAATGAATAGATATTGCACAACCATTTGTTGGAACCAAACTTGAAAGTCAGAGAAAACTGGTACTATGGTTCGTTAGAATTTAGAAGCAAGTCAATAAAGGTCCTTACCAATAACATAGAAAACTATTGTTGCTTGAACTGAAACTTGCATGACCATAAATCATTTGAAGGTCAAACACGTTCTATAAACTGTCAAATTTCTGTGAAGTATAAATTTAAATGACCATCTGTGGTAATGGTTCGTTCTGGTTTAGGTAACCACAAAATTGTGCCCAGAACGTTATGTTCTATCCCAAATAAAAACTCTGTATCTCTTGGAGGGTTAATTTCAATCTTTTGAAATGAAACGGTGGAGTTCATTTGTCATATTCTAGTTTCAGATAGTATGTTCCATTTAGTAAAGAGTCGTATTTTTCTTGATATCCCAATAATATTTGTTCATTTGAGTTGAAAGTCATTTAGAGTTTCTCAAGATTTCGTCTGAAACGGAACTGGTAAAATTCTCATTCGTCAAAATTTGTCTATTAGACCATCAGAACCTTTATACTGCCATGAAAATATACTGCGAACATAAATGCGTTAGTTCTTTTTGAAAACAAAACTCTTTCTAAATCCTATTGGCCTTGCATCTGAAGGACTTTGAAGCCAACGAAGTGGATAGTCAAACCTTGTATTGGATGAAATTTCTTCATCTGATATTGTCTACCAGCATTTGTAAAAGATATAGTCTAACGGTTTGTATCTGCTACTTTTGTTCTTTGTTTTTCAACCTGAAGCATTTAATATATGTAAAAATATATTTTTTTAAATGGTATGCCATATAGCTTCTTAATTTGTTAAGAAGTATTTTGAACGTATTTTCCATCTGTAATTCTAGTGTTTACATAGCATAGCCCGCCTTAGTAAAATACTTGTAATTTCCTATAGTTTACGCCGGTATAAAAGTAGAAAGAGTCTTGTTCTTCGCTATAGTAGTAAACTCAAACGTATGCTTGCCATAGTCTGTAATTTCAATTGTTCATCTTCTAGTTCGTCGACAAATTCGAATACAATATCCTAAATTTGCTATGTTCTTATTGTTTTCAGAACGAGTGACCCAACGTAAGTTTTCAAGTCTATGTCGTTTCTTATACGGTTTATATGGTCTACAAAAGGTTAAATTGTTAGGATTCAGTTAAATGAGTTGCAATGACAACATGTTTAAGATAGCGTTTTCCACTCATCTTCATAATAGCATATCCGTCATTTCGCTCCCATTCGCTTAAAATCTTCTTTGTCTTTTGTTTCTGACTTCAAATGACTGACAACATGAATTTCATATTTCTCATCTAACAAACAAGTTTCCCAACGGTCTTCTCCAACAAACTCAGCGTACATTTCAAATAAAATAAAAAATGTCACTTTTTAAAATAAATTACTTCATGCAATGTTCACTAACATCGAAAGGCATGTCCATAAGACTTCTTCTTCTAACCTCTCTAGTCTGTTTGGATAATTTGCACGTGCTGTTTCCAAAGTCCATTTCGTAGCGAAGACCACCAGTTTGTCATAGACTTTTATGGGTCTTCCCTTCCTATATTAAAATTCTTCGAAACTCTCCAACCATATCTTGCAACTCTGCTTTTATTCTAGCAGATTTTCTATCCATTCTATATTGGGGCATTTTTATAAAAATAAAAAAATATTTTTTCTTTACTTTACATAACCACCTGCTGCCATAAGTCTTGACGCCAACCCATACCAGCTAATGAAGTTGACTTGGTTTAGTTTCAAACTAACTTTGGTTTTGGTTTATCTTCAGTTTTTGGTTTCTCTTCTTCTATGGTTTTTCGTCACTTTTCGTTCCTCTGACTTTACCTCACCTGCAGGAACAGTGTGTTGTCAACATCTTCATAAATATCATATGCCATTTGTTTTTGTTTTCCTTTCAACTTTTTGTGTTTGTTGTAAAGTTTAGAATATTTCGACTCTAAGTCAATGAGATGTTCTATAATGAACTGTTTGTCAGTGAAGTAAACTTTTCCATCTGTTGTCTCGAAAGCTCCTTCAGACTTCAATATTTTATTTGTGTAGAGTCTGTTTCTTTTTTGAGATATACTAGCCGTTCCATTTCTATGAAAAGTGACTTTATAGTTAGGGTTTGTATTCCAGACCTGGCACTTTCTATTATTGAATTTTTCTCTTCATCTGTAAGTTCTTTGACAGGTTTTGACAATGGTTCTGAACTTTTTGTTTGTGGTGTCAAATCTACCGTTTCAACTTCTTCGGTCATTTCATCTCAGTAAAAATTTTAGTTTGTTTGTTTTCAACTGGTTGTTTGTTTTTTAAGTCGGTCTAAAACTTCCTGAGGTATAGAAGAACTTGACAAACACGTTGTGTAACTACGTAAGTCGACAAATTCATCTTGAACCCATTTGTCTCAATGCTGTATTGTTCATTTCATCTCAGTAAAAATTACATTCCCCAAGTTTGAGGTGGTTGCGGTTGGTTATTGTTTACCCATTGTTGTGCATGGTTATATCCTCTGTTAAAGAATCTTTCACCTTGGTCCATATAGTGTCCTGCTTGGTTATTGTATCATTTGCTTTGTTATAATAGTTTCCTGCTTGTCTTCCTACATTGTCCATCCATCCTTGAACTTTTCCTCTTGTTTCAGGAATTGGAATAAGATTTTGCATCTCGTGCTACATCCCAACCTTCTGTTACAGTTTGTATAATAGGTTGTGCTTCTCTTTAAGTATACCTAATGTACTCAAAATCTTCCTTCCACTCCAAATACACCTCTGGCTATTGTTCCCACTGCGGGCAAAAATCTGGATGCAACTCCTGCTAATGCGCAAATAAACCCATTTCTTAGGGTAAAAAATGACGAATCCAACAAGGACCCCTATGTTTCTAAAGCACAAAGAAAGCACTCATGATAAAAATCTTTAGTTCAACACCAAATGCTTGGTTTATGGATATCTTGGAAAACATTCGAGGTATAGAGAAGAGGACCCCATACTGGCAATATTGTCGGTCAAAACACAAGATACTGTGAAGCCATACCATTATGGTCCAAAAATATTTTAGATGTGAAAACTGCTTTGACATAATTCGTTGACAAATACCATCCAACAAAACTGACATCTGACTGTGAAAGTTCTTTCAAATCAGATGATGTTAAAAAACTATCTGCGTTCAAAAAATGAAACCATATATCATTGTCGACCAAAACCATTCTGCTCTTGGTGTCATTGACGTTTGTATAAAAATTAAGAGACTAAACCAACCACAAGGTGTGAAGCAAATGAAATGTCATATGACGACAAATATAGACACTTCTCCATGGCAAAGATGAGACAAGTTTTAAATATTTACAATAGCCGTAAACAAAAAGTTGGGAAACCACTCCCCCGAAGAAATGAAAAAACAACCTGACTTAGAGAAAGACTATAATTTTAATAATTTAGTCAAAAGAGACAAACAAGAAAGAATGCCGGCTTCAAACTTAGAAAGGTGACAAAGTAAAAATAGAAATACCTAAACGCGACCCATATGAAAAATACTATTGACTATGACAACAATGGGAACCCGACAGTACTCACATTCGTGTTCGTAAAAATAGAGAAAAGTATACAAGAGAATATTATGAAGTTTAGGCAAACATGGCAAAATGTACACACTGCAAGCAGAAGATAAAACTACTATTGTCAGACCTCGTTTCAAACTTGCAAGGTTCAAGGTGGTATACTTTCAAAGACAGTTCCTAACAAATATAAGACAACTCCTGACGAATATGCTAAAGAAGTTGAAAATGACGACTAAGCATTTCTATACCATGCGTAAACTGTCATGTAAGGTGGCATGTAGTCTTTACTTTGTCCCGTTGTTTGCGTATATCCTGAAACGCGATGTGTATGGTTCCATCTCCCTGAGTGTGTACCCCAGAAACAATTATAGCAAACTTAACGTTGCTTTAACATCATATCCTTACCTTTTGTCATTGCTGACCAATCCCAAAATTATGTTTATGCCAAACCTGCTTAGATGTACTTAAATTATGTAGTACTGTGCGCAGGTTAATTTTCACCTGAAATCGTTTTACTTCCACCTGTTTCCTTTGAAGAGTTTGCACAATACAAAAACCTGTCGACTATTTGAGTCCAAGTTCCAAAACCGAACTGTTTCTGGTCTGGTAGAGTTCATTGACGTATAAATAGAGCCATATAGGATATAATGTTTGAAGTATTTCTGTCTTTAATATTTGAAGCTCTGTTTTGTCTCTTTCTTGTCATATAAAATCTTGAGCAGTGAATTTAATATTATTTCATCCTTCATTACAAAACATCTTTACATCTAATGTTTCTCATCGTCGTTATGTCTTCATTCCGATGTTAAACCTTGTGGAAAGTTAGGAGGTTACAATATATGCATCCCCACCAGTTTCTTCAACCGTTCCTTCAATACTTTCTATAGCAACAGTTTGTAAAACTTGTATGTGTATTCTGTCTGCTTCTTCTCTAACTCATCGTTAACATAAGTTTATCTGCTTTAAGGTCTAAACATCCTGAAACCCACCTGTATCGGCTTTAACTTTAAAAGTCTTCGATGTCCATTCATACCAGTCAACCCTTTCTTTCATTCGTTATCTTTCATCCACATATTCCTTATCCGCCTTCTTCACTAACACACTAGCCATAATTCCCTTATCTACCTTATTTCAAGGCTAACGTTTAAGTCTGTTATTTCAGATATAGAATGTGTATGAGTCTTTTTAGAATATTCTGTTTTCAGCTCTGTCACTTCACTTGACATTTATTGTCAACATATGTTTTGTCTGCTAGTTCAGGATGAGTATGTTCTTTTGTTGCATACATTGTTTACTCTTCTTCTTTCTTTCTATTGCATCTTCTACATATTCTTTGTCAGCTTTTGTCAACATCTGCTTTCAAAAGAAGTTCATTTATAGTTTCTCGTTTAAAGTTCCTTTTGTTGGATTATTACAAGAAAGTATGGTTCTTATTGTCTTGAAACAGAAACTCTCTGTCATTGGGTTTAATGTCAGTTTTAAGTTTCCTTCTTTCAATGACTCAGATATCTTAGAATAGTTGAAAAGTTTGTTGTGTTCTTATTTAAGCTTGCATAATGAGTTGTCGGTTGTGTGTATTTCTCTCATAGACGCTGTTTCATTTGACATTTTTATTCTAGATAAAATATGCTTCCAATAAAAAAAGAAAATTCAAAGATGCTACAACTAAACCATTAATGAACTTTTTACTAATGTCGGTCAAAAGTTTGAGACAGAGACCGTAAAGCATGAAGGCTATCGTTTTGATACCCATTAAGATGGCTAAGAGACCCATCTGTCACAAAAGCTATTGGCTTTTCGTAGAATAAATTTGTGTCTGTAGAAGATAAAAGTTTTCCATTTATTGTAAGTTTCATATAGATTATATATCTGAAGGGAAACGAAAAATGTGGGAAGAAATTGAGCTAATACAAGTTGACCTTCATCTTCTACAGACTGCGTTAAAAAATATAGAAGATAAAAATAAATTCATGTTATGCAAAATATGCTGATGAATATGCAAATACCGAGAGCACACTTTATGTGAGAATTGTATATGACAAACAAAATTCACAAGTGTCATTTCAAATCTACGAAAACAATCCAAAGAAAGACGAACAAAATATATACAGAATTCACTGCAATGTCATGGTATTATTTGCAAAGAATGTTAAATCAGAAAGTCAAACTCTCCTTAGCAAATATTTACAGTCGATATGCAAGAGATGAACCATATTTATTTAAAGATGTTTTCGACCAGTGCTATTATTGTTCATGCTTCATTTTCTGGGCTCAAAAACTCTTTTTATGCTTGGCAAATGACTTTTACGAAAAACCTACAAAGCTATATGAACCGCCGAGTGGAAGTATTTCAGACTTTCAAGTATGGTTTACACAGATGGAAGAAAAAGAATAATTCCATTATACCATGCGTTTTACTTAGAACTTAGTTTCATATACAACTACTATCGAACGGTAAAATATAATTTTTTAATACGGTTGAGGTGTTGGATTTGGTTGCCAAATAGACTGTGGTGCAGGTTCAGGCTGTTGTAACAGAGCTTGTTCTTCTGGTTCAGGGTTTTTAGGTATAATACCACAAACTGACCTACCTTTTACCAATATTTTTTACTCCGTTCCAAATTCTCTTCCTACGTTTTACGCCATCCATATACCCTCTTCAACAGAATAGTTCCATTATACCATGCGTTTTACTTAGAACTAGTTTCATATACAACTACTATCGAACGGTAAAAATTATAATTTTTTAATACGGTTGAGGTGTTGGATTTGGTTGCCAACTAGACTGTGGTGCAGGTTCAGGCTGTTGTATAACAGGAGCTTGTTCTTCTGGTTCAGGGTCTTTAGGTATAATACCAACAAACTGACCTACCCTTTTACCAATATTTTTGACTCCGTTCCAAATTCCTCTTCCTACGGTTTTTATTCCATTCCATATACCTCTTCCAACATTTCGAAAGAAGTTTCCAATACTACTGAAGAAACCCATTTTACTATATGTAAAAATCTAATGTCCGCCTAGTCTCTTACGTTTCCTGTTGAGTTCCATAGCATTCTTTAACTGGAGCTCATACATTCTGTTTCTCCTCTGGTAGAAAACATACTCTGGGTCAACTCCTGTGTTCGCGTCATCTGCATAGAGTTGTTTATATCCCCTTCAGGGTTTGTATAAAACTCTTTCCATCTCATATTTGCATACCATGGTGGCAAACCTAACGCAGCGTCATTTGACATGGCAGTTTGCATTTGTACATCTGTTGGCACTTGACCATAGTTTGCCATTGCAGTTTGTATTCTAACTTCATTTGGAATATTCTCTGGGTTTGGTTGTCCAGGTTGCTGTGCATTCGCTAAGTTCTGTGCGTCCATTTAATATTAGATAAAAATATCTCTTACGAGTACATATACTGAACATTTGCAGGCATTGGTTCATCTTCATATTCTCTGTACTTTTCTGCCACGTCAAATAAATAAATGACACAATGGAAAAAACCTAAAACAAGTAGTCCTATTTCAAACCACATTTAGTTACCAATAAAATTTCTTTGTTATGACACTTTCTCCAGTTTATGGGACCTCTCTCATATTCTATCTTGTCATATATAAACTCATAGTCATGTATGTCCTCTAACCATCTCATGACACTTTCCAAACCACTTTTATCGGATGTAAAGTAAAAGCATGGATGGTTATGTAAAACGTCTAAAGTTTCTAAAGAGTCTCTCAAAGTCCAGTCTACTTGGTATTGAAAATCCCATGTGTTATAGAACGGCGGGTCCACTATAAAGAAAACATTTTCCTTGTCTTTATATTTTTCATACAACTCTGTCCAATGACATCTCACAAACTCTATACCCTCAATATATTTTTCTATGTCCTCTTTGAAAACATTTGTATAGTTAAGATATAAAACTTTTGACATAAGTGTTTCAATGTCATGAACTCTTATAGCACCACTATATAATAGTCTAGCAGATATACTATCCCAGTCTATATATTCTGCTTTTTTCAAAACCTCTCTGACAATATCTTTCTTATCTAATGGTATACGTTCCATCTTACCTATAGGTATCTTTTCTTTCAACTCACTCAATATTTTGTTTGTGTCTGGTATATGTTTGAGACGGTTCATATAGTTGTCGAAGTCATTGCATATAATCTTTGAGTCAGGAAATACAGTATGGCACAGATGGGATATATAGAAACTTCCACCGAACAAATCTACAAATGTTAGACCATTCGGTAGTTTCTTAAGTTCTCTCAATAGAATATCTTTACATCTACTCTTATTTCCAAAGAAGGGTAACGGTGGTTTTGTAAAATTCATTTTATATACAATAAAAATGTTTTTTTCCTGAAAAGTGACAGAAAAGTGACAAAACATTTACGAAGAAATCTTGACAAATTCAAGAGGGTAGAAAAGAGGTTAGAAAAGAGGTTATATCTAACCTTCTACCCTAAAATATATTTTTGTCTGATTTTACGAAGAAGTCTTGACAAAACATTTACGAAGAAGTCTTGACAAAACATTTACGAAGAAGTCTTGACAAAACATCTTCAGGGCTAGAAGGCACGAAGTGCCTGGAAGCCCCACTACCTTTTTTTTTTTTTTTTTTTTTTTTTTTTTTACATTTATTATTGTTTTATCCTGTTCTCTTTCTTTTCATATTTATCATTGTTTTATATAATTTTCTTGCATTTCATATTCATCATTATTTTATTACATTCTCTTTCTTTTCATGTTTATCAATATTTTATTGCATTCTCTTTCTTTTCATATTTATTATTGTTTTTTCCTGTTCTTTTTCTTTTCATATTTATCATTGTTTTATTACATTCTCTTTCTCGTCATATTTATCATTGTTTTATGATATTATTTCGATATTAATGAATGCCCTCTTAGCATTGCTATCAATGCGAATTCCATAGAAATTGTCCAATTCCTAGTTGAGCATGGCGCAGATGTTAACATGAAACTTATTCTCTTTCTTTCAATATTTATCATTGTTTTTTAACATTCTCTTTCTTTTCATATTTATCATTGTTATATCAGATTATTTTTCTTTTCATATTTATCAATGTTTTAGATCATTATCTTTCTTTTCATATTTATCAATGTTTTATGGCATTCTCTTTCTTTTCATATTTATCATTGTTTTATGAAATCCTCATTCTTTTCATATTTATCATTGTTTTATTACATTCTCTTTCTTTTCATATTTATCATTGTTTTATGAAATCCTCTTTCTTTTCATATTTATCAATGTTTTATCAGATTATTTTTCTTTTCATATTTATCAATGCTTTTTATAATTCTATTTCTTTTCATATTTATTATTGTTTTATTTCATTCTCTTTCTCACCATATTTATCATTGTTTTATGAAATCCTCTCTCTTTTCATATTTATCATTGCTTTATGAAATTCTCTTTCTTTTCATATTTATCATTGCTTTATTGCATTCTTTCGATATTAATGAATTCCCTCTTGATATTGCTGTCAAAATTAAAGCAACAAATATTATCAAATTCTTAATTGAACATGGTGCTACAAATGTTTAAAAAAAAATAACATTATTCTATATTGAAAAAAAGATATAGTAATGTTAGCATTATTCACGAATAAACACCACATAATATTATATGGTGCTTTTAAAAAGAAATTTTGAGTCTATTGAAAAGTTAAGGATGCCCTCACCATGTCAGATTTTTTGTGCATGTAAAACTTTTTATATACTTAAATAAAGAATCTGGTATTCTGCCATATATATTAATTTTTATAAGCTATTAACACTAGTTTTTTTTTGTCATATCAAATGACTGTTCGAAAGACTTATAGTGAATTGAGAAATATTTATCAATATTATATTGATTCATATACTGCTCTATATCAGTTGAAAGCAGAAAAAGAAGACGAAATACTTACAATTTACAAAATGATCAAAACAACTTTGATTGATTCAAATAAACATCATCCACGAAATGTTATGAGAGATATTTTAAATATCATCCCATATAATAACCGGTATGCAAAGTCATACTTGAAACTTGCGAAACTCATCTCTGATGAATATCATATAACGGAAGTCAGTCATATTCCAATCATTTCTAACTACCTGTTTTATAAAGAATATGGAATTGAATTGAGCACTACTGTTGATTTCAGAACAAGGTATTTAAAAAATACCGATATTGATTCAAACGATACAATTTACAGGTCAATTATGTATGATGACAAAGAACGATTCATCTACTTCACTGAATGAGATGGATTTGATATTGAAAGTGATTTATATCCATGGTATCACGATTAATATTCATTACTTGAATTAAGTTGTTATCACGGAGCAGTCGATTATTTCAAGTTATTAAGAACGAAATTTAACTCAGAGATTACTAAAACTTGTCTACAATTATCATTTTTAAGTGGAAAGTCAGATATCATCAGTGAATGTTTGAAATATCAAAAACCAACCGATATGTGTATGCAATATGCGCAAATTTCACATAACATTGATTTTGTTACATACTTAATGAATGAACACAATATATAGGACCGATTTTACCCTGAAGAGTATAATAATCTTGAATCATTTTTAGTACATGTTGATAAATTTAATAATATTAAGGAATGCTTACGTTATTCTGCAATATTTGATATTCCCTCTCTTTGCGAATATTTCTTTTCACTTGGTGCTATTTATAATATCAATGTTCTAGCAATGGCAGTATCACATAATAGTATAGAAGTTGTTAAATTTCTACTTTCAAACTATTTAAATCTCTCTGATATATGGCTTTGATAATAAATAGTAATGAAATAGTAGAATTACTGCTTTCACGTGGTGCAAACATCAATGAAAAAGTTACAGAAGGCTGAACACACCTTATTGAAGCAGTTAATAGATATAGAAAAGATATCGTTAAATTTATTCTTTCACAAGGCGCAAATGTCAATGAAAAGGATGATCATGGTAGAACCGCTCTTTATTCAGCAGTCGAACATAATGATATAGAAATTGTTCAACTTCTTATCTCACAAGGCGCAAATGTCAATGAAAAGGATGAAAATGGTAAAACAGCTCTTTATTCAGCAGTCGAACATAATGATATAGAAATTGTTCAACTTCTTATCTCACAAGGCACAAATGTCAATGAAAAGGATGATTATGGAAGCACAGCTCTTCAATTTGCAGTAAAACATTTTGAGAAAGATACAGTTGAACTTCTTATTTCACATGGTGCAAATATAAATGAAAAAGACGAAGCAGGTTACACAGCTCTTCATTATGCTGTAATTAATAATCATCAAGAAACAGTCGAACTTCTTATTTCGCATGGGGCAAATATTAATGAAAAAGATAAATATGAAAAGACAGCTCTCAATTATGCAAAAGATAACAATTATGAAGAAATATATAACCTTCTTCTTTCTCATGAGGCATATATTGAAGAAAAAGATAAATATGAAGATACACCTCCTAATGAAAATAAAGATGAAGATACACCTCCTAATGACGATAAAGATGAACATTTTTCATGCGGTGCAAAATGTTTAATATAGCATTGTGTCATTGACGTTATGCATTTTGGATCTTTATATATATTCATAAAAATTCGTTTATTAAAAGTTAATATTATTCCTTTATTTGTATCTATTTTTATTGAATTTATAATGTCCAAAAATCTTTTCTTGAAATGATTGAACAATTTGAATCTTGCTCTTGTTCTTCGTTGAGAACTTCTTGTTTCTTCTTCTTTCTCAAGATGTCCTGACCAAGTCGTGCAGCATTTCTTTCTCGTTCCTCGTTGAGAACTCTTTGTTTCTCAATAGCTCGTTGTAATCGTTCATCAACATCTCGCAAGTATGATTCCATTTGTCTCTTTTCTTCTTCTTCTCGAAGTCTTTCTTGCTCTTTTGCAATTTCTCGAAGTCTGAGAAATTCGGCCATTTCAGCTTTCTCGCGCTCTTCTTTTTGTTGTTTTTTCACGCATTCTTTGCAAATATTCTTCTCTTCTAACAAGCGGGAAAAATAATGAGGGAGAAACTACTCAACATATTTCAGCACAATATAACAAAGAAACAACCGAACTTCTTCTTTCAAATCGTGCAAATATCAATAAAAAAGACAAAAATCGAAGAACACTCTTTATGTAGCACCATTTAACAACAAGAAAGAAACAGCAAATATATATGAAAAAAGTGAATCTGAGTAAACACCCCTTCATGTGGCAGCTTTTATAAAGTGAAAAGAATTGTACATTTATTCTTTTTAAATAGTGCAAATATCAATGAAAAAGATAAACTGCTCTTCATATTGCAACAATGTATAATAAAAAAGAATTTGAAATACTTTTAAATGATATCATTTCTTTGAAAGGATCTATATATGAAAAAAAATTTTAGGAGGGAAAGTATATGAATATTAAGGATCCTTATGGAGAAAAATCTTCTCCAACTTTAAAATTCAATTTGGGAAGTTTTCCAAATTGGAAACTTCAAATTGGCAAAATATAAATCTAAATATCAGTCATATTCCTAAATTTAACTCAGCTTGTGCTCGAACATTTAAGTAATAATTGGCAAATTATTTCAAGGTTTTTTTTCATCCATGAATAATATAAATGAAAGTAATCCACATAGAAATGAATTATCAGTTTTTTAAATCTACAGATTTTTCAAATGAAATAATGTTTTACGCTAAAATCAATGCAAAAAATAGTAAGTTAATATACAAACTATATTTGCAAAATAATGTTGGAATTTTGGGAATCATCATCCACAAATTCACATTATAAACAAAATATTGATATATATCAATAACAGGGCCTGGTATTCTTGGATTAGAACTGCCACTCCATGCTCCAATGAAATTAAACCCTTGATTATTAGCATCTCCGGGTGTTCCATCAATATATGATTCACCATAATGGTGCGATTGTGCTAGTCCTTTAAAAGTTTTCCAATTATCGCCAAATTCTTTTTTATAACCAACATTAGATAATGATGATGTTATAAATTCTTTTTGTGTGAATATTTGATAACTAGGAACCTCAGGATATTCTAATAAAAAATAATAAAATCCTGACTTTTTGTAACTTTGGGAATACAGGTTTTCATCGTCAATAATACTATATAGTTGAGGATCAATATTATATTTACAATTATCTCTTGTAAAGTACGTACCCCCAATAGAATCATGATGGAAAATTAAAAGCCATGATGTTCCTCTGAATTGTTTTACATTTCTCCTGCTTAAATTAAATGTTCTAGCAAAGCTTTCATTGTTATGTAGAGTATAATAACCAAAGAAAGCTAGCCGGGGAGGAAAATCAATTCCATGATTCACGAAAAGTGACTCCAAAATTTCATTTTCATTAGCCTCTTTATCACTTTGCCGTGGTCTTAGTGATAAATTAGTAATTACCATTATTCATCTAGTATCTTTATTATAAAATCAAAAAATAAAATTCTGAAAATTTGGAAATCAATAAATCAGTTTTAGATTTCCACACAAATTCATATATGAAATAGCATATCTCTACCGATGATATATCCACAATTATTATCTACTTCAAGACGTTTTCTTTCGAACACAGCTTCATAGGAAAGAAACCATCCAAAGTATTCCTCAATGTTGAGCTTTTGGAGCATCAATCCACAGAATCTCAGCCAGTTGACATAACATCAGGAGTTTTCAACTCAAGAATGATCTTTGTTTGCAAGAATGACTTCTTCCTTGCAGAATACCTCGAAAGGACATCAGCTTCTGTCATTATTTGTCGTCAGAGAGAAGATATGTTGACAGAAGCCGCGAGAACAGAAGTCAACATGCTTCCGTTCTTAGATGGAAACAAAGAGATGACACAGACTGTTCCTCTATGGAATACTCAGAACAAACAAGTAGGAAAGTTTATGAATATATAATTTTTCACACATATTCTCATTATTATAAATTATCTGTTTTTTTTTTAAATCTACAAATCTTTCAATCAAATCAATATTTTATACTAAAAGCGATGCAAAAATTAGTAAGTTCATATCCAAACTATATTTGCAAAATAGTGTTGGTATTCTTGGATTAAAACTGCCACTCCATGCTCCAATGAAATTAAACCCTTGATTATTAGCATCTCCGGGTGTTCCATCAATATATGATTGATCATAATGAAGTGATTGTGCGAGTCCATTAAAGGCATACCAATCATCGCCAAATTCTTTTTTATAACCAACATTAGATAATGATGATGTTATAAATTCTTTTTGCGTGAATATTTGATAACTAGGAACCTCAGGATATTCTAATAAAAAATAATAAAATCCTGACTTTTTGTAACTTTGGGAATACAGGTTTTCATCGTCAATAATACTATATAGTTGAGGATCAATATTATATTTACAATTATCTCTTGTAAAGTACGTACCCCCAATAGAATCATGATGGAAAATTAAAAGTCATGATGACCCTCTGAATTGTTTTACATTTCTCCTGCTTAAATTAAATGTTTTAACAAAGCTTTCATTGTTATGATGAGTATCAACAGACAAGTGTTATAAGTATGACATGTGATTTGAAATAATTTTCTTCCATAAAAAAAATCACTATGGAGTTTCATCGCAGAGCTTATCTCTCTTTGAATATTCATCAAATACTAAGGGGAAATCGTGTTTCCCAAATTATTAGCAAGGTCGTATTCACATTTAGAATATGACAAATATAGGAAACACCATTTCATCCTTAAGGACCGATAACAGAACTTTGATTTGATTAACATTCAAAGAGAAATAAGCTCTGTGATGAAACTCCATAATGACTTTTTTTTTTATTCAAAAATATTTTTCAAATCACATGTCATAAGATTATCGGAAGTGATACCCCCTAAATTTATTAAAAAATGGAGGAAGGCGAGAAATGCCTAGATTTATCAGGGAAGCGATTTTCTGGCGGACAACTTCTTAAAGAGCTTAAGGAGTATCTACACGCTGATGTCACCCGCCTTGACCTCACAACAAACCAAGTAACACCCGAAGTTGCTCAATTTTTGGCAAATTTCTTGACAGCTCCTGGTTGCTGCTTAGTTTCTCTCTCCTTAGTCGACACTAGAATGACTATTGAAGCGTGCTCTGCTATTTTTAAAGTAATTGGAGCAAGTCCTTTAATTGAATTATATGCAGATGATAACGTCATCAAACCAGAATCACTTATGCTACTAGCAAATTCTTTTAAGTTTTCGTCTCCACTTGAGATACTTAGCTTAGTTGGCTGCGATATCTCATCAGAAGGTTTCGAATACGTAGTTAAATGCTTAAGTGAAACAAAAAACTTACATCATTTACGCATGGAGTCAAATTCAATATATGAAAATGGCGTGAGATTACTTGGAGAAGCTTTGGATGCTTCTTCACTAACTTCAATCGAAATTGCAGATAATATGATATGGATGGGCGGAATGACTAGCTTCCTTGAAAAGGCAATGACATATCCTAGCTTGACTGCTTTGGATATCTCATATAATGCAGTAGATTTGACGTTTCTTTCGAAAGTTCTTGTATCTAACACAAGCATCACGCATCTTGCAATTTCAGGATGCAAAGTCAACGAACAGTCAGTTTTACCATTTATTGAGAGCCTAAGTCGTACACATCTAAAAACTTTAATCATGGACGGTTTTAATTACCAAGTTTTACCGATTTCATGGCCACAAGTCAATGATACGATATTCTTTAAGCATCTTAACTTCGAAGCATTCACTACAGCCTTAATTAGCAGCGATTATCTCGAAGATGTAAGAATAGGCTATTTAGAACTCGAACAGATACATGCTCTCGAACAGAGTCTTTCTGGAGAGAATATAAGCAAAAGTATTAAGATTTCTGTGCATGATTTCGGCCGAACTCACGATTGTTGGGTTCTTAACTTCCCAGCCTTTTCTGTTGACTCTCCTGTTGATCTTATCAAATGGTGCGGCAAATTAGATGACACAAATGCCACATATTTCGGAAGAATTGCAGTTTGCGCGCTTTACAGGGATGACCGCCTTTCCAAGATAAATCTTTCATCCAAGAACATCTCCGACAGCATCTTTATCAGAGTCATGAAAGAATTAGACGGAAGAAACCTTACATCTCTCGATGCATCAGATAATGCTTTAGGAAATGAAAGTGTTGACTCCATAATCTCCTTCCTCCATAACCAGAGAATAAACGAACTGAATCTCGCCAAAAATCACATAAACGAACACGGAACAGGAAGATTATTCAAATTCTTCAACGAAAACCCAGACAGATGCCCCAGAGTTCTAGAATACCATTACCACATACAGAACGATAACAACGAGCTCAACGATCACCAGTTCTACAACGACCTCGCAAATTTCTTAAAACAAAATATGTCACTTCAGACCCTCAAAATTTCAGGTACGATCACGCCGATAGATGTTCTCAAAATTGTGAACTCTCTGAAAGATAACAACACGCTACAGATACTTGAAATCGACTCAGAATTCATACATACATACATGAATCCAGATCCGCAACCAGAAAGAAAATTTATCGACGAATATGTCAAACTTGTCAAAGCTCTGAAGGCAGTTCTTTACGATGGAAACTGCGTATTGCAGAACTTTAAGTTTGACCTGCTTACTGAAGTTTTCATCTACTGCGATCAGGAAATTGTCGAATGCTGGGATAGCTGTTTGGCAAAACTGAAGAAAAATAAGAATGGGCGCAAGTAATTATTAGATTGTTGTATTATTATTTATTTGTTTTAATAATAAAAATAAATGTTATTTATTTTCACAAAATTTCTATTATTAAGTCACTTCATTCACAGAGCGAATCGTTATCCAGATTCCTATATTATTCGATAAAATTTAATCCTTATGATATCATATATCATTCACACTTAATCAAAGTTCGCAATATTATTGTACAACATATTTTAATTTCAGAACAATCATACCTTTTTTAAAATATATTGTTAGAACTATTTTTTCAATTTAAGATGCTATTGGTAAGAAATAATAAACACAATTAGAGGATGCTTTAATATCATTGTGTTACATCTAGAATTTCATTCATTTCTTCATCAAATCTTAGTGGAAATGCACAAAAATCAGAAATTTCACAGAAAATTTGCATGAAATATGATAAGTAATAGTAGAGGCTCAATATGATTGCATAATTAATGATGATGTAAAATTTTAAACGTACACGAAAATGAGTTTGGAGCGGAGACAGTATGAATATAAACAAAGGCAGAGAGAATTGATAAGAAATCAACAAAAAGACTTCCAAAGAGAAGTAGAGCAGAACATTAAATCTCAAGCAAACAATAATGCTGCATTAAGAGCATCCGTTAGAAGAAAAGCAAACGAAAGAAAACAAATGGATCAAGAATTCGAAATATGCGAGAGATTATACAATCAACGAAAAGAACTTGAAGAAAGAGAGCAGTTTTTAAGAGAACAAGATAACATTGCAAAGAAACTTTCGAAGCAGAAACATAAAGAAATTGTTGATCAGAAAGTTAGGAAAGCATTGCGCGAAGAAGTTCCAGAATTACGTGAATTACGCTCAAAATTACAAACTGCAATTATTAATCAGACACGTGATAATCAAATTCGCCAGAAAGAACGTCAAAAACAGATAGACTACGAAGAAGAAATGGCAGGTGGATTAGAAGCTATCAAGAAAGATAAAGAAGATGAAAGGAAAGAAATGGAAGCTGAGAGGATGCGTCGTTACGAAAATCAAGTACAACGGCAGCAACAACAGGCTCAACTTGAAGAAAGAGCAAGACGCCAGAAGCTTTTAGAAGAAGCACAACGCGAAGAAGATGAAAGACAAATGAAGGAAAATATGAGAAGAGAAAGAGAAGAATACTTGCAAAGAATGCGCGAAAAACAAGAAAAAGAAGAGCGCGAGAAAGCTGAAATGGCCGAATTCCTCAGACTTCGAGAAATTGCAAAAGAGCAAGAAAGACTTCGAGAAGAAGAAGAAAAGAGACAAATGGAATCATACTTGCGAGATGTTGATGAACGATTACAACGAGCTATTGAGAAACAAAGAGTTCTCAACGAGGAACGAGAAAGAAATGCTGCACGACTTGGTCAGGACATCTTGAGAAAGAAGAAGGAACAAGAAGATTACGAAAATCTTGTCATCGAATTAGCAGTTGAAGAAGAAAAAGAAAAACTCAGAATTCGCGAAGAACAAGAGCAAGAGAGAATTCGAAAACAAATGCAAGAAGCTCAGGAATACATGAGACAACACCAACGAATAAAGATGGAACGGCAACAAATGGAAATAGAAGAAAAGAAACAAATTGCAAAGTACCTACGAGAACAACAACAAAAGCTTTGCGAGCTCGAAGCAATCGAACTTGAGAGAGCTCGTCTCAAGATGCAGAATTATTACAATGAGCTTGAAAAGCAAATGCTTCTCAAAAAACAGATGTATGAAGCAGCAAGAGCAGAAGAATTGAGGAAATTGAGAAAGCAGCAAAAGCTTGAAAAGAAGAGGCTGAAGATGATTGAAGAGGAGAGAAGAGCTATTATTATTGAACATCTTGAAAGCTTTGGCGAAGAAGCTATTAAATATCTTCCAAAGGGTGTAATCAGGGAAGATGATTTGGATTACCTTCCACAAAGATTTGTTCAAGCAATCTTGAATCAGAAAGTGTTAGTATAAAATTATTTGTTTATGTTAAATCGTCATTTTTATACACTATTTAATAATTTTTTGGCTGATTCTGATTTGTTTCTAATATGATGAACAAAATATCATGATTTCTCTATTTTCAAAAAGTGCAAGTGATAGATAGTAATAATATCAATCACTTCAAATTGTTTTGAACATTATAAATTCAATAAAAATAGATACAAATAAAATAATAATATTAAGGGTCCACTGTAAGGCCAAATAAGGCCTATCGTCGTCCCAAAAATATTGCTCGAGATGGTGTTTTACTAAGGCCCAAAACTTAAAAAAGCTCAAAAAAATTAACTTTACTCTTTTGAGATCCTTATCAGATATGCATCAATTTGATGCAGTATCGCAGTTCGAATCTGATTTTTTAATGTAGATATACTCTAACATTCTTGAAAAAATGCAAAATAATATTAATTAAGCTTTTCATTTCTGTATCATACACGAAATAAAATCATTCATTATACTAAACTTTATCAAAGTTTGAATAATGAAAAAAAAAATATATCTAAATTTTTACATTGAGTCTGCTATTGATATGGTTAATATTAAATCTTGTAACAACGGGCATTGGCCAAAATAATACCCGCTAAAATACACAATTTTTTAAAATTTTATCAATTTGTTATGGTGCATATTTATGACAATGAATAAAATGCTTATCCTTCATAAGTAAATACATAATTTATGCTTAAACACAAAAAATAACACGAAAATTTTTGGCCAACATATCAAAACTAAGGATAATGTTTTGAATATATAAGCAATAATACTTTGTCTAGAGAATTAAATTTGTGCTATCTAATTGTCAATTCTTTGAATTTTTTTTTAATGCAAGATATCCCGGCATTGGCCTCAATGAATATAAACTACATGCATCATAATATTAGTTTGTAATAGCATAAAAGCGAAATTCCTAATTTCTTCTCAAATAAATTCCTAAAAAAACATCGGAATTAATGATTGGAAATAGGTCAAAAAAATTCCTAATATAAAACTTATACTTAAGATAAAATCAAAATTCGAAAATATCTATTTTTCAAAACACGCATCCAAAAGCGAAAAAATTCGAAAAAATCATGTTCTTATAAAACTCGCCGATTTTGCAATTTTTATCCGATTTGAAGTGATAGAATATAGTACCATCTTACAAAAACATAGACTTCATTATTCCATTCACAAAATATTAATCAGAACACTAGGAAAAGTGGATTTTCGAAAAAAGACGATAACGATTATTTGCAAATCGCCTCTCAATTTTGAGAGACTTTCAATTTTTACAGTGGACCCTTAACTTTTAATAAAAATTTTTTATGAATATATATTAAGATCCAAAATGCATAACGTCAATGACGCAATGCTATATTAAACATTTTGCACCGCATGAAAAATGTTCATCTTTATCGTCATTAGGAGATGTATCTTCATCTTTATCTTTTTCATAAATATATGCCCCATGAGAAAGAAGAAGGTTATATATTTCTTCATAATTGTTATCTTTTGCATAATTGAGAGCTGTCTTTTCATATTTATCTTTTTCATTAATATTTGCCCCATGCGAAATAAGAAGTTCGACTGTTTCTTGATGATTATTAATTACAGCATAATGAAGAGCTGTGTAACCTGCTTCGTCTTTTTCATTTATATTTGCACCATGTGAAATAAGAAGTTCAACTGTATCTTTCTCAAAATGTTTTACTGCAAATTGAAGAGCTGTGCTTCCATAATCATCCTTTTCATTGACATTTGCACCATGTGAGATAAAGAGTTGAACAATTTCTATATCATTATGTTCGGCTGCTGAATAAAGAGCTGTTCTACCATTTTCATCCTTTTCATTGACATTTGCACCATGTGAGATAAGAAGTTGAACAATTTCTATATCATTATGTTCGACTGCTGAATAAAGAGCAGTTCTACCATTTTCGTCCTTTTCATTGACATTTGCGCCTTGTGAGATAAGAAGTTGAACAATTTCTATATCATTATGTTCGACTGCTGAATAAAGAGCGGTTCTACCATGATCATCCTTTTCATTGACATTTGCACCATATGAAAGAATAAATTTAACGATATTTATTCTATATCTATTAACTGCTTCAATAAGGTGTGTTCAGCCTTCTTTAACTTTTTCATTGATGTTTGCACAACGTGAAAGCAGTAATTCTACTATTTCATTACTATTATTAAATATTGCTTCATGTAAAGCAGAGTCTCGAAGCCATATATCAGAGAGATTTAAATAGTTTGAAAGTAGAAATTTAACAACTTCTATACTATTATGTGATACTGCCATTGCTAGAACATTGATATTATAAATAGCACCAAGTGAAAAGAAATATTCGCAAAGAGAGGGAATATCAAATATTGCAGAATAACGTAAGCATTCCTTAATATCATTAAATTTATCAACATGTACTAAAAATGATTCAAGATTATTATACTCTCCGCAACAATCTAAATCAATCTCTATTTTGTGTTCATTCATTAAGTATGTAACAAAATCAATATTGTGTGAAATTTGTGCATATACCATGCACTTATCGGTTGGTTTTTCATATTTCAAACATTCACTCATGATCTCTGGATTTCCTCCTATAAATGAAAATTCTAGACATCTTTGAGTTATTCCTGAGTAAAATTTTGTTCTTAATAACTTGAAACAATCGACTGCTCCATGGTAGCAGCATAATTCAAGTAATGAATAAACATGATAATATTCCAATTCATATGGATATAAATCACTATCAAGTTTCTGATCTTTATCGAATCCATCTCATTCAATGAAGTAGATGAATCGTTCTTTGTCATCATACATAATTGACCTGTAAATTGTATCGTTTGAATCAATATCGGTATTTTTTAAATACCTTGTTCTGAAATCAACAGTAGTGCTCAATTCAATTCCATATTCTTTATAAAACAGGTAGTTAGAAATGATTGGAATATGACTGACTTCCGTTATATGATATTCATCAGAGATGAGTTTCGCAAGTTTCAAGTATGACTTTGCATACCGGTTGTTATATGGGATGATATTTAAAATATCCCTCATAACATTTCGTGGATGATGTTTATTTGAATCAATCAAATTTGTTTTGATCATTTTGTAAATTGTGAGTATTTCGTCTTCTTTTTCTGCTTTCAACTGATATAGAGCAGTATATGAATCAATATAATATTGATAAATACTTCTCAATTCACTATAAGTCTTTTAAACAATCTTATGAGACATAAACAATTAAAGTTCCAGATTCGGCCAAGCAATTGTTATCGTTAAAGTCCGAAATTTATAGGGGCGGTGCCATGTGAGGTGAAATTTATCATACACCGATTGGACCTTTTGCTTTCCCGAAAACATAGAATTTATATTGGGGGCCAAATATAAGTGCATATATCTATACTAATCAAGCCATATTTACTCATATAGTATTGAGGAATAATGTGTTTTATATAAGATATGAATTTCAAAAATTTTGTTTTATTTCATTTTGAATACAATGAGGTATCTATATATATACTCTATATTGTGTTTGTAAACTCATTTTGGTCACATATCCATTTTTTAATCTGCATCTTATTTGAGATTTCAAATTTTTATCGACAATCATATATGATCACATCGGCATTTGGAGATACTTATTATGTATCTCCAAATGCCGATGTGATCATTGTATTTAATTGTATATTAACCAAGAGATTCCGATGCAGAATATTCAAAGTAGATAGTTTTTCAATTCTGTACACATAGGTGCAGGGTCTATCACTGGCACCCTGCACCTATGTGTGCAGAATGGGAAAAGCGCGCACTTTTACCTTTCGATGCGAATGTTGCAAACACTTTTCCCATTCTGCACATATATATGCAGGGTCTATCACTGGCACCCTGCACCTATATGTGCAGAATGGGAAAAGCGCGCACTTTTACCTTTCGATGCGAATGTTGCAAACACTTTTCCCATTCTGCACATATATATGCAGGGTCTATCACTGGCACCCTGCACCTATATGTGCAGAATGGGAAAAGCGCACTTTTACCTTTCGATGCGAATGTTGCAAACACTTTTCCCATTCTGCACATATATATGCAGGGTCTATCACTGGCACCCTGCACCTATATGTGCAGAATGGGAAAAGCGCGCACTTTTACCTTTCGATGCGAATGTTGCAAACACTTTTCCCATTCTGCACATATATATGCAGGGTCTATCACTGGCACCCTGCACCTATATGTGCAGAATGGGAAAAGCGCGCACTTTTACCTTTCGATGCGAATGTTGCAAACACTTTTCCCATTCTGCACATATATATGCAGGGTCTATCACTGGCACCCTGCACCTATATGTGCAGAATGGGAAAAGCGCGCACTTTTACCTTTCGATGCGAATGTTGCAAACACTTTTCCCATTCTGCACATATATATGCAGGGTCTATCACTGGCACCCTGCACCTATATGTGCAGAATGGGAAAAGCGCGCACTTTTACCTTTCGATGCGAATGTTGCAAACACTTTTCCCATTCTGCACATATATATGCAGGGTCTATCACTGGCACCCTGCACCTATATGTGCAGAATGGGAAAAGCGCGCACTTTTGTTCTTCGATACGAATGTGTCGGACATAATTCCTGATTTGCTCATATATTTGCAGGCTCTATCACTAGGACCCTGCAACTATATGAGCAAATCAGGAATTGCTTGCAATTTTTCACTTGAATGTGATTCATTGAATTTCAATTCGAGAAAGGAGTTTACAAATGCAGGGTATTGTTCCTTTACCCTGCATTTGTAAACTCCTTTCTCGAATAGCTTGCACTTTTTCAAAGAATGTTAAACATCGAATTTCAATTCGAGAAAGGAGTTTACAAATGCAGGGTAAAGGGACAATACCCTGCATTTGTTAACTCCTTTCTTGTAAAACCTTCCTCCAAAAAATATAAAGATCACATTCTTCTTAAAACTCTCAAAATCTCATTATTTCAATCTTATAATCATAAATAAACATACTCTTTCTATCTAATATTTCTCTATTCCTTAATTTTCTTATGAAATTTGTTATTTTTTATTTAATTTTTAAAATTTTCAATTTTTTTGGATAATTTTATTCAATTTTATGATAATTTATTCTATTCTCATTATATAATAATATTGTTCATTTTTATTTTTTTAATTTTTCAATGCATACGATAATTTTTAATTCAATTTTTAAACGAATGTTTTGATGGGATGAGCTTACTGAGCATAGGCTCATCCCATCAAAACATTCCCTTAAAAACTCTGGCCTTCATCGAGGCCAGAGTTTACAATTCATCAGCTCAGAGCCAAGTTCCTCGACGGTCGTCCTCATTAGGCCCGATCCGAGAGGAACTTGGCTCTTCATTAAAATCACAAGCTCTGGCCATTGCTAAGGCCAGAGCCTGCAAATACAATCCTCAGGGCCGAGTTTTGCGATGATCGTCGATCATGTCGACGGTCTCGCAAGAACTCGGCCCTGAAAGACATACAAATACAGGCTCTGGCCCTAGCAAAGGCCAGGGCTTCGCTTACTGTCCTCAGGGCCGGCTTTCTCAAATGCCGTCCTGATCTAGGGCGGCAGGAGAGGAATCCGGCCCTGGGAACATCCAAATACGAAGCTCTGGCCCAAGCAAAGGCCAGAGCCTGCAAAATACTCAATGTTCAACAATTACAAATCTCATGTCACCCAGAAAGCTATGAAGGAAGCCCTTTCTCTAGGTTAGGACTTCCTTCATAGCTTTCTGGTACTGAGTGGAGTGGTTTTGGCTTCCATTGCCGCTCACTCCAGTAAGATCACGAGATTGTACAAAAGCCACGGCAAGTGCATTCCAACACCATAAATACACTTGCCGTGGAATACGGTTGCGAGTGCCTGCTGCTTCAACCGAGATTTGCAGCAGACACTCACAATGATAACTAAAATTCATCATAAAGCTGGGAAATGGGCCTTTTCTCAAGGTCAAACCCCATTTCTCAGCTTTATGATATTGAAACGAACATTTTGAGAGGTTATTACTGTTTTTCCCGGAATCATCTTGAGATTCCGGGAAAGTCATAGCAAGTGTAATCTATTAGCATAGATACACTTGCTATGACACATATATGCCAGCATCTGCTGCTTACCCCCAAATAAGTAGCAGATGCTCGGCATCACATCTTGAGATCCTTATTATCTGCGTATTTTTCATTTTAATATATATAAATGTGTGTGTCTAACACAAGTCTATATGCGCCATGTAAAATATACACTAATACACACATATTGATCATAATTAATAAGATATCAAACTATAAAAACTGAGATATTACTATAAACTATATGTATTATTATATAGGTACCATACTATAAGGTCATATGAATATTATTGAAATTAGACACACTTTATATAATTTTATAATGTGAATAACTTGGGTCATAATTTTTTTTACGTAATTCCTACACGAAATGATCGACATTACCCTAGTCTATCTGCGTGCAAAATACCAAGGAACAAATCAAATACTCACCATATCTTTTTTTAAAAAGGTCCAATCGGTGTATGGTGATTTTCACCTCACATGGCACAACCCCAAATTTATATAACATTGCCTATATCTCATCATTTTGAAAGTTATCAACTATAACATTTTAATGATCATTGAAAGAGAAAAAACTTCAGTCTAATGCCTCAGAAATATAAATTGACATTAAATGACTTATGTTTTTGATTGTTATTAATAAACATATATTATTTTAATATCTGGATAGAGACTTGCCAATATAAGGCTTAATAATAACTAAATATCCACAATAAATAATTTAAATAAATTTTAATTTAAATCTTTTTGGAAATCCAATTACTTGAATTAAATTGTATGTGATTTATCATATATTATTTTAATTGACGATATTCAACTTTATAATAAGATTAATTTTCTTTTTATTATTGATGTTTATTCTAGTATATATCTTAATTTTAGCTAATACAACTTATGTGAGCTAATTTTATATCATGATTAAATTTTGTTTTAGACCAAATTTGAAAAATTACACTACATTGAAATAAATATGATAAGATCAGACTGGAGAGCCTGAAGCTAAGGCAAAATAGAAGGGGTCAATCCTAATTTCTTCTAATGTGACTTGTTTCCGGCAAATTGGGCATTGCCATGAGTTATTTTTGATTGCATTACAAAGGAAGCCGGATATATCATAACATTCTCCATGCATGCAGTTCACACCTCTTCCAGGTCTAACAATAACTTTTCTTGTCAACGGACAAATACCGTTTGGTATTGAGGATCCTGATAGAGGCATTTTTCTGGCAGGTTCCTTCATGCAAATCATCTGGATCATTCTATGAATCGATACTTGTTTCATCCATCTGATTGCTCCAACGATTTCTGTCTCCGGTTCAACAGAAACAACTTGGAATGATGTAGGACGATCCATAAATTGCTTCATTTCTGTGTAAAAGTTCGGACCTCTCATTGTAAGAAAAGTACCATCAATTTGGATAACAATTCTGCTAATAACGACTGTTGGATAGGCTGAAACAAATTGTAGAATTGGAATCAGAGTCTTATCGGCAGTGGTAATTGTAAATGAATGAGAATTATTCATATTTACACTGATAAGGACTGGTCCAAATGCGGGGTTATTATCAGAAAGTTCGTATAATGATGATGGCGATCCTTGGAGTAAACTTTGACTAATTTCCGGAGGAATTGTCTGAGCTGGCTGCATTTGAGGCGTCGGAGAGCCTTCTTCACTATGGGATGGTGAAGCACTTTCATCAGCATCAATTGATAAGAGCTTTTTGAGCTTGGCTGAGAAGGCAGAAAGCAAATTTTGTTGGCTTTGACCAATAGTTTCGAGGAAAATGATAAGTCTGTTAACAAGAACATGCTTGTTTCCTCCAGTGGGAAGAGAATAATCTCTTAGAAGGTCTCTGAGTTGTGTAATTGATAATAACGAAATACCTCTAGTTAATAAAGCAATGTTATTTGTGGGCTGGAGCTGCATATTTTGTGGAAAGATCTCATCGGCCTTAGTTGCTTTAACAGATGGAGCTGGCGCTTCGAATGGAGGTGGAGATCGGGTTATTGGCTTAAAAGCATTACTTTTATTGAGTGTTGGTCTTGGAGTATTGGCTGTAAACCTCGGACGGTTTGATTGTGGTAAAGCGTGTACGACGGGACGAGCGACTTGCGTGATTGGGAAGGAAAAAATAAGTTTCTTTGTCAAATTCATAAATTTCAATTAAATGGATATCCATTGAGTGCCCATCAAATGAGGATCCGAATTTAGTAAAATTATTTTTGAATTCGCCCATAACACTTTTCTATCATTGAATTTAGAATGCCATCAACCAATGATTAATTGCAAAAATAAGTAGTATAGTATGCGGGTTTTGTGCACAAATTTGTAATCCTTTAAAAACAAAAACGTGCACATAAATTTTGAGTAGGGGTAATTTTAGCTAAAAGTGACACGCCTGTAAAAAGTGACACACCCATGAAGGGTGTGATTACCGATCGGTAATTTCGACAGTTTAGAATTTAAAATTTTTTATGGAACTGTTGCGAGTTTCATAAAGAATTTAAGGAATATAAGCAAAGATTTGAATCAAAATCTTAGACCTAAGCCGCTCGATTCGCTCGCGGCTTCCGCGAATTACAGATCAGCAAAGATTTGAATCAAAATCTTCGAACTAAGCCGATCGCTTCGCTCGCGGCTTTCTTTATTATTTTAAATTTGCATATTTCCATCAAAAGTTCATAAGGTAAAAAATTTCGTTTATATTATTGCAAAATAAAATCTTCATTATCAAAATAATATTAAATGATAATATAATATAATTTATAAACAACTATTATTTAATAAAGTTTAATTGCCAAGGTTCATCTAATTTTTTGATTTTTAATGTTTTATGAATTTTATTTATCATGTATATATCTAATGAAAATTATATATGTAGAAGATAAGTACCTTAATATGTACGTAAAAATTAATGAAATTTATTTTGAATGTAGAACCGAGCAATTTTCAAATTTTGTGCTTTTTTTGAATCTTCTCGATACCAGATAAGTTGTGTTGGCTAAATAATATATGGATACAATGTGTCTTATAGATGAATATATGCACAAAGTTTAAGAGGCCATTTTCTTTCAGAAACCGAGATTTGTGAATTTTTTCAAATTTTGTGCTTTTTTTGATATTGAAATTTCATTTCATTTTTTTGATGCATATCGATGCACCATGCAAACTTAAAGAAAGGCTATCTTATATAGATGCTATGAAAGCTGTCATTGATAACGAATGCCATGCAGGTTGTCCATATCAATTAAAAAAAAATCCAAATTTAGGGGGAACAAAATTAAAATTCAGGTGCAGTGCAGATAAATGTGAAGCATGTATCTCATTTCTAAAGGATGATGAAGAATATATCCTAACAGAATATAATGGAACACATAATCACAATCAAATCAAAGATGAGACAAAGAAATACCACACATTATCACAATGCTATCGTCGGGTACTTATTAATTTTATAAAACAGGGGGTGATCCGAAAATGGCTCAAATTGAATGCGACAAAAAACTTGATCTGGATGATCCACTTAACAGGCCATCTTTTTTGAATGCATCTTCAGATCAAATGAAAACAATTCAGGAAAAAGGAAATAAAAAGATCAAAGGTATTCAAAAGTACGATGATAATCAATTCAAGTCAACTCAATTATTTAAGGGTATCAAAGAACAAGAGTTACCAAAAGATTTAATTTATTTCGATGTCGATAATTACAACAAACCAAAGAAATTAATCTTTTATTATGCTTCTTTCAAATTTCTGGACATAATCAAAATTGTGAAAGAGCATTTTATTGATGCAACCCATTCATTACTTGAATTTAAAATGTTGTTTTACATGATATCAGCCAAATTTCCAAATACACATGCATTCCCAATTTTTCAATTTGTCGTTTATCCAAACACTTCAGAAAATATTGCATTCTGTCTCAAGGCATTTTTTAACTGGGCAAAAGTAAAACCAAAATATTTTATGTCAGATTGTGCACAAGAAATCAAAATGCGATTATCAACTCTTTTCCAGAAGTTATCCTTCATTGGTGTGCAGTTCATGTAATGAGGGCGTTCAGAAAAAATTTGAAAGATTATGCATTTGAGAGTCAGACAAATTGATATTAGATACAAAAATGAACTATCTTGCATACGGCAGAAATGGCAAGAAAGAATGGATTGAACCAACGTTCAAAAAAATTCTGGAAATAGCCGAAAAATTCCCAGAATTTTCAAAATACATACAAAATCAATGGATATCAAACCAAGAAAGATGGACAGCCGCTGAAAGAGATGAAAATTTAGCTCTCACAAATAACATTTCAGAATCGATTAACAAAAAAATTAAATATTACTACTTTGGCGGAACAATTTTCATGAGATTTGATCGATTTGTGATGAAATTAATCGATTTTATCGTTCCTTCATTTTATTACAGAATTTCTCAAGATATAAGGCTCAGAGAACAAAATTCCAAATCCGTTGCCATCTGAAAAAAAGCCAAAAAGTCTACAATCAGACTGGATACAGAATTATGTATAATGCTCACTGATAAAATTAAATCGTTAATAGTTAACTCATCAGCAAACTTAAATACGCTTCAATTGGGTTTAGATGACCTACTTGATAAAGTTGTCAAGGCAGCAAAGGTTCAAAAACGAATGACCCAGTATTTTTCGAAATTAAGTATCCCAATGGAAATCAAGCTTAGTATTCTCACGCAAATTACAGAATTTGGATGCAATACCCCTCAATTCATTGTTGAGAATGCCAAGTCTTTTCAAGATAAAATTATTACAGATTTCCACCTTCAAATTTATACAACATTATAGAAATTTATGAATAAAAACTTGATATAAAATAACATTTTTATTTTTACTAAGAAAAAAAGGTTTTTGATAATAAATTTATTTTATTTCGAAAAAGTAGCAATAATCGTAAAGGGTATTGATAGGCTTGCTAAAGTAACTAATTTTAGCTGTCAAATACTTTTGTATTTTGAAGTAAATTAGTATAAATTTGTTTTTACTTTTATTTCGAAAAAGTAGCAATAATCGTAAAAGGGTATTGATAGGCTTGCTAAAGTAACTAATTTTAGCTGTCAAATACTTTTGTATTTTGAAGTAAATTAGTATAAATTTGATATTATTTTAACTCCCTTTGAAAACCTCAATTTTCCATACAGAGGGGACGGGAATAGCATCCAATATTCCCTGAGAATGGTTGCGCATTCTCAGTTCCCTCTATATTTCGAACGAAGCTCTCATCGGTCTTTTTTTTTAATACTAAACGTTTTTTCCCCTGTCACTTTTAGCTAAAATTTGGGTTTGCCCATAAATTTTTAGCCCGTTTCTTCACAAAAATCGATGATTTCAGCCCGTTTCTCAGCAATGTATCACATATTTTCTAAAGCAAAATGCATACCCCCTTATGAAGAAACCAAAGCAACATTCATGAAATTTAAAAAATCCCGCCAAAAAGCGCGAAATGCCATTTTAGACTCCCAAAAATTGAAAGGCAATTGTGACATGCTCACTGACATCGCAACCCCAGAAAAAAATTGAGAGGTCACTTCATTTCTACATAATGCAAGAAGCACTCGCGTGCGGTACTAGTAGTGGGGAAGGTATTTTAAGCCATAGTGCAACCCCCATGAAAATTTAGCCAAGAAGACAGACCCAGTCATGACCACGAATGATCAGGGTGAAGAAGGAACCATCGAACCCACAGACGATCAGAGAAGAATCAGGCTCACAATGCCCAGGAAATTTGTAAACAATTTGGACGTAGATGAGACACCACACACACTTGATTCAGAAATGGAAGAAGAGCAGGAACTCAAAGATCTCGAAGAAAAGCTCAGAGAAAGACCTCTACCAATTGAACCAGAAGAAAAGCTCAGAGAAAGACCTCTACCAATTGAACCAGAAGAAGAGCAAGAAAGGACAGCATCGAGATTAGAAGCTTCATCAAAGCATATATTTCATCATTTAGCCCGAGAAAAGAAGGAACTACTATCGCAGAATTTACAATTCTATGCTAAGAAGGAATCAATGCTAGAAGAAGTATACGGTGGTTACAGTGATGATGAACAAAGGAACTTGTACAGGGCGATCAATATGTTAGAAATACTAAGTTCATGTCAAAGGAGTCCAGAGAAAGAACAGATGGTCCTACAAATGATTCCACCGTCAGACAGAGAAGCAGTCTTCGATGCTTTCTATTACCAGATCGAGAAGAAGTTGGAAGATCTTGCAGAGGAGAACACACCAGCGTTAGTTGAATCAATGAAGATCAAATCTTTCAAAGCAGCAGCATCAAAGAGTTACGAAACAATTGATGAAGAAGGAACACTCGATTACGAAGAAACATTACACTCTCGCGAAGAAAAAGAAAGAATTGCTCACAATACTATTAAGGGTCAGTTTCAGATCGACATGTTCACAAGAGAAGAATACAATGCTGCTTACTCATACGTGCGTTCAAGAGGTTTCAATTGGATGTACATCATATTAAGGTTCTTCACAGTGGAGATTTTTGACAATACACGTACCGCAATGAAGGAATACTTGGAACACGAACTCATTACAGTGATGATCAGACTTCTTCTCGATAACACTCCAGAAATTCAGAAGCTCTACAAGGATACATTTCATGATTTAAGTCAAGGAAAACATCTGGACACAAAGACCGAGAAGCATGTTACTGTCTCTATGTTGAAGATGGTGAAATAATAGAAGGTTTTCTCACGAAGATTGATCAGAACCATTACAAATTCGTTAACGCTGTATACGGAGATGAATTCACAACAGATTCCCTTGAAAATTTCCTAGAGAGGACACCTGTAAATGAAGAGTTATTCAGGTTACAAGAGGACTGCAGGGGTATTCTCAGACAAGCTCATGAAAACGCTTCAAGGTTCATGCTTGATCAGTTGAAGAAACACAAAACAATTGATGTTAATCAGATCTTTGAACAACACTACCAGCACATGTATGATGATTTCAGAAGAAAATATAGACATCAGTATCAAGAAATGATGGAAAGAAGATACAAAAAACATTCCAAGAAGGAACAAAAATAATTTAAGAATTTAAGAATAAACAATTTTAATTTTTTATTATCTTTTTAATTTTTTTAATTTAAATAATAATTTTGTTGCATGCTAAATAGTGTCAACGATAGAAATTGAGAGCCTATTAATCGTCGAGGAAGTACGATTATTTTTTGGGCGAAAAAGTATCTTAAAATATGATTATTAATATGTTTTTAAAATAAAAAATTTGAAAGTTAATTTGAGATTCTCATATAATTTTTTGAATGAAAAAAATAAATATAGTCTATATGAGTTTTTGAATAATCACACTTGAGATATATCTAAAAAATAATTAAAAATAGAGTTTGAGAAGACTTTTCAAGGTGTAATGAAAAGTGTGATATAGAAAATAATTATAGATATTTTAATTTTATATATTGTGCTAAGCATTATATTAAATTTTTAGGAAAAACACTTTTCATAAGTATTCAATATTTGAAAATACGCTCCAAAAAAGAATAGATTCTTTTATATTTGCTTATATAAAAGGAAACTCTCTATCAGATGCGAATGCCTGAATTCAGCACCTCTGATAGAGAGTTTCCTCTTATATAAGCAAATCTTTTTCATTTGTTTTTGTTAATATAAAAACATCAAAATCTACCAATATGAGAAATTAAACCCTGCGAGGCACCAGTCTAGAACTGGCACTTCGCAGGGTTGAATTTCTCTTGACAAAATACAATAATCAAATGCTCCAAAGTTTTCAAATTTTTATTAGGAATAGGAGCCTACAAAGCACTGATTATATATCAGTGCCTGGTAGGCTTCTATTCCTTCTCTAAATGGGAGAAACTTTGTTTGAATAAGATAACATGCGAACAAAGTTTCTCCCATTTAGAGTGGGATTTGGAGGGTGGGAGGTACATAGATAGACTATGTATCTCTCACCCTCCAATTCCCTCGGGAAAGTTCGAAAACTTTGGTGCAATCAGCAACGCTTGCACCAAAGTTTTTGCGTTTAATTGAAGGAATTGCTCTTTATGATATAGGGTGTCCAAAGGTGCGTTTAGCACAGCGCTCTATATGAGACTATTAAAGGAGATATATGCTGATTATAAATATATAATAAAAAATATGAATATATGTATATGATGAGTATGTTGTATTTTGGCGCCATGCCGGGATATAAAATGAATTTTGAGACAAGAGGCGGTTTCGCGGGAAATTTTGGCGGGATTTTTTTCATTTTTTAATGAATCATAAAGAAAACATCCTCGCTCTTGCAAAAAAATGCAAAGACTGTAAAAAAATCTACGAGACATTGGTAAAATGCTTCGGTATGGATGCTCCTAGCTATTCCACTGTAACGTATCATGTTAGGATGTATCACTTCATGAACAAAAAGGCGCCAATCATAAAAATTGACAAAAAATCGCCGGATCAAAGAAAAATCAAAGCAATTCTTCAAGCGCTAGATGAAGACCCAAGAGCATCACTCAGAAGGATAGAGGAGATGACAAAGATACCACGTACAACAGTCAGTTATTATCTGCACAATTATTTGAACTACAAACTAGCGTATACACGTTGGGTTCCGCACAACCTTAATTCAGTTCAAAAAAAATCTAGAGTCCAATCTTCGAAAGAGCTCCTCTCTATATTGGGTGCGTATCAATCCAAGAAGTTTCGCTTTTTAGTAACAGGGGACGAATCTTGGTTTCAATATGCAACAGGAGCCAAAATCATGTGGATCCCGAAGGATGAAAATCCGCAAACATTCCCGAAGAAAAAAATTGACACACCAATGATGATGTTGTCGGTTTTTTGGGGCGTGAATGGCATCATCATATTTTAAAAACTTTTTTGCAATATGATGTTATTGCAACAATTTTTTTTCTTTTCTACTTCCAATTAGCACCTTAAAAACATTAGACACAATCACTGGCTCATATGCTCCTATTCTGAATCTAACACTATGTAAATTTATACAATTTCTCCACAAATCTTACATTCATTTTAATTTCAACGACCATTATTACCACAAAGAATCTTACCTTCCCCTACAAAATCTAACTATCTATCAATTTAAAAAATGTTACAAAATATTAAATGATTTTTTTCTATACGTAATTTAAAGTTCTTAAACTCTCAGCATCAGAATATCCTTACAGAGCTTTGCTATATATCGTATTACTTTATGAATAAAAAAATTATTTAAATTATAATAAAATGTTTATTCGTATTTTTACTTTATTTTTAGTTACGAGGCTGTATTTCGAACTCAGGTTTTGGGTTTAAGTCCTTTGTCCATTTAGGACCCTGGTCACAAATTGATTTTGGAGTAGGTTTTCCACCGAAAAGATCTTTAAGAGCTGTATGAACCCATACTGTGTTGTATTCTTCTATTGCGTGAGGTAAAAATTCTCTTATTTCGATAAAATCTGGGCGAGCCGAAAAGATTGTTTGCCAAAAACGTTCTATTTTACCATTTAACTGTGGTGTGTAAGGTTCTGTCCGATGGTGTTGAATGCCATTTACTTGAAGAACGTTTTTGAAGTCCTTTCCTGTAAATTCGCAACCATTATCTGTCAAAAGTTCGTATGGAATAATTTTGATAGAGTCGATAGCATTTTGTAAAGCTTTTGAAGTTGATTTCATTGTTTTATCGGGAAGAATTTCGTAATAAATACAAAAACGAGATCTGTCATCGATAAAGGCAATTAAATGATAAGTATGCTTGGTACCATTTGTCTCTTCTTTGAAGCTTTTTAAATCAGTATGCCATTGCTGATTTACGTATTGGGAAACATACTGATTTGGATGTTCATCAATTTTTTCTGGATCTCGCCGAAATTTGAAAAGATTCTCTTTTTCGTATAATTTAAGCATATCGTGAAATGAAACTGTGTCATCATGTATGTAACTCTCTAAAACTTTTTATAACCTAGATTGTACTTAGCTTTTATTTCGTGAATGGTTGGGAACAAATCTGTTCTAAGAGGAGTTTCTGGTCTTCCGAGCTTTTTTGGATTTAAACCAAGTTCTTGCCATTTTAATAATAATTTTTTTTCTACCTATGTGCAAATCTTTTGCAACTTGGTCTGCTGTCTTTTTGCCAATAGAATATTCAAGATATGCCGTAATATAAATCTGATTTTCATTTGGCAGATCCACTTCTTGTCTTTCCATTCTTTTGAATCAATTTATACAAATAAACTTATAAAACACAAAATTATTATTTTATAATATAATTCTTAGATAATACATCCGATATGTAAAGTGTCAAAAATGAATTGAACCGAATTTTCATGCATTACATAATAATAAAAATTTAATTAAATATGTTTGATGACGATTATTTTGAACCAGAATTAAATTCTGATGAACAATATGATTGTTATATTGATAACTGTATTCAGGAAAGTTTAAATAGAAATAGAAATGGTTTAGAAAGAGAAATATTGCAAAAGATACCAAGAACAGATTCATACTATAATGCAATAACAGCGGCAATTGGAAAACAATTTAAAGGAAAAACATTGGCAATAATTAAAGAAATAATTAAAATATCACAAAATGACCCATATTGTCATTTGTTAATTTATATTAATCGTTCAGGCACTCCTTCGGATTCAACTTTTGAATCATTAAAGAATTTAATTAATGTTCCAATTGTTTATAAATCACATGAAGAAGCTGAAGCCTTTATTCATGAAGTTTTATTATTTAAAGAATTGTATAATCTAGTGAAAAAAGAACATTTAGAAAATCGAATAGTTGATAAACAAACTATGGAAATGTTTGAAACATTACAGATTTCCGACTATTCTAAACATTTCTTACATACACTCATATTTCTTGATGATGCTGTCAAATCGTCTTTAATTGAAAAACCAAATTCTAAATTCAATAAATGGCTTACATAATGCCGTCATATACAATGTAGTTTCTTCTTAGCAGTTCAATTCTTTAAAGCATTAAGTACGAATATTAAATCAAACTTGTCAACATTATTTATATTTTCAGGTTTTAGCAGACAACAATTGAATGTGATGTTATATCAAGTAAATTTACCAATGACTATTAATGAGCTATATTATCAATATCAACAATTAGGTGAACACGGAAAATTAGTTGTCGATCTTGTAAAAGGTGATGTCAAGTTTGTACAATAATATTAATTAATTTTAATTTTTTTATTCTTTACAAAATGACAACAGTTGATTCAAATGCATTAAGTGGATTAATTAATCCTGTAAAAGTTAGACCAGCAGCTGCTAATTCAGGGCATTCAAATTTTAGAATGAATTTCTCACCATTCGAACAAACTCAAATGAAACCTGGTCAATTACCTCTCAGTAGTAAGAAATATGATCCAGCTCTACCAAACTATAATAGACAATTCAGATTTGGTCCTGGTGCTGATGATTTAGTTAATATTGCTGCAAGTCTTCATAAAGGTTTTGCTCGTGTTGATGATGCAATTACATTACCTGAAGCTCAAGCATATGCAGCACGTCATGGTAAAAACTGGCAAGCCCATGAACTTGATATTACTGGTCCAAATGGTAAACCAGATGGTATTCCAGAAGTTTTCGTCACAGATTCAAAAGGTAATTTGAAAGTCATTAATGGTTGGAGATTAACGAATTCAGACTATGGTAAAAGAAGAGCTTATCACACGATGATACCAGATAAGAAACAAAGACAAGAAGATGGAAATTCATTCCAAGATTTCAAAGAGAAATACTTAACTGTTACTGATGATGATACTGGTAATCCAGCTTATGCAAATCCGTTACCAGGTCGTTTAGGTGAAGCACTTCAGAATACAAAAGATGTTTCAGCAAAGAAATTCTTTAATGATGCAATTTATAAAGCTACTTGTGATGCAAATAAAAGCTTAGTTGAAAAACTATTTGCAAGTTATGGATGGCAAAAGAACCCAAAGGATCCATCAGAAATTAAGAAAGCGAAAGCATTTAATAAAGCGAAGTCTAAATCTCAAGGTGGAAATCTAGCATATTTAGCTCTTGTTAAATTAGCTGTTTATAGATCATTAAATAGGGAATATGGTATGAACAGTTTCAAGATAGAGGCGCAAAATGAAATCGGAACAAGAGGTGGATCAAAGGATGAAGTTGCCGAAAAGGCTGAAAGAAGAAGGAAATCATTTGAGAGTTCAAAGACATTTAAGAATGCTGCTCAGCAAGTTGTTATGAATCTTGTCAATAACTTTAGATCAGCAAATAGAGATCAAATTGTAAATGTTTGCATGGCTGCTCTTAACTATGCTGCTAAAGTCGTTGGTTCTAATCAGAAATTCTCATTTAATACAGGTGTTGATTTCATTGGACGTATTTCACAATATTACATGCCAGGTGTTGTAAGTCCATCCGGCGTAGCTGTTCCACAACGTAAACGTGTCAAACAAGAACTTCCAATGCCCCCATCACCAGGGCAAATGAGTGTTCCAAGACAAATGGCTCCACTTCCTGCAAGACAAGCTGCACCACCACCACGACCAAGACAACAGTTTGAAGAAGTTCCATTAACAGCAGATGTTAACAATTATAGAAATGGTGATGATGCTGATAGTTGGGATGAAGCAAGGGCAAGACAACTTGAAAATGAAGCTTTTAATGAAGATGATGAACCAGCTCCCCCATCAAATATCCATCCACAAGCTTATTACGAGTATTAAAAACTTAATTAAATGATTTAATAATTATATTTTTTTAATCACAATCAAATAAAAAGATGAGGTATAGACCAACAACGAGTGCAAAAGGAGAAGTAACATTTGGATACAGTGTTAACCAGGACAAAAGTAAAATATTACAGAATGTTCAAGTTAATGTAAATTCACGTGATACAGAAGAAACAATAAGAATTACCGAAAAAGTGACAAAACATCAAAAACAGGGAGGGGGTCTCAATTTTTATTACTTATATTATTTTACAATATTTATATAAATACTCTTTATAATATATTTTACTATAAAATTATACCTCAAATTCAAATATTTAAAATATTATTTACATAATTATCTCAAAATTATATTTTTATATATTATTTTTCATATGTATAAATCCTATAATCTATATCTATGCAAATCTCATCTAAAATTTTTTGAAACAAACCGCTACCATTTTATAATGGTCCATCTTAAATTCATCATAAATTCTGGTACATGTTAGTACCAGAGTCTTCAAATCTCAAACACTCTGGTACCAACATGTACCAGACGCGAGTTTCCAATGCCCTCGTACGATTTTCTATTAAGATCTTCTTGAATGAGAAGGTCTTCATAGAAACTCGTACGAGGGCTTCTCTTTTAAATACTCTGGTACCTGCTGGTATCGGAGTCGACTTTACAGCCCTTTCCCCAATTTTGAAGCTGGGGAAAGTTTTCAAGCAATGAAAGGGAAGCTCTCGCTATGAGGTGAAAATCTAGAATTTTTACCTCATAGCGAGTAATCCTTTGTTAATTGCTTGAAAACTTTCTTCAAATTATCAAAATTTCGAGGAAAGTTTCCTTGCTTCAAAGTAGAGATGGAGCCCTTTGAGCCACTGCATATAGGTCAGTGACTCAAAATACTCCATCTCTACTAGAAATCGCCAAAATTTGGGTCGCAATCTTTGAAATGCGACGCAAGTTTGGGCAATTTCGCGAGGGACTTGCTCCATTTGGTGCATAGATTCACACTCTATGCACCAGATGGAACAATTCTTTCGCTGACAGCGGGAAACTTTGTCTGAATAGTTTAACATTCAGACAAAGTTTCCCGCTGTCAGAGAGGGAATGGAAGGGTAAGAGGTATATATTCATAATGTATACCTCTTACTCTTCCATTCCCTCAAGAAAGTTCAAAAACTTGGGTGCAATCAGAACTGATTGCACCCAAGTTTTTGAACTTTATATAAGGAATTGTTGGCTATGATGTACTGATCATGAATCAGTACATCATAGCCAACAATTCCTTCGCAAACAGTGGGAAACTTTGTCTGAATAGTTTAACATTCAGACAAAATTTCCCGCTGTCAGGGAGGGAATTAGAGGGTGGGAGATATATAGATAGACTATAAATCTCTCACCCTTTAATTCCCTCAAGAAAGTTCAAAAACTTGGGTGCAATCAGTTCTGATTGCACCCAAGTTTTTGAATTTTGTATAAGGAATTGTTGGCTATGATGTGGATAGCCGCTGCCAGACCAAATGAATTAACCGTTGTGAATAACGTTTCTGAATCTTTATTTAAAAAGATAAAATATCACGATTTTGGCTGCGTTAAAAATCAAAGAATTGATGTTTTTGTCAAAAATCTTTTAGAAGAAGTTGCACCCAATTACTTTATCGTATTAAAAACGATTTACTTCAAACAGGTTTTATTCCTTCAATTAGAATTCGCGAGCCTCGATTGACAGATTATAAAACAAAATTGAAAAGAGAAGTTCAATCACGTTTATACCAAGTATTAAATTTTGTTCAGAATCAAGAAGCCAATTTGAATCCATTAAGATTTTTATTGAAAATGCTGAAGAAAAACTTTCTCAAATAAATGAGAAGATACAAAATTCAATTACATATTTAAGATCGTTTGAAATTCCAAATGAATTGTTAGATACGTATATGTTAGAAATTAATGAATTAAAAAAAAAAAAAAAAAAAAAAAAAGGTAGTGGGGCTTCCAGGCACTTCGTGCCCTCTAGCCCCCGTCACTTTTCTGTCACTTTTCAGGAAAAAACATTTTTATTATATATATAAAATGAATTTTACAAAACCACCACTACCCTTCTTTGGAAATAAGAGTAGATGTAAAGATATTCTATTGAGAGAACTTAAGAAACTACCGAATGGTCTAACATTTGTAGATTTGTTCGGTGGAAGTTTCTATATATCTCATTTGTGCCATACCGTATTCCCAAACTCAAAGATTATATGCAATGACTTCGACAACTATATGAACCGTCTCAAACATATTCCAGACACAAACAAAATATTGAGTGAGTTGAAAGAAAAGATACCTATAGGTAAGATGGAACGTATACCATTAGATAAGAAAAATACTGTCAGAGAGGTTTTGAAAAAAGCAGAGTATATTGACTGGGATAGTATATCTTCTAGACTATTGTATAGTGGTTCTATAAGAGTTCATGACATTGAAACACTTATGTCAAAAGTTTTATATCTTAACTATACAAATGTTTTCAAAGAGGACATAGAAAAATATATTGAGGGTATAGAGTTTGTGAGATGTCATTGGACAGAGTTGTATGAAAAATATAAAGACAAGGAAAATGTTTTCTTTATAGTGGACCCGCCGTTCTATAACACATGGGATTTTCAATACCAAGTAGACTGGACTTTGAGAGACTCTTTAGAAACTTTAGACGTTTTACATAACTGTCCATGCTTTTACTTTACATCCGATAAAAGTGGTTTGGAAACCGTTATGAGATGGTTAGAGGACATACATGACTATGAGTTTAGATACGATAAGATAGAATATGAGAGAGGTCCTATAAACTGGAGAAAGTGTCATAACAAAGAAATTTTACTAGTAAGTAAATGTGGTTTGAAATAGGACTACTTGTTTTAGGTTTTTTCCATTGTGTCATTTACTTATTTGACGTGGCAGAAAGATATAGAGAATATGAAGATGAACCAATGCCTGCAAATGTTCAGTATATGTACTCGTAAGAGATATTTTTATCTAATATTAAATGGACGCACAGAACTTAGCGAATGCGCAGCAACCTGGACAACCAAACCCAGAGAATATTCCAAATGAAGTTAGAATACAAACTGCAATGGCAAACTATGGTCAAGTGCCAACAGATGTACAAATGCAAACTGCCATGTCAAATGACGCTGCGTTAGGCTTACCACCATGGTATGCAAATATGAGATGGAAAGAGTTTTATACAAACCCTGAAGTGGGATATAAACAACTCTATGCAGATGACGCGAACACAGGAGTTGACCCAGAGTATGTTTTCTACCAGAGGAGAAATAGAATGTATGAGCTCCAGTTAAAGAATGCTATGGAACTCAACAGGAAACGTAAGAGACTAGGCGGACATTAGATTTTTACATATAGTAAAATGGGTTTCTTTGGAAGAATAGGAAACTTCTTTCGAAATGTTGGAAGAGGTATATGGAATGGAATAAAATCTGTCGGAAGAGGAATTTGGAACGGAGTCAAAAATATTGGTAAAAGAGTAGGTCAGTTCGTTGGTATTATACCTAAAGACCCTGAACCAGAAGAACAAGCTCCTGTTATACAACAGCCTGAACCTGCACCACAGTCTAGTTGGCAACCAAATCCAACACCTCAACCGTATTAAAATTATATTTTTACCGTTCGATAGTAGTTGTATATGAAACTAAGTTCTAAGTAAAACGCGTGGTATAATGGAACTATTCTCTTTCTTCCATCTGTAGTAAACCATACTTGAAAGTCTGAAATACTTCCACTCGGTGGTTCATATAGCTTTGTAGGTTTTTCGTAAAAGTCATTTGCCAAGCATAAAAAAGAGTTTTGTGCGCCAGAAAATGAAGCATGAACTATAATAGCATCTGAGTCGAAAACATTTTCATATGTTCCATTAGGGTTTTCGACTTCATAAAAGTTCGGGTGTACTGGATATTCTGCAGGCTGATTTAACATCCTCAAAAATCTATACCATGCCAAGTTGTTATATTTTGTAGAAATATAAACGTCTTCTCCAAAGTCTTCTATTCTATTGATTTTAACAGTTGCATTTTTCCTGTCATATATAATATCGAGATGGTACTCTCCTTCGTCAATGTTGTACTGTTTTGCATATTCGAGATAGATATCGTTTATTTTTTCTTGAAAAGCTTGAAGAGTTGTTTCTAAGTTTACAAGCAAATTCACTTGTAAAAGTTTTCCCTGTTCAAATTTCTCATACGTACGTTTCTCTTGTTATAGTATCGAATTTTCAAAAGCGACCGTAAAATGGAAACCATGTATGGCTTCTGAATGAACTTCATTCTACGAAAGCCAATAGCTTTTGTGACGGATGGGTCTCTTAACCATCTTAAGGGGTAGTCAAAACGATAGCCTTCATTTACGGTCTCTGTCTCAAACTTTTGACCGACATTCGTAAAAGTTCATCTAATGGTTAGTCGTAAGCAACTCTTGAATTTTCTTTTCTATTGGAAGCATTTTTATCTAGAATAAAAATGTCGAAAGAAACAGCGTCTATGAGAGAAATACAACACAACCGACAACTCATTTTGCAAGCTCTAAATAAGAACACAACAAACTTTTCAAACTATTCTAATATCTGATCATTGAAAGAAGGAAACTTAAAACTGACGATAAACCCAATGACAGATGAGTTTCTGTTTCAAGACAGTAAGAACCATACTGTCTGTGTAAATCCAACAAAAGGAACTTTAAACGAGAAACCTATATCTGAACTTCTTTTGAAAGCAGATGTTGGCAACAAAGCAGACAAAGAGTATGTCATTGAAAAAGTTCAAGAAGAACATGACAGAGCAGATGCAACATATGCAACGAAAGAGGATGTTGAAAAGAAAGCAGATAAAACATATGTTAACGATGAGTTAGCATGTGTGGCTAGTGCATTAGATAAGAAGGCAGATAAGGAATATGTGGATGAAAAAGACAATGAAATTAAAGAAAGGGTTGAATGGTACCATGAACGGACTTCAAAGATTTTAAAAACTAAAGCCGATACAGGATGGGTTTCAGGGTGTTTAGACCTTAAAGCCGACAAAGAAACTGTAGATATGTTGACACAAACGGTTTCAAGTCATACCAGAGGTTTAATGGAAGATGGACAACAGTTGAAAGAGCTTGAGAAAGGTGTTACAGAGTTAAGGAATACAAAAGCAGACTCGACATGGATAAAAGGATATGTAGATGCAACAAAAGAACGTATTTTCGCATGGACAGAAGGAACATACCCACAAAAATATCATAGACATAGCATCTCTGACGTAAATGAACTTGAAGAAAAGTTATATAAAAAAGCAGACAAAACAGAGCTTCAAACATTAAAGACAGAATACTTCAAACAGTATATCCTATAGGTTCTATTTATACGTCAATGAACTCTACCAGACCAGAAGTAGTACTTGGTTTTGGAACTTGGACTCAAATAGTCGACAGGTTTTTGTATTGTGCAAACTCTTCAAAGGAAACAGGTGGAAGTAAAACGATTTCAGGTGAAAATTTACCTGCACACAGTCACTACATAGATTTAAGTACATCTCAAGCAGGTTGGCATAAGCATAAATTTTGGGATTGGTCAGCAATGAAAAAAGGTAAAGGATATGATGTTAAAGACGACGTTCAGTTTGCTATAAATTGTTTCTGGGGTGACACTCAGGGAGATGGAAACCATACACATTTCGTTTCAGGATATACGCAAACAACGGGACAAAGTAAAGAATACATGCCACCTTACATGACAGTTTACGCATGGTATAGAATTGCTTAGTCGTCATTTTCAACTTCTTTAGCATATTCGTCAGGAGTTGTCTTATATTTGTTAGGAACTGTCTTTGAAAGTATACCACCTTGAACTTTGACAAGTTTGAAACGAGGTCTGACAATAGTAGTTTTATCTTCTGCTTGCAGTCTGTACATTTTGCCATGTTTGCCTAAAACTTCATAATATTCTCTTGTATACTTTCTTCTATTTTTACGAACACGAATGTGAGTACCTGTCGAGTTCCCATTGTTGTCATAGTCAATAGTATTTTCATATGGGTCGCGTTTAGGTATTTCTATTTTTACTTTGTCACCTTTCTGAAGTTTGAAGCCTGGCATTCTTTCTTGTTTGTCTCTTTTGACTAAACTATTAAATATATAGTCTTTCTCTAAGTCAGGGTTGTTTTTCATTTCTTCGGGGGAGTGGTTTCCCAAACCTTTTTGTTTACGGCTATTGTAAATATTTAAAACTTGTCTCATCTTTGCCATGGAGAAGTGTCTATATTTGTCGTCATATGACATTTCATTTGCTTCACCACCTTGTGGTTGGTTTAAGTCTCTTAAGATTTTTATACAACTGTCAATGACACCAAGAGCAGAATGGTTTTGGTCGACAATGAAATATTGGTTTACATTTTTTGAACGCAGATAGTTTTTAATATCGTCTGATTTGAAAGAACTTTCACAGTCAGATGTCAGTTTTGTTGGATGGTATTTGTCAACGAATATTGTCAAAGCAGTTTTCACATCTAAAATATTTTTGGACCATAATGGTATGGCTTCACAGTATCTTGTGTTTTGACCAACAAATATTAGCCAGTATGGTGGTCCATCTTCTCTATACCTCGGAATGTTTTCCAAGATATCCATAAACCAAGCATTTGGTGTTGAACTAAAGATTTTTACCATGAGTGCTTTCTTTGTTGCCTTAGAAACATACGGGTCCTTGTTTGGATTCGTCATTTTTTACCCTATAAGAAATGGGTTTATTTGGCGCATTAGCAGGAGTTGCATCCAGATTTTTGCCCGCAGTGGGAACAATAGCCAGAGGTGCATTTGGAATTGGAAGGAAGATTTTGAGTACATTAGGTATACTGAAAGAGAAAGCACAACCTATTATACAAACTGTACAGAAAGGTTGGGAGGTAGCACGAGATGCAACAAATCTTATTCCAAATCCTGAAACAAGAGGAAAAGTTCAAGGATGGATGGACAATGTAGGAAGAGAAGCAGGAAACTACTATAACAAAGCAAATGACTACTATAACCAAGCAGGGCACTATATGGACCAAGGTGAAAGATTCTTTAACAGAGGATATAACCATGCACAACAGTGGGTAAACAACAACCAACCTCAACCACCTCAAACGTGGGGAATGTAAATTTTTTTACTGAGATGAAATGAACAATACAGCATTGAGACAAATGGGTTCAAGATGGATTTGTCGGCTTCCAGCAGTTACACAACGTGTTTGTCAAGTTCTTCCTATACCTCAGGAAGTTTTAGACCGACTTAAAAACAACAAACAACCAGTTTGAAAACAAACCAAACTAAAATTTTTTACTGAGATGAAATGACCGAAGAAGTTGAAACGGTAGATTTGACACCACAAACAAAAAGTTCAGAACCATTGTCAAAACCTGTCAAAGAACTTACAGATGAAGAGAAAAATTCAATAATAGAAAGTGCCAGGTCTGGAAATACAAACCTAACTACAAAGTCACTTTTCATAGAAATGGAACGGCTAGTATCTCAAAAAAGAAACAGACTCTCACAAATAAAATATTGAAGTCTGAAGGAGCTTTCGAGACAACAGATGGAAAAGTTTACTTCACTGACCAACAGTTCATTATAGAACATCTCATTGACTTAGAGTCGAAATATTCTAAACTTTACAACAAACACAAAAAGTTGAAAGGAAAACAAAAACAAATGGCATATGATATTTATGAAGATGTTGACGACACAACTGTTCCTGCAGGTGAGGTAAAGTCAGAGGAACCGAAAAGTGACGAAAAACCAATAGAAGAAGGGGAGCCAAAAACTGAAGATAAACCAAAACCAAAGTTTAGTTTCCAAACTAAACCAAGTCAACCTTCATTAGCTGGTATGGGTTGGCGTCAAAGACTTATGGTAGCTGGTGGTTATGTTAAGTAAAGGAAAAAACATTTTTTTATTTTTATAAAAATGCCCCCGTATAGAATGGATAGAAGGTCTGCTAGAATAAAAGCAGAGTTAGAAAGATATGGTTGGAAAGTTTCAAAGAAGTTTAAATATAGGAAGGGAAGACCCATAAAAGTCTATGACAAACTGGCTGGTCTGACCTATGAAATGGACTTGGAAACAGCACGCGCAAACTATCCAAACAGATTAGAGAGGTTAGAAGAAGAACGTCTTATGAACTTGCCTTTCAATGTTAGTGAGCCGCAAGTTGAAGGACACGACGGCTTTGCCAGGTTCTACTGGAAACATAACGAACAGTTGCATCCCTTGAGAAGGAAAAAAGGAAAAGGTGAAGACGCACATGCTCCCATGGAAAGAACAAGATATGCATATGAAAAGTACCGTGAAGTTAGAAGTCAAATTACATCTGGTCGAACCTTTACAGTAAACTTTGACGAAGGAAAGAACAAAGAAGGCTTCATGGGTGTACTTGCTGCCATTCAAGATGGAAATAAGAAAGGATACAATCTCAGACTAACCGTAACAGATTTGGACGGTCATATATACTATGCGCATGGCAATGTCACAACAGCTGCAATGCTTCTTGACGCTTTCAAGACTACAAAGAGAGAACAAATGGTTGACTCCGACTCAGATATTTTGAATGCAATTGAAGGAATTGTAAGCGTGAAGTTCGAATGGTACCAACCTAACCCTCAAGCAGTCAGACAACATGCTGGATACTTCCCGTTCATAAATAAGTCTGACATTGACTTGACAAGGTATGGAATTTACAATTCAATTGAAACAATTGTCAATGAACCTTGTATTCTTACATGTCTCAGGAACTCTGGTCTTGTTACAGATGAGAAGATGAAGTATCTTGAGTCATGTGTGAAAACAAGGTACATGCTCAGAGGTCAATTGTCAAAAATTGCACCGTTGGCAAATGTGAATATCCGAGTCAACATTCCGACTGAGAAAGGTTCTTCACATGACGACTATGTTGTTGACAAAGACTTACCATGGTTGAAGATTGTAATTTTCCACAACACTTCATGTTGAACGAAAGTCTTATGTTCGGAAAAGGCAAGTGCAACATTGTCAGAGCTGTAAACATTCTTTTCGAGAAAGGTTTGTTGGAACCAATTCCAGATGACAAGCTGACAGAAACTTTTGTACCAAAAGACGAAACAAACTTTTCACTGTTAGCAAGACCAAAAGTTGTTCCAGACAAAGTTCTAGTACAAAAGAAGTACACAATTCCAAAAGGAGTTGGATTGTTCGGATACCAACCTGAACCAGAAGAACTTCCAATGAGGTTGCAAGAACTTCAAGATGCTATAAACAAACTTCCATTGAGACATCCAATTGACGTCAAATTGTATTGGAGAGCATCTGAGTTAGGTCAGAAGGTTTTATATGAAACAGGTTGCTTCGACGATGTTTATGAGATAACAGGAGAAGTTTCTCAGAAGATAAGAGACTCACTTGAATTTCCACGAACTGGTCCGATTGGATGCGACAAGTTCGACTCAGATGAAAAGATATACTATGTCGACTTAACGCTGCGTACATGAGGTTCGTCCAATATATCCCGACTGGAATTCCAAACGAAGACGGTGAGTTCCCAGGAAGGAACTATACAGTTGGAAAAGTCATACAACAACTATATGATATTAGGAAAGCTTCAAACCCCAAACTTGCAATGACACTCAAATTGCTTATGAATTCGACATGGGGATATTCCATTAAGAAACTCAAGAGATGAAGAGTAAACATTATGAGAAGGTCGACAACTTTGTTGAAAGGTTTTCTCCTTTTGTTTTGAAATACGAATTTACCGAAGGTGAAAGTGGCTTAGTAACCACATTAAAACCTATTGTCGAACATTGGTCTTACCTCAGTTCGCAAAAGCAGTCCTTGACAACTACAACAAATTCTTCTCCGAAGTCAAATCCAAAGTTGTGGTTTACTATGAGAACATTGACGCACTCATGACGAACGAAGAAGGATACAACAAACTCATTGAAATGGGTTTAGTCGTGAGAAGATGGGCTGTTTTAAGCTAGATAAGGTATTTTCCGAAGTTCATGTCCTCTCCAAGCGTAAGTACTGGGCATACTTGAAGACGGCACAGAAATAAAACATTGCATGAAATAAAATTGCATGAAGTAAAACATTGCATACCATTTTAAAACATTTTTTAAAACAGTATATTTTTACATATATTAAATGTTTCAGGTTGAAAAACAAAGAACAAAAGTAGCAGATACAAAACCGTTAGACTATATCTTTACAAATACTGGTAGGACTATTTCAGATGAAGAAATTTTATCTCGAATTGTCTTTCATATACAACTACGGAAAAGTGCTGAAAAAGCACTGAAAATATATTTTAGGGTAGAAGGGTATATCTACCCCGTTTTCTACCCTCATTTCTACCCGTTTGAATTTTCATGAATTTCCTTAAGACAGCAAAAAAGTTAGTTAAAATGAGATGTTTACTGAACTGGTTGGATGTCGCCTTCACAGGTTATGTAGAACGGCTGACCAGAGAAGTGGAACAGTGCTCTGAGAATTTGTATAATTCGTGGAATTGGACTCTCTCTGTTTGGAAGTTGTATCCATGGGCGCTTTGCAAAGAACTTGAGAAGAGCTTCTTTCTTCATCTCCTTTATGTCGTCTACAGGAGTGTTTTCTGGTATTTGAATTGGAATTCCAGTCGAAATCTCGATTTTCAGCGCACCTCTTCCAGACAACCAGACGCCGAGGGACTTGTTGGCTTTGTCCTTGCCCAAATACTGCTTAACAACTTCATTTATCTCTATAAGGTAAATTGCCTCATCTAATGGCTCGATGCTGTCCATTGTTCTGTTTCAGAACTAGTCTTGTTCTGTTTCAGAACTAGTCTTGTACTTTTTCAGAACTAGTCTTGTACTTTTTCAGAACTAGTCTTGTACTTTTTCAGAACAAATTTCCCGTAAAAGCTCTCATTTGAGAGAAAAATTTTCTGTTTCAGAACAATATTTGTACTGTTTCAGAACAATATTTGTACTGTTTCAGAACAATATTTGTACTGTTTCAGAACAATATTTGTACTGTTTCAGAACAATATTTGTACTGTTTCAGAACAATATTTGTACTGTTTCAGAACAATATTTGTACTGTTTCAGAACAATATTTGTACTGTTTCAAGACAATGTCCGACGTACCACCAAAAATATATTTTTAGGGTAAAGGGTATATCTACCCTCATTTTCTACCTCATTTCTACCCTCGTAGAAAACACACAAAACTCTTGAACTTTGTATAAAAAAAGCAACCCGCGGAAAACAGCGGGTTGGTATATTCTTCACAAAATGCTTGTTTTTGAGGTCGAGCCATTTTTGGCTCCACCGTATTTTTAAACCAAACTCGTTCATTTTGTGCTGAAATAAAATAAAGGTAGTCCCACCAAAAAATATTTTTATTTTTATTGTAAGAACATGTTTGCAACAACAGCACCAAACTCGTTAGTCATGAACCCAACTTCAATGTTAGTAGAGATGAAAAGCTTCATTCCTTCTTCATATACTTTCGAAACAGAAATCCAGAAGATAAAGCAAGAACTTCTCCAAGGAGATTTAGACTGTAGTGCAAAAGATGAAACAAATGAACAGTATCTTTATGAAATGCAAGATATTATAGACCATTTGCCTAAACTTCCTGAAATACAACAACAAAAACTCACTATTCCAGAATTCGATGAAATTGAAGTCAGACTGACTGACTCAGTAGAAATAAAGAAGTTCATACGAAAGGTAAACTATGAGTTTCTTGGATTTCATTGCAACCACAAAGTCATTGACATATATAAATCTGAAGAATTTAAGACCTACGACAACTTTGTTTCGTTAGTTGCTGAGTGTGTATGCAGATAAGAGATAAAGATAGAAGAGGTAAGGTATGGAACCAACAGATAAAACCAGCAACTTTGAGTTAAAGAAAACCATCTACGCCTTAGTCATACTAGCAGGACAAATTTCAGAATATAACGCAAAAATGAACTCACAATGTTCTAAATGTAAAGCAGCAATGAGGAAATATAACTACTCCGTCAAAGAGATAGAAAGAATGAGAAAAGACCATACTGACTTAAAGAAAGAAGTAGAGAAACCAGCAGAAGATAAAATGGACATGTTGACATTTCTGAACAAAAACTATCCAACTGCTAACGATTTCCTTCTTTCAGATGTCAAGAAGAAATATAAAGAAACCTTCGGCATAGTTAAAATTTTTGATATCCTTCGTGAAGAAATAGAAGCTACAAAACTGTTTAAAGTCATGAACCATCACAACATATACCATGTAAAACGCTTGTAAAACTTTATGGTAGAAATGAGGGTAGAAAACGGGGTAGATATACCTTCTACCCTAAAATATATTTTTGCTGAATTCAGCACAAAATTCTGAGTAAAATGACATATGGAACACATACTTTTTCAGTAAGGACATATGGGGTAGAAATGAGGGTAGAAAACGGGGTAGATATACCCTTCTACCCTAAAATATATTTTTGTCTGATTTACGCTCATTACGAAGAAGTCTTGACAAAACATTTACGAAGAGTATATTTCCTGTGTTGTTGTCAAAATGTCATGTTGTCACACTTTTTCAGAGAAGTTCATTTACCGAGTGACCTGGTCGCCTAAATATATTTTATTGAATTGAGTAAAATGACCAAATTTCATGAATTTCCTTAAGATAGAAAAATAAAATTAACGCTAGTTTTTTTTAAAATATTTTTTTTATTTTGTATGTAAGAACAGGAAATGACAAACACTGAGTTTGAAACAGTTAAAAAGATAGACAATGACACCAAAGTGGTTAGAATTGGTGATTTAAACGTAAGAACTCAAAGAAATACAACAAATATTCTTTGTCAGACATTCTACACTATCTGAAAAGAAAACATCCCGACTGGGTTAAAATGCTTCTACTCAGAAAATTTTGACAAAAAATCCTGAGCTTATGATATCGGTAAGATTCTATGGAACTACAGCATATCTTATAGACAAAAGTCTTATACCAATAGTTTTGTTATGGTTAGACCCAGTTGTTGGATATAATTCATAACATATGGTTCATTCGATACTGAACGTTGCAGTGAAGGCTTACTTTATATCGTTCAGAACCAAAGGACTTCAATACAAAGAGATATAAGATAGGAAGAACTATAATATAACTAAAAGATATGACAGTACAGTCAATAGAGTTAAGGTTGTGTTCGTTAACGATATGAGAGCTGCAGAAACAGAACTACTTGAAAAGTTTGAGAAAATGTATGGTGCTCCCACGAAAGGTAAAGAAACGTTTGAAGTAGATGAGATAGTAAGCTATAAAATTATTTGACGAAGTTGCTGAAAATACATGTAAAGCGTTTATTTTTGTCTTTTATACAAGATAGAAAAAATAAAGTTAGTTTTATTTTTTTTTATTTTTTTATTTTGTATGTAAAGACAGATATGTCAAAACAGAGAACACAACAACAGTTATAGTCCATGAAGCTATAAATGAAGAATATGAGTACATACAGTATAACAACAGTTACGTCTCATTCGTTCGTCAAAGATGACATGTACCAAATGCAAAGTATTTTGACAGCATGTTTTGCTCCAGATACTAAGCTTCCTAAAGACTGGTTTAGGAACCAAAGCACTATTGAACTATTAAATGAAGCACAGCGAGACATACTTTTTTCTGAAAATCGTGAAGAACAGCGAGTGGGAGAAAAAACCCCAGGCCAAAACTCTATGAAAAATCGTGAAAAATTGCGAGTGGGAGAAAAAACCCCAGTCGCCAAAACTCTATGAAAATCGTGAAAATTTGCCAAATGGTTTGAGAGGTTGGTATGTACATAGACTTCTTGTAAATGCTGTTGCAATGTGGGCTTCACCTCGTTACGCTTGGTATATTTACAGACTTCTTGACGAACTTCATAGACAAGAACGTGAAGAGATGGAAAACAAGCTTGAAGCAAAAGACAAAAACATTCAGAAAAGAATACCACGTTCGGTACCAAAAGGAAAGGAAAAGAACTATAAGTATATGATTTATACTGAAGATATGGAGAAAGAAGAAGACAGTGACATGGTTATGTTGCATTTAGTCAGAAGAAACAACAAAAGCTTTTACGACCTTGCTAAGATTTACAAATCTGACAGAAATTGGTTCTATCGCGAAAACTTACCGATTTCAATGACACCGAATGAAGATGTTAAACAGATAGTTCAAGATACTTTACCTCAAACACACTATGATATTAAAGGTTGTACAATACTTACATTCAAAGAAGATTTGCCGCTACTGAAAGAAAAAATAACAGAGTATTTTGACAACTTCAAACAAGTAGAGTAGATGAACCATTTATTTTTGGTCTTGACTTCAGATGGCTCAGGTAGCTCTATAAAGTAAATTGCCTTGTCAAATCCTTCTGGCATTCCGAGTCCTTCCATCCGACAGGAAAAGTTCTTCCTTCCAACAGGAAAAAAATTTCCCGACAACTGGAAGAACTCTTCCTTCCAACTGGAAAAATTTTTCTTGTTGTTCGTCCGTAAACCATTCAAATTTTCGAAAATTGAGAACTTTTTGGTCGAACTTCAGAAAAAGTTTTTCCTTCCGACAGAAAAATATTTTCCCGACAACTGGAAGAACTCTTGCATCCGACAGGAAGAACTCTTCCCGACAACAGGAAGAACTCTTCCATCCGACAGGAAGAACTCTTCCATCCGACAGACTTACTAAGACTAAAACACTTACATTTTTACGCTTGACTTTTTACAATTTGAACTTTGTTCGCGTAGATGTGAATTCTGAAAGAAGTATGAGGGTCTTGTATGACTTTGTACTTCTCCCATAGTTCATGTCTGTCAAACTTACCTGCCATGGACTCTTTCATAAGTTCCATGAAATCGTCTTCGGACAATCCAGGGAAAAGTATGATATCAGTAAGTATTCTTTTAACATCCTTACTTAAACTCTTTGCTGTCTGTACACAAATGACAACTGAAATGTTAAAGTGTCTGAGCTTCTTGAGAATTCGACACATGTCTTGTTCTCTGTTCTTTAAAAAGGATGAAAGCAAAGTCATCTAAGATAAGAAGACATCTAATGAGGGTATGTCTTCCAATGTAAGATTGCAATTTCTTCGAAATGTATTCTATCTCTTTCTGTTGTTTCTGAAGTGTTTCTTCTCTAATATCTCTGCATTTCCTCATTTGGGTCTTTAAACTTAGAATTTATATACTCATTTATAGCATTGTACTTCAAAACTCTTCTTTGGTACTTCTTATCCAATCTAACAACTCAGAGTCTTTATACATACTAACTTAGACTTCTTTATAATATCTTTGAACGAATTGACGGTTTGGTCAAATTGACCCGAAGTACTACAAATGACAACTAACTCATAGAATGGGTTCTTCTCATCTAGTTCTTGTTGTTGTGCAGCCATTTAAGATAAGTGAAGTCTTACCCGACCCAGGTGGTGCATTAGACCTGTTATACCATTCTGAGCAAATAAGAACTTCATGTATGGTTTTATCTGAGCATTTTCCACTTCCTCTTGTCTTCTTTCAAAACATTCTCAAATTTCTTGTCAATGTCAGCAAACTTTTTTTCTAACATATTTTTTAGAAAAATTAAAATTTTTATCTTTTTGAAAATGTCTAGCGATTTCGCTATCTATATTCGAGACAAGCTTTTTTGACAGCAAAACATCTGTCGACCATAAAATCTTCAATAGTGTAAAAAGAAAGGTGAATTTGTTCTAAAGTTCTGTTTCTGGGAATATGACAAGAACCATAAAACATTACAAAGAGCAGTCTTAAAATTTGTCAATGACAGACTTGTTGACAGAGATGACACCGATTGGAAAGATGAAGTCCAACAAAAGTTCTTAGAATGCAAGAAGGCACATGCGCTGTTCTTGAAGATGAAATAGAAAACAGAATAGAAGAGCTATTAAAGACAAAGACCTTTTACAAAATATGGTTCTGAGAAGTTTGACATAACTCCACCAGAGAAGAAGAAGAAGAAGAGAGAAAAGAAAGAAAAGAAAGTAGAAGAAGAGAAAAAGAACCTGAACCAGTTCCAGAGAAAAAAAATTTGACATGTAAAAATAAAATTTTATTTTTAGAACATTTCTGGGTCAATGTCAATGTTCTCTTCCTCTTTAGGAGCAAACACTGGCTAAGACTCTAAAACTTTTTACCCAATTTACCTTGAACTTCAACTATCTTAGACTCATAATATTCATAGTCGTCTGCTTTCTTTGGTTCATAAGGTATAACAAGTTTGTATGCTTTGCCTTCTTTAAGGTTTGAAACCTTCTGTCAAAATTTTCCTTGACTGTTAACAAACCTTCTATGTCTAAGTCTTCAAATTTCGCACATTTTTAGTCACAATAGCAAACTTAACTGGTTCGATGTTCCAAACTTTTGTCAAATGTAGACTTTTCAAAATGGTAGAAGTAAACATTCAAATAAGCGAATGGGTCTAGTTCTTCTTTAAGTCCTGACATGTACTTGTTGACTGAGATGAATTTCGTCATCTTTTCTATCGGATAAAAAAATATTTTTTTAAATTTACTCAGAAAAATTTTTCTTTGTATATACACCGTTCTGAACATCTAAAGATTTTTGACATTTGCCAAGAATGTTCGTTTAGATGCTGTCATATAACCATACTCTTGACAATATTGTTTATACGAGTCGTACAAAGACCTTTCATCTAAACACTCAAAGTTAGTCTCATCTATAAACAGTTCATATACACTCTTGTTTGCTTCTAACAATGTTTGTCTTTCTTCGGTATGTGGAATTTGTCTTGGATTGAACTTAGAAATATCTAATGTCATGAAATATGAGAACAAGTGGTTGTAAAAGTTAGTGTCAAAGTTTCTGCTAAGTCGTCAAAATATTCTGTATCTTGCATATGAGAATCTGACGTTCTGACAACTACATATCTTCTGTCAGAACTTTCTAACTTCATCGGAACGGCATTGTTTGAAACCATGATGAAATTTGCAACATTTTCACAAACTCTTTGGTCTTTATATTTTCTTTCAACAACTCCAACTTTGTTCTGTTATAAGACTCTTCAAAGCATCTGAGTTTAAAACCTTTGTTGTATCTATACTTTGAAGTTCGTTACATACTATAAGTTTCATATTCTCTATTGAAGAGTTAAATTTACCGCAGATTTTCTAAGTTTGTCATATTAGGGTTCGAATAGCCCTCTAACAGTTTGCACAAAATATCTGTAAAGAAAGTGTTCTTACCAGTTCCTTGTTTTCCAATTATGATGAGAGCAGTTTCATTTTTAGCACTTGGATGTTGTAAGATGTTTGCAAACCAACATAAGATATACTCATAGACTCTTTTTTCCATTGCATATAATTTCTTTGACATGGTCTAACCAAGCTTCTATAACATTTTCTTCCATTCTACTTTTCGTATTTATATCCAGTGAAGATAGAATAGAAGTTTGGAGATGGTGTATAGAACTTTATACCTCGAACTGAAAAATCTTCTAACTTTGACAATAAGATATCCCAAGCATCTAACATCTTCATGCCAACTTGTACGACTTTTATTTCTTAAGTTTTTGTCTACATTCTTGTTCTGAAACTATTGTCGCTCTTGGTTTGTTAAAGACAACATCCCATTCTTTCATGACATAACATTCTGGGGCAGAGTCAACATAAATGACTAAACGTTTCAAATTCTCGACTGCTTTGTTATAGTCTCTAAATGGACACATATTTCTGAAGGCTTGGAAGTCATAAAAATCTGAAACGTCTATTCTGTACATTTTTATAAAAAAAAAAAAAATTATTTTTTATTCTTGACTTTGTTGTTGCATTTGTTCCATTTGTGTTCTTGAGCTATTTGTTGTTGAAGTTGTTCTTTATACAATACTTTCACCAGTTGCATCTTCCAATTCGAAACTTTCTGCCGTCATTGACAAATACATAGGACATAAAAGTTTTACAGGAACAAAGTTTGCGTCAACTAAGGTTAAGTTTATGTTTGCTAAAGTGTTTGAGTTTACTAAAGCTGAAAAACTCTGCATTCGAATGAACAATAGGCAAACAGCAGAGAAAGTGTTGTTTATACGCATGAGTATCTTTTGGTCATAGTAGTTTCTGTCGACATTCGAATAGCACTTTGAACCTAAGTTTGAAACAATATATAAAATAGGTGTACTTAAAGTCAATGGAACAGATAGACCTTGTATGACACCTTTTCCTGTTATAGGAAACTGTTGGTAGTAAAAACCAGATATAAGTTTTGTATTATAGCTCATATTGTTTATAGTAAACTCAGTCGGACATCCAAACATAATGAAACCTGCTCTAGTTGCAGCACATGTTACATCCGTCCTTAAAGTATTAAATAAGTCAACAAAACCTGTTGGTGGTATATCTGAGTAAGTATCTTCAAAGAAGTATTTTTTACCATTCACAACAACAAAGTCTTCTGGTGTCAAAAGAGCAAAACAGGCTTTAGTCGTCATCGTGTTTAAGGTCAGTTTACAATATCGTCCTTGAGGACTTTGTAAGTTTGTTGTTATAGAATTATATGACTCAGGGTTTTTAGTCGTAATAGTAAAAACCACTATGTCTTCTGCCATTTACATATATTTAAAAGTTTTTCTGAAAGTGAGAAGAACTTCATCTAAACTTTCACATGGCGTTTCTTGAAGTTCTCTGTCTAAGAAGTTCAAATATTTTGTAAAGACATAGAACTTTCCTTTGTCTACACGAACAAACAAAACAGGTCTTTCATATCGTTCAAAAGTGTGTAAAGTCCTTTACATGAAATAAAGTCTATATTTGTTTTTCTTCAAACATCTTTCAAGAAGTTTTGACATTTACTTAGCAAACAAACTTTAATGAAATGTTGTGGTCGTCAAATATTTTTATGACGTCTGGGAAACTATATTTTAAGTTCAACGTTTCACCTCCTTTCATAACGTATATCTTGTCAATGACATTATATGAAACACCACAGCAAGCAATGTCGGGTTCTATTTCTTTGATGTTTATATCGTCTGCCTCTGTCAAAAGTTTCAATAGTTCTTTCAAAATTTCATGAGCAGATGCAATGAATATGAGTTCACTTTTACAGGGTGTGTTCGACCAAGTTTAACATTATACCCAAAGCTTGACAAATCTTCTCCTGAGTTTTAAGTTTGTCTTTAAGTTGTTGGTAGTCGTTTCGAATATCTGCAACAGAACTTAAGTCTCTGCTAACTTCAGGATATGTTGGTTGTTCTTTTACAGGAACTATTGTTATACCATCTTCGTCTTCGTATGTTTCCCACTTCAACATCTCTTTCTTTGACATTGACAACAACACTTTGACTGTTTGTTTGAGTTGGTGAATTAACTTCACATCTGCCACCGCCATTAAACCTTTTGAAACACTTACGCTTCTATTTTTCGGAAATGACATTTTACTTAGAATAAAAAGATGGACGATTATGAGTATCTCTTCGAATTGAAGCAGAACAAAGTTTACACACACAAACAATACAAGTTCATTGACAGATAGTTCTTTACACAAACAATGGAAAATGTTATAGAATAGCAGTCTTTGCTGAACCAAATATTTTCATAAAGCAAAGAAAGTTGGTATAACGAGATGTGAAAGTTCTTGAGCAGACAAAAATATAACAACAAAACTGACCGATATTTCTAAAGGTTAAGTTTTAATACAATTTATGTCAAAACTGGCGTACTTTCAATATTTGACGGAGAGAAGTCAGTTCAAGAACAACTTACTGACCTGCTGCCAAAATCTGCTCGATGGAAGCTGTCGTTATGCCAATCTGAGGAGCCCCAGCAGGTTTCATCGAACGAATCTTCAAAAGAGCATCTTCCGTGAAAAGTGCTATTGGTTTTGTAAACTTCTTTGCTTTCAGTTCATCTGGACCGTCTCTGTCACCAGTATATTGTATTTGAACTGTACCAACAGTTGAAATACCACCATAAAGTCTTCTGAGTCAGCAAATGGAATGCCAAGCCAAAAGTTTGAACGGTCTCCATTTGTTATATTGAGTTTTTTGAGCTCCTGTATGAGTCCATACTTTCACATATGGCATAATAGAACTTTGCATTTCAGGGTTAATGGTTGTTGTGAAGTTTTGTTAAAGTTTCATAGCATCTAATGTCAAGTTATGACCTCATATCCTCAACTGTAGAATATTCTTCTCTTGGATAATATTTGCCATCTATGTTTATATGTATTTAATACCAGGGTGTAGAAGCAAGAATAGTCATTTATAGTTCGTCTGAACAGTACAAACATAGTATCTGCATGTTTCATTGCAGTTGTTAAAGCAATATCTGTTCTTGCACCTGGGTCAGCACTTTGGTTTCCAACTTCACCTGCAAAGTCTTTGACATATATTTGGTGTATAGGGAACATAAGTGGAACTGCAATATATTTGGCAGCTAAAGCATTTGAAATATCTGGGTCCAACATATAGACTGCAAGTCTGCTTTCTATTCTCTTGCATTCAATTTTTCGCATGTGAACTTAACTGGGTCCCAAGCAGTTCCAGCAGCATTGAAATAATAGTTTACTTCATTGTTGAGTTTGAGAAACCAAAGTCTAAGTCAACTTTGTCTTTGCAAAAGTCGGCGAATGACGTTTTATTTGTTCCCATTACGTCTGTAAGAGTGAATGGGTCTTGTGTTGGTGCAATGACTAAGTTATTTTTGCTTGGAGTAAGTTCGATAGAATTTTTCCTGCCCAGTTTGGCAAGTATCTTAAAAACCTTGAAGATGAGGAAAGATGACAAAGGAACTCTAAGTTTCAATTTTACTTTGGTTACTGCTGCTGCATTTGTCCAGAAAGGTCAACATAAACTCCTGGAACGTTAGGGTCAAGTCTTCTTATTTTCTCAATAGTTGCCATACTGGTCTGTTTGTTCTCTAGCTTGTGGTTGTACTGAGTTTCTCAAAGCGAACCATTCATAGTTTGCCCATGTTACTGTTTGAACTAAGTCAGAGTTAGAATATATCTTATATCCCATGAAAACTTCTGGAGCATATTGGTATCCGACATAGAAAATTCCATTGCAACCTTTCTTGTCAGACAACTTGGCAGAAGGTTTTATTTCAATGTCTTGTTCACGTATAAGAAAAGTTGTCAATAGAAATTATATGAAACCTGTCGCAAGCAATATCTACTGTTGTTGAAGAACCTTCTCCAAACTCACCTACGTTTCCATAAGAAACAGCAGTTGTATATTCGTAAGTTCCAGGAACTATTTCTGACCTTCTAATGGCATTGTCGCATTCGTTATACCTTCGGAAACATTTCCATTCATGGCATCCAAAACTGTTGGCGTTATATTCTGAGCGGCGTACATTTCATATGATGGTAAAAATATAGAATAGTTGGTTTATTGTCATAATAGAACCCACGTGGACCAAGCTTTACTTCTCCTGACTGAGTTTTTAACTCTTCTTTTTCCTTCATTTGCCCTCTGCTTGAAGTTGTTGCATCTTTGCATTATGTTCATCTAGTATGTTGCAAATTTCCCATGTCCTTTTTGCCTTTTGGCTCTGGTCGCCCATCTCAGGTAACCTATATCCTAGAAAGAGTTTGTCATAGTCTGTATTTGAGTCTTCGCGTATGTTTGCATGACTCTTTCCTGAGTTTCTGGTTCAAGCTCTTCAAACAGTGCCTGTCCATATGGAATAAGCTCGTTTCCAAATATATGTTTTTGTAGCCATTCTGGTTTTCTTTCCATGTTACCAACTATATCTTTTGTGAATGGGAAAGCTTTTACCCAATCTTTCAGTCTTGCGTCGTTTATTTCTGTAGTTGGTTTTATTTTGTCAAGGAACATGTTTTCAATACTAACATTTCATTTGGTACTGTCCATTTGAGTTTCTTAAATATTCATCCCTTCTCGGTTCATTGTCTGCAAAGTAAGTTTTTATGACATTTTGTAAACTTTCGTTGCAAGGTCATGTACAATAGGTTCTCTTCCTTCGCTCTCCTAACTTTCTTTCTAAACTCTTCACCAAATATACCATCTTTATGGTTCTGTGTAGTTCTTGAGATAAATGTTTTAGAACGTCAGGTGTTATATTTCCATCAGCCATGTTCATTTCATACTGGTCCAAAATATCTGCATCTTTCATATCTTTCAATGGCATTAAAAGCCGCGCTGAAAATTACCAGCTATATCTGGTTCACCATTGACTTCCATTGCGTCTACAACTTCTTGGAATTGAGGTTGTAAGTTTATGAACCACCTATCCGGGATTAGCTTTATGACCCCATCTCATTGTAGTTCCATCGTCTGCAGAAACAAAAGTAGTTTGTTTCCATCTTGGTTAGGTCTGAATGAACTTTAAACAATGTTTCATTTCTATATGTTTTCTTGAAATTTAACCTTTTATTTTCACCGAGTTCATCCGAAGATTGAACGTTAAATGCTCGTAAGTAAAAAGGTTGTTGTATTTGTGTACATTTTCTTTCAGTACTTCCATTCTATGCTGAAATTTTCATCTGGTGTTGGAGTTTTTGTATGTCGGCAAAACATTTTCGATATTCTTCTACTATGTCAGCCGAATTTTTTTTAGACTCTTGGAAAGATTCCATATTCTCCGCATACTCTTGTTGAGGGTCAAGATTTTTCGGCTGTTCCAAATCTTCATCTAGTTCTGTGAGTTAGTTTCCAAAGGATTGACTTGTTCGTTTCCTTCAGGCTCTTCTAGCTTGTTGCTGAACTATTTCTTCCATGTCTGGTTGTATCTGAACTTCTTTCCTGTTGAGTTCTTGTACCTCATCTGCTGGCATTTTCATATATTCCGAGACCGTTTTTCAACAATTTCCCTATCTACGTCATCCGCATTCATAAGCTTTTGTTCTTTCGTTCCGTCTCTATTTTTTACGCGTTTCATGACGAAAGTTGAATTGTCATTTAGCTCTGACATCAAATATCTCGGAGTAAATTCATCCATGTCATTTGGATGATATGCTATTAAATCATATCCCTTAGCGAGCTTGTATTTTCCAGGTTTGAGATTATATCCGTTTGGTGCTGAGCCATAAAGCTAAATAGGTTCGGGTCAGTTTTCCATCCTTGAACTTTCAATAGCTTCTTTATATCTGTCACTAAAGTCAACGTATCTGGGAAACCACACTCTTCTTTAAGCATTTTTAAGAATTCTTGGTTTCCTTGTTCTCTACTTCTTTTATGTCCTTGCTCTGTTTGTGGAGGTGTTGTGCAGGGTTTTGAACTGGTTGTGTTGCTGGTTGTGGATGGTGGTTGTTGTGCAGGGTTTTGAACTGTTGGTTGTTGTGCATGCCTGTGTCTGTGTCCATGTGACGATGTAAATGTTTTAGGTAGTCCTGGTGCAGGTGCTTCTCTTGGAGGGTTTGGTGGTATATAAGTTCCACCAGCTGGCACATATGTTCCATCTGCAGCGTAATGTCCTACCTGACTTTTCGTTCTTAAGAAAGCATTTACTAGGTCTGTTTTGGTCTGTTGTAACTCTTTTTCTTGACTTTTCACAACAGTTGCTCTAACGGCGTCATAGGCACTTTGAACTGCCTGTCTCGTTGCTGCATCTGTTATTTTCGTCATATTTTGTGCTACTTCTTTTAACTCTTTGTCGAAACCTTCAGACTTCAGTTTCTTTCCAGATGAGAAGTCGTTCATTGTTTCACCTTACTATGAAGAGCTTCGAAGGCGTTCTTAAAGTCAGCATTTGTTAAAGCTTCATTTGAACTGTCTTCATCCGCTTGTATTTTTGTCCTTATTGACCCTATAAGTTGGGCTGCTTTAGCGTTGGCTTGGGCATCTAACCAGTCATTATTAGCTTTTATATATTCTGCGCTTTTCATTGCCTTTTGCATAGCCGCGTCGTTTTTTTACTTTCTTGTGCTAAGTTTTCATACTGTACGGTTTGGTTTTGCAACTGTAAAAGTTTTTCTGCCTTTACATTTGCTTCAACTTCTTTTTTATACTCATCGCTATCCATATATGTCTTCAGGGCTTTTTGTTTTATTTCTTCATCTTTCAGTACTTTATATTGAGTAGTATGGTTTTTCAAATTTACAACATCTTGTTCCATTTTTGCTACTTCTGCTGCTTTTTCTGACACTTTTTTCGCATATTCCTCTGTACTTAGTTCTTTCAGTTGTTCTTCTTTCTTCTTTTTCTCTACGTTTAACTCATTGAGTTTCTTTGTGTGTGTCTGTCATATTCTAGTTTCTTTTCGTTTTCACTTATTTGCTTCTGTATGTCTATGTTTGACTTTTTGACATCTGATATTTGATTTTTGAGTGAACTCAAATTCATTTGACTTTGAGGGTTATAGGCTGTTCCGTCTGCAGCTCCACCATAGCCTGCCATTTTCGCTAAAAGTGCCGCTCTTAAACCTCCACTCTGTGCACCAATAACTCGGTTTAAAAGCATAGGATTGCTTGACATTTGTTGCAACATAGTGGGGTCATTCAGCATTTGTTGTTGCAACTGTTTTGTGGTGTCAGTTTTACTATTGGATGTTTCAATGCTCTCTTCCTCTTACGTATATTCTTACGTAGCTTACGTGGCATTTTAAGTGAAGTTAAAAAGCGGTTTTTGACAGATGTTTATATGACACTTTTTGTTCAGCACAAAAACTACTCGGTCAACGTGTTGTCAGTTTGGTCATTTACACTCATTACGAAGAAGTCTTGACAAAACATTTTACGAAGAAGTCTTGACAAAACATTTACGAAGAAATCTTGACAAAACATTTACGAAGAAGTCTTGACAAAACATTTACGAAGAAATCTTGACAAACATTTACGAAGAAGTCTTGACAAAACATTTACGAAGAAGAAGTCTTGACAAAACATTTACGAAGAAGAAGTCTTGACAAAACATTTACGATGAAATCATGACAAAACATGAAAACATATATAATTTGTGAAAAGCTCCTGGAAGACCCGTATATATAAGAACTTCATTTATGTGGGCTAGAGGGCGCAACGCGCCTGGAAGCTCACCCCAAGAAAAAAAAACTTCATTATATCAATCATCCTCAGGGCTAGAAGGCACGAAGTGCCTGGAAGCCCCACTCCTTTTTTTTTTTTTTTTTTTTTTTTTTGAATTTTGTTATAATTCTCCAGATTATATTTTAGAACATTTCGAAGAATTTTTAGAGGATTTCAAAGAAAAGAATAATTTAATAGACTAAAAAATTTATTATTTTTATTTATTGTGAATTTTAAATTGTCACTTTTTAAGTGTTACTCCCTATTGAAAGTGTCACTTTTTGGGTGTCACTTTTTCGGAAATTCTTATATACTCACATTTGGATACAGTGTTAACCAGGACAAAAGTAAAATATTACAGAATGTTCAAGTTAATGTAAATTCACGTGATACAGAACCGAAACCAAAACCTTCAGAATTTAGTACAAGAGAAATTGTAACAGAAGCTACACCATCCGATGATGGAATTCAAGTTGTTTATGGACCACCGAAAGTCTATGAACCAGTTGATACTGATGATAAAATTACAACAGAACTTATGCATATTTATCGTGACATCTTCAGGATTTTCCTTATTAAAAGTAAATTTTTCATTTAAGTTAGTTTTATCAGGAAATATCTGAAGGCTTATTACATTATTCGTTGCATCATCAAGTTCAACTTTTAAACTATAATCATTTTCATCAAATAAACTTATCTCACCAGTTTCTTCAGAAACTTTCTTTGTTTTGATTTTTTCTTGTCCTGTTTCATTGTTTTTTTCAAAAAACTTTCTCTCGATTTCAGACTTTAATTTTCGAGTTATCATTTTACTATTCAAGTCTTCACCATCAACAGTTTAGAAATTTAAATCTAAGAATTCAATTGGATTATTGATCGGAATAACTAATTGTTGATTAACAAGATTTTCAGAATTTGCAAAACAGACAAAGTTATCATTTCTATTTTCCATCATATTTGAGTAGAAAACAATCTGATTTTGTGGTGTATCATATTCTTGATTTTCAGTCAGAAGTTCAGTTTCATTATTCAAAATAAATCTATTTTTTCGTTCAAAAAATTTAACATCTAATACTCTGATTTGCTTATATTTTGCTGAAATAAATTCAGGTGGTAACTTAGCACGCGTTTTATTCATAATTGGAAAATAAATACTTTGCATTCTTTAAATACTAATTAAAAACATAGAAATTTTAAAGAAACTCTGATAAATTTTCCCACTCTTTAATTATATCATTCATTTTAATAATTTGGTCATCTAAATTATCCCATTCAAGTTCAAGAAGTAAATAAAATCCTTTTTCTGGAAGACCTTCTGGAACAGGTTGTGGAAATTTTTTATAATTTTTTTCCCCTTCATGTTCTTTATCTATTTCTTTAGCTTCATCATACAAATATCTTAAAACGTAATGTGGTTCATCAGAGAAATTTGGTAAAATTGCTTTATTTTTATCTGTTTCTTTTGCAAAATATTGATCCAAATTAAAACCATATGAAATCCAACTCTTATATTTCAATAATTCATCTTCTAAGGAATACAAGTTCATTATTGCTTTTCCAAATATTGTTGTATCAGATATTTTAAAGACATGGTTTGTCTTTTTATCAAGTATGTAAAGAAAAGTAACATCACGTGGTTTTCTAAAACTCTCAATTGATTTTGAGATCACAATAATATCATACGTGTGCCAATATCCACATGGTGGAAAACTGATTTCATATTCAAGGGTAGCGTTAACAAAATTTGCTGGAACGACATTAGGATCAAAAAATGATGTGAAATTTAAGTTTTTAATAGCAACTGCTCCATATCCAATTGTGGGATAGTATCCAGTTTCATTGAGTTCATTCTTTTTAAAATTCTCAAGATTTAATTTAAACTTATTTGATGGGACAAAAGTTGAACCACTCATTCCAACAAAAAATTCATTGTCTGTTGTTAGAATTTGAAGATAACAAGCATAAGGAGCTGTTGATCTTACAAAATTATTTTCTTTGTCAATATCTGGATAAACGGTTGAACCTGGTGGCGGAAATTGTCCATGTTCATAATCTGGTTGAAGATATTCATAAACTTGAAAATCAAGGACTCGAACTGATTGATTTACTCCATGAACAAAATCGAATGGAAGTTTAAAACGTGTTTTATTTAATACAGGAAAGATAAGTTTAGGCATTTTTAATAATAGTTAAAAATATGTTTGTCATAAATATAATTTCAAATAATAAATGTATTTTAAATTTAGATACATCAGGAATTTATCAAATTGAATTACAAGGTCCTGCAGGATTATGGACACCAATTGTTTTAACAGAAGATGATTGGATAGAATATAAAGTTGGTGGTTTATTAAAAAGAATTACATTTAATGATAACACTTCTGTAAAAATTTCTTCGATCTATCGTGAAGAGGGAATTCAAACAACACCTCAAATGAGAAGTGTAATGATTCAAACAGAAATTACATCTAAAGAAATTGATGATAGGTTTGCACTTGATGTACTGAATGGTGATGAATTAAATGAATATATTCAGAAATTGCTAGCTTCAAATGGTGATGAATTTGTTGGAGTTGAAGATGAAGAGGAAGAAGATGAAAACGAACCTGTTGTTACCACAAGAGAATTAACTGATGTTGAAAATAATGATGAAGAAGATGAAGAAGAGGATGATGATATCGTTGTTGTCGGTGGTAATGATAAAGCTGAATCAGGAACACAAACTCCAACTGATGAAGGAACACAAACACAAAATCAACCAAAAGCAGATCAATCAACACAAACATTATCAGCAATTGAAAAGATTGATTATTATTCAAGAAAAAATGGAATTGAAAATTCATATTCATTTGACCCTGAAATACAAGGATATATATTTCCTGAAGCAGTATATAATTGTTCAAATAGAGTTAAACATTTATTAGGTATCATTAACTTTCCAGCTAATCAATCACAAGTTGTTGTTTCTGATCACGGTCCAAGATTTATATTAATTAAATGTGATCAAATTAATACTCCAATGAGATTCTCAAATCAATTAATTCATGTGAAAAATGATAAACAAAAGAAAATAAGGAATTATCCATCAGTTCAAAATATAGCTAGTATTACAATGAATAACTTTGGTGATGCTAATCCTTTTGCATTAAATGGTGCAAGATTTATTGCATCTGCAAATGAATTTTGTGATTTAGAATTTAAAATAACTGACATATATGGTGAAGATCTTCAATTTAAATCAGAATTACTTTGGACATTTCAACTACAAAGAGTTTCGGATGAACATATAATTGAAGATTTTAATTCAAATGAAAATAATGTTGGAGAATCTGTTGAAGAACAGCAGCAACAAGTTGAAGATTGTGAACAATCAGCTATGGGTTGATTTTTCAAATTATTCATATAATGCTAAAACAGCAGAATATACACAAAGATTAAAATATGGAGATTTAGAAATAGTTTTGAAGAATGGTAAATTTGATTTTGTTTCTAAAAATGGTGCAGTCATTTCTAACATCAGAGAAATTTTATTCATGAATTCAAAATTAAAAGGTATCACAGATGATATATCAAAAATTGACCCAGCCGAGCAAAGATATTATGCTTTAAATGCATTTCCAAAATTAATTAAACTCGGTAAATTTGATTTAAATGAAAAGTTTATTCAAGACTTTTTAGACAATATTGATCTCAAAGCTGATAAAACTTTTGTTGATAATGAATTAGAAAAGAAAGCTAATAAAGATTGGGTTGAATTAAAGATAAAAAGAACTACTAAAATTCCTTGTTTATATGTTTATGAATTCTTAACTCAAAGAATCTCTTATGTCAGAGAAATTGTTGGTTATTATAAAAATAAAGTACCAGCTCCTGTATCATTCCCTTCAGGTATCAAATTAAAAGGTAAAGATTTAGAAAGTCAAATCAAATCAATGAAAGAAAGAATTAAAACATTAGAAACAAAAGTAGATGAATTGAATCAAACATTATCAAAAGTTTTAGAAAAAAAATTAAATCTTTTTATTTTTATTTAAACACAATGTCAAATGAATTTGATAAAGTTTATGTTGATGAATTATTAACTCAAAGAATTTCATTCGTGAAAGAAATTAATGGAAACTATGCTGACCAAAATAGACCTGAAGATGCTAAACCAGTATATTTTCCATCCAGCATTAAAATTGATGATTTAACAATTCAAAACATTAAAGGTAAGAAAGTTACATATGAAATTAATGGTGAAGATATTATTGAAACATTACCTCCTAACTTTCCTGATGGTCTCCAAGTTAATGGTAAAAATATCATGGAAGAAATAGATACTACAAACACAACTGTTCAAACTAATTATGATGACTTGAATAATAAAATTAATAGTACAAACACAACTGTTCAAAGTAATTATGATGACTTGAATAATAAAATCAATAGTACAAATGGAAATGTAAGTGGTAATTATGATGACTTAAATAATAAAATCAATAGTACAAATGGAAATGTAAGTGGTAATTATGATGACTTAAATAATAAAATCAATCAAACTAACACAACAGTGAAAAGTAATTATGATGAGTTAAATAACAAGATCAATCAAGCAAACTCAAAAAGCACTAATTATTATAATATATTGAACACTAATAAAGCAAATATAACTTATGTCGACCAACAATTAAAGAATAAAATTAATGAAGTCGATTATTATTTCCATCCATCTTTATTCCAGAATGTTGAAAAAATAGATGATGCAGTGTGGTTTTGCGTGATTAAAGATGTTTATCATTTAAAGAAATCTGATCATCAAATGACAACAGATTTTAAAAATTATGAGACAGTTCAAGATCAACTTCATTACAATTCAGAAATTCTCAATATTAATGCAGTGAGCAATTTTCAATATATTGATAATAAAGTTGTTTCATTCGTAAATGTAAAAATATCAAATCAATGGAAAAATTTAATTTGCTACAGTAGAGATTGTATCAATTGGTATCCTTGTACTATTGTAAATGAAACTAATTTATTCACAGAATTAACACTGAGAATTTTTACTGTCGGTACGAAATTAATTATGTTCAAACTACCTTATGGACAAAAAACAAAAGAATATTATGTTAGTCAGGAAGGTGTAATATTTAATAAATATACACTTGGAACGGATATTGATCTTGACATGGATAGTAAATGGTGTTATGCAAATAATCAATATTTTATTTTAAATTCGAATAAGGTTTATTATTCTAATATAATCAATTCAGGATATACAGAAATTCTGCAAACAGAAGGAAATGTTAAAGCAATTGGGTATATACAAAATAATTACGTTGCACTTGCTGGACGACAAGTATCGAGTTATCCAAGAACAAATGCAAGAAAAATATATTCAACGACTAACTTAACTTCAGATTGGAATGTTGTTTATTCATATGAATCTCAACAATCAATTAACATGGAATTTCAAAATATCATTAACATAGATAATTATTTAATTGCTTATGGTTATGGTAATATGATTAATTATAGTATTGATGGAATCAATTGGAAAGAAATTTCATCAAACTTGAATTTGAATATCATAAATCTTGGAATATTTAATAATAAAATGTTATTGATGAGTTTTCAAACAAATTCTACAACTTTATCTTTATATCAAATTAACTTAAATCTTCATGATGGATTAGATTTTACAAATGATCAGTTCACTCAAAAAACTCAAGAAATTAATGAGAAATTTGTCCAAAACACTCAAGAAATTAATGATCAGATCACACAAAAAGCTCAAGAAATTGATGGAAAGATTGAAGGTAACCATGAGTGGACTTTAGCTACATTTCGTATTAAAGCAAATACTGATTGGGTTCAAGGATGTTTAGATTTGAAAGCTGATAGAAAACATATTCATTATGTGAAAAAAGTGTTAAGGGAAGTAAAATCAACTTTATTTGAAAGCAAGTTAATTCAAACAATCGATCAAAAAAGAGATGATAATGTGATTATGATTAGGTATAAACGACCTAATGAAAATGACAAAATTGATGTTAAAGTTGAATATCTCCAAAATGATAATACTAGTACTTATGACTATTTTGAATTTTATGAAGATATCTTTCTTAAATTCCCCATGATAGGAGATGTACAATCAGGTCCGGAATCAATTACATTAATTTATGTTGATGCAACTGATGTGATTGATGTACTAGGAAATAAAGTTGACAAAATACAAACAATGACTTTAAACGTAAACCAAGCAAATCAAATACCTACAACTATAGATCAACTAACTGAACCAACAAATACATCACCAGGTACATTTAGATTAAAACAAAGCAATGCAAATAGTTTGCAATTGAAGATGAAGAATGGAACTGAACAAGTTGTTCATCCATCTGAAGAGTTTGAATTTAATTTGAGTGATATTGCTTCACTTGCTTATACTTATCAACCTCTTAATTTGTTTGATATGATTTATCCTATTGGTTCAATTTATGTATCAATCAATTCAACAAGTCCAGAGAAAATATTTGGTGGTAAATGGCAACAAATTACAGATCGTTTCCTGTATTGTTCAAATTCTGGACTCGAAACTGGTGGTTCAAAAACTATTACTGGTGCAAACTTGCCTTCACACAGTCATTATATTGATTTGAATACTCAAGATTCAGGTTGGCATAATCACTCAGCATATAATAGAGGGTGGAATTCTGTTTCAAATAGAGATTCACCAAACGTTCAAGTAATGTCAAGATCTTATATACGAAAAAAAGAGATCTGACATTGTGTCAGATCTCAGTAAAAGTGACATTTACATGTCAAAAAAATAGAATGAGTTTAAGTAATTAAAATTGAGGGTGAGAGTAGTATTGTATGAAATAATATCTCTCACCCTCCAATTCATCCAAAGGCTAATATTTTCTACATTTCCATAACATTCATTTCAACGGAAACTCATTCAAAATTCTATATATTTAATTTTTCAATCTTATTCAATTTCATATTCAAAATTAATTTGAATTACATTTAAAACATTTATACCTTATTAATAACATAATATCATTTGTTATCAATATACCAATTCGGCTGTTCTAATTTTGAATTCCCATTCATAAATTGATCAATCTATATTGAAACTTATTCAAATTATTTTCTTATTGATAACATTTTATTTTTATTTGTCTTCAACTATTCATTTATTTTATCATTATTTTTCGATTTTTTTAGTTTCAAATTTTTATTATCTTTATTGTTTTTTATTTTTCTAATTTTTAAAAATTTCTGCTTAGAATCTTAATCTCATTTTATTTTTCAATAAAAATTCATGTTTACCAATATTCAATCACTTTTCTCGTTCCCCAAATTTTTATTTTATCTTAATCGTTACTAATTTCTAACACATTCTTTTATAAAAATTATTCTGATCGTAATTTTAATTTCGCCATTGTAGTTATTCACTAATTTTTAGTTCATTGTTGTTTTCTCATTGTCCAATTTTATTTTCTTCACTTTAAAGATTTTTTAAAAAATTTACAATTTGAATTCAACTTTTGTGAAAAATATTTTTTCAATAATATCTTTCAAAATTATTTATATTTTCTATATTTTATTCAATTGTTCACAATTTATTATTTATTCAAAATTCATTCTCTTGGATATTTATACCCAAATAGACTTTCACTGGCTAGAGCAATCTCTAACCAGGTTACACCAACATCAAAAGCTATCGTTGCTATTGACTAATGTTCCACTCAGCGATGGTACATCACGTAATTGCATTAACAAGTTAACTTACTACAAAAGCCTTCTGTGCTTTCGTCTTATTACTATCGAAGAGTTTTACAAGCACTCGTCCAGAGAATTTACAAGTTTATACATATTCCATAATGGAAAATTCTACAATTGCATTGAAGTCTTACCAACAAAAGATGAGATCTTGTTGAATCGATACTTGGAAGAACAAGAAATTACACAGAGTAATGGTTCTACTCCTCTTAATAGCGCACAACAACAGCTCAGACCCAGCAATGGTACATCTCCTCTTAGTAGTGCACAACAACAGCTCAGACCCAGCAATGGTACATCTCCTCTTAGTAGTGCACAACAACAGCTCAGACCCAGCAATGGTACATCTCCTCTTAATAGTACACTGCAACAAAGCAGCAACAGCAATGGTACATCTTCTCTTAGTAGTGAGCATAGCGTTTCTCTTGATCGATTGAACCTAATTTGTTTCTTGCTACTGCTAAATCATTTGTAAACATATTTAGAATGAAATCAACTTGATTTAAGATTGGTTCATCATTTGAAATTAATTGTTCAAAATCTGATTTCTTTCTTGATGCTTCATTGACATCAATATTATTTAATTCATTTTGTAAATATTCTACTAATTTCTGTTGTATTTCAGTTAAATGATTAGTGAGTTCATCAATTTTAGATTGATATGCATCAACATCAATATTAGCACTTTGTTGAACATTTTGTTGTAATTCATTTACTTCTCCGGCTTTTTGTTGTATCCATTGTGTTAATCCATCGAAAATTGTTGCAACTGTTGAATTAATTTTTTCAAAACCATCATTTTGATTTAATTTGTCAGTTATACCAGGTCCAACTTGTGCGTAATAATCTAAAACTTCACTTTCATTACCTTTACCTAATAATGCATTCTTATATTTATCAACTTCTGCTTGTAATTCTTTAACTTTCTTAGAACTCTCATCATTAAGTTTAGATAATTTATCCATTTCTGCTTTAACATTAGGATTAGCGGATGGTTTTGATTGTTGTCGTCCATATCCACCAGTTGTGTCTTTACTTGGTGTTGGATTTCCACCTGATTCATATTTCTTCAATTTTTCTCTTAAATTTACTATTTCTTTATTTGCTTTTCCTAATTGATCTAAGATTCTTTCATTCTCCTCTTTTAATTTAACAACAAACTCGCTTTTTTTGAATCCAGCTGTCAGATGTTTTACATAAATTTTATACAATTCATCTCCGCCTTCTCTTTTTATAGCTTGAAAAGCTTTTACCCATCTCTTATCTTCTTGTTGTGTCATAATTTTTTAATCTTATTTAAATTAATGTTAAAAAATGATAAAAGTGAAATTTTTCAAAAAGAAACTAGGGGGTACCCATATGAATTAGACTTTCCTGAAAATGATGAAATTTTAAAATATCCATTTCAAACTGCATACAAAATCAAGTCTTATAAAGGAGCTCAACATGGAATTGAAACAATTATTCATGATTCAAAATTAACACCATTGAAAAAGAAATTTCAAAGACCAACATTTGCATTCACACCAGATACATGGGAAATGGATCATTTGCATGGTAGACCTGTTAAAAATCATGGTAAAACATTAATGGTTGCATCTTATTTAGTTTTTATTAATGTTAATACTAAATATTTATATTTGTTTCCAGTTCAAACAAAAGAAGCAATTGAAACATTTGATGTTATAAAAAATTTACAGAACTTGAATATGAACATTTTGGTCATAAAGTTAAAATGATTAAATGTGATGGTGATGCTGGTTTTGAAAGTGCAATGCAAATGATAATGATTGAAAAATCAAAATATGAAAATCAAATGGATTATGAACTTGTTCCTGATGAAAATTATAAACCACCAACAAAAAGAAGAGGTCGTCGTAAAAAGAATGAAGGAATGAAACAAATTCTTGTTCATAAAGAAATTCAATATCATCCATTATATGGAGTTGGTTTTCATGCTTCATCATCAAAATTTACTTATCATAATAAAGTTATTGATAGCGTGATGAGAACTTTAAGAAATGCTTTAGGTCCAGAGAGACAAAATTATTGGGATGGTAAACATGATAATTTAATTCAACAATTATGTTATTATTACAATAATACATAGCATAAATCAATAAAGATGACACCTTTAGAAATGCATACTCATAGAGATAAAGAATGGGAATTTATTAGAAGAAAAACAGAAAAGTTAAATGAAGTTAAACAAAGATTATATGAGAATGGTTATTATGGATTTCAACCTGGTGATGAAGTTTTAGTTTATTTAGATACATCAAAGACAAAACAACTATTTAAGAAGAGAAGAAGGAATTTTGATCATTTAGGTTTGTTTCAAAGATATCAAGATGGTAATGCAATTGTCCTCGTTACTTTTAGAAAAGATGATGAAATAAATGATGGAGAAGATGAAATTTTAGAAGGTGATGTTGAAGTTGAAGTTCCTCTCTATTTTGTCAAAAAAATTTAATTTTTTATTTATTTTTAAAAATATGAAACCAATTTGAAAAAGATTGAACAGTTCCAAAAGAAATAAATGAAGATGAGAAGAAAAAGTTGAAATTAAAAAACCTGAAAAGAAATTACAAATCATAAAACCAATTAAAGAATGTACTAATTTTTAAAGTATTGATGAATTTAATGAGTTTTATGAACAAAACAAAGATTTATTTGATGAATTAACAACATGTAAATTAAATAAAATGTTTAAAATAGATGGATTCCGAATAACTAAAATTAAAGGTCAAGTTAGTTTGAAATCTATTCCAGAATCAAGAGTGACAAATACTATGAAAATTGAAGAAATAATTCAACGAATACAAACAATTGAAGAAAGAGTTAATATGATTATTGAAGTAATAAATTCACGATTTAATGTTTAAAATTAAATTTTTTTTAATCTAATTAAATTAAATATGGCTGCGGGTTTCTTTAAGAAAATCTGGAATGGAATCAAGAAAGGTGCAACATGGGCTTGGAATAAGTTATAAACCAGTTGCAACTGCTGTAAAAGATTTCTTACCAGCAATCGGTACTGCAATAGGTGCTAAATTTGGTGGAGGACAAGGTGCTCAAATAGGTGGCACCGCTGGTGAAATTGCTAAGGGTCTGATTGGTGGTAAGAGGCGGTGATAAAAATATTTGATAAAAATATTTGAGAAATTATTTTTGTGCTGGTGAAACAGTTAGTGGAAATTCAGGTATAAAACGTTTTGAATTATTTTTCCATCTTTGACTATTTGCTCCAAAACCACAAGGTTTCCAATTTGCTAATTTCTCACGAAGTGTTTTAAAGAATCCAGCTGCCATATTTATTTCAGATTAAAATTTTTTATTTCTTTGGTTGAGTAGAGATTGACTTGACTCCTGGAATAAATTTATTTTTCACTAGTTCTGCTTTTTCAACTCACTTTGGTATTCCACCTTTGCGACATTGAATCCATTTTTGATTGAATTTCTTAAAGAATCCAGCTGCCATTTATTTCATTTTAAAATTTTTTATTTCTTTGGTTCAATAGGTTTGACAAAGATTGGTGTACCAACTTTTACTATTTTTGGTTTTGTCCAATTTCCTTTGATACTATTATGCCATTTTGGAAAGAATTTCTTAATAAAGAATCCAGCTGCTATTTATTTCATTTTAAAATTTTTATTTCTTTAATATTGGATCAATTCTATTTACATTTTGATATGATTGTTTTTGTTCAATTTTTGGTATTAAATCTCTTACTGTCTGACTTTGCGAATAACCAGACATTTGCTTAGGTGGTCCAAGTCCACACAAGTCATTTGGATTGTATGTTTTTACAATTGGTTTTGAAAAGAAATTTTTAATTGTAGTACCTACTTTTTTCATTCCCTCCCAATTTTTTTGAAGATTCCTGCTGCCATAACTTTTATATTTAATTTAAATAAAAAGTTAATTTTTTTAATCTTTATAAAAATATGTCAGGCGCTTATTTGAGAAATGATGGATATCATCCAGTTGATGGAAATATTTTCGAATCTTTCAAGAAAATGAATGAGATTTTCTCTGCAAATGATGGTCGTCGTTATTATCGTGAATTAGAAAATACTTGCTATGATAGTGATGCTCCATATGATCATGAAAAACAAACACATATGAGATTAACAAAATCTGAACATGATATTAACTGTTTAGGTGAAGCTTATTTCAAACGTCATGTGCAAATTCAAATTCAGTATACTAATGGTTTATTGTCAAGTTGATCCGGCAAGAGTTGCTGATATTCTCAATGTTTGTTATGAAGAATTACATAATAAAGATTACGCGCTTTCACTGTCAACAAAGTTTGACTATACACGCGAATTTGAACAAATAGGACAACCAACAAATCTTATTACTTCAATTACCAAAAAAGATGACACAACCTTAACAGTCAAAACACAGTCATTTAATATACATGTTGTTACAATGAAAATTACAGAGGATAAATTTATCGTTCCAGGATATGGAGTTATTGAATCCACAGCACGAGTCATTCCAACACTATTCAACCGTCGAGATCCATTTATGATTCCAGCACAGCAAATTGATGTTAGAACATTGAACCAGGGATGTGTTACAAATTCCGGAATTGTTTCTGATTTCACATATGCTTTACATAATGTCACAGATATTGTTGCTGTATTCCCTATACGACAAGCTCAGAGAACAGTATTTAGGAATCCTATGGTTAGAAACTTACAAATAACAATTGATGGTCGAAACTTTCCTGATAATGCAATGAGTACTGTTGGAGATATATTCTTCACAAGAATGTTGCAAGCTTCTGACCTTGATGGCGTTAATGAGTGTACTGAAGAATATGAAGATAGTTTAACAAGAGATAGATGTAATGACAAGAAACAGATTAAACCATGGAAAGAGCAAACATCATTCATTTGCACCATTCCTGTTATGAGAGATGGTGGAAGTGTCTTCTTTGACGGTTTAGAAACCAAGAATAATCAAGTTAGTATTAGATTACAAGCAAATCCAATTCATTCTAGCGCTGAAGCAGATGTATATTGCACAAAGAGTCCTGATCCACCTCAGCTATGGTTTACAAGAACTACTTACTGGACTTGGAGTCCTGAAGATGGTTTGAAATACCATGCTACCGGAACTCCTGCAAAATATGCTTCACCAGCTGATAATAACTAAAAAATAGAAAGATAATCAAAAAATTTATTATTTTTATTTTTGTAAATTAATTTGTGAGTTTTGGCGGGATTTTTTTTGAATTTCATGAATGTTGCTTTGGTTTCTTCATAAGGGGGTATGCATTTTGCTTTAGAAAATTCATGATAATTCGGTGAGAAACGGGCTGAAATCGTCGATTTTCGTGAAGAACCGGGCTAAAAATTAATGTGCACGTTTTTGTTTTTAAAGGATTACAAATTTGTGCACAAAACCCGCATACTATACTACTAAAATATATTGTACAGATAATTACTCATGAATTTGCGCTAAATCAAAATGTTTTATCAGTGATTATGGCCTAAATTTGTTCAATTTGTGAACAATTTTTGATTAATTCAAGAAATATTGAAAAATTTACTTGCACAATACGAAACATATGAGTACACCCATGCTCGCTGATTCTGGATGGGTTATGGAAGAAAAATGAATTTAGATTGTGGAAAAACTTAATACAGCATATCAATAATATTTTCTTTGCTATTACTCTTCTGAATTATGACATAGACCAAGTCATTCTTTTGATTATGAAATTGTGGTCTCATTTCAAAAATGACATATTTTATTTTTGGATTTAACAGTTATCACTTATGATGATATCAGAAACATGTTCTAATGTCCATTTTATTTTCCAAGGGAAAAATTTCCCTTTTATAGTTCGAGTTATGAAATTGATTGTAATTTGGATAATTTAATGAATTCCCTTATTTGTGTTTGAATTTCCGCATTTATCAAAAATTGAACGTTCGTACTCTCAATTTGATTATATTATAGTTTAGAAGTATCACAAAAATTATTATATTAAACGATTAAAACGATAAGCAGAAATTTGAATGAAACCATAATTCAATTTAAATTTTTTTTATAAGTGAATTATGTCAGATGAGCAAGGCATTATAGATACAATCAATCTGGCTATCAAGACCCAGGAAGAAATGAAAGCTCAGCTATTAAGCGAAATTGCAAAGCTTGAACAACAGAACAATTCTCCTTCGAAAACTGAAGCAACAATAAAATTCTACAGATCATCAATAGAACACTTAGAAATTGAAAAACAATCATTAAATGAAAAGATTCATCAGATGAAACAAGTCGAGTATCCAACGCTTCAACAAAAATTACAAAGAATCACTCAAAAGAACCAATCTGTTGAAGCAAGGATCAAAAGCTTGAAGAAAGTCAGACATGAAGAAATTTTGAAGAAGATGGATAAACCAGAACGCGCTAAAAAGCATGTATTAAAATATATCGAGAAAGTAAAGAAGGAAATACAAGATTTAACCAAGGATGGAGACAACCTCAACAAGAAGATTGTTGAATCAAAAGATCAGCTCCAAAGACTTCAGCAAGCTAATCTCACAACACAAAGACAAGCAGCTCATACTTCATGGGCTTCGGAAATCAGTGATGAGGCTTTACACAACTCTACGACTAGTGCTAGACCACGTAAAAGACCATTGAGATCTTTACAAGCAAGAAATTCTGCTTATCTCCCACCAGATCCTACTAGATTTTCACCTTATTTTTAAAGATGATCGGATTATTTGTCTTGTATATTAAATAGAATCATAAAGAATAAAAAATTTCACTTCAATTCGAATATGAAATTAAATGATTTTAGGAACTGTTAATCTTAATTCTAGTGGCTCTGTTATAGAGGAATTATGAACTTTGAAAGATTTTTTGAAAAAATATTTTTATGAATTAAAGATTAACTAGATATGTCTTTCAAATTAAGTATATTTTCAAGAGTACATTTATATGGCATATATTAATTGAAATTGAATTTTTTTATAATAATTTTATTATTAGAATAAGAACAAAATTCTGTAAAACAATATTTTATTCTATTAAATGAATAACAATAAACCTTAGTTTGTTACATGAAAGACTTTGATGATTCCGAATTTTTGTCGTCTTCGACGATAAGTGGAATAACAAATGTTGGGAGGTTCAAAGGCCTATCCTGTGTTAATTCTATGCTAATTCTAGTATTTCTAACAATATTATCTTTTGCTTCCATTTGCTTGATCGCGTTGAGAGCATCATCAGGTGTTTCGAACTGAACATATGCTGTAGTTTCGCGAATTTCTATCTGTTTAATATAGCCGAATGAGCGAAAGTCGTCCCAAACCATTCTTCTAGTTAGAGGAGCTCTGTAGCCATAAATTAATATGGTTCTGCTAGGTGAGTCTTTTGATGGGCGAATTCCATCTCTTGAAAAGTCTTTACGACGATCATCGCGAGAATATGGTCGAGATTCATAATTTCGCTGAGGATAACTCCTCTGATTATAAGATTCTTGAGGTCTATAATTGTTATAGCTGCGATCTGTTTGCGAATCTTGTCTTGGATAAGAAGGAGCAGGAGGTGCTGGTTGTGGTGCAGGACGTGTTTCAGCGGCCACACCAACAGACACAGGTTCCGTTGCTTCAATGAGAGAGCCATTAATAAAGTTGCCATTCATTTTATCACGTATTTCCTTAGCAAGTGATTCACTTCCAACATAAACTTGAACGTTATCCTTTCCTGGAATAATATTTTTAATATCTGAAATGCCATTTTCGTTGAGATATGTCTTGATTTTGTCAGGACTTGCAAATAATGGCGATATAGCTACATAATATTCTTGAGTCATTGCTCAAATCTACAAAAAGTGACATTTACTTTCATGAATAACAAACTCAAGCCATTTTTATTAAATTTAACTTAGAGTCAAGCTTTAAATTTGAAATATTTCTATAAAAATTTCATTTTTCTACTATTAGAGATATTTGGATTATGAAATATTCGAATTAAGGCCTTATTTTATTGGATATGATTATACTACTTATTGCTATAAGGAAAACAAATTCTCAGCTAATAATTGTATAAGATGATCAAAAATCAAAAAAATGGAGAAGTTAATGCTAATATCAGAAACTAAAGTATTACCTATAAGTATGCTGTTCAATTAGAAAGGTAAATTTAACTAAAAACAAGTGTTTTATTATTAAATTTAACAAACAAACAAAATTATACTGTATTAAAGTCATAAACACCACTTTTTGTTGAGTATTTGATACCTTTTGTCAAGTTCTTTGCATTAGTTTCGATATCAAAGTTGTCTACTTTCAATCCGGAATAAGTATAGTTAGGAGCAACAAATTGAGCATGTATGAAGATGCTCTTTGATCTTGCAGTAGTTAGATTAGTTATTGAAGCACTTCCATTCAATATTGGAGGAGTATTTCCTAATGAATCAATTTTCCAAACGACAGTTCTTGTTGAATGAATGAAATCTGTTGTTCCAACAATAGAAGCCATTGATGGCATCGAAATACCTTCAGGAAGGTCAAAGGAAATCTGGATATTTGTTAATTTTTGAGTAAGATTTTGATCACTACGCAAAATAATCTCAAAAACTACACTAACAGATGACCATGAAAACTTTGGAGTTATAAATAATGGTAATTGGCTTGCCGATGGTTCAGCAACGTATTTCATTAAACAAAATGAGCCATCGCTTGGAACAAACTGTATTCTTCTGGCTAAATGCTGTTTGGCATCAACACAGCGATGGTATGATACCTCAACGAATTTCTTAGGAACGAAAAATGAAATTCCAACTAATGGATCGCCATCAATGCGACAAAATACATTCACATTGCCTCTAACAACGTTTAAATTGATTTTGCCGTCGCATGAAATATGAGCATCGATGTATTCAACCACAGAAATCATGAATTCAGGATTTCCACGTGTTTTTGTAGTACCTCTCCAAGGAAATCTTCTATCTACTGACATTGTTGTATCTAATACACCGGAGAATGATGCAATTAAGCAGCTAGGTTCATCAAGAAATGGATATCCTTCGTCAACTGCTTGGTCAAGTACTTTGTAGAGCATAGGATATTCGGTTTTGATTGTTTCACCTGTTAATCCTCCTTTAATCAGCGATGAAATTAATTTTGCTGTATTTACAATAAATTGTGAAGTAAATGTTAAAATACTTTCATTTCCATCACATACTGCGATAAAATATATATCTCCTTCGTTATGTATTAAAAATGTAGTGCCAAAAGATTCGAATAATGGCGGAATTTTATTATTGAGCTGTATTACTTTAAGAATTGGTTCTAAATCATGCCTATCGAATATACCAATGTAATTTTTCTCTGCAATAACTTCGCCATTTTTATTAGCGATGAAAATACTGCGAAGCATCTGAAAAAAACAAAATTGAATTCAGAAATTTCACTTCATGAAAAAAGTTAAGAGAATGAGATGCTATAATTAGGTTGTATACCAGATCGTAACAGTTTTTACCTTTTACTTGTCCTTCTTGGCCAGTGGTGCAATTATCAGGTTCTCTAAAAAGAGAGATTGTTTGAATTCTTATTAAAAAGAAGAATCTTGTTAAAAGATCATGTTCCAATCATTTATATGTACATCAATAACAATTTGATAGTTCTATTCTAGTGGAATTTTAATCAAATCAATAAAATATTGGTGCTATTTAAAGAAAATAATAAAATCTCAGGTAAATTCTTAAATTACCTCAGAACTTATATGTTTGAGATATAATAGATTTAGATAAAAATGGAAATATATTTTATATCCAAAATAAATGTGTTTAAAGAACACAAAAAGGAGTACATGATTTTATTGAATGTAAATTTGAGTTGCATATAAAGAAATAAAATACAATAATTAGCAACAACCGGATTTTTGTTCTTTTGCAGGTGGAGGAAGGCCTGTGGCACTCTTCGGCATCTTCGATTGTCTCTTTTCATGCTCTTCTTCGAATTGAGCTAAGAGTTGATCAATAAATGTCTTGAATAAGTTTTTAATGCCATAACCTTGCAAAGCTGAGGTTTCAATATATGTGCATCCATGTGCTTGTGCCCAAGCCTGACCTTGTTCAGTTGTTATAACCCTTTGTTCAGCAAGGTCATTTTTATTTCCAACGATCATAACAATTGTATTTTCGCAGCCTGCATTTCTATAGAAATTGAGCCATTCATCTAAACTGTCGAATGATTTTTGGTTTGTTATATCAAAAACTAAGATTGCGCCCGCAGAGCTTCTGAAATAGATTGGACCGAGGCTCCTGTATTGTTCTTGGCCAGCTGTATCCCAAATTTGAAGTTCTATTGGTTTTCCGTTTCTTGTTTCATTATGTGACTCATATAAAGCTCCAACTGTACTTGGTTCGGATTGATCAAAGCTATTTCTTAAAAATCTGTTAACTATTGATGTTTTTCCGACCGCGCTGTCGCCAATCATAACCGAGCGGAAAGTGCACTTCATTACGATATTTTTTGAGTTTTTATCGTCAGCGGTACAATATTGAAAATTGGTTTTCAATACAATTTAATCGTTTAACTCTCAATTTTGTGTTCCCATTATTTTTCCATTGGCTGTTCTCGACCAACGACAAAAGATTAATTAGTAGTTAAGATATTACTCAGATACCAGAAATAAAACACATGATATGCATTATTCTCTCTAATTTTCTACTTTATTGTTTTTTTATTATGATTTTGAATAAATAGGGATGATTTGATTATCTTGGGATACTATTAGATGAACAATGCATTTCTTAGCTATATATTCTTATATAAAAGAAAGATTAAAAGTTTTATTTTTGAAATTATCAAGCCAATGTAAAATTTATTCACTAAATAATATAACAAGCCATATCTAAGGGTATATGATATTTATTGAAAAATAATAAAAAATACGAATTTAATGTTTCGGATTTGAAGCTTGAATTTACGCTAAACAAATTGTTTTCATTGATACCTATATTCTTATTGTTATCAAAATTATTTTCTGTCTTTTGACGCTTTCAATGTTAACCCTTCAATGTTTTATGACATTTCAATTAGCTAGTTGAATATCAAATAAACTGTATAATCGATCCAGAATATCAGTTAGATCTTTTAGTTGTAAATCTTTGTTATTATTCAAATAATCATTAACTGCATTGTATACCATACTCCAGTCTTTTGTTTTCCGAATCATATTAAATTTTTTAATATTTTCTTCAGTTGAATTGTCGATGGGAGTAATATGCTCGGTTTTGGTTCCCATATCTTTGATCAATCCATCGATTTCTTTTAATAATGCACTGAGTTCTTCGGCAAGTAATTTTTTAGATGTCATCCTTTCGTAATTTTTCATTTGAAGCAATACATTAGTTTTCGAATCTTTTTTGACCTGCTCAATAAGATCATCTAGCTCGTAAGCTTTTTGCGATTGTTGACCTTGTGACATTAAAAAAAATGAAAAATTTTCCATCAATTATAAATCATGTTGAAATTATTAATTGGAATTTTTCGTCGGATAGATATCACCTGAAAGTATTCAAATTGGATCTCTGAGGTGAGATTGTGAATCAAAATTACAGAATGCTATGGCTGCATATAAAATCCTTTTGAATGTGTGCATAAAATACTTATATCTATTTGTAGATTATATAAATCGAAGAACTGTTTGATAAATGAAATAAATATAGAAAAAATTTTATTAATATATAATTCTAACAAATATAAAACATTAAATATATAATTGAACATACATTTCTTACAAGATCATGTTACAGAAGCAAAAAATGCATAAAGAGATCCATATTCTTCTTTTGTGAAGACGCATTCAAGCAAATTTTGAGGGAAGAATGATAAACAATTGTTCAAATTTTGCGCCATCATGCCAGGATTGGAAATAATTGGTGGTGCAAAGCAACGAACAAGTGAATTATCAATGTGGTTAACGCTTGCGTATTTAAGCACAGAAATGCAGTCTTGAGCAAGTCTTATGGCATCTGGGATAAGCGATGATGTAATAATCTGAGGTCTAATCAATTTCTGAAGATTTCCGATTTCTCCTTCAGCATATTGCTTTGGATACCTCGCTCCGAGAAATGGTTCACTTTTTACGTTTGGTGATAAGCTCATTACTAATCCAGTTGCAACATACTTTCCGAAAGCTTCGTATGAAGGGCCGCACATCTCTTGGATCTTTTCAATAGCAGATGTGATGAATGATCGAGGCATTATGTCATATGTCTTTTGGAATTTTTCAAATAATAATATTCCAATCGACATCATTGGGTTTTCTGATGGCATTGCATGGTTTACAGCATCTAGAGTGAATATCATTGTCGAAAGTCTGTTGACTCTCTTCCTATGGTTTTCAATTTCGAGCCATCTCTTTTTAATCTCTTCATTAAGCTTCTGTGGGATTTCATTCATTGTGTCTCCTTGTGAGAACAGTAACCAGTGGATTTCAGTGGATAATTGTGGATGGGAAGCCGAAACTGTCGTATTTTCTGCAGTTTTGAAGGCTTCAAAGAAGCTTTGCTGGCCATAAGGAAGTCTAAGGTCTCTGTTGGATAGAATACGATATATTGGACTAAGTGACATTGTTTTTTCGAAGGCTGTTGACGCGATATTCATATACTTCAAAGAATAACATGGGAACCAAAAGAAATGGTCATTATAATCTTCAAGTTTGTCGGCAAGTGCTTGCTGGAACACTAAATCAATGGAGCGATCGATTGATTTCGGAAGCATGGCCATATGTTGAAGAGAAGCAACGAATCGGAATAGTAATGCGAGGCTGTGTGTAGTCATAAGAAGTGGCTGATGAGCACACTGGACTATGTTGCAGAATTCTTGAAGAGATGGAAGAGATCCTGAAGCAGAATAAGAAGAAATATCAGTAATTACGGACATCGGATCGAAATCGGCGAAATTGGGATCAGAATTGATCTGCTTGACAAACTCTGGATCAATATTTTCCAAATTTCCGAATTTTATTTGGAAAACGTTCCAAATTTCGTAAAAATACGCAACATCTGAGAGTGGAACAAGGCGACGAACAATATACAATAGAGGGAATTTGAAATATTGCTGTATAATTGCATCAAAAAATAAATATTGAACCATTTGTTCATATTCTGACTTAAAATCTTTTCCATTAGATTCACAAAGTGATTCTAATTTGTCGTGTAATAATTTGAATAATGTATTTAATACTGAAGGAAGTTCATAATAATATTTGTGAATATTTTCAACAATTTGAATTGCTTTGGCAACTAAATACGTATGATTTCTTTGATAAAGTATTGGCTGTTGAATATAATCGTTGAAAACAGGAAGAATTGCTTGATCGATGAAATTATTAAAATCTAATGAAGTGTAGAAGCCTCTCATGGCATTAAACATCCAGTCATTCCTGAATTTTTGAATAAAATCGGGTTTTGTTGAATAGATTTCACCAAACCATTTGACTAAGTTTTCTGCGTAAGCATTTGCAGGTTCCAACGCCCAGCAGTATCCAAATAATGTTGGAAACACGCACCTAACGAGGAACTCGCATGGACTAGCAAGAAAACGTCCAGGAGGGAACTTGCTTGGGTTTAATTTGTAAAAAGCTGGAAGGAAGTTTTCAAGACTTTCAAGAAATGTATTTAGGAATGCTTTCATTGGGCCTTTCGAGAAATCTGACGGTAAATCGATTGCTGCAAAATTATCGAAAATTTCTTTTTGATTTGAAAGAAAAATATCTGATTTAAGTATACTATTAAGTGAATCTTCTGAGTTGACATCAAATGTTTCGGCAATGAAGATCCGTTGAACGTAATAATGCTTACTTACAATTGTTTTTTTAAGAAGCAAAATTAATTCTTCCTGATTCTCGTCAATATGCTTGTTAACAAGCACAGATGCTGCCTGCTGACGTAATACTTCTTTTTGATAATCAACACAGTTCTTCATAAAATCTCTAAAGAAATTTTTTTTACAAAAAAAAAGTCTCAATATCTTTGAATCGTAAATAAGTCTTATTATTTGAACTTCGTGGTTTGTAGAACATCGATTTCGACATAAATAGACTTTACTGCTTTCCAATTGCATCATTTAATAAAGATTTTTATATGAATTTTTGAATTTTATCTTGAAAATCTCAAAAACAGATTGCAATTTTAATGCGTTTAGTCTTAATTGCTTCACTAGTATCATGTATAAGATATTTAATAGGCTTATCAAAGATTTTAGTTCTATTGTATTTCCACATCTAAAAAAAAGATTTATATATAATTAATATATATATATTAAAAGAAAAAGAACTTTCAAACATGGAAATAAAATAATATATTATTGATTATTTTGGTCATGGTGAGATTTCCAAATTGCCAAGTTAGAATTAACTTGGTCAACGTTGACTTGCAGTGCTGGCATAGCTCTAGCAGCAGTGACGAAAAGAGGTAAGCAAACAAATGTGTAGAAGCCGATTTGTGACTTTGGTTTATCCAAGTGAGCACGATCATTCAAAGGTGATGTATATTCCATGCCACTTGTTTTCTCGAGGTCACCTTGTCTGAAGAATTCTTCGCAAAGAACATCACACCATTTATCAGCTAATTCGAATGGTCTTGAAACATTAGATATATCAGAACACTTCAAAATAAGCTCCATCATCATGAATCTGTCTTGTTCATTATCAGGCTTCAAAGGTCCTTCATCCAATCTCTTGTTGATTGCTTCAAGAGTTGAATGGTGTTTACCCATATCTGTTTTCAAGATCAATGCAATAATTAAGCTCCAAATCTGTTTGATCAGAGGTGAATCAAATGAACTAAATATATTGCATTTATCATTTGAAACAACTTGAATTGCAACTTGGCAGTGATGTGTCTCCATGACTGATTGGTTCTTGAACAAAATGCCTAATGGTGTTTCTGCCTTTTCGTTGTAGACATTTGTGAAACCATCATGATTTACATCATGGCAAATAGCTGCAATCAAAAGAGCATATAATTCAATTGGTTTCAAGATCTTGTAAACTCCTGAAACAACCAATTGATATGAAACAAACTGTGTAACATCAACAGCGTGTCTCCAATTGTGGTAAGGAACTTTGTTGTATGAATTGCTGATCTCATCCAAGAAATGCAAAAATGTGTCATTTCTGACTTTGAACTGTTTCAAAACACCGAAATAATTCATCAGATAAAATACAACTCTCAAGTGTCCGATACCATCCCATCTCTGTGCATCGAAGTTAATCTTGAGTAATGTGTCTTGTTTCGTTGGTTCTATAGTCAAGAACTTTGGAATATCGCCAACATCACGTTCGTTATCCATAAGATATTTTCTAATTCTTGCTTCACTTGCTCCGACTGATGCAACTTTTCTAAGACGATCTTTATCAATGGAAAGAGCTGCGAATACACAGAAGCAGTTCAAAAGCTTCATATCTTCAGGAAGAATGATGTGGTTAGTACCAATTTGGATTGTACCAATGATAGCGTTATCATTAGTAAGTAATGGGAAAGCAATGATCTTTTTTAATTCTATATCTGTATTAATATTCAAACCTTCAAGTTCTTTAAGACCTTGTATTTTACCTGTACTTGTTGTAGCTGTTAATTGTCTTCTACTGCTAATCTTTTGGATCTCTTCTTCATCAGCTTCTTGGAAATTGAATGTTTGTTGTTCGCGTGATTTAATAACAATATCTGCGAATTTTTCACCATCTTTGATCTTTCCTATTTCATCCAACAAAGTTATTTCCTCTGTATCATTATCATAAACATAACAAGCTGCGTATGAACCATTAATAACACCTTTCATTGTTGAAATGAGTTCATGGATGACGTTATTAAGTTGTGCATCCTTTCCCATGGCCGCTGATGCTTCAATGAAACTCTTTAAGTTGTTCATCAACTGTAAAGAAGTGTTGTAAAGATTAGCGTTATCTATTGAGATGCCACAGAAAACGTTGAAAGCAACCATCATCTTTATATCATCGTCATCGAATGATTTACCATCTTTTCTGTTGATCATCTCTGTAACACCTGCAACAGCACCTCTGTTATCATAAATAGGAACAGTCAAAAGACTTCTTGTCTTAAAGCCTGTTTGTATATCACTTGTTTTGTCGAAACGAGAATCAGAATAAGCATCTGTGATATTAACACATTCGCCAGAACTAGCTGTGTATCCAGCAATGCCAACACCGTTCTTAACACGAATAGCAGTGTCCAAGCCACCATGGAAACGAGTGACCAATTCATTCGTTGTTTTATCAAGAATGAAAAGAGAACAACGCTCTGTGTTCAAAAGGTTGCAAGCTGTATCCATGATTGTTGGAAGAAGAGAATCTAAATCCAAAACGCCGAAAATAACTTCGGCAACAGCAAGAAGAGCTTGGAGACGTTCTGAAACAGGTGTCTGCTGATTATTTCCATCAACATCATCAACGGTATCGAATTGTTTAGTGAGGATTGGTGCTAAAGCATCAATTTTCATGCAATCGATTGTGCTAAATGGCAAAGAATTGGATTTGCCACGAAGAACAACGGCGTAAACGGCATTTCCGACAGCAAATGGTTGGACTAAGACTGGTTCATCATTGTTGCCATCAACATCTTGGTTAAATGATGGACTTGCCCTTACATTTGGTAATGATATTTGCACGTTGTTTTGTAATGAGTATAGAGCTGCTCCTGGTGTTTGTATGATATCGAATTGGCCTGTTTCTTGATTGAAATGCTGGAATTGGTTATCCTCGAACTGGAATAAATCAATAGCACGAGATCCGAAGTGATTTCGAATTTCAAGAAGGTAATCGCTTGATTTAATATCAGGAATAGCAGAATTAACGATAAAATCGTAGTAATAAGAGAATCTTTGACAGAATGATGTGGCTTTCTTAATTTCGACATTTGAAAAAGAGTTTTTCTTGGATACAACAACTACACCTTTAGGTTGTTGTTGGCCATTAAGAATTGGAATGTAAAGACATGGGTCTGTCGAAGGATCGAAAGAAATGTTGTAGTTTACTTGTGATGCTGGTGTTGCAAAGTATTTAACTTCTTTACTGTTGAATACTGTTGATATAATAGATGAATTTAACGGTACACACTTTGATAATGTAGCACAATATAATTTTTCTGGTTGTATTGATGTAAGAAAACAGTATGCGTTATTAGCGTTGAATTTCTTGGTTAATACCATTTCTAATGCAACATTTAGCGGTCTGTTGCTTGACAAAAGTACAATATTTTCAATGACTTTTGTGATTGACATCTTCTCTTGAAGTGGAACATCCTTCAATTTGCCTAATGGTTTTGAAACTGAGCAACCTGAATAGCTACGTGAAGTTAAAGTCATTGTTTTAATTCTATTGTTTGATAATAAAAAAAATCGAGGGGAAAAAAACGAATAATTTTGTAAAGAGATTGTAAAATTTTATACCAACAATATATTATAAGAGCTATGGTTCATTGAAAGAGCTTCCCTTGGGTATTCAGGTGATAATTTGATTATCAAAGTAAAATATAAGCGCATAAAAATGTAAATCAAATGAAATTTTGGTTATGATATATGGATAATACATTCAGGAAATTAGAATAAGATAATATAGCTATCAAATATTCTAATTTTTATGGAAGAATGTGATATTATAAGCCTAAAACTTAGTCTTCTGTTGAGTTTAGAAATTTTGTCCGTTTTTTTCGTACATTCGAAAAAAAAAATTATTGCATGGGTTGCGGCTCTTCTTCCGATATTATCAACACATCCCTACCAATGTCAATGGTTCGGTCAATCAAATCCACATGTCTTGTATTTGGTATGCCGGACAGTGGTCAAGAAACTTTTGTAAATTCAATTGAAAAATGCTTCTCAAGCATATCGCCAATGAAAGAATTACCATTCGAATTCTATGTTGCTAGTACAGATAGACTTGATAGAGCAACATGGATAGATGAATTTCAAAAACACAGTCGAATAATTATTTCATTTTTCTTCGCTGATATTTCATCAAAAGCTTCAATATTAGCCTCTGTTAGAACTCTTAACTGGTTCAGATGCGAAATATCACCAAAGACAAATTTATTCACCGTAGTTCTCATTAAAACAGACAAAGATATAGAATCAGTTAATTATCTTAAAAACCTTCTGGGAGATTCAATAGAATTCAGTACATTTAACGAAGATAATCCAAACGATGTCCGAATATATGTTGAACATATTATTGGATTGGTCGCACAACAAACTCGTTATTCCTCTTTATTTAAGTGAAGTGAAAATGTGTTAGAATGACTAATTGCCACCAGAATTGAACTTTGTTGGCAAAATGTCTATCACAATTTTATTTCAATGATTTATGTTCACATCGTTGTTTGTAGTTATTAACCATAAAATTTATTTAGAGTTCCAACTATTTTCTTGAACCTTTTTCGAATAAGATTTGGATTCCTAAAAAATATTAAATAAGTACGAAGAATTTATGATCCAAAACTACTTCTTATCGCTAAGAATGCCAATTCCAAGTGCTGAATTTTACACAAAGCAGTTCTCAAAATTCTTTATTTTGGATACTCTTTTCAAACTTCAAGATTGTACAATATTGCGACTATTTGACATAGAAATTAGAATTTACAAATCCTAGTATGCTTGATGTTTTTGTATGTTGTAATAAAAATTCTATATTTTCGTTTTACAGCTTATTGTATCATCTTTTGTGAGAAAAAATCTATATAGAGATTATGTTTGTTGAAGAACTTTGAATTAAATTTAAAAGAATTTTATTCAAATTGATATTCGTTAGTTATTAAAATATTCTATACGCATGGCGTTTGTATCATATATAATACAATTCACGTTTATTTTTTATATTTATTTTCCTCCATTTCAATGTAATTGAAAGAACTTTGGAGGAATATATCACGCATTATTTGGTATCTTGATGAAAATTCTATTGCAATCGGCTTTTCCATTATTACTGAATCATTTTATATCCGAAATCTTTATGGCATTGTTTTCTACATGCATAACTTAGTATTTTTTCTTTTAATGAATTTAATGGGTAATTCGCATGGTAAAACACAAATTTTATATAAATTATTTATGTCCGAACAAGACGTTCATTCAAGCAAATACAGCAAATTATGAAGTATCTGCAAATATTGCATCGATTCGTATATTGCATTGCATCAGCTAAAAACGGAAAATGAAGAAGAATTAAAGTCAATTTACAAAATGATCAAAACAGAATTGATTGATTCAAATAAATATCCTACCCGAATAATTATGCGAGACATTTTAAATATGATTCCGTATAATAATCGCTATACAAAGTCATATTTATTTCTTGCCAAACTCATATCTGATGATTACCATATCACAGAGGTCAACCGTGTTGAACTTATTTCAACATTCCTGTTTTACAAAGAATATGGAATTAAATTAGACAAATCTGCCGATTTTGAAGAAGATTATTCAGAAAATCTTGAAATTCATACAGGGGATACAATTTACAGGGCAATTATGCATAATGACCTTGAAAGATTCATATACTTCACTGAAAGAGATGAATTTGATAAAGATCAAATACTTAAAAGCAGATTATACCCATATTCTTTTGAAGGATATTCCTTACTTGAATTATGTTGTTACCACGGAGCAGTTGATTGTTTCAAGCTATTAAGATCTAAATTTAAGTCAGAAATAACTCAAAAATGTTTACAATTTTCTTTTTTAGGACGAAATCAAGAGATCATGAGTGAATGTTTGAAATATCAAACACCAGATAATGAATGCATGAGTTATGCGATTATTTCGCACAACATTGATTTTGTTACATTCTTGATGAATGAATACAATATCATGATCGATTTAGAATCCATTGGATATTACAGTAATCTTGAAGCATTTTTAGTTTATTTCGATCAAACTAATGATATAAACAAATGTTTTGTTTATTCACCGATTTTTAATATTCCATCCCTTTTGGAATACTTTCTTTCACATGGTGCGAATATCAATGAAAAAAATGAAAATGGAAAAACCGCTCTTCATATGGCAGCAATGAAAAACACTAAAGAAACTGCAGAATTTCTTATTTCACATGGTGCAAATATCAATGAAAAAGATACATATGGAAGAACCGCACTTCATATGGCAGCTCTGAATAATAGTAAAGAAACTGCAGAAGTTCTCATTTCACATGGTATAAATGTCAATGAAAAAAATAAAGGTGGAGAAACAGCACTTCATAATGCAGTTCTGAGTAATAGTAAAGAAACTGCAGAAGTTCTGATTTCACATGGTGCAAATATCAATGAGAAAACTAAATATGGAGAAACCGCTCTTCATTTTGCAGCTCGGAATACTAGTAAAGAAACAGCTGAACTCCTTATTTCTCATGGTGGAAATATCAATGAAAAAGATGGAGATGGAAAAACCGCTCTTCATGAAGCAGCAGGATTTAATTGTAAAAGAACAGCTGAACTTCTTATTTCACATGGTGCAAATATCAATGAAAAAGATGGAGAAGGAAAAACTGCTCTTAATATTGCCATTGATGCGAATCATAAAGAAATGGCTGAATTTCTTATTTCACATGGTGCTAAAAAATAATGCTCTTGCATAAAATATCCTTTAGTTTTCTGGTATTTTCGAAGAAGATTTTCTTTAGAAAGTAAATTGAAAGTATAATAATTGTTTTTGCGCATTTTTTGCACTTGAAATTGTTAGATGTGATGAGTTATATTCGTCCACGTGAAGTTGCACATGAATTCACTGGATACAGTCTTCCAAAAATGCATGTCATGTTTAGGAAGAGATTCAATCTGGATAGTACTATGACAACGAAATACAATGTGTTGAATAAAAAACCGACCGACATTTCACAAATGTTGTGGAGTTTCAGACAGAATTGAACGAAAAATGCAAACCTATTCAATGAAATATCATAGAAATGTGCAATTCTTATGAAGAAAGAGGAAATCATTATGATTATCAGTGGAGAATAATCGTTTATCATGCTCTATTTATGAGAGAAAGGTCTTCCATTGTAGTATTTTATGCGGACCTTGTTGGATCATTTTAAAATTACATGATTATGGGCTTGTATTCAAATAACTTAATTACTGTTGTAAACAGAAATTCATCAAAAGTGACACCTCAGAAAAGCTAAAATATTGAATTTTTGGAACTTTTGATAGAGCACGTTTTTAAATATTAATTAAAGTAAATGTATATTTTGTAACGATTCTTTTTAATAAAAAATAAAATTTTGAAGAAGAACACAAAATCTTCTGAAAAATAATATCACATAAACTCATATTATTTTCTAATATATAACTATTTTATATAAAAATCAAATTCAATGATCTTAAAAGCGAAGGATAAACATCAAAATTTACGAATATAATGAGTGGGAATATAATGCTTATCTATCATAAAACCATATGAAATATCAATTTTTGCTTTACGCCTAATTTTTGACGACAATTAGCAAAAAATGTTAAATGTTAACACTCAGTCCATTTGAATATGAAAAATAAAATTGACTTTGATTAAATGTTTTTATTTATCATGCAACTCTTCTTGCGACCAAAGATTTGAATAAAATTTCAAAAAATAAGATAGCTTAAAAAATAATATACGGTAGTGTTTACTAATAGATGAATAGTATATAAATTCTATTAAAATGGATTTGATCCAAAAAAATATAAAACCAAAAATAATTGTTATAATTTAAATGAAGAAGTAATTTAAAACGATTTTATTTATGATCAAATTTTATATATTTTTTTGGATCAAATCCATTTTAATAGAATTTATATACTATTCATCTATTAGTAAACACTACCGTATATTATTTTTTAAGCTATCTTATTTTTTGAAATTTTATTCAAATCTTTGGTCGCAAGAAGAGTTGCATGATAAATAAAAACATTTAATCAAAGTCAATTTTATTTTTCATATTCAAATGGACTGAGTGTTAACATTTAACATTTTTTGCTAATTGTCGTCAAAAATTAGGCGTAAAGCAAAAATTGATATTTCATATGGTTTTATGATAGATAAGCATTATATTCCCACTCATTATATTCGTAAATTTTGAGGTTTATCCTTCGCTTTTAAGATCATTGAATTTGATTTTTATATAAAATAGTTATATATTAGAAAATAATATGAGTTTATGTGATATTATTTTTCAGAAGATTTCATTCTATATGCCTATGAAAAGTACTCTCAAAACTAACTTTTTCCTAATTATAATTAAATCTAGAATATTGTATTATGCTTAGTATTATTTCATTTTTCTCATTCAATTTAGAATTTACAAATGTCAAAAAATTGAGAGTTGTCACTTTTGATGAATTTCTGTTTATTACAGATAAATATATAGCATGATATGTAAATAATAAAATAAAGTCGATTATCGTTCAAAATTCCAGATGGTTTTTTTCCCTCTCAAATAGAGATTTTGATAAAAAAATGAGTGTCGAAAGTGTTTCGGACGCTTCCGACTCTGATATTGATTTTACGAAGTCCCACGGAGGGGGGCTCTACAAAACTATGTCCGAAGAAGAAGATATCGAAAGCTATCGCATGGCAGACGAGAATGAAGAAGATTATGAAAAAATTAAAACAGATTATGAGCATCGAATACATTCAAATCCATTTCAAGCGTTTGATAAAGAGCTATTACCAAAATCCTGTTATACTGATATAAATCAAATGGTTCCTGAAGGTGTTCATATTCATCTTAACACTTTAACTCGATTAATTCCAGGCAAGCCTCAAAACAGAAAGTTCATTCACACTTGGGAAGATCTAAGCGTGGTAAATACAGTCGAAGCTGTGCGAACTTTGCAAGGATTTTTCCCATCACAATATTTTAAACATGCAAAATGGAGTACACAGACTTCTCGGTCCCAGGTTGAGCTTAACTTCAGTTCGCCCATTAGGCATATATGTTTGCAGAACGGAAATAGCCTAAGAATTTTCCATTATATTGGTCTTGGATTTCCACCACCTGAAAATGGAAAAATCTGTATCAAAGACAATGGGTTTTCCCCTGATGATTGGAAATCCATGCAAGAAATACGTCAATATATACCAACTCACATTCATTTTATTTTTGATTGCGACAAAGCTGCTTCTTTGCAGGAAGCATTGATTACAAAGAATAGCAAATACGAAAAAACATACCACACGCAGAATATAAGCGCTATGTTCGCTTGTGGAGCTACAGATTATTTACACATACCGGAAACATTACCACAAGATATATTTACATGCATATTACTCGATCCAGAACGCTCTATCCGTTCCCTCATGAAAATTAACGATAACGTTAGCGATGCAACTTTAAAATCATTAATAAGTATTTTTACGGAAGCAATTGCAAGAGATTCTCTCGATACATCGACATTCATGACATACTTTATAGAACCTCCCCTTTTAAGTGCATTATGGAAGAATTTTATCTTATCTCAAAGATTAATGAAACAATTCGGAATAACTGTGCATTCGATTCCAAAAATACCTGATTGCTCGGAACACCATCTCTGGCAACAGTTCGAATACGCGTTAAGATGCAAACCTGACTGTCAATTATCAACAATAACAGATTTACACAGATCTCAATTCCTAACAGTAGAAAAAACATCGAAAACAATCAGAGCGTTTATTTCTACACTTATAAAGAACGATGATTTATACGAAACGATTATTGTTGATATCGCCAAATTTATGAAGCGTTCTCCGGCCATGTGCTCAAAGATGGCACTGTATTTAGAGTCTAAATACATTGCCCAACACTATATTACTCAAGAAAGATCAATAAATGGTTCTAGAGCTTGGAACGTCGTAATTAGTGGTATTCTTCTTGCAGAACCTGGTAACACTAAGCCTATTGCAAACAGTCTTGAAGCTACAAAGGTCATGGAGTTGATAAAAAGCCCAGAAACTGATGATATCTGTAAAAGATATTTAATTTCATCGGTTGTAGTGCTCGGAGATGGCCAAACGCATTTTATTGGCCTTTTAGGTACTGATTGTAATGTCCACATGTACTTTCCATGCATACTTAACATTGATACATCACCTGAAACGAGATTACTCTATTGTACATTGGTCCAAGCAATTCTCGCTCGTTCCCAAGCCAAACCTACAGAGAGTGGAAAGGCAGGAATCCACAGACTCGGCCAACTTTTGCTTCAGGAAGAATCCGCTCTATTCAGAGCTGTCGGAGTTTGCATTTTGGCATCATTAATGTATCACAATGCCACAGGATTTAACGCTGACCTCCTCAAGCTTGCTCTTCCTGCAGTTTTGGACGGATCATATCGGGTCAGATTGCCTTTGATAGCAATGATCCACAGATACATCGAACTTGGTGGAACAGTCGGCGGAAGCGGTACAGCAGACGTCTCAAAAATACTTAACGGCGAAGTTGACGATGCAGCCGAATATCTTAGCGACATTGTATCATTTTTGATCCATGATCCATACGATGATGCTAGAGCAAAAGCTTTGGATCTTCAAACAGCAACTAAAAACGAAGAATCAATTGGAGATGAAAAATTAAGGGAAGAAGTGGCCACGTTACAGCAAACCGTTCACTGCAGTTTGTTTAGTGAAGGATACGAGAAGAAAGGAAAGACAATAATAAGGTATACCGATGATATCGTTTGTGGAGGAAATTTGGAGCTTCTTGAGACACTTCCTAGCTTCGGAGGAGGTGCCATCACTGCTTTAAACTTTTCCTTGGACCACGATGGTATTATTTGTGGATCTGCCGGTGGAAATGTTGTATGGGGGGAAAATTCATGGCGTCCAGCGCCATCCGCCATTACAGATAGCGTCCACATAGGTGGAAATGTCATTGCTGTATGTTCTTCACCAGGAATTGTCACTATTCTTAAGCGTGGACATGGAAAACCAGTTGATTGTTTCCAAGCCGGCATGGAAGGTGACAGAGGAGCCAGGACACAAATTTTCACATCCAAAACAAATCCTTCTGATGCATTTATAAGCACAGGAGCCACAGAAGTCGTATGATGGGATATTTCTGCACTAAGACCGGTCCAAATGATCAGATTGCCTTCGCAAATATCAAACGCTGCTAGAAGTGATAATGAACTCGTTGTTGCTTTGAGAGATAATTCAATTATTTGTTATGATACAAGACAACCAACAAATGAGTACACAGTAATCAAGCAGCCATCAGGAGGAAGGCAGATCATACGCGTAGGATATCACAAAGGCGATTTATACTACGCAAGCGAAGGAGGACCATGCGTTTTCGTTAAAAACGGAAGAGTTATCGATGTTTGGTCGAGAGCAAGTGATATGATGTTACATCCAACGCTAAATTTAGGTGTTGTCGTTGGAGGAGAAATCAACTTAGTTGATTCGAGTGGAAAGAAGATTGGAGCAATGTCTGGAAGCCAGAGAGGTTGTAAATGCTGTTTCGATGGTGAAAGACCTCTTGCTGCTATTGGTAATGTTGATGGAACTGTTTCAATCTGGAGATTACCAAATAATATTAATTGTTTATAGAAATAAAGATTGTAATATAATACTTAAATGTATGTCTTTTGAATTAAAATGTATGACAAATATTACTTTCAAATTCGTAATCAAATTCACTCAATATTATGAATTGTTGCTAATTCTCATTATGTGATGCTGATTAGGATGTTTTATTGCAAAGTGTCTACTAAGTAAGTCAAATTTAATTTCTCTTATCGCATATCTCGACATTGTGAAATGATGTCCTATGTTTTTAAAAGGGGAGTAATTAAAACTATCACTTATTAGAGTTATTAGCATTATATAAGTCTTTTATCCATATCATCATGTTAAATAATGTTTATTGCAAATTCATTAATATCAATCGATAAATGACAAGAACTAACTTAATTAATCTCATAAATATTTGTATTCAATAGGTGGTACTTGATGTTTAAGCAGAAATAGCTTTTTTTAATCCAAAATTCCATATTATCATGTGTAAATGAAGATTTAAATCAGTAAAATTGCAATTTGTGCCAATTTAAAGTATTATCTGGATTTTGAAAGATTTTTAGTTAAAATAATTCATATCACATGTCAGTGAGAAAAATACGTTAGAATATCAAAGGGATGGAGATTGGACAGTTACGCGATCTTATCGAACGTATTCCAAACCAAGGCTGCAACATCTCACAGATTGAGGCACACAGAATCGAGTGCTCTCTTAGAATGTTGCAAAATTCAACAAAATCCGAGGCTATGTATTTCTTGGGCAAGATTCTTGCAATCAACAAAGATTATTACATTGCATTTTCAACAGATTACAATTACTACTACCCAACAAACTTCTATTGCTCACAGGATGCTACATCCTGGAACACTTTACCACGTGTTGAAGATGCTCTCCTTCAGGAGGCAATCCAGATTACATTGCCATTAACAGGAAAGCTTATCAACGAATTCACAACAAAATCAGGACGTCACGTCAGCGAAGAGCAGAGACTTTCTTCAATCGTTTTTGATCTTCTCGAGCACTGCATTCTTTTCCCAAGAGGCTATCTTTGCGAGACATCTCTAGAATACGTCCTCTTGAACCCAATGTGGTCCGGAATTCCAATCAAAGATTGCAGCGATCTCTCCAACTTCAGACACTGGACACCACGTGCAAAGCCACTCACACCACTCGAAAAGGCTTTCTCAAACCCAGCTTTAGATTTTACAGAACCACTTGAAGATCTCAAGGGATGGCGTATTGTCGAAACAAACGATACAAATGAAGTTCAACTTCGTTCAATTGTCTTGCCAGGCTTCATCTTCTCACTTTGCGATACTGAATTTGCCAACTGCTACTTTGGAAACGGTATTTACGAAGGAAATCTCTTCAAAGAGCCAGATCAGCATACATACGCTATGATCAAACCAGGTTACGAAGAGTACTGGGGCAAGGTTATCGACAGAATTATTCAGGAAGGACTTGAAATTGTCCAAATGAAATCCTTCAAGATGGATATGGATTTCACTTCCAAATTCTATGCAGAGCACGTCGGAAAAGATTTCTTCCCAACACTCTCAGGCTACATGACATCTGATACTGTTGTCGGAATTGAACTTTCTGGACCAAACGCTATCGCTAAATGGCGTGAAATTATTGGCCCAACAAAGAAAGAAGTCGCCGTCGAACAGGCACCAAACTCACTCCGCGCACTTTACGCTCGTTCAACAACAGAGAACCTCTGCCATGGTTCAGATTCACCAGAATCAGCTGCTAGAGAACTTGGCCTCGTTTTCGGTTCTCAATAAAAATGTCATGTGAAAAGAGTGACATGTAAACTAAAGATCTAACATTTGTAATTTATTTTACTACTTTTTGATTCAAAACCATACATTCTTTCGCTGTACAGATGTGTATTCAGCATAATGTTTTTATTTTTAATTATAAAAAAAAAATCATTTTAAAATTAGAAATATTTGAAAGAAGATTATTCACTCCCAAACTTTGATATCATTGACTCAGAGTTTCCTGGGAAAATCTAGTCCTCTATGTGGGACAATGATTACTTAATGCTTAAAAATTTGAAATTCTCAGACAAAATATCAAATACAACGGGCGGAAAATGTCTTTAACTTAACCTAATTCTTGTTTACAATATGAAATATAGATCCCTATCTTCTTTCAAAAGAAATTAATTTTCAATACAAATTGGAACAAGGAAATCTAAATCGTCAAACCAAAAAGTTATATCTTTTTCTGGAATATTGTTGAATAAATCGTCATCCATCACATTTTTATAATGAGGATTCTCTTTGAAATCGTCATGAATTCTAAATTTATATTTTTCCCATAACTTTTTGTTTTCAGAACGCAACCACTGAAGAAGATCATTATAACGTACACAAATCTCTTTCCCTGCAATCAGAAGCTTTTGTGCGTAATGTTTTGGAAAATATCGATAAAATTTTATCCAGATTATATTTTTACTGCATGCTTGTGAAAAACTCTTGAGGTTCTTATAAGTTCCATGACAACAATATATAAAATCTCTAGATAATTGTGTAAACTCTTCTTGCGTTATACCTTTAAGATCAAGAAAATTTAGTATTCCTTTATAGAAGTCCATGAATATTTTAAAGTATTGATAAATATCTAAATTGGAAACATTGAATTTGATATTTTTAAGATCTTGTTGGATTTTGACTAATTTTCCGGCAATTTCATTGGCATCATCAGCATCGAAGCCATAACTAAAAAGAATGGAATAATATAGCTTATCACTAAGTCTAGATTTTTCTGAAATACGACGAGGTAAGCCGCAGAGCATGAAAAAATAAAAATTGAATATAAATTTTAAAATTGAATCCAAGCCATGTCAGAACGATACGTAAACTTAATGGTCTTTGATTGGGTTTATTTTGTCTTATATTATGCTATTAGCCCATTTTGAAGGTGGTTGCATGTTCCAATAAATTATGGATTGCAAATTTAGAAGCGTAGTATAAGCTTGCAAAATTAAAACTAGAATTTTATAGATAGATTTTCTGGAAGTTACTTTATTTCATTCCATTTAAGGGATCTCATGAATGGATATTTGATTGATATGTTATATATGGTTTGTTTCTGAATATGAATAAAATGTAATATATTTCACTAATTATGATATCAAACTTTAATTGATATTGATAGATTTTAGTGTATTTGGAAAAGTATTGTAGACTCTATATAAAACAAAAGGAATGGAAGAAATTTAAATGGCATAATTGTTTTTTTAAGCTCCGAAACTTCTTACCTTTTCCCAAATTTGTAGCCCTAATTCCACCAAAATGTTTTATTAAAAATGTGATCATTAGAAAATTATATTTCAAATATATTCCTGAAGATATGATTTGGAATACATTTAAGGCATATAAAATAGCTTTATGACTGGTTATCTGTATATGTGTACTATCATTATACCGACCACACTGCGAATTGAAATCAAAGATTTGTAAAAATTGCAGTTTTTCGATAAATTGCCCAATAATTTTGGATTAATATCCATAACAAAATACTACCAGAATATTAAAACTTGAAAATATATTTGAATGAATGGTCGGCCATTCACAAAAAAAAATTTACACAAGATTTTTATAATGAGTGAGAACAACGCAGTTCTTGCAGCCCTTGCCAAGCAAGATGGTCTCAACTCCCTCGAGCTTGCTCAACAACTCGGCATCGCTCACGACAAGCTTTACGCTATCATCCTTTCTCTTCAAGCTCTCAACTTAATCACATTCGAGAACAAGACAGAGCAGAAGAACGAAGCAACTGCTGAAGGCAAGTTCTATGCCCAAAATGGTACACCAGAGTTCAAGTTCGCAAAGTTTGTTTCAGAAAACCCAGGCAAGAACGCTAAGGAACTCACAGCCGAATTCACAGCTGCCTTAGAGAAGATCTATCCAGCTCCACTCCCAGTCAAGGCCCAGTCCATGGCAGCCCCATGCTTCGGCAAGGCCAAACAAGCCGGCTACATCAAAGTCGATGGTGGCAACGTCGTTCCAGCCGATATCTCAAAAGACAAGGTCCAAGAACTCCTTGCTGACTTCGAAGCAGGCAAGCAGATCAACAACAAGGATGTTACAGATCTTACGAAGCGTGGTCTTATCGCCAAGGTCAACGTCAACTATTTCATCCTCCACAAAGGTGATAAATTCGTTGACTCCATGGACAAGGTCAAGAAGGCTGTTGCCGAGCTTACAGAAGATATGGTCAAGTCAGGCGAATGGCAGAACGTTGATTTCGCTCCACTCAACTTCGAAGCACAAGGCACAAAGATCCCATGCGGCCACGAGCATCCACTTCTCAAAGTTCGTGCAGAATTCCGTAACATCTTCTTCCAGATGGGCTTCGAAGAAATGGACACATCCAAGTGGGTTGAGAACTCATTCTGGAACTTCGACTCTCTCTTCCAGGGCCAGCAGCATCCATGCCGTGATATGCACGATACTTTCTTTCTTTCAAACCCAGAGTTCGCACAGCCAATCCCAGACCACGACTACTTCCTCCGCGTCAAGGATATGCACGTCAACGGTGGCAACGGCTCAATCGGTCTCCGCTACGACTTCTCTGAGCAGATTCCACTCACAAACATCATGAGAACACATACAACAGCAGTTTCATCAAGAACACTCAAGATGCTCGCTGACGAGTTCAAGGCAACAGGAGAACTCCGCCCACGCAAGTTCTTCTCAATCGATAGAGTTTACAGAAACGAAACACTTGATGCTACACACCTTGCTGAATTCCACCAGGTCGAAGGCTTCATCATTGACAAGAACCTTTCCCTTGGCGACCTCATGCGTAACATCAGAGAATTCTTCTCTCGTATCGGCCTCAACGACATCTCCTTCAAGCCAGCTTACAACCCATACACAGAGCCATCAATGGAAATCTTCGCTTACCACCCAGGTCTCGGCAGAGAAATCGAAATCGGTAACTCTGGTATGTTCAGACCAGAAATGCTCGAATCAATGGGAATTCCAAAGGAGTACACAGTCATCGCTTGGGGATTCGGCCTCGAAAGACCAACAATGATCGAATACAAGATCGATGAAATCAGAAAACTCGAAGGACCAAACGTTTCACTCGACCTCATCGAGAACGTTCCAATGTGCCGCCTTACATTCTAAACATATCCTTCTTCTTCTCATCAAAAATTTATTTTTTTTTTAATTTTTATTATTAAATTGTAAAAAAAATTGTTTTCACGAATAAAATCAGGGCTAAAAACTTAATTGATTATTTGTTATTTCTTTTCGAAAGCCGAAGAGAAGAATCTTCTGATGAAAGAATACTTTTTCGCACCATGTGAAATAAGAAATTCAGCCATTTCTTTATGATTCTCATCAACTGCAATATTAAGAGCGGTTTTTCCATCATTATCTTTTTCATTGATATTTGCACCATGTGAAAGAAGAAGTTCGGCTGTTTCTTTACTATTATTTTCTGCTGCGTAATGAAGAGCTGTTTGCCCATTTTTATCTTTTTCATTGATATTTGCACCATGTGAAAGAAGAAATTCAGCGTTTTCTTTATGTTTACAAAATGTTGCAATATGAAGAGCGGTTTGTCCGTCATTATCTTTTTCATTGATATTTGCACCATGTGAAAGAAGAAGTTCGGCTGTTTCTTTACTATTATTTTCTGCTGCGTAATGAAGAGCTGTTTGCCCATTTTTATCTTTTTCATTGATATTTGCACCATATGAAAGAAGAAGTTCGACTGTTTCTTTACGTTTACAAAATGCTGCAGCATGAAGAGCGGTTTGCCCATTTTTATTTTTCTCATTGATATTTGCACCATGCGAAATAAGAAGTTTGACTATTTCTTTACGATTATTCCATGCTGCATAATGAAGAGCTGTTTCTCCATTTTTGTCTTTTTCATTGATATTTATACCATGTGAAATAAGAAGTTCGACTGCTTCTTTATTATTTCTACAGTATGTTGCAGAATGAAGCGCGGTTTTTTCTTGATTATTTTTTTCATTGATATTTGCTCCATGCGATATAAGAAGTTCAGCTGTTTCTTTATTATTATTTTCTGCTGCTCTGTGAAGAGCTGTTTCTCCATTTTTATCTTTTTCATTGATATTTATACCATGCAAAATAAGGAGTTCGGCCATTTCTTTGCGACTATTATTGCATGCTGCAAAATGAAGAGCGGTTTGCCCATCATTATCTTTTTCATTGATATTTGCACCATGTGAAATAAGGAGCTCTGTCGTTTCTTTACTATTATCATAATTTGTTGTATATTGAAGAACAGTTTTTCCATTATTATCTTTTGCATTGATATTTGCACCATGTGAAATAAGAAGTTCGGCTGTCTCTTTACTATTATATTTTGCTGCAAAATGAAGAGCGGTTTCTCCATATTTATTTTTCTCATTGATATTTGCACCATGTGAAATAAGAAGTTTGATTGTTTCTTTACAATTATTTTCTGCTGCAATAAGAAGAATGGTTTCTAGTGGGCCATTTAGTTCATTGGCATTTGCACCATGTGATATAAGAAATTCGACCATTTCTGTATTATTATCACGTGCTGCAATATGAAGAGCAGATTGTCTATCTTCGAGTTTATTGATATTTGCACCTTGTGAAAGAAAATATTCAGAAAGTGATAGAATATTGAATGTTGCGGAATAAATAAAACATTTGTTAAAATCATTAGTTTGATCGAAATAAACTAAAAAGGCTTCAAGATTTTTGCATTTTCCACATTCTTGTAAATCGATTTTTAGATAATATTCATTCATCAAAAATGTAACAAAATCAATGTTGTGTGAAATAATTGCATATTCCATGAAATAACTATTTGGTGTTTGATATTTCAAACATTCACTCATGATCCCTGGATTTCTTCCTAAAAAAGAAAATATTAGACATACATAAGTTATTTCTGAGTTAAATTTCGTTCTTAAGAACTTGAAACAATCAACTGCTCCGTGGTAACAACATAACTCAAGCAATGAATATTCTCTGGAAAAATATGGATATAATCTGCTTTTTAGTGTTTGATCTTTATCAAATCCATCTCTTTCGGTGAAAGAAATAAATTTTTCTTTGTCATTATACATAATTGCTCTGTAAATTGTATCTTCAGAAGAAATATCAAGATTTACTGGATTAATTTCTGCGAAATTAGCAGATTTGTTTAATTTAATTCCATATTCTTTGTAAAACAAGAAGGTTGAAATATGATTAACATTGCTGGCATCTTTGACTTGATAATCATCAGATATGAGTTTGGCAAGAAATAAATATGACTTTGTAAAGCGATTATTATACGGAATGATATCTAAAATATCTCTTATAATATTTTGAGGAAGATATTTCCTTGAATCAATCAATTCTGTTTTGATCATTTTGTAAATAGAGTTTAAATCTTCTACATTTTCCGTTTTCAGCTGATACAACGCAATGTATGCATCGATGTAGTATTTGTACTTACTTCGGAGTTCACTGTATTTATTTTGTTGAATGTTTGATCAGACATGAAAAAAAAATTATATACAATTAAAAATATCTTTGAAATTCATTAGGATAAAAAATTATGTGCTAAGTATATGGAGAAGAATGATCTCAAACATTTCAGATTAAATTGATGAAAAATGATTAAGCCCAAATATACGAAATTAAGGATCTCGTTTAGAAAATGGTACACCAGAGTTCAAGTTCGCAAAGTTTGTTTCAGAAAACCCAGGCAAGAACGCTAAGGAACTCACAGCCGAATTCACAGCTGCCTTAGAGAAGATCTATCCAGCTCCACTCCCAGTCAAGGCCCAGTCCATGGCAGCCCCATGCTTCGGCAAGGCCAAACAAGCCGGCTACATCAAAGTCGATGGTGGCAACGTCGTTCCAGCCGATATCTCAAAAGACAAGGTCCAAGAACTCCTTGCTGACTTCGAAGCAGGCAAGCAGATCAACAACAAGGATGTTACAGATCTTACGAAGCGTGGTCTTATCGCCAAGGTCAACGTCAACTATTTCATCCTCCACAAAGGTGATAAATTCGTTGACTCCATGGACAAGGTCAAGAAGGCTGTTGCCGAGCTTACAGAAGATATGGTCAAGTCAGGCGAATGGCAGAACGTTGATTTCGCTCCACTCAACTTCGAAGCACAAGGCACAAAGATCCCATGCGGCCACGAGCATCCACTTCTCAAAGTTCGTGCAGAATTCCGTAACATCTTCTTCCAGATGGGCTTCGAAAAAATGGACACATCCAAGTGGGTTGAGAACTCATTCTGGAACTTCGACTCTCTCTTCCAGGGCCAGCAGCATCCATGCCGTGATATGCACGATACTTTCTTTCAAACCCAGAGTTCGCACAGCCAATCCCAGACCACGACTACTTCCTCCGCGTCAAGGATATGCACGTCAACGGTGGCAACGGCTCAATCGGTCTCCGCTACGACTTCTCTGAGCAGATTCCACTCACAAACATCATGAGAACACATACAACAGCAGTTTCATCAAGAACACTCAAGATGCTCGCTGACGAGTTCAAGGCAACAGGAGAACTCCGCCTACGCAAGTTCTTCTCAATCGATAGAGTTTACAGAAACGAAACACTTGATGCTACACACCTTGCTGAATTCCACCAGGTCGAAGGCTTCATCATTGACAAGAACCTTTCCCTTGGCGACCTCATGCGTAACATTAGAGAATTCTTCTCTCGTATCGGCCTCAACGACATCTCCTTCAAGCCAGCTTACAACCCATACACAGAGCCATCAATGGAAATCTTCGCTTACCACCCAGGTCTCGGCAGAGAAATCGAAATCGGTAACTCTGGTATGTTCAGACCAGAAATGCTCGAATCAATGGGAATTCCAAAGGAGTACACAGTCATCGCTTGGGGATTCGGCCTCGAAAGACCAACAATGATCGAATACAAGATCGATGAAATCAGAAAACTCGAAGGACCAAACGTTTCACTCGACCTCATCGAGAACGTTCCAATGTGCCGCCTTACATTCTAAACATATCCTTCTTCTTCTCATCAAAAATTTATTTTTTTTTTAATTTTTATTATTAAATTGTAAAAAAAAATTGTTTTCACGAATAAAATCAGGGCTAAAAACTTAATTGATTATTTGTTATTTCTTTTCGAAAGCCGAAGAGAAGAATCTTCTGATGAAAGAATACTTTTTCGCACCATGTGAAATAAGAAATTCAGCCATTTCTTTATGATTCTCATCAACTGCAATATTAAGAGCGGTTTTTCCATCATTATCTTTTTCATTGATATTTGCACCATGTGAAAGAAGAAGTTCGGCTGTTTCTTTACTATTATTTTCTGCTGCGTAATGAAGAGCTGTTTGCCCATTTTTATCTTTTTCATTGATATTTGCACCATGTGAAAGAAGAAATTCAGCGTTTTCTTTATGTTTACAAAATGTTGCAATATGAAGAGCGGTTTGTCCGTCATTATCTTTTTCATTGATATTTGCACCATGCGAAATAAGAAGTTCGGCTGTTTCTTTACTATTATTTTCTGCTGCGTAATGAAGAGCTGTTTGCCCATTTTTATCTTTTTCATTGATATTTGCACCATATGAAAGAAGAAGTTCGACTGTTTCTTTACGTTTACAAAATGCTGCAGCATGAAGAGCGGTTTGCCCATTTTTATTTTTCTCATTGATATTTGCACCATGCGAAATAAGAAGTTTGACTATTTTTTACGATTATTCCATGCTGCATAATGAAGAGCTGTTTCTCCATTTTTGTCTTTTTCATTGATATTTATACCATGTGAAATAAGAAGTTCGACTGCTTCTTTATTATTTCTACAGTATGTTGCAGAATGAAGCGCGGTTTTTTCTTGATTATTTTTTTCATTGATATTTGCTCCATGCGATATAAGAAGTTCAGCTGTTTCTTTATTATTATTTTCTGCTGCTCTGTGAAGAGCTGTTTCTCCATTTTATCTTTTTCATTGATATTTATACCATGCAAAATAAGGAGTTCGGCCATTTCTTTGCGACTATTATTGCATGCTGCAAAATGAAGAGCGGTTTGCCCATCATTATCTTTTTCATTGATATTTGCACCATGTGAAATAAGGAGCTCTGTCGTTTCTTTACTATTATCATAATTTGTTGTATATTGAAGAACAGTTTTTCCATTATTATCTTTTGCATTGATATTTGCACCATGTGAAATAAGAAGTTCGGCTGTCTCTTTACTATTATATTTTGCTGCAAAATGAAGAGCGGTTTCTCCATATTTATTTTTCTCATTGATATTTGCACCATGTGAAATAAGAAGTTTGATTGTTTCTTTACAATTATTTTCTGCTGCAAGAAGAATGGTTTCTAGTGGGCCATTTAGTTCATTGGCATTTGCACCATGTGATATAAGAAATTCGACCATTTCTGTATTATTATCACGTGCTGCAATATGAAGAGCAGATTGTCTATCTTCGAGTTTATTGATATTTGCACCTTGTGAAAGAAAATATTCAGAAAGTGATAGAATATTGAATGTTGCGGAATAAATAAAACATTTGTTAAAATCATTAGTTTGATCGAAATAAACTAAAAAGGCTTCAAGATTTTTGCATTTTCCACATTCTTGTAAATCGATTTTTAGATAATATTCATTCATCAAAAATGTAACAAAATCAATGTTGTGTGAAATAATTGCATATTCCATGAAATAACTATTTGGTGTTTGATATTTCAAACATTCACTCATGATCCCTGGATTTCTTCCTAAAAAAAGAAAATATTAGACATACATAAGTTATTTCTGAGTTAAATTTCGTTCTTAAGAACTTGAAACAATCAACTGCTCCGTGGTAACAACATAACTCAAGCAATGAATATTCTCTGGAAAAATATGGATATAATCTGCTTTTTAGTGTTTGATCTTTATCAAATCCATCTCTTTCGGTGAAAGAAATAAATTTTCTTTGTCATTATACATAATTGCTCTGTAAATTGTATCTTCAGAAGAAATATCAAGATTTACTGGATTAATTTCTGCGAAATTAGCAGATTTGTTTAATTTAATTCCATATTCTTTGTAAAACAAGAAGGTTGAAATATGATTAACATTGCTGGCATCTTTGACTTGATAATCATCAGATATGAGTTTGGCAAGAAAAAATATGACTTTGTAAAGCGATTATTATACGGAATGATATCTAAAATATCTCTTATAATATTTTGAGGAAGATATTTCCTTGAATCAATCAATTCTGTTTTGATCATTTTGTAAATAGAGTTTAAATCTTCTACATTTTCCGTTTTCAGCTGATACAACGCAATGTATGCATCGATGTAGTATTTGTACTTACTTCGGAGTTCACTGTATTTATTTTGTTGAATGTTTGATCAGACATGAAAAAAAAATTATATACAATTAAAAATATCTTTGAAATTCATTAGGATAAAAAATTATGTGCTAAGTATATGGAGAAGAATGATCTCAAACATTTCAGATTAAATTGATGAAAAATGATTAAGCCCAAATATACGAAATTAAGGATCTCGTTTAGAAAATGGTACACCAGAGTTCAAGTTCGCAAAGTTTGTTTCAGAAAACCCAGGCAAGAACGCTAAGGAACTCACAGCCGAATTCACAGCTGCCTTAGAGAAGATCTATCCAGCTCCACTCCCAGTCAAGGCCCAGTCCATGGCAGCCCCATGCTTCGGCAAGGCCAAACAAGCCGGCTACATCAAAGTCGATGGTGGCAACGTCGTTCCAGCCGATATCTCAAAAGACAAGGTCCAAGAACTCCTTGCTGACTTCGAAGCAGGCAAGCAGATCAACAACAAGGATGTTACAGATCTTACGAAGCGTGGTCTTATCGCCAAGGTCAACGTCAACTATTTCATCCTCCACAAAGGTGATTAAATTCGTTGACTCCATGGACAAGGTCAAGAAGGCTGTTGCCGAGAGCTACAGAAGACGATAGAGCATGGTCAAGTCAGGCGAATGGCAGAACGTTGATTTCGCTCCACTCAACTTCGAAGCACAAGGCACAAAGATCCCATGCGGCCACGAGCATCCACTTCTCAAAGTTCGTGCAGAATTCCGTAACATCTTCTTCCAGATGGGCTTCGAAAAAATGGACACATCCAAGTGGGTTGAGAACTCATTCTGGAACTTCGACTCTCTCTTCCAGGGCCAGCAGCATCCATGCCGTGATATGCACGATACTTTCTTTCAAACCAGAGTTCGCACAGCCAATCCCAGACCACGACTACTTCCTCCGCGTCAAGGATATGCACGTCAACGGTGGCAACGGCTCAATCGGTCTCCGCTACGACTTCTCTGAGCAGATTCCACTCACAAACATCATGAGAACACATACAACAGCAGTTTCATCAAGAACACTCAAGATGCTCGCTGACGAGTTCAAGGCAACAGGAGAACTCCGCCCACGCAAGTTCTTCTCAATCGATAGAGTTTACAGAAACGAAACACTTGATGCTACACACCTTGCTGAATTCCACCAGGTCGAAGGCTTCATCATTGACAAGAACCTTTCCCTTGGCGACCTCATGCGTAACATCAGAGAATTCTTCTCTCGTATCGGCCTCAAAATTAGACTCGTTTCCTTTTTCTTTGGTATGAGATTTAATAATCTTGTTATGTTAAATTTATGAAACAAGATTAAGCCCAAATATATGAAATTAAGGATCTCGTTTAGAGAAAAGTCTTCTTCGGCTCTAAAATTCATGAAGAAGAAATTTTACAAATTGTTACAAATTAGCAAAATAAACAACTAATGGATTCCTACATGTAAATGAAACTCAGTTTGTGCTCAAACTAGGTGTGGAGTAGGTTCTTGTCAATTATATAATATTAAATCCTCCAAAGTTCTTTCAATTACTTTCAAAGAGAGGATGAATTAATAAACGTACATTTGATGGATGTTCTTCAAAAAATTTCACAAGCCCTTCAAGATAAAGACGTAGAGATAAATGACAATGAAAAGAAAATTAACGAACTTATTGATACCTTAGCAACTAACAATGGTTTTACAAAATATCAAGATATGAAAATTCAAAATTTAATGGAATACTATGGAAATATTCGAGCTCAAATTATCCAATTAGATGCAAATAAGATAAAATTGGATAATAAAACAGAAAGGTTCCAATCTAAAATTAAATCAATCGAAATTAAACTTAGTCACTTAACAGAAGAGCATCAAAACTTATATTTTTACTATGAATCACTCCAAAAAGAGCTAAGTAATCAAGTAAATGAAAGGAATGAACTTAAAAATAGGCTTGAAAAAGAGAAAAATGACAAATTAAACAATATTATAATTCTCAAGGTTTCATTGAATGATAGGCTTAACGAAATTAAAGCAAAAACAGCTACAATTGAATCAATTAAAAATGAAACAAAAGCTAATACTGAAACAGAGATTAAAAAGCTTGAAATGAAGTCAAAAACTGACACAAAACTTATGAATGAAAAGATCAAAGAATTAAAAGACGAAAACACTCAATTGCAAAAAGAACTTAGGACTAAATCTCAACAAAAAGACATTGATATTAGAACTGAGTTAGCAGATTTGTCCAAGAAAAAGAAAGAAGTATCAAACGAAATGAAAGATTTGATTGAAGAATATAAATTACAAATAAAAATGTTTGAAAATGAAAAAAATGACAGAGAACGAAGATATCAAAGTCTGCAAAGCAAATATAGTCACATCAGAAGCTTAAGTAATAATAATGAACCTAACAGTCATGAAGGAACAAATGAGATATTCAGAGCAGATAAAATGAGCCAAAGATTTAAAAATGAGATTCTAAGAAATAAAGAAAAATATGATCGATGCAAACTGCTTCTGCAAGCACTAGAAGTTGATCATAAAAGTATAAAAGAAAAAATAAATATTGTTATTAAACAAAAGACAGAAAAAGAAAAGCAATGGTTCGAAGGATCCAAAAAAGTTGAAGAATTTGAAAAATCTATGAACGAAAAGAGATCAAAATGCGAAGAAAGAACTAATAGATTGAAGCAGAAGTTAATTGAAGCAAAATATCTTCTAGAGAATGGAGACCTGCAGATACAAGAGCTAGAATTTCAAAGGAAAAAGTTAATCATTGACTACAAAGAAGTCAAAAGGAGATCGCAAAAAGTTGCCAATCGTTTTTCATTTCTTCAAAATGAAGTAAATGAAATGACAGAAAAGATTAAGAAGCAGAGAGTAGAGAACATAAATAATGCTTTCAAAGCACCTCAATCTAAGCAAAAATCAGAGCATAGCTTAGATTTTGATTCTATTATAATGGAATCAACCGAAAGCACCAAACATTTAAGTGAAATCGAAGATTTAGAGTCATTGAATAGTATAGGAACACTTCCTGAAATGAATAATATTGTTAAAGAGGCAAAAGATGGTTTAGATAAGTTTTTGCAAGAATTAGATGCTGAAAGGGAAAAAGTGAATGCCATGAAATCTGAAGGATCTGAATATTATAATCTAGTTGAAAAGAATAAAGAACTTAAAGAGAAGTCTGAACATTTCAAAGTGATGAATGAAGAAATTATTGAAATGAGAAAAAGAAAGAACTTGTTAACTAGTGATTCAGGAAAGAAACCTTTATCTAATATATAATATTTAATGATTGTTGATAAATAAATTGTTTGTATTTTTGAAAATTAATAATAAGCAAAATTAGACCTTAAATCTGATAACCTTTGTTGGATCAGCTCAAATTTTTATTGTTTTTTAAGATAATTTGTGAGAAATTCAAATAAATTTATTGTTGGTCATACGAATTATACAAAAATAATCCGAGATTGTTTAATAACAGTCTATATACAAACAAATTTTATTCTAACATGATAAAGTCGAATCGATATTATCAAGTAATCTGTCAACTTTGCTATCGACGTAAGAAGTAGCAAGACTAGCATTGTATCTTTCTACGTCCATTTTTCTGATGGTTTCTGTTAATAAAATAGGATCTTGTAGCAAACGAGCGCTGGCACGTAATCTGTTGTTTTCTTTTTCGAGATTTGCCTTTTTCTTCCTTAGTACTTCCATCTCCATCATTAATTCCTCTTCTGATTTGAGCATAATAGAGTAATCAATGATTGCCGACGGAGTTTTCTTCATTTCCATCTTCGACTCGGGAGTAATTTGCTTGACTGGTTCGAAGAACATCGGTTGGCGTTGAACTGGTGCAGTTAATCTCCAATATACGTTGTGATCTGGTGAAACAAAGTTAAGGAAAACTGGTTGGTTGTTTTCAAGCATGACTAAAGCATTTTGTATATCAAACTTATTAATGGGGCAAAAGCCAAATTGAGCACTTAATATGAAAGAAAGCTCATTATAAATTTCATCAATCGTAATACCCATTTCTCTTCCGCCTCCTCGTATAGTTTTTCGAGCAACGATTTCTTTTACGTATGCATGAATGATATGAAAGTTTAAATAAGAAGCTTGGTTAGGAAACATTTGCAGATTTTGTTGATTTTCATGTCACATGTCATTAATTGAATGAAAGCGATGTTTCTTGAATCTTTATGAAAAGTAATCGAAATCAAATATAATATTGATAGAAAGACACGCCAAAATATTTAGATTTCGGAATTTCTTCGACGAAATTACTATAAAATGGAATAAAAAAATGTCTATAACCCATTTGATATATCACATAATGGTGGAGTACTTGGCATTAGCAAAGATAAAGAATGCTGCTGTTGAAGGGTAATCCTTTTGCATAAAGTATTACTACTAAATTAACTAGAAATAGCTCATATGACAAAAGTTATTCAAGAATTTTGGGAAAAAAATTACAAAATTATACCACGTGAATTGTAATATAATTTAGAATTTTCATATAATATTATTAAATCAAAGCTTCTATTTATAAATACAATGAAAAGTTAATTAAATAGTAACTTTATTCTTAGTTTTCAATAATTTCACGATATTGTTCAACAAATTTTTCCTTTTTCTTTTTGATTTCTTCAATTTTTTCGATTTTTTCTTTTGTATCTTCAATATTATATGCATCTATTATCACGTCTATAATGCTTTTGACTTCCTTTAATGCTTCTGGATATTTTCCTCCTCTTACTTTTGAACGGTATTCAGTAAATACGTCTTCTAACTCTTGGAGTTCATTTTCTGGATCTTTTTTATCCATTCCTGTGATTGAACGAGCTTGTTCGATCTGTTCATTTGTAAGAGTTGCATGTTTGTTCTCTAGTTCTGTGAGATTGTATTTTTCTTCATGAGCATCGTTTTCTTTGCCTTTGATTGAATGATAAAGGTGCAATATGTTTTGCTCATCAACCATGAATGTAATTTCGACATGTTCCTCTCCTTTCTTCTTCTTTTCAAGGCCTGTGATTAGATATTTTCCGATCTCCTTGCACTTTTCGATATCTTGTTCATTGCCTTGGAAAATTCTCAAATCGATCGAATCCACATAATCATCAACTGTTTTGAATGTTTTCTTGACTGGACCTGCTGGAAGTCTTGTTCCTTTCTTAATCATTGGATAGAATTTATAATATCTCTCTTGTCTTATCCTCAATCCATATGAAATAGAAACACAATCATACTGGACAATTTCATTTGTTGGAGCTTCAGCGTCTGGTGGAGTTGATTGTGAACTTCCTACACTATTCGTTGAATTTGCCCGCACAATTCCTGAATATCTTGGTGCAGATTGTTGTTGATTTCCAACAGCATTTGTTGAAGTTGTTCTCTGAATTTCTTTACTTGCTTGAGATGTCGGTGCAGCATTAAATTGATTTGGTTGTGGAGTTATTGCAGCATTAAATTGATTTGGTTGTGGAGTTATTGCAGCATTAAATTGATTCGTTTGTGGAGTTGTTGTAGCATCAAATTGATTTGGTTGTGAAGTTATTGCAGCATTAAATTGATTCGTTTGTGGAGTTGTTGTAGCATCAAATTGATTTGGTTGTGAAGTTATTGCAGCATTAAATTGATTCGTTTGTGGAGTTGTTGTAGCATCAAATTGATTTGGTTGTGAAGTTATTGCAGCATTAAATTGATTCGTTTGTGGAGTTGTTGTAGCATCAAATTGATTTGGTTGTGAAGTTATTGCAGCATTAAATTGATTTGGTTGTGGAGTTGTTGTAGCATTAAATTGATTTGGTTGTGAAGTTATTGCAGCATTAAATTGATTCGTTTGTGGAGTTGTTGTAGCATCAAATTGATTTGGTTGTGGAGTTATTGCAGCATTAAATTGATTTGGTTGTGGAGTTGTTGTAGCATCAAATTGATTTGGTTGTGGAGTTATTGCAGCATTAAATTGATTTGGTTGTGGAGTTGGTCCAACATTTGGTGGAGGTGCTTGTGGAGTTGGTGCTGCAGGTTGTGGATCTACACATAGAACCGGTGCTGAGACTTTCTTTGGCTTAAATTCAAGGTAAGATTTATAAGCTGCTCCAAGTGCGACAGCGTTCAAAGGATTGACTGAATCCAATATTTTACCTTCGAATTTCTCTTCAAGTTTATCTCTCACGTAATAGATAAGTGATGATCCGCCAACGAGAATGATGTTGTCAAGTTTATCTATTCCACCATTTCTTTTAAGAATTTCTTCGACTAATGCAATTGTCTTGTCAACCAATGGATCAAGTATTTGTTCGAATTCTCTGCAGGTCATTGTGACTTCGAGAATTTCTTTAGCTGTACTTTGGATGGATATCTTCTGTATTCTGAAACTTGGTGAAAAAACCTTCTTTGTCTTTTCTGCTTCCTCCAAAATACTGTATTTGATGTTCTCTATTTCTTGATCATCAATTGAATATTGTTGCTTGATTTTCTGAACAACTAAATCAACAATTTTATTATCAATGTCACGACCGCCTAAGTGGGGATCGCCATGATTATCTTTCACTTCAATTGTTGTTCCTTTGATTTCAACAAGTGAAAGATCAAACGTGCCGCCACCGAAATCGTAAATGAGGGCGCGAGCATTGGCTGTACTAGCTGTGTGTACAAAGCAAATGGAAGCAGCAGAAGGTTCCTTGATTAATGTAACTTTTTCAGGATGAGGGAATTTGGCAATTTTTATTGCATTCCTGACATCCGTGGTTTCTGCTTCATCAAAATTAGCAGGAACTGTAATGATAACATTATCTAACGGGATACCCTTTTTTTCAAGTTGTTGACGAAGGTAATCAAGGATTGTTGCAGAAACTTGATATGGGAATATTTCTCTGTCTCCATCTAGTTTGATTACGGGTTTTGAGTCTTTTTCTATGACATCAAATGTCCAGTTCGGAATATCTTCCTTAATCTGGTCGTAAGATTTGCCAAGCATTCTTTTGCTATCATAAACAACATTCTTGATCTTATCTTTGAATTTCATTTGTTGTTGAGCTTGATAGCCAACTGAATTGAATTCGCCGTAGTAGACTCTTGATGGAATGGTGCTAGTTCCATTGAATTCAATGGTTTCCAGCTTATTATTTTCATATTTAGCTACACTACAATATGTTGTACCTAAATCTATACCAATATAAACCGGCGGCTGTTGGGGTTTCTCTTTTTCAGTCATCTAAAAATTTTGCCAACATTTTTCAAAAAAAAATGTGTTGTAAAATCTTAATGTGATAAAAATGGTTTTGAAAATGATATCTTATTTGTTTTGTGTTTGCTAATCGCAAAAAAAAATAATCTGATCGATACTCGATTAAATAGAACATCTATATTCTTTTCACTCAATAAACTAGGCATTAAAGCGCTTTTCTGGGAATAATCTATGGCCTGAAGTGCATAATTTATGTAATATTTAAAAATTTATGAATTGAAAATCTCTAAAGCCATATTTCCAGTTCTAAATTGTCAGATATGGAACTCGGGTTGAGAAGGGATCATTCGACTGATTCTATCACATTGATGAAAATTAGAAGCAAAAAGATATTATGTTTTCTTCAAAAATAGGTGAGTGATTTCGAACGACAATACAAATATTTAGAATTGGGAAACAATAAAAAGATAATAAAAAAATAACATAATATATGAGAATAAAACAATTATAATGTTTCAACATACAACAATCTAATCTACATTTGCATTCCTATACAATTTTAAATTTATAGGAATAATAATTGTAAAAAATCATTCTCTAAGCAAAATTATCGAATAATTGTTCTTTTGCTGTAGTAAGAGGAACATCTTCTCCATCTTTTTGAATATCAAACTCGTTGGATTTTTTCTTGGGACAAATATAAGGTTTAATAGCTGATGGAACGCCGGAGAATACAACAATGCATGCAACTATATCGAATATTATCTGTTTCGCTGAAAGAGGTGCTTGATAGCATACTAACACATCATTTGGAGCCCAAACTTGCCCATCAAGTGATATAGACACGTATACCGACTTATTTGAAGGAGGTGAGATACAAAGAAATTCTTCTCCAGCAATTCCTGCAGGTACAATATTCTTCCCAAATCTACAATTGCCTTGTTTTTGTAATATTTTGGATGGTGAAGCAAAAACTATATGTACTTCCTGTCCTCCTTTTGGATTGAGAATTAAAGGAGTTACTTTAACAATATTTAGTAATATTGATTTCTTTTGTTCTGTTTGTGGTGGAATTCCGAGTTCTGCATTTGATTTGGAGCTTTCAAAATATTGAGGGACCTTTTCTGAAGGTTTTTGTTCATTATTTGGTGTTTTCATATCTAATTTTCCTGCTTCGGAACTGTTTTGTATGTGATTTGTTATATTATTTTCTATTTTTGTTAGATTTGCATCTATATTTGTGGTGTTACAGCCAATGTTAATTGTAAACAGAAAGATATTCATTAATAAATTTTAACAATAATTTTCGGAAAAGTGACAAAATCGAAATCAATTCGATAAAAAAAATCATGAATATTTCATCTGAATTCTTCATTTGTAAAGTTGAAATATATGAATTCATACTCTTCAAAAGAAGATTAGATAAAATTTTAAATGAAATATATAAAAAAAGGTCCAAAATAACTGTGGACCGTTAAAGAAGTTAGAGAAGCTGGTACACATATGAATATTTACTTTATAACTAAAATGAGCAATAAATTTCCGTGTAGCATTCATAATGAGTGGTATTTTATATTAAAAAGAATAGGGCTTGATTGGTATGAATGAATAAAATGTCCCAGTGAACATAAAAAACAAGGTTTGAATATTGATCTGTATTTGAACGAATAACTTTGTAAGGTGATGACCAGTCTACCTCTACATGTTTAAGGATACGACTCTAATGAAAAAATACAAACCATGAAAATTATAAACTTTTTCAAATTGATAAACTTCAGTTGACATGGAAACAATGTTATCGTCGTATTTAAAAGTTGACGGATCATCAGCTAAAGTGCAACGGACAAAGGTATTTGGCAGCTCTTCCCTGTATTTTTCATAAAAATTATTGTAAAATTTTGTTATTCGTTCATCTGGAGCCATATTTATGTCATCAAGAGATTCACCTACCATTTCTTCTATTGAATTCGAATATTCAAGAAAACTGCTCATATGCAATTGTGTTTTTTTAGTAAAATAAAAAAAAAAAATTAATTTGACACCAAAAAAAATAAAATGATTTCTCACATTTTGCTCTGGTTTGGCTTACGATGGAAATTTGTGTAATGATTTTTTTTATTGTATTCAAATAAAAATGTGACACACTCACTTTTTCCCCAAAAAAAAGATGTTTGCTGTTGTCGGAAATAACAATCTTCTGTTTTCTATGGAGTTGACTGCTCTTGACCCAGCTGCAACAGAAAAATCATACCAATACCAATTCATCCTTTATGCTTCTTTAGATTCTCTTGATCTTAAAGACCAGAACGCTTTCCGCGATTGCATTGATACATCAGAACAAAATTCCATTAGTGCTTATGTCACAGCTGGACAGACAGCTTTCCTTCTTCTTCATCCTAAGAAAAAGTCTGATTTAATCAAGAAATTCTTCAAACAAATTCACACAGCTTATGCTGAATTGCTTATGAATCCATTTTACCAAGTCGGATCTCCAATCGAAGATGACAAATTCAAAAAGGCCGTTGCTGATTCCGTCAGTATTATTGTTGGCTAATTCTTCTATTATTAAATCTATGTTTTACATATCTACAATTATTTTTGTTCTGATTGTTCTTATCCGGATGAGATTCCATGATGAATATTGAGTTTAGAAATTTATTCACGCGTTGAAACCAAAATGGAGTCTATCAACTCCATTTAAGCTGAGAATTATGGGATCTTTTTGTTAATAGAATAGAATGCATTCTATTAAGATAAGTATATTTGTTTACTAAATATGTTAGATTATTATTCATTTCAAGCCAATACAATACGTTGCAGCTGTAAGCTTTTTTCAATGGTTTAGTCATGAGTATTATCAGGAAATTATTAATGATTATTTGCTTAACGAAGGATATATCACATAATGAAATTGATATGAGCTAATGCATTGGTTTTTGCAAATATACTGTACTTAAAAGAGTCTTGTTTAGAAAAATGAAACAGATTGACTCAACATTGCAGAACATGCTTTTTTCAAGTTAGATTATACCACTATGAAACCAACTCTTTTTGAATCTGTTTAATCTTTGGATTTGTTCAAAAATCAAATTCGTCGGGCGCCAAAATTGTCACGTTTAGATTGAAATTTCTGTGAATGGAAAGCAATCTCAAGGAATGCCTCCGAATTACAGATATTTTAATTGCGCATCCCTTGAGCAAAATGTTTTCCAGGCCAATTGACCCTGAAAAAGATGGTGCTCCTGATTATTATGAAGTTATAAAAAATCCTCAAGATTTAGGAACCATCAGGCAGAAACTTCTGGACCGCAAGTATACCCGAATGGAAGATTGGATCTCTGACATACGACTTGTTTGGTCAAATTCCATTCAATATAATGGAGAATTATCATTTATTGCGGATATCGCTAGATTTCTTTCCAAAATCTTTATAAAACAACTACTCGAGATAGGGCATGCTAACGTTTCAGAGTGGAGTCAAGCTGTCACAGATTACTACGATAAAATTACAAAACAGCTAACAAATTCTCCAGAAATTTTAGCAAAATACTATTCAAAATATGACTTCACAAAGAAGAGTTCATCTAGTGATCTAAAAGATTTGGCTGACAATGGACTTTTCTCTTCAAGCTCAGAAATTTTGCATGTTTTACAAATTCTTGCCCTTAGTGGTGTAAATATCGATTCTCAGAAAGATGATCTTAGTATTGATCTCACACAGCTCCCAGAATCTGCAATTGATGGAATTTCTAACTACATAAAAGATCTGAAGAGAAAAAAGAAGCCAGGAAAGTGACTGGTCTATTATTTATTAGTTTTAATGAAATGCATTGGCTTATTGAAATATTATTGTTCATGTAATAATCTTTGCTGTTATATTAATATAAAATGTTTAGAGTTAATTATATCTTTCTACTTTTTTAATCTATGCCATTTCTATATGATTAAAACTCAATATTTGATAAAAAATATTAAAATTTTGTTTAAAAATCTGTATTCACAGCTATTTTTATAAATAGCTTTAGTTATCTGTAGCAATAATGTTGCATGCTAAGATCAGTCATAATGTAAACCTCTCAATTTTATTGTCGTGGGAAGTATCTCAATTCCTTCAAAAAAATTGAAAAACTATTTAATTTTAAAAATATAATACTTTTAATTAGTTAATTAATTGGAGATATTTTTTAAAAATCACTTTTGATAATACTTTTGAGAACTTTAATTAAAAAAATATATTCAAAAATATCCAGGATATCAAGAGGGAATTGTTCCTTATGAGGTATATAGTTATGATGTATACCTCATAAGGAACAATTCCCTCCTTAAAATCGTAGACATTTTTATACTTATTAATCAACCATTCAAAATCATATTCCTCTGAAAAGTTATTTTATTAAAAATTTAGAATTTTAATAAATATAGAGTTTGAATTTCATACAATAACTATATATTTTCAATAATGGAATTTGAAAACCATTCTCAAAAGTTCTCAGAAAACCTTTTTTTCATTAATTTTAAGAAATCTGAGTATTAAATTAAGTGATAAATTCGTTTGACACTACTTTAATTTTTAAATTCAAAAAATTATATGTGCTTCTTAAAATGACTCAAAAAATTTATTATAAAATAATATATAATATTAAAAATCCCACAACATTTTTTTACTTTACATAATCGTACTTCCTCGACGATTAATTTCCACTCAATTTCTATCGTTGACCGAACTTAGCATGCAACAATAATGCGACTAGTCTGCATTAATTTGTTAATATTATATGTCAATTTTTATTTTTTTACGGACAAAGTGCATAAAATCTAATATTGCTAGTCAAAAGCATAACTTCTATATTAGGTACACTAAGTAACCAATAATGTGTCATTACTCCCAAAGTGCATTAAGCAATTTTTTTATTAAACAAGCCTACAGAATGAATTTCATGCGTGCGGTGGAGAGTTGATGCGAGCGCAAGAAAAATAATACCTAATTTGCTTTCGAGAACTATTTGTTAATAATCGATTTCAATGGGAAATTTGATGAAACTTATTGACTTCAAAAAAATAAAAGTGTCATCGTTGCCATTATTTTGGTCCCTCATGCCAATGCGATTTTATAAAATGCTAAAATATAGGGATCCGAAATCTGCGATCTGATTATAATAACAAAAAGATTTGAAGACTCATTCAAAACCTGATCCACAAAATTAATCCGAGAAATGACATATTTCCTTTGGAAAAAATCCCTCCATAAAAATCTTTTTCATAGAAAATGTTACGGGTAGAAAGTTCAAAAATTTGAAAGTATTCAAAACTCAATAAAAAAATATGAATCATCAGGATGCAATTATAGAGCAGAGTGCCTTTCAAGAAGCTCAGCTTGTCATTAAGCTTCAAGAATGGCTAATAAATATATCTCCTGCTTCTTTACCACAAATTGCCCATGATCTATTGTTGTCTGTGTTTGTCCAAGATCAAGATAGGATATTCCAATTACTTTGGAATATCATAAACTCAGTTTCTATCCGTCCAAAAAACATTCAATTATATGTAAATTTAATAGTCGAACTTGATTCTCATTCAAACGAAATAAGTACGCTTTCATTAATCCGCCCATTAATTGTACGAATGTTACTAACTCCAAAACCATTCATAGAACAATTTTTGTCAAACGTCGGAGATTTTTTATTTCTTAGAAGATTAATAAAAGCATTAAATATGACAACCACTGACGTTGTGGCACAACTACGACACTTTTGCGAGATGCATGAAGATCTTAAATACTACCATTGCTTAATATTCGCGATATTTGCACCTGAAATTCAAATTGCCGACACTCAGCTGTTTTCAACGTTGCGTAATTTGTTTTATGAAGAGTGGGCGGCTCCATCTTGCAAGCCAGTTCTTAAAGATTTTTTCGATAATATTACAAATCTTAATCGAAATAACTGGAGGTTGCTACAAGAATGCTACCTATCCGGAGGCTATCCAGAATCGATAAATGTAGCAATTAAAACAGATAATATCAATCTTTTTCAAGAATTATCAAATTCGCCAAATTTCTCACTTGATCACCATATTCGTCCTTCAGTATTTGAGTCATGCCACTTCGTCCAAAGCGAACCAAGCCTAATACAATACGCAGCTTTTTACGGATCTTTAAGAATTTTTAAATTTTTACTTCTCAACGGCTCCGATCTCAACCAAGAGGATGCCAACGGATCGACATTGGCCCAATTCGTTGTTGCAGGCGGAAATGTCGAAATGGTTAGAATTTGCCAGCAGCGAAAATGCGACTTTAGCGGATGTCTTCAGATAGCAACACGATTCTACAGATTTGATATATTCGATTGGCTACATTTCGCATATTTAAACGATCTTACAGAAGTACATCCGAAATTCGGAAACGTTTTCCACGAAAGCGCTGCATCAAACAACGTCAGACAGATTATATATTGCATAGATAATACATTGGACGTAGATAGTCGTTCATCTGATAAGTCTACACCTTTACATTATGCCGTGAAAAATCGTGCAGCTGATTCCATCAGATTACTGTTATCTATTAACTCTCTGGATGTCAATGCAAAGGATAGTACCGGAATGACACCTCTACATACAGCAGCTCTCTTCGAAGAATCAAGAATGGTCGTTGAATTACTAAATTGCAACAGAATTGACGTGAATTCGGTCAACAGATGGGGAATGACACCTTTGCATATAGCAGCACAAGATGGAAATACTCAGACAGTATCAGAATTGATAAAAAGACCTGAAATCGATGTAAATTGTAAAGATGAGAATTTTATGACACCTTTACACTACGCAGCACAAGAGGGTGAATTCGAAACAGTCAGAATCCTATTGACAGCTAAGGATATTGATATAAATTGCGAAGATGCACAAGGATTGATACCTTTCTCGTACGCAGAAGCATCTGGTATGGAAGAAATAACTCAATTGTTACAGGATTGGGTGAATACTTAATTGTTTGTATATTATATTTGTTATATATTGTATTTTTTTATAGATTTTTTTTATTATTTTTCCAATGCAGTAAGTGTTGTTGGAAAGATAATTTGATATAGAGAGATTGATGATATTATGTGGTAACAATACCAAAAAAATTGGTTTTTATATAGAAATTGGTTATATCATGTTATTTTATAACTTTGTTAGTTAATAAATAGATAGTATTGTTTATAAATATTCTTGCTTTTTCATTAATTCTGTAATCGATCGAGATTGACAGAGTTCAAAATTTAGGTTAATTTTTATGTCACGTAATCAGAATTATAAATGCCAGATACAAATGATTATGATTTCATCATGATTTTGTGATCTAATGCTTGATTTTGATAATTGTTTTTAATTTTCTCTGTTTTTCTTGGTTTTTAATGTGTTTTTGTTAAATACAGTAGTATACAAATCTAATATTATAATTACATTGTCGTTTTTCTGGATAATAAAAAAATCGGAAATGTAAAAATTGCTATTTCTTTTAAGATTAAATTAGGTTCTAGTTTCACGTCATTTTTTATAAAGATTCATCCATGAAATAAAGTTACAGATCAAGGTTTCAAAAATAATTAATTTTATTCCTTGTAGAAACATAATATATTATATGGCAATATTATTGTAAATCGTGTAATTATATCAAATCCCAAATAAAAATAATACCTATTGTTTTTCATATCACTATAAAAAAGAGATAGCTATCGTTAATTTTCAAATCACATTCAAAAAATGTCGCGTATGCAACAAGCAGGCGAAATTCAGGAGATGACAATGAAGCTTGCATCTCCTGAGCAGAAAGATCGTGATTTTGCTTTCCAAAGACTTGTAGCCCTTGAAGCCCAAAACGTAGATTGCTCAGGTGCTTTCGCAAATGTTTCAGGCTACAGAACAACAGATCCAAAGCAAGAAATCAAGGTCCGTCGTTTTATCGGTATTTACGCAGAGCGCTATGTTGAAGCTCAGCCAAACCTTGCAGATTTAACAGTCCAATTATTAATGAACGAATTCGAGAAGCCAGATCCACAAATGAAGGGTGTCGTTGTCCGCCAGATCGGCCGTATCATCAACGATGCTAACATCGATCGTTTAATCCCAATTGTTATGAGAGCTTGCTCTTCTGATGATCCATACGTCAGAAAGTCAGCTGCTCTTTCTATCTTATCCATCCACCAGTCACGTGCTTCATTCGTCGAGAAATTCAAGCTTGGCGCTCAGCTCAAGAGATTAGTTGAAGATTCTAACCCCAACGTTGCTGCCAATGCTATCTCCGCTCTTCTCGAAATTAACCAGAGCCGCGACCAGCCACTTTTCGAACCATCATTCTCCACAATCAACAACTTACTTGCATCAATCGATCAAACAACAGAATGGGCTCAAGTCCAGATCTTAGATTACACATGCAACTTCAAGCCAGATAACGCCAACGATGCCCGTGGTATCATTTCCCGTGTTTCTACAAGATTATCCCATGCAAATGCCGCTGTCATCCTTTCCGCTATCCGCTGCTGCCTCCAGATGAACCTTTACATCGATGACCCATCCAAGGTCAGAGAAACCCTCACAAGAGTTGCTCTTCCTCTTGTTACATTACTCAACAACACAGCTCCAGTCCAATACGCCGCCATCAAGTCCATTCTCATTCTCCTTCAGCACTACAGACGTCTCTTCTCATCCGAAGTCTCCATCTTCTTCTGCAAGTTCGATGATCCACCATACATCAAATTAGCCAAGCTCGATGTCATCCTTACACTCTGCAGCGCTCAGAATGTCGGCAAAGTACTTGAAGAACTCTTCGATTACGCTCAGCAGGCAGATGTTGAATTTGTCCGCAAATCCATCGCCGCTATTGGTAAAATCGCCATTACATTCGAAGCCGCTGCTTCATCCTGCGTCGACAAGATCGTTGCTCTCGTTGACAACAAGATCGAATACGTTGTTCAAGAATGCATCGTTGTTGCCGCCGATATCTTCAGGAGATATCCAAACCAGTACCTCGGCATTCTCGCCAACATCTGCGGAGCTCTCGGTGCCAAACTTGACGATCATCGTGCCAAAGCCGCCATGGTCTGGATCATTGGTGAATACGCCGACAGAATTGGCAACGCAGGCGATCTTTTGGACGCCCACTTCATCGATGACTTCCTTGAAGATACACCAGATGTACAACTTGCCATTCTCACCGCTGTATTCAAGTACTTCTTAGTCAACCAGGAAGACGGACAAGAGATGTTCCAGCAGGTCATTACAATGGCTACATCACAAGTAGACAACCCATCAATCAGAGACAGAGCGTTCCAGTACTACTGGCTCATTTCTGAGTGCCCAGATTACGCACAGCAAGTCATCATGCCAGAGCAGAAGCCTCTCATCAAGACAGAGCTCTACTCTTGCGATGCTGAACTTGTCAAATCTCTCATTCCTTTGGTCGGCACTTTGTCAGTTTTGTACAACAAGAAGCCACAGGAATTTGTCGACAACGTAAAGATCATGAGTCTCGCAAGCCTCGGCGGAGATGGTGGTGTCGCGGAAGGAATGAATCTCCCAATTGTTGTCGATGGAAAGTCATCGAATTCACTCGAAGTCAGAGCCGCTTTGGTACAGATCGGAAAGGAAAGCCAGATCACTATGAGAATCACAAACTACAATGAGAACGCTGACCAGATCAAGGACATCGCGTTCAACAAGAACATCTTCGGTTACGCACCAGAGAAATCCGGATTCCCGAAGGAGTTGCCATCACAGAAATCAATTTCTGTCACTGTTTCAATTGCATTCGATGCAAGTTACACACAGGGAGCACAGACATCATCAAACTTAGATGTCGCCATTCTCACAAACGCTCCTTCCCCAATCATCTTCCACGTTCCAATGAAACTGGAAACAATCTTGGTCACAGACCAGGAAGGTGGTAAGTTCACAAGAGAAGAGTTCGTCAAGTTCTGGCAGTCACTTCCTCCATCAACAGAACTCACAACAACAGTAGACAACGCAAGAGTCGACTCTATCCCTGTCGCTAAGAACCAGTTCAACTCAAAGAGATTATACTTCAACGCTAAGAAGGATAACACTGCTTACTTCTCTGGAAAGACATCAAAGGGTGAAGGATTGGTCGTTTTCCTCTCATTCTCTGATGGTGGAAGAGTTCAGGCTGGTATCAGAATGCAGGATAGCGTTTTGGCTCCACTCATCCTTGAACTCGTCAAGAACGTAATTCAGTAAAAATTTAAAAAAGTTTTTTTCTTCTTCTAAATTTTATTTTTACAAGAAAATTTATGCCACTTTTCAAGTATACACTTTGCTTTATCTTTATGCTGGGTAAAAGTATCTTTCGGAGCATTTGTATTGGAATTAACATGTAAATATTTCTCTGTATTATTCATGTGGAATATATGAGTTAGAAGATGATCAAATGATAAACATTTTTTGGTTTCAAAACATATTTTGGTTTGAAAAATTAACTTTCTAGAATATGTTTTAAGGGCATTTGAATGTGTAAATTTTGACAACATATTCCATTATGAGATTATCTTTGATTAAGGGTACACGGTCCGGCCAAACGAAAGCTATCGTTAATGCTCAATATGGCCAATATCTAATCATATCTAATAAATCTACATCATATTTATATTCTGTTTTTGATTTTGATCAAAGAATAAGCTTCAAAAAAATCAAGATAAGGAAATTTTTTAATTTCAATTTTGGAATAGTATTGAAAATGTGCCGTGGATGTTTAACTTAATTTACTTTTTAGGAAAGTCGTAAAATTTTTTCCACTATTCAAAAAAAACTGTCAATTACTTATCAAATGAGTAATGTTCTGAATTACTATAGTCAGCACGTTGAAGAGTGGCTTTATAAAGAAGATTTCTTTGAGATGCGAACAAAAGATCAGATTTGTCATATTCTTGACAACGCAAAACTTACAATTCCGCAATTTAATTTGATCCTTAAAAATATTTCTAAATTTTTTAGCAATGAAGACCACTTTGAGATATTGAAGCACATCCATATCAATTTTCTTAACGATGGAATCAATTACTTGTTTGTTTTAGATTCTCTTTCACAACTTCTCAATTTCCCTCTTCTCTCTGAGATAAAAAACCATGCACAAACACTCATCACACCAAAGTCAACTTCTACAACACAAGAAAACACAGATAAACTTAGAGGAATTAGTAAAATATATAAAAGTGATTGGGAACATCGAAATGCAATTTATGATATTCTTAATAAAGCATTACAAGAAGGTGACGAATCTACAATTAAAGTTTCTGTAGATGAAAATATATGCTATTTTTATGACTCTAATAAAAACAATATAATACATTATGCAGTGAATAGGGAAAATCTCAAACTTATTAAGTTATTACAAAAATTTGGTGCAAGAATGGATATTAAGAATGATAATGGAAAAACAATTCTTCATAAATTTTGTGTCTATGGTGGAAATTTAGAAGGTGTGAAATTTGCTCTTAATTTTATTGATATTAATGATAGAACTGGATATTTAAGTACGCCACTTATTGAAGCAGCAATGGCTGGTGAAAGAGTTATAGATTTCCTATTGTCTCAGCCAAATATAGATGTCACGGCAAAAGATGATGAAGGTCATACATATATCGATTATTTAAATGATAAAAATCTAAGTGATCCCTTTTATTATAATTGCAAAGAGAAGGATGTTCATGGGCAAAGTTTCATACTACACTTACAGATAAACAAATAGAAGAGGTTCGGTCAATCACAAGAATGAATTAGAAGACATTATTACAGAGTTACATTCTAAAGTAAAGATGAAAAAATCAAAATGAAATAAAATTTATCAAAAGTGTTAAAGATAAAATAATTGAAACCGTTGTTAAGGAATAAAACAACTTATTTTGTTATTAAAGCATTACATGGTTCCTAATATGGTTTTTATACTTTTTTGGAATTAAAATACACCACATACTGATGTCATGAAAAGAAGTCAGAAAGTGATAAGTACACACCTAATGATAAGAATATATATATATATTAAGGGTGCTCTTACCACTTTCTGACATTCTCTCAATTTTTTTGACATTCTAGATTTTTATCCAAATTTTCTAAGGTAAAAGGTTATTAATTTTGTTCGGGAAGAAGCTATTTTAAATCACTACTTAGTACTTTATATTACTGTTATACTTTTTTGCAATCACAATAAAGATATATTGATATATTATGGGATCATATCAGACAGTAGTAAGTGCACCCTTAAAGAATGCATTTACACCCAGTTGACATCCTCGCGTCTGTCTCTCAAATTATATCCTCCAAAACAATAAAAAAAAATAATTAATAAAAAAATTTTATTTCAAAAAAAAAATGAAAACTTTTTTTCTCTCTCTCTCTCTCTTTGAATTCCTGAAGTAAAAGATAAACAAAAAAAATATATAAAATAATACATAAATTATTAATTGTGTTCCAACCAAAATGCACCACTTCCTTTGTGTCCGTGGTGGTGGCTGTGGTGATGGCTGTGATGATGACTGTGGTGGTGATCTGATTCATCATCTCCATCATCACCTTCGTCGTCGTAATCATCGTACATGTCATCCATGTCGTAATCGTAATCGAAGTAATCTTCCTCTTCTTCGTATGGATCAGGCGGGTCTTCAATGTATCTCAGTCTACTTCTGAGGACAAATACAATGATGAGGACACCGACAAGGAAACAATAGTTGGAAATCGACATCAATGAAAACATAATTCCTAAATTCCTGATGATATATGTTGTGACTAAAAACAGTGGTGTTTGTATTAATGAAATTGTTGGATTGTTTGATGTGATGTTGTAAATGGACTTAGTAAGGAATGTATTGATATCTTCTAACGGTGGTGTCAATAGATTTGTTAAACTGGTTTCAACAGTAGACCCGTAAAAAGTGTCAATATTCTCCCATGTAAAGTCAGTGGCGAATTTACGGGCGTGGTCTTTCATTGAATCGAACGCTATCGGAATTTTTTCATCCAAATTTGTCCTGAGTTGTTCAAGACATTTCTTAATATTATTTATGGATGTGTTGGTTGTTGCATTTTGTGTGTTTGATGCCTCGTCGTCGATTTCATTAATTGTATCGTTAATCTTCTTGTCAAAGTCAGGAATTTGGTCTGAAAGGTCGCGGAGGGTCTGTGCGTTGAGTATGAAGCCGAGTTTGCTGTTGATTTGGTCTGTTGCTTCATAGGAAATGACGCTTTTGGCCGCGTAATGGAGTTTTTCAATGGCATCAGTGTTGATTACGGCCGCAATGTAGTAGAATGGTCCGATCTTGTCCAATTTGAGGAAATTGCCAAGGCCTGCTTTGTACGATGAGTTCAGGAGGTTGCCAAGAGGATCCCAGCCCGCTATTGATGTCTGGTAGAACGGCAATTTGAAGGAATACTTCGTTGTGTCCTCGTGGTAGATCGGGATATCGAATGATGGGTATCCGATGGATGAATTATCAACTAAACTGAGGAGTGTCTGGATCGTGTTGTTGATTGATGGCATAACTTGGTCGTTGACGTGGATAATCAACGTGCAGGCTGTTGTTGATACCGTTCCGAAGATAATTATTAAGATAACGCAAATAAGAGGGAAAATCCAGTTGAATCTTGAGCAGAAAACGCCGCAGAACAGGCCATGGAAGGCAAATATGTAAAGACCAATGAGAATCAACAGTGCAAATGCAAAGACTAAGAAGGCAAGAGCAATGAAAAAGAAATATTTCTTGTATTTCGACAAATCCTTGCCCATTAGGTTGGAAAGAGTAAGATCCTTGTGGCAGAATTCATGGACCTTGTCGAAATATTTAGTTGTATTCAACTTTTCGGAGAAATTCTTTTTATCAATTTCGCCTTGAACGTCGTAGTCCTTTGCCTGCTGGATATAATCATCGATCTTGTTCTTGGCTTTGTTGTACTGCTTGTCAACATCTTCTTTGGCCTTATCTACGTCATCATTTATGTTAACTTTGTTAATTTTGTGTAAAATGGTTGGATCTGAGTTAATATTGTCTATCTCATGATTAATTTGGGAAATGATCTTGGAGATATTGGAGCTTGCGGCGAAAAGTGGGAAAATTGAGCCATCTTTTGTAAGTCCACTGTAAAGGTAGTCAAACTTAGGTCGCAATGTGGTATTTACGTTATCTATAATGGTTAGATATGTCTTGGGAGTGTTGTTGACTGCATCAAGAACTGAAGTTTCAATTGGCTTGATAATGTCTTCAATTACTGTAACATTTGAGTCTAGTTCAGCTAGCGTCTTGTCAATGATTTTATCTATATCAAAGAAAGCTTGTTTTGTTTGATCTAGTTGGTTAATCATAAGGAAGACACAAACTGCGCCAAGGAACAAAAGCAAGATGGATAAGTAGAAGAAGACGAGCTGTAATATCTTTGGAGACCTCTTTTCTACTGGTGAACCACAGCATGAGCAGCAAATACAAAATACTTGTGTAATGAGTGCGATGATGACTAAAGCTACAAGTATGAATGAAGAAAGTGCAAATCCAAGAAGGATTTTAATAGGGTTTTTTGGTACGTCATCTTGGATTTCATTGATAAAAGTGTTGAAATCAAATCCGAAGTCAACGCTTACACTTGGATTTCCGAATTTAACTTGTTTGATAGTATCTATATTCGTTGCATCGATTTTTGTTGGTAATAATGTAGTTAAAGCATCATTCAGAATTTTATACGAGGAAATTTTTGGAGTTGAGTTAGTAGTTGCTCTGGAAAGTGCATTGTTAACCCATTCTTCTAATGGAACTGATAATTGTAAATTAAATTGTGTTACAAATTTTGCTTTTTTAAAGGTAAGTTTCATTAAACTGTAATGCCAATCGGCCCATTTATAGAATATTCCTTTGGTATCCTTATACACTGAATAATTTACTGCAGAAGCGAAAGAAAGCCAAAGAAAAATCATTCTGTTATTTTAGAAAAAAATTTTTTTTCCTCTAAAAAATTTCAAGCTTTTTTTCTGGGGTGTTGAGGTTTTTGAAATCATCTCAATTTCTGCCATATTTAAAAATTAGATTTCATTTAATACTCTGCATGGTAAATTATAATAACTAAACTTTTTGTTTTGAAAATCTATTTTCGACTTTTTCATGAAGCATTTCTCAATTTTCATAAAAAACTGAAGGTTAAATAATATATGATGTTGCTAGAGATACTTGAATATAATATTGAAATTTTGCAAATTACCTCAGACTTTTCAGAGGATTGAGTTGCCACTCAATCCTCTGAAATAGTCTGTGGTAATTTTTAGTCTCTACACTATTTCAATATAAGCTCCATTTTTAAACAGTTTTTAAAAATCGAGCATTGAAAAGTGTGATGAGACTTCAGTATTGATGAAATTGAAATAATTGATTGTTTAATAATAAAAATAGTACAGCATTACATTGTGAACAATATTTGATAAAAATACTTCCAGTCGGTGGAAGTTTTTGTAAAACGGAAAAGATAATATAAAATGATTTAAAAATATATAACTATGTTAGTATATTAAAAAAGGTAATTGAACTTTACAATTCGAGAAGCTCAAAAATACTTTAAAATTTTGATGTCGTGAATGATTCTTGCTCACAAAACTTCAGATGACCTATAATTGTTGTAAACAGAAATTCATCAAAAGTGACACCTCAGAAAAGCTAAAATATTGAATTTTTGGAACTTTTGATAGAGCACGCTTTTAAATATTAATTAAAGTAAATGTATATTTTGTAAAGATTCTTTTTAATAAAAAAATAAAATTTTGAAGAAGAACACAAAATCTTCTGAAAAATAATATCACATAAACTCATATTATTTTCTAATATATAACTATTTTATATAAAAATCAAATTCAATGATCTTAAAAGCGAAGGATAAACCTCAAAATTTACGAATATAATGAGTGGGAATATTATTTTTCAGAAGATTTCATTCTATATGCCTATGAAAAGTACTCTCAAAACTAACTTTTTCCTAATTATAATTAAATCTAGAATATTGTATTATGCTTAGTATTATTTCATTTTTCTCATTCAATTTAGAATTTACAAATGTCAAAAAATTGAGAGCTGTCACTTTTGATGAATTTCTGTTTATTACATAATAAATTAAAAAGGCCTTAAAATGCAATTCTCGAAAAATATTATTTTTTGATAGTGTTAATATTGTTAATTGGAATAAATAAATGGATGATACAGAACAATGCAATGAATGTTTTTTAATTGAATATCTGAAAAGTTCAGATTTTTATCATTTTTTCAAATAATAGAGAAATCAGATAACATTTATCAGATTTTTCTATTAACTAAACGATTTGGATCAAGAATGTACTAAATATTTAAAAAATAATAAATTTTGAAATTGCTTTGTTTTTTATATCTTTAATAAGATGTGCGTTTATAGGAATGTTTAACAATCAAGTTGCATTTCTCATTTAATCTGATTTTTTTTTTTTAAAAAAATAAATAAACATTAAAAGAAGCAACCAAATGAAACATTGGTTTGATGACTCACATTTAACGAAATAAAGACTCAATATATTGAAACACAAAAAAAATATGGAAAGATAAACGAGAAATAACGACATATGATCATGTGGAATTGATCTTCAGTTATATCATATACATTCTAAATGAAATTTAGTATAGATAAAGCCAAATTAATCCATGTGAAAAAATAGTCCCGACTAAAATATTCGAATTAAAACATGTTTTGTTAGTCTCTCATGTTCTATGGAATTTTGGAAGTGAGGGTTGCGAAAAATCCAATAAAATTGTTCCATCCAACTTTCTTGAAATTATCAATTCAATTTTTGAATTGCCGATATGATTTAAAAGGGCGTGAAATTGATTGAAAAGTTAACAGATAAGCTAAATAGTATTTGTTTAGTATTTATTCAGAAAAATTTTCTTCAAAAATATTTTTTCAAATTTTTCATTTTTGATCGTTTAATATACCATATTAATATATCAAACTAGCAAATTGTTTAGGTTTTGTAATTTGTAAAATCATATTCAATTTAATTAATTAACTATTTTGTTTTGTAGATAAAGGTGATGATTATAAAATGAAAAAATTCTTGAATTTATAAAAACTTATTAAAATTGAATGCTCTTTCAAAACATTTGATAAATTGATTCATAATTAATAAATAAATTACTTATATGGATATTCTTAAATAATAATCATTTAAAATTTACGGTTTTAAAAGTAATTAGTTGAATTATATTGAACTGATAGTAGGTCGATGAATGTAAGTGTAACGATTTAAATTTTACAAAATCGAGGTTGAATAATTGAATCAATTATATTTTTCAAGAAAACCGCTTAAATTATTCAATAATGTCTTCGAGGGAGATACTTGCTATATTTGATCGATTTCAAGAAACTTTAGAGATTGACGTAGATAATGTCAGCACTCGGCGATCCACATTGACTATGCCTTTGCTCGACAGTAGTGACGTAAAATTGATATTTGAAACTGCGTTAGATTTAGTCAAGAAAACCGGACCATTAGCAAAAATCCAGTCTCCTTGCGTTATAATCGGTGATTTACATGGACATTTTCTCGAATTAATTCGCTTTATTCAAAAATTTGGATTACCAATCGAAAAGACTTTTGTATTTTTAGGGGATATAATCGATCGAGGTGAATTTTCTATAGAAACTATTTCATTCATTTTCCTTCTTAAATGTATTTATCCGAACAATGTTGTAATAATCAGAGGTAATCACGAATTTCATTCTATTTTCACTCATAACGGATTTTTCAATGATATATTATCGCATCCTATCGAGCACATAGCCTTTACGATGCTTGCAAGAACCCTTTCATTTCTTCCTCTTGCTGGAGTAATTGATAATAAATATTTTTGCGTCCACGGAGGAATAGGTCCAAATGTATCTCTAGAAAGTATTTCGAAAATCGAATTACCCGCAGAAACATTTGATGACCCAATAATCAATTGTTTAGTTTGGTCTGATCCTGACCAAGCAATTTCAGGATTCAAAAAATCACCACGAGGTCAAGGTGTACTCTTTGGTGAGGACTTATTGACTGAATTTCTCAAAGAGAATAACCTTCAACTTATTATCAGGGCTCACGAGGTCCAATATGAAGGTGTTGCAGTTCTCTTTGGTGGCAAAGTTTATTCAGTGTATTCAGCATCCAATTACTGCGGAAATGTCGAAAACTATGGCGGCTGTCTCTCGATAAGCACCACCGGAGATATCACAATCGATAAGTTTCCACCGCTTCAGTACTATAGGCGTTGCTTTACAATATTCAAAAAGAAGAAAATTTCTCAATCAAAAACATTTACTAACATGCCTACGTTCAACAAGCGATCGTCGTCTCCTACTAGTGAATTTCTCCGCAATTACGTACAGACTCAGCAGAATAAGGATACTTCTTACGCTCATATTCCGAAACCAACTACAGTTAAAGGTGCTGATATCCCTTGTTTTGTTCTCAAGCGTAGCCAAACTAATAAACAGGTGACGCTAAAAGAAATAAGAAAAGATGATCCAGGCACTTCTATCAAAAAGAGAAAAGAAAAGTTATTAGCGAAATTATGTATTGTATAAATTGTTGTTTAGATATATTATATACTAATTGATTTTTAGCACGGATTTTTTTTTGGTTGGATTCAAAACTTCTTGAATTTCCTTTTATTTGAGTGTACAATGACTATCTGATCCTGTCTGAGTTCAAATCGATCTTATTTCATTACCTTCCAAGAATAATTTTACGCTCATATAAGATAAACTTTCTCAATTCCGATTTATTTGGAATAATTTTATGGGCATTTGATTTCTAATGTGCAAGGGAGATATGCTGAACTGTTAATTATTCATTTCTTTTCGCTTCGCATTAACAATAGAAAATTAAATTACATCGAACTATTATAAGCTTAAAATCTGCATTTTTATAGGCAGTCATAATAAAATTCATATGATTTTTGAGGTCTGCAACCATTTCTAATAATGTTATTGGATTGTTATACCTACTTTCCCAACATTTAGAATAAGGTTATTGCCCTAAAATTCAGTTATAGACACTTAGGAGAGCGTTTAAACCATGATATTTTGGCATATGATAGAGAAACATCTTATAAACATTTTCAGTATGTTTTCCTATAAAATAACGATCTCACATGAAATTACTAAAATATCAAATTTTGATTTTCACTTTAAAGTTGGGAGAATACTCTACAGTGACAGGGTATACAATTTTAACCTTTGTTTTGATTATAAATAAAGTATTGATAGAGATATGAGTTGTACAGAATTATACACGTGTGTTTAATCACATGTAAGTTGTGCAACAATAATGGTTAGCTAGATAGTATATTAGGGAACTGTGATTTATGATCTAATTCAATAAGATGTAAATGATATTCAAATATATTAAATAAATGCGAATGTTCAAGATGTGGAATCAGTTAGTTAATTGTTGTATATAGATATTTTACTGTGATTAATGAATTTTTTAACAATTTAAAATTATCAAATTTCAAAATATGCGCAATGAGATAATTTGAGAGTATTTTGAGAACTGAAGACTTATGATTTAGTGTTTTTGAATAAGCACATCAATATAAAGATAGAAAATAAATTGAGATATAATTTTTTGAAGGTATTATAAGGGTGGAGGTAGTAGGATGAATTTTTAATGTTCTATACTTTCATGGCAAATAATTAAATAGAAGTAAAACTTTGTTTTAAGAATTGAAAATTTTAAATAAAAAAGGAATGTTAGTAATGCTAATTTATTTGATTCCGGGGGACACCCCGGTTATCAAATATATTTATTAAAATGGAAAATCTCTCACTTTTCGAAAAAATCGAATCTGCAAGGATCTCCGATTCTCGATATGATAATTTATTTGATTCCGGGGGACACCCCGGTTATCAAATATATTTATTAGAACGGAAAATCTCTCACTTTTCGAAAAAATCGAAACTGCAAGGATCTCCGATTCTCGATATGATAATTTATTTGATTCCGGGGGACGAGTGCGGGACAAATTTGCCAAGTGTCAATTTTTCAATAACCTTAAATTACGCTTTTTCTGATTTTAAAAAATAACCTTAAATTATATTTGAAGAAATTATGTCTATGATATATGTTTTATGCTAGAATCTTGGAGTTTTCATGCACTACACAAGAGCTCCAAGGTTCCAAGAGTGAATGCTCAATAGCAATTATAGAGATGTACCTTTTCAAAATGACTTTTACTGATTAAATTTAATCAATAGAAGACATTTTGAAAAGGTACCTCTACAATTAGATATACAAGAGATTCAAAGCTTCATTTCAGATAGATTTGAAACTTTGAAACTCTTGGTAGATTTTGAGTGAATGCTGACAATCATCTTTGAGAAGGTTTTCTTTAAGAAAACCTTCTCAAAGAGGTTTCTCAGGAGCCCTGAGGCTCCCTTTCGTAATGATTGGGAGCCTTGGGGCTCCTGAGACGAAGAATGGCTTCGCCGAATCTTTGATCAGCAGAGGCCAAATGAAAAGGCCTCTGCTGATGGATTCTCAGGAGCCCTGAGGCTCCCTTTCGTAATGATTGGGAGCCTTGGGGCTCCTGAGACGAAGAATGGCTTCGCCGAATCTTTGATCAGCAGAGGCCAAATGAAAAGGCCTCTGCTGATGGATTCTCAGGAGCCCTGAGGCTCCCTTTCGTAATGATTGGGAGCCTTGGGGCTCCTGAGACGAAGAATGGCTTCGCCGAATCTTTGATCAGCAGAGGCCAAATGAAAAGGCCTCTGCTGATGGATTCTCAGGAGCCCTGAGGCTCCCTTTCGTAATGATTGGGAGCCTTGGGGCTCCTGAGACGAAGAATGGCTTCGCCGAATCTTTGATCAGCAGAGGCCAAATGAAAAGGCCTCTGCTGATGGATTCTCAGGAGCCCTGAGGCTCCCTTTCGTAATGATTGGGAGCCTTAGGGCTCCTGCAGCAGAGTATCGCTCCGCTCCATTAATTTTTTTTAAAAAAAGTGCCGTGTGGCAAATTTGTCCTGTTCCCTATGGCATTCTTAAATTATAGTTACATGTTATTTCACAATCATTATCATTAAAAAATTCAATTATTCAAGTTGTTTTGTCCCGACGGTTTTTACGGTTATAAAAATGGTTGCGAACTCAATCCATCAGCAAAATGTCGGTTGGGGTGCCCTTCTTGGCCTCCTGAGTACTCACCAAGATACCCCCAGCTCCCGCAAAACACCTCCCTTAGGTGAGCATTAACTGATGACATGAGTTAACAATTCTACAAAATCATCAAGCATGAAGGTTTATGATTTATAAATCAAAATCTCAGAAACTGCTTGACTTTGCAAGTTGCTGTCTTTACCGGTTACTCTGCTGCAATCTCTTTTCTGATTGCAGGCAAAGTTCTGCATCCTGAGGACTTTGCCTTGCAGATATGCTTGTAATCACTACGTGAGCAACTTGGTGTTGCAAGTTGCTGTCTTTACCGGTTAGCTTTTTTTGAAGTTTCTTCGCATCTTATATAAGCTCTAGATGATAAACCGAACAATGACACATGCAGACCAACAAGAGTGCACAATGCACTCTTGTCAGTCAAAGTTTTGCAATAGTATTCTGATTGCAATAAATTGTTTCATTCTGGGAGACATGCACAGGCAATGTCTCCCGGAATGACACATGCAGACCAACAAGAGTGCACAATGCACTCTTGTCAGTCAAAGTTTGCATTCAGTTATGATGCAATATTGCCATTCTGGGAGACATGCACAGGCAATGTCTCCCGGAATGACACATGCAGACCAACAAGAGTGAACAATCCGCTTTCTCCTTTGTAATCCAACATTCTAATCACATCTACATTAATAAATTGTTATAAAATACTAATCAAAGATCCAATACAATTCTACTATCTTATACACACATTACCAATGTTAACACCTCTTATAACTTAAATTATTTCATAAAATTTGTTTTTATATCTTATTATTTTCTCATAATGCTTCTAATACATCTCTAATTTCTTACATTCAAACACCAATATCGTCATACTATCATAAGCACTTAATTTTTTCAAATTTTAGACTTAAATTTGAGCTACATTTTCATCATCATTTTTAGCCTTAAGCTTCTATAAGGTTATAATACATTATCGTAATATTCTAATATTTATGATTCTTACTACTCAATTCAATATAATCATATAAGTCACTCATAATCAGGAGCATAATTTAAAAATCTATAGCTCATATTTTGACAATTATATATATAGATGATGCATATTGCAATTCCGGTTTCAACACGATCAAATGTCAAACCATGATAAAATATATATCAATTTACAAAATATCGATTAACATTAGAATCCATATCTAATTCCATCAATGCACAAGTTGTAAATGCTTAATTCATCTTTGAGAAACGTGAATAGCACAATTTTATAAGATTATTTGTTGAATATTTAAAATATAAGCCAAATCGAATCTGCTGTATATTACTTTAGTTTATAATTGAATGTTAAATGTGCTCAGATAAATATTTGAGTCAGATATCGCATTTTCAAATTTCAAATTTATCTCATGAAGTTAGAATTCATTTGATCATACAACATCATATTAGTCAAACTAGAGTTCAATCGCGATTCCAAAATGGAACAATTGCTTGTTTTATCAAAATGTTAAAATATTAATCTAAAAAACTTAATATCTAACCAAAACATTCTAGAAATATCATATACAGGTATATGCAATCTAAATGCACACGAAATACTGAAAATTAAAAAGAATATCTATGAGATTATTAAATCTTATGCATTTCAATGAAGAGTCGATAATTATCATCTCTATAGGTTATATATCAACATATGAGTTTTTGGATTGACCACTACTATACTAATGTGATCAAATTAATCTGATTTCTTGAATTTTCATTTGAAGCATTCACAGTAGTAGGAGTACCTTCATATATTAACATATTAAAAAATTGCGCCCAGATTCGCAGTTTAATCATGATTTTAAGATTGCATTAGATTTCGAAATGCAGAAAAAAATCACTTTAGATTCCCTTCAAACTCTAAGCATAAGCATGTCTCTATATGAGGAAACTATTTGAGCTATTCATTTGGCGGCCCAAAAACTCATGTTGCCTGAGCGCAGAAAATACCAATTTTTGGACCCTGGGTAGGGTCATGCATGTTTTCTAAATGTTGGAAAAGTAGGGTATTGTACCGTTACTTGAGCCTTCGTAAAAATCAAACCCTACATATTTGTGAATTATCTGTCGATTAAAAAAAGTTCGTAATTACTCATATAAATAATCTTTTTGAAATATCATAAATCAATAATTTGGATAAAAAATCGTATAATAATAGTTCATTGTATTGTAATAAAATGTCCAAAAATTGATTATATTTGAAAAGCATATATATATAAATTTATTTAACAAGAAATTGAAAAATTCTTTTGGAGAACTGGGTATACCTTACTAGCAAGGTCTAAGATATTATCTTGGTTGACGATAAGTCTCATGATTTTTTCAGTATCTACAAGAGCAGCAAACATGTAGAGGCAGGACTTATCACTTTTGTTGAGCTTCAAGAGAATCTTGAGCTTTGTCCAACCAAAGAACATCCACTTCGCCAATCTCTCTTTGGAAAGCATTCCGAGGATATAAGCAACAACTCTCACTCCTTGATCTTCGATTGTGAGGTAAGCCATATCTTCTGTGATAAAGTTATCAATCTGGTTCCAGATTTTGTCGAGCGGAATCCTCGAAGGATTGATATAATTCATGATATTCTCAATAATGAGGTAAAATGGATTTTCGGTATCCATTGGTGCATCCAAGTATGTAAATGGTGATGAAGCAAACTGATCTGTAGCGTCTTGAAGGCAAATCGCGAAAGAATGTTCGTAATAAATTTTTGGAGGACTTGGATTGAAGATTGGAGTTAACTGAGGACATTGTATCGATGAGAGTTGGGTACAGAAGCCTGGAATGCGAATCAATGAATCAGCTCTGTAATTTTCGCGCTTAAATTTGATTTCGGGTTCTAAAGCGAGAATGAAGTACTTGAAGAGCATTTTGTTAGTCATTTCGACTATGAAGTAGCAAGCCTCGTTGAAATCGTTGAAAGGCCTTGCAAGTAATGTTTGTCTGACATCTCCAATCTGGAATGGAATATTGCAAAGAGCTTCGTAGAGTTTTGGAATATTCTTGCATCCATGTAATAATGCTGTAGCCATATATGATGGGAAATCATGAGGTTTAGCTGTAACTAAGGATGTAAAGAAATAATTGTCGATATTCGTATAAGTCTTGGGGACCTGGATCGAAGATTGCTTGTTCATTCTCATACCTGCTTTCTGGAGATGCAAGATGACTTCAGGAAGCGTTTTTTGAGTTGCGAGAGATTTTTGCTGGTAAGAAGACATTGGAGAGTTTGGTTTGAAAAGATTTGAAAGGTTTTCGTTTTCTTTGATGACTGGTCCTTGATCTTCATCAAGAGGAACTTTAATTTCGTCGATAGATTTGACTGGCTGGTTTTGAGGGGTATTTGATGGAGTTTCCGGCTTTTCTGTAAGGTACTTCTCCTGTGTGGCTTTTGCCGCTTGGTAGTCTGGATCTTCCGTAACTTTTGATAAACGCATTTCCATCTCTCTATCAAAGTCATAGCCACGTAATGGAGAAATAGGAATTCCTTTTTCGGTGCTTGTACTTGGTGGTTGTGCGTTAGTTCCGTTGTAATACTCAACAGGAGTAACATCATACAAAGCTCTAAAGCCTGCTCTCTTTGTATGCTTCATTGCTGACTTATTCTTCTTTTCCCATGACATAAGAGAGTCGAATTGTCTCTGAAGAATTGTTTTTTGACCTGAATTCTTCTTCTTATTTTCGTCGAAATACTTATGAGGCCTTCTTGAGTTAGCAAGCACCATTATCTCGCATAATTGACTCATGTCGCTGCAAATGAATGAGAATATATCGTACTTTTCTTTTGCAATAATCAATTCAAGCGGATCTATAGGTGTTGAGTAGCAAATCAGATCAGAAGAGTAATAATACTTCTGGAGGATCTGTCCTTGATCTGTTTGTACCTCAAAATTATCCTCGTAAAAAACAATTTTTGCCTGAACTAAATCTTGCCTTCCAATGAATTCTACATTAAAGATGGCTTGTTTGGGTTCAAACAATTCAAACGATGTCATAGCTGTGGATATGGCAAAATAAAATTGTTCGGTTTCTTGTTCAAGATTTGATTTTAAGTGGTATTTCTTTGGAATCGCAGCGTATTTCGAGTTAAGGATGATTGTGAAATGCTTGGAACGCTTTTTGAATTCAACAGTATAATGTGACAGGAAAAGAGTTAGTGCATTTTCGCCTTCTTTTGCTTCGATACACAAAACGCAACCTGCAATGATACAATTACGCTTCACTGAATGGTTATCATTAATTGCAACAGCAAAAACAATTCCTATTTTGCTCTCAAGGTATTCAGTAAGATTCATTTATTGTAAAATTTTTTATATAAAATTTATTTGATCGGTTTCTCAGAAATGATAAATGCAGTTTTGTGGCTTTAATGAAATATAATTAAGAGAATTATACCCATAATACAGAGATTGAATTAACGTAGGCAATTTTTTAATCGTTGATTTGAGGAAACTATAGGAGATTGATTGAAAATACATGAATATATTAAAATAAGACTTTTCATAATTAATATCTGAAACGTTTTATTTTAAAATTATGATTTATTAAAATCACACTTGAAAATAGTCAATAATTATTTAATTAATAACTCTTTATCATTTGAAAGGACGATGACTTTTTGTATGAACATTTAAGGGTGCACACGAGAGGATCATGTAAACTTCAGAATTTAAAACCTTATTTTAGGCATTATCTTGGCTAGCTAAGGTAGTCAAAAAATTTAAGTAGTGAGGCTCTCAAAAATTGAACCGTACTCCATACAAAATTCGTGTACCCTCACTACTTAGATTTTGTGGCCTTCAATTGAGAGGTTAGTTTTGATAGAGCACGTTATAAAATTAAAAGGGAAAAATAAATAAAATTTAAACATTTAATTATATATAATGTAAGGAGTGTAATTCCAAATTTTCTAAAAACTATTCAAATTTGAGCATTTTTTTGGAAATAGTAAATCTAATATGTACATCTAATAACAACATGATTCATCACCTTTTCAAGCTCTGCAGTCAATTTTTTGAAATTTGATTGAAATAAATGTAGCAAAAATTACATTTCATTAGGGAATATATGAGTTTCTCTGGAAACAGGCTGATAAATTTTAAATTTTGTCCAATCAACATGAATGCATTGAGAAATTTGGATTGATTTTCTGGTAGAATCTGGAACAATTCAACCATGTATAAATGGATCATGTAATCATCATGAAATGTTAGTGTTAGAGTTCAAAAGAAACAGAATGAGTGGAAATCAAACACAATCTGAATAATTTTAAACGTATACAATCTTTAAGTTTGTATTTTGAATTCTACATATATGATTGTGTAATTCGTTCTTTCAAATGTTCGGATTCAGGCATATTTTGATAAAATTCATTCCCAAAAACGTCAATTAACAATTAAATTTAGTGTATTTTAAATATATATACGTATTATATTTTATAAATTATATTAAATTCGCAAAATTTTAAGTTTTAAACAAAAAGAAAAAATGTTCAAAATATGAAATTATGCATAGGATATTACAATTTACAAGTTAGCAATTTTTTTGAATTGCTTTCAATTTTCAAATTGAAATTTTTAAGATTTTTTTCTGAAATAATAAGCAAGAATATCAACCTAAATAATATTAAATTCCATGCGTTAATTTCCCCTCAAAAGTCATTGACCGCCTCTCAATCTAGATTTTGTGAGTACTTTATTTAGGCTCGAAAAGCAAAAAATATCAAAAAATACAACTTGACTCCATTATGACCCTTTCATGGAGGTAGTTTTTATCCGCTAGTATTTTCCCTTTGAATCTCTTTCCAATTCGAAATCAAATTCAAAACTCAGTAGAAGAAAGGAAGAATCGACTTACTACGGTTGTAATACGAATAAATACATATATTTAATTATTTTTATTTACATAATAATTGTTTGAAGCTCATATTCCAACAAATTTTTAAATAAAAACATTAAAATGTTGAAAATGTTCATATATTTTAATAGGGTTTTGGCACTTTATTGAGGAATTACTACATACATAGTCGAACTGAACTTGATATTTTGAAATTTAAATTATTTATCAAAATTAAAATTTAACTTGAAATTTATAATTATTTAGTCATATTTTGCATAATTCTAAGTAGATTTTGTAAAAAATCAAGAAAGAAAAATTTTAACGTGCTTTATTTTTTCTTTTTTATAATAATACATATTATTATATAATTAACATATTCATAATGTTTCACCCTTTCAAAAATATAATCCTCCTCCTCTCAAATAAACGTACATACGGGTGGCCTCTTTTTTCAAAAAATTAAAATTTGAAATTTTGGGCTCAAATATTAGAGATTTTTTCAACCTTCAACGATATATGTTGTCTATATCAGACCTCCTTTCTTTTTGATACTTAACATTGTTCCTAAATCTTAGCCGTTAAGGCTGTTCTGAAAATATTTTTTTTCGAAAAAATTCGAAAAAAATTCTTAAAATTCAAAAATCCCTTAATTCCTGAGGATTTTGGAAAAAAGTTTTTACATGAACATGTGTATATTATATGAAGTATTGTTACATATTAAGTTCTGTCAAAATGTAAGCTATTGAATTTTTTGAGAGGGAAATAATCATCGAGGAAGTAAAAAGTGACGCTTTAGGAAATATTATTAGAAATATGATAATAAATATATTTGGAAAAAATAAGTTTTTTTCAAAAATTGAAATGCTCATAGAATATTTTGAAATATCTAGGGAATTGAATTCGGTAATATATACTAAACTGGATTTTTAAATTTCAAGGAAAAATAGCTTTTGTGAATACTTTTGAGAACTCTTCTCAAAGATCATGATTCAAATATATTAAGGAGCCAAAATATTAGAGAAGAGTTCACAATCAAAATTTTCTCACTTTTCTTCCAAATTGACATCCTTACTCACCACTTTCAAGTTTTTCATACATATATCTTACCCATTCATTTGGAATACGAGGTCTCGAGTTTTCGTTCATTTTTTTTACTTTACAAAACTGTTTATTTTTCAGAATTTTTAAATTTGAAAAAATCCATTCTATATCTGATAAATAATATATTATTTTTCAATCAAAATATTTTGATTATCATCTCAAAAGTGTTCTCAAAACCTAGTTTTTCTTATTTTGGATAATCTTAATATTTATATTATTATAAACTAATTGAACACCATATGTTTTTGTATACTTTTACAAAAAAATTAATAGATTTGTGGTACTTCCCCCGACGATAGAATTGAATAGCTTACATTTTGACAGAACTTAATATGGAACAGTATATTGATAAGGTAAAAATCAAATTTTATTGCATATTCATCGAGAAAATAAACTAACGAATCCCTCAAAATTTAGAGGGTAATCCTCCTCCTCTCAAATAAACGTACATACAGGTGCACCCTTAACGATTCATTATATCAAATATTGAATTGTTCTTTTTTATTTAAATGAAATAGTTATCAAATTTTCATAGTCAACACAATGATATTATTAAAAATACAATTTTGCAAATTACCTCAGACTTTTCAGAGGATTGAGTGGCAACTCAATCCTCTGAAATAGTCTGTGGTAATTTTTAGTCTCTGTTGTAAACAGAAATTCATCAAAAGTGACACCTCAGAAAAGCTAAAATATTGAATTTTTGGAACTTTTGATAGAGCACGTTTTTAAATATTAATTAAAGTAAATGTATATTATGTAAAGATTCTTTTTAATAAAAAATAAAATTTTGAAGAAGAACACAAAATCTTCTGAAAAATAGTATCACATAAACTCATATTATTTTCTAATATATAACTATTTTATATAAAAATCAAATTCAATGATCTTAAAAGCGAAGGATAAACCTCAAAATTTACGAATATAATGAGTGGGAATATAATGCTTATCTATCATAAAACCATATGAAATATCAATTTTTGCTTTACGCCTAATTTTTGACGACAATTAGCAAAAAATGTTAAATGTTAACACTCAGTCCATTTGAATATGAAAAATAAAATTGATTTTGATTAAATGTTTTTATTTATCATGCAATTCTTCTTGCGACCAAAGATTTGAATAAAAGTTCAAAAAATAAGATAGCTTAAAAAATAATGTACGGTAGTGTTTACTAATAGATGAATAGTATATAAATTCTATTAAAATGGATTTGATCCAAAAAAATATAAAATCAAAAATAATTGTTATAATTTAAATGAAGAAGTAATTTAAAACGATTTTATTTATGATCAAATTTTATATATTTTTTTGGATCAAATCCATTTTAATAGAATTTATATACTATTCATCTATTAGTAAACACTACCGTATATTATTTTTTAAGCTATCTTATTTTTTGAACTTTTATTCAAATCTTTGGTCGCAAGAAGAATTGCATGATAAATAAAAACATTTAATCAAAGTCAATTTTATTTTTCATATTCAAATGGACTGAGTGTTAACATTTAACATTTTTTGCTAATTGTCGTCAAAAATTAGGCGTAAAGCAAAAATTGATATTTCATATGGTTTTATGATAGATAAGCATTATATTCCCACTCATTATATTCGTAAATTTTGAGGTTTATCCTTCGCTTTTAAGATCATTGAATTTGATTTTTATATAAAATAGTTATATATTAGAAAATAATATGAGTTTATGTGATATTATTTTTCAGAAGATTTCATTCTATATGCCTATGAAAAGTACTCTCAAAACTAACTTTTTCCTAATTATAATTAAATCTAGAATATTGTATTATGCTTAGTATTATTTCATTTTTCTCATTCAATTTAGAATTTACAAATGTCAAAAAATTGAGAGCTGTCACTTTTGATGAATTTCTGTTTATTACACGACATCAGTCAGATAATGCGAATATTGTAAAATTATGAAATTGCAATTTCCTCAAAATGCTGTTGTTATTGGGAAAAAATGTTTGTCTATTATAACTAAAGCATTCTAACATCCTCTTATTCGACGTTATAAGCTTCAATTTCTCTATTTTTACCAAATTGATTTAATTCAACCTCATAGATTCATTACTCGAGATTTGACTTATCTGATAAGCCAGATTTTATCGTCATGTGGGAAAAAACAGATTCGAAAAGCAAAATAATTTTTTATATATAAAATAGCTAAGAAAATGCCAAAATACCATCACCAGTTAAGCAATGTAAGGTCTTGATTTATCGATTATGTAACGTTATTCCAGAGCTTTAATTATGAATGGATTTCTAATTTATTGTATTTTTCAAAGGAAAAAAAAAGAATGGCACTTTTTAATTTCATCTCTCAATGCAAGAATATTATCTTGGGAATGATTCACAGTACGTTACAAATTTACATGAAATCGGTCATGGTACATTTTCAATTGTTTATCAAGGAAAACTAAAAGATTCAGGCCAAGGAATCGCAATAAAAAAAATTACCGCCGATATTACTGAAGAAATCTTTCGTCGAGAAATTAATAACATGTGCAGTTCAGATCATCCTAATATAGTAAAAATATACGATGCATTTCTTCAAGACAAATTTCCTTATATAATTTTGCAATACTGCGCTAATGGAACATTATCGCAAAGATTAGAAACATTAGATAATTATTCTGATGACGATGCTAGACTTATTCTAAAGAGTGTTTTAGAAGCGGTTTCTTATTTACATAGCCATCATATTATTCACAGAGATATTAAAGCGGAAAATATATACTTTGATGAAAATGATAATGTCCTCTTAGGTGACTTCGGTTCTTCAAAGTTTATTGCTAATGATACTGCACAATCTTTAGTCGGAACGATGGACTACATAGCACCTGAAGTTATTGAAAGCAATATATCAGGAACAAATTATAATGAAAAAGCTGATATTTGGAGTATCGGAATCCTGACATTTTACCTAATCGAAAAACATTTTCCTTTCCAAGTAAGTAATTACAGAGTAAGCCCTGATATGACCGATGGATCGTATAAAAATGAATTTTATCTCTCACATTCTGATAAAATACTAGATTTCATTGATAAATGCCTACAACCTAATCCTGATGATAGGCCAGATGCAGCTGAATTACTTAAACATCCGTATATTACTGGATAAAACTTCAATGTTGAATAAATTATGTTTTATTATCTTTGATAAAAAAAATTCTTTTATTAACTAATTTAATCAATGTGCGAAAGTATCTTCGAAAGGACAAATTTATGCATACATCAATATTCACATTAAAAAATGAGATTGAATATTTAATTGGTCGTTTTGCCCATTTCCAATGGTTTGCATTAGTATAAGTATAAAAAATTGTAGCAAATGAGTAATTTTGGCCTGGAATAAAACTATTCATTCCAATAACACAATTCAAGCCCAAATATACTAACCGAGAGAACAAAAGTAATACCAATGAGACACATTTAGGATTTGTGATGAAATTAATTCGATTTGATGAAAAATAGATAATTATATAGTCCTACATAACAAATTTTACAAAAAAAAATAGAAAATATCATGGAAACATATAATGAACCATGGTAAAATAGATCAAAAGTCGTCTCGTGAGAGTTTTTCGATTTCATCTCTCAATTCTTGAATCTCTTGTTTTAATGATTCGGTTTCAATTAAGTATTTTTTAGCAGAATTCTTGATCGATGATTCTAGAGCTGTAATTAGATTGATGATGTCTAATTCTTCTCCTGTATGGTTATTATAAGGCATTAATTTAAAACTAAATACGCCCTTATATCTAGCTTGATATAATTTAATCAAATAATCGACGGATTTGATGAGTTTTTCTTGAGGATTTTGGGTATTCTTCTTTATGCCCATCTCTCGTAAAAATTCAGGATCAACGACTCTATCTTGAAATTGCTGGCTATTCTTGCAATATTCCTCTATTACTTTTATTTGTTGGTCCATAAATTGGATATCAGGATATTTATTGTAAACTTCTTGAAGAACAACTCCTTTTTCTTGATGTTTCTCTAATTGACTGTTTAAATATTTAAAAGCCTTTTTTGACTTCTTATTAAGTTGACTTAATTCATCTTCTAATGCTTGGATTCTTGAATTGTATATGGCATTGGTTTCTTCTGTTGCTCGGAGCTGATCTTCTATGTGCTCAAGGTTTCCAGCTACCTCTATCTTCTGTAATTTGACATCTTCTAGTGGTGCTGGTGGAGGAGATCCTTGCATTAAACGAACTTTATGCTGAATAAAATCTAAAAAAATTTTGAAATCAATTTTTTATTTCTAAATTTCTTATATTTTCAGAGTGTTTTTTGATTTTTGAAAAAATTTTAGTAAAAATCAAATATTTTAGAATTGTAGTATTAATGTATTTTGGAAATAAAATCATTGTACATTACATTTGAACTCAAATAACAATTTTCAAAAAAATATATTTTGCAATACAGTTTTTTTTGCATTGTTTATTGGAAAAAATCAAGAAGTAGTTGTAGAACTATCAAGATTAAGTAAAATTACATATATATAATATTTATCAAAAAAAATTATTGCGCAGCAAATTTAGATGGACCTCTTCTACTGAATTCTCCAAACAAATTAATCTTTGCATGAGTATTTGCAATGTCAGGTATAGCAAAAAGCCTAGTCTGTTTCTGGGATGGATTTTCCTGTTCTGGAACTGGAATTTGTGGTTTATTTTGTGTAGCATTCGATGTAACAGTAGGTTTCTGAGCATTGGCTTGAGGGTTTTCTGGAGGTGTACTAATCTCATTACCATCGATTAGATTTCCTTCTTTATCCGCCTTAATTTCTCCCCATGTCATTTGAGTCGAGCTACTAAAGACAGGCTGCTTTGGTTTCTTGACGGCAGCAGGTTGTTCTACATGTTTCGCTTCAAAACGAGGTTTGTGTTGATAAGGTCTGTCTAAATTGTTGCGAGGTTTTTGCTCGAAGTTCTTGTGATCATGTGCTGGTTCTTTGGACTTGTTTTTTGATTTAAATTTCGTATATTCATCGTTATTAATTAATCTATCGATAACTCGATCTGCAGATCCAAGTTCCTTGAAAAGTTCAGTAACTATAAGTGGATCAGCATCTGGAAACATTGAGCATATATTATTTATCTCAGTAGAACTCATTTTTTTTATATCTGTCAAATTTAATTCCAATTTCATATCACATGTCATTAATTGTTTTGGAAAACTACAAAGAAAACACTAGGAACTCATTCATCATAATGAAGATGAAATCATTTTAGAACGGATGAGTTAATTTACCAATATTCTCCATTATTTGATTTCGAAATGCAAAATTTGAATCAAAATTAAAGTTATTATAAAAGAATCAATTATGGAAAGTATCACAAATCAACTATATCTAAGAAATAAAGATGAATATTGATATAATGATCATTTACAATCTATTTATAAAAAAAAATTATTGATTCATTGTTCTTTCCATATTTCTTAAATAAGCACTAACAACAGCTGACATTTCAATAGACTTGTTGATATTTTCGTTTGAAATCTGTTCTCCTGTGACTGGATGAGTATGAGATTTCTTCATCCATTCATTAAGGCATCCGCTGCAGAAGAAGAATCCAAGACTTTCAACAGGGTCGAATAAGAGATCTCTGCAGATCGCGCATTGTAATTGTGTTGGAATTTCAAAATCAAGTGGAATTTCTGGACGTTCTTTATGTTTATTTGTCATTTTAATGACAAAGTCTAAGAAACTTTCTTGAAGATAGTTCCAGGCACTTGGAATTCCGTAAATTCCAATTCTTTGTACTAAATATGTTGAAGCGTAGGCTAATGGGAAGCAGTAAACCATGTACGGAAGGAATGGAAGCTTTTTGGAAATGAATCTTGCAACAAATGTTGAACAAGCGTGGATTCCTGCAATTGCTAAGGTAGAAGTAGCAAAATCTACAAGAGATGTTGTATGGAAACCATGAGCGCATCTGAGAACTAAGACTTGATAGCCAGAATAGATCGTTGCGCAAGTAAATGGAACCAAACTTGGTTTAACACCAAGACTGAGAGTAACATCATTTATTCTATGAACAAAATTGAATTGAGTCAAAAGGTTCATTGTAAGTGTTCTGTATGTTTCTTCTAATTCATCACTAACTAAATTGTAGAAAAATAAGCCAGATGACAAAGCTTCACTCCAAAATGAAGGTGTCTTCATTGGACCGATGATGTTTACCAAGAATATATGTGTATCGCAGACTGTTTGGAAGAAAGATGATCCAAATGTTTTGAATTTTTTCTTTCTGAGCTTGTTAGTGCTATTTCTTGCACTGTCACAGATCTCATTCGCAATTTTCTCCAAAGCTTGTTGGTCTTTATTGAAATAGATCTTTGTAAAAGTTGATAACATTTATGTTTGATTATATAAAAAAAATTTTTTTTTCCAGAACATAATCTCATCAATCATTCTCATTCTTGCTTTATGCTCAGACCAAACATCTTATTTTCAAGTTATATGACCCATCCTTGAAAGAATGTCTCGTTTAAAGTTCTTTTAATAATTCAATTGACTCATTTCATTCTTATTATCAAGATTGATCAATCTTAATATAAAGAATTTGATATACACATCAAATGTAGCTCAAATACTTTCAAAAAGACAATCAAATTTCAGTTAATATGAATCAGAATATTAAATTTCATGATGAATTGCAATGCTAAGTTAAATCAAACATATTTGAGGCAAATATCATTGATGTAAGTTTATAATATATATATTTTTACAGCACAAAAAATAATAGATATTTATTTGTCTGGAATTAACGATTCAAGGAAGTCAAGACTCTTCTGATCGGTTTGCAAACACCATTCAGGAATAGGAGACACAATTGAAGCGGTAAATCCAAGTTTAATTGCTTCTTGGGCTGCTTTTTCGTCTTGAGGGTTATCTGCGTAGACTCCTGATATAGTTGTACATACCTTTGCGTTCTGTTCGCCTCTTACATCAGGTGCCATCGATATCATTCGTGGAGGTAACGAACAAAGTGTCATTTGGCTAATTAATTTAAGGTGAGGCTGTTCACTGGACAGTCCGTAGTACTTCAATGAACAGCATGTAGACGTAAGAAGTGGAATTGCTGGCGAATCATCAGGTAATGACCCAATATAATTTGCAATAACTCTAAACAAAGCAGCAATGACATCATGCGATGGATTTGATAATGTCCTCGTTATCCATAACCATAATAACGCATTTGTGTCAACAGACGACAAAATGGTCGGTATGTCTGACGATAACTTCACTTTTCTATTGAAAATTTTGAGAACCGCTTGGTAATTTTGGGATTTCTCTTTGTATGTTATGAATTTTGCGGTTACTTGTAGGACAATTTCATCGCCACCGTTTGGATGGATGTCTAATACGAATGGCTGTCTCCTTAAACTGATGGAATGGGCATTAAATACTCCGCGATTTTCGAATTGGAATGGGAAAGGGTTCAATTTCCACTCTGCCTTGCCGCTGCTTATTCTGGATCCCATAAGTAGTTGGAAAGAAGGCCTTTCGCGTGTAGCAAATGCAAGCATACTGAGGAAAGTATCAGCATTAAAGAATAATAACCTTCCTGGTAATTGTTTTGCAGAAGAAACACTGTCCTGATTGAATATAGGTGTAAGAATATCGATTGTTATCAATGACATGTAGATATCTTTGAAGGCACTGTCGAGATAAGTTGTTTCTGGCGTAATTCCAATAAAATGTATTGGATTGTATGGTAAATATTCGGAAAGTTTGTAAGCACATGATGCCAATTGTGAGAAATGTGGGCGTGGACATGTAGAAAGCTTTTCAATCGATGAAATTATTGAATTTACTTGGGATGAGTGGAAAATGAATGGAGTAATATCTTCTGGGAATGATTGGAAGTTTACTAATGGTGCTGGTGCATCAACAACTTTGTCTCCTTCTTTGTAAGTACAGATTGGTCCAAAATCACCTTTTTTGTAGTAAGAAATGTGAGGACAAAGAATCGAGAGCTCAGTAACTTGAACGCCGAAGATGATTATGAAGTTTGTATCTTTGAAAGCCTTTAAGAAAGCGATAATTCCTGATCTCATGACTTTAAGATCAACATCATGGAAACCAAGATCTAAGTATAAACAAACAATCGGAATTCCGACATGTTCATCGACTTTAACTTCGATATCTTCAGAATGTGGAAGGAAGTCTTCAATTTTTTCGTTATTCTTAGTTCCACAGAGTGCACATGTCCATGATGATTCATCTCTTTTGCAAAAATTCGAAATATAGCCATTGCATTTGCGGCAACGAGGAATTTGTTCATAAGTCAAATCAATCGTTGGAATATTTGTATTTTCTGCTGGTGAAATGATTGCACTTATTGGTGTTGTTAATCTTTGTCGTAATTTTTCAGTATTTGGTGCTTCAGATAAAGAGAATTGTAACATGAAATGAAAATATTATTTTTACTTGTCAAATTTGTTTTTTTGACAATGTCAAAAATCCATTTCCTTGATAGTTTCATATGCAAACAGATCATTTTAAGTATAACTCATACACCTACACAATAAAACAGGTCTTAAGGACTTATAGTTAGTTACTAACATAAAAGAAAATCAATTTTTTAAATATAATTTACAAAAAAATAGTTAATCATACAAAAACATATAATCAATTAGGCCAAGCTCTTGATCTGGCGCATCACTTCATTAAAGCCTTCAATTAATTTTCGATTTTCTTCTTCCAATCTTTCAACTTCTTCTGTTAGAAGTGTAATTTCAGCATTGAGCTGATGTTCTGTCTGGTAGGCTTCATCAGCAATGATTTCCATTGATGGTTTTCTTGTAATTAAAAATCTTCCATGCCTCTCTGGTTTCTGAGCATGATCTACTTGAACTTCAGGTGTATGTGAGAAGTGGAGGAAAGATGCGAGCTGGTTCGGCTCTATATTTTGTAAAAATTTGTGTTGTAATAATTCGTCAGCCGAAAGCCTTGTAACGGGGTTCTTATCTAAGCATCCAGCAATAAACTCTTTGAACTCAGGAGAGAAATCATCATTCAAAGATGGAGAATCATTATTCATGATTTTAACAACGGCTTCCATAACTTTTATTCCTTCGTATGGATGGTGTCCATTAGCAAGATTAAGCATCAGTAGTCCAAAACTCCAAATATCACTCTTGGATGAATATGTGCCATTATTTAAAATTTCAGGAGCAAGGTAAATCACATCGTTATTCATTGAAATCAACGATTGTCTGATTTTGCCTGTCTGTACGATTGACGTTGAGATGTTAAAATCGGAAAGTTTGATTTCGCCTTTATGATTGAAAAGTACATTTGATGCCTTTAAGTTGCAATGATTTCTGTTATTAGAATGAAAGTAACTAAGACTCTTTAGGACATTATGAGCTATTGCCGCACATAACTTTTCGTTTTTGCAGCCATTCGGGAAGCTCTTATTGATTAAGTCGATGAGAGATCCAGCATCCATAAATTCCTGGATGATCCACATATACTCTCCATCAATAAAAGATCCGTAGTACTCCAAAATGTATGGACAATTGTTTTTGTTCCATGTGGCAAGTACAGCTTGAAGACTTCTTGTGTTAAAAGGAAATTCTATCAAATTAATTTTTTTAACACAAACTCTTTGGCTATTTTCGGTACAAAGAGCTTCGTATACGTTTGAATGAGGGCCAAAACCGACTTCATTTATTAATTTATACTTTTCTTTCTCTAATGGGAATGTCATTATAAAATATTAATAAAAGTGACAATTAACAGTAAACAAAATCAATCAATTGACCATTTCAAAACAATAGGATACATTGAAAAGCAGTATTCGTCATGTATGAGAACTTACCGGTAACGTGGTTCATACTTAAAGATCACTTTTATAATAAAAATACAATAATTTGAACAAATCTTTGAACAAAGCCGTAAAATTATTCATTATTTTAGCTATACGTGCCTTAGCAATGTGAGATATGTAATCGTTGATCTTGAAAAACGGGTATTTCTTTAAGAGTTAGATCAACCCTTTCAAAGATACTATCAAATTTGAATAGTTTACGTCAATTTTTCTCTCAATGGGTTGAAATCAATTATTCTAGTTATCAAATCTCCAATATACTATAATAAATCTAAACAGTATATCACATGAATTCATATGGGCGATTCATGTTTGATTTATAACCTCAATATATTTGAAAATTTCAAAATTCTGATTTTTAACATTGTTTATCATTTAAATATAAAAACATACACGTAAATATTATAATAACAATACAAACATTTATTCTTCTTCTTCACCAATAATAATTTCTTTAATTTTTCCTAAAATAGCATAAATTTGGTCATCCGAGTCATCAACAGAATCTAGCATATCAGGGCCATTATTTCTATTGAACTCTTCGACAACTTTTGCAAACAAATCTGGTTGATCTTTTACAGCAATGAAATAAAGAAGTGCTGTGAGAACAGACTTCGTAATTTCATCATCATCAACAGCCACAGAACTAATTAGAACTTCCATGATCCCGTGATTAAAAAGAATCTCATAAATCGAAGCTTCAGTGTTCAAAATAAGATTGGATACTGCAATAGCTGTTATTCTCTTATGCATAAAACTCTTATCGCAATATGATCTCAAAAGTTCAATCACGTTGTTGTCAATCAAATAAGAAATACAATGCAAATTTGAACACATGACTTGTACAAGTTCTAGAGCAGATTGAGAGAGTTCTTTCTCAGAATGATCAATAATCTCGGCTATTCGCTCTAAATCAATGAATAAATCACAATCTGGATGAACAAATAATTTTGTTAGAATAATTATTGATGATTTTTTGATTTCTGGATTGAGATTCTCAAGAAGATCAGTAACAAACTCAAATATGCATTCATTTGCACCAATTGTTGGTAATAGATCCGGATATTCTGATAAAATTTCAATTAAATGTAATTTTTTCTTAAATTCAATCTGAATCGAAAAAATATTCTCTAAAAATTTGATGACATCGTCAATTTCAAATAATTGTGCGTTTTTTGAAAAAATGTAAAATATTATGTCCAAAATTTTGTTTTGCTGACCAACTGATAGCCTATTATATGCTAATACTTCATGTATTGTCTGTATTGGTATTGATTCAACAAACTGTTGTAAATATTTTTCATCAAATTTGAAACATTCGACTATTAGTGAAGAAACTAGAATGAATAGTTCCACATCACGCAATTGAATAATTGTGATATAATCAGTAAAGAAATCTTGTGTTAAAAAGGATTCTAAAAATTCTCGATTTTTTTGAATAATAAAACTATTAATAAATCGCAGGATTATACTTCTCAATCTATTTGGATCTTCCGTATAGAGAGAATCTGCATGGTTTAAAACATCGGAAATAATATTTGGTATTTCATGATGAAAAAATAATGTTGAATCACACATTTGAAAGCATTGACTATTTGATGTAAATAAAACAATATTTTGCTGAAATAGGTCCATATTTCCTTCTTTATATGCAAGGTTAATTAAATCAAAGTTTTGTACATTATCTCCACGTATCAAAGATTCATTTTCATCACCACATGGCAGATCTGAAGCAATATTATGCAATGATTCATTGAGAATATTCTCTTCTTTGTACTCATCTCCCATTCAATAAATTTTTTTGATAAAATTTCGGTAAATTTTGAGACTGACAATACATATCATTCATAAAAGAGTTTGAATTTGAAAATTTTACGGCGATTGGCTTAGATTTCAACGAAAATTTTCGGAAATTTCAAGCTAAGGATTGTTTTTTTCAATGAATTCAAGCATACACGCAGTAAGTTTTGATTGATATAATTTCGGTTTAAATATTTTTTTTAATTGTTTTCAGCGAAATGTTTTTCTTTATATTCTTCATTACACTTTCAGAGCAAGGAGAAAGAATTATAGAAGAAGTTGGAAAAGGTGCTACAGAATTCATTGAGGAAGTTAAAGAAATATCAAAATCTACATATGCGTTTATTGACAAACACGCCGATCCTAAATCATGGAAAGAGTACATCATGAACCTTCACGTAGTTCAGATACTCATCAAATTAGTTAACGAACTTGTAAATTATATCGCTCAATTTCTTAAATTTATATTAGATCAGTTACCTTATGCGAGGTTCCAAAGTTCATTACAAGACATTTATAAAAAGAACGCAAAACTTAGAAAAGAAAATGAAGAACATATACAAGAAACTATGAAGAAATACAACGATCTTTAGTTCTTTTCTATGAAGAAACTAGAGATTTCAGCCTTTCTATCATAAAAAAGCGAAATTAAAATGAGATATATGTTCCTCTTTTAAGATCAAACCATATGAATGAGGAAACCTAGTCAGTCCTTTACACATTGTTATCTAACTACCTTTATTATGTATTTCTTAAACAATTTTATTTTGATAATTTTTTTTTTAATTTCTAGTTAAAATCATGTATAATAATAGACTTTAAGGTATAAAATGGAAAGCATATCATTATTCCCTTCAAGAAAGCAACTCCAATTGATTTAAGGATATATTCTGCTCAAATTTTGATATTCAATAAAAACAAACCATAATTTTAAGTTATTTGATCGAGTACATATAAGATATGTATTAAACACAATTTAATTGACACAAAAAATATACTAAATTTTTATTTTCTAAGATGAACTTGATTTTGCCGTAATCTCAATGAGATCGGCATTATTTCGCTATGTCTTCTTATAGCATTTAAGTTAGATCCGCCAAATTGGGTGTCAACTCCAATGCTAGTTCTTCTACGGTTAGTGTTGATTCCAGCGCTAACTAGTTCTATAGATTTTTGTAATTCTATGTTTTCTTTCGTTTCTTGTTCAATTTTTTGATCGATTTTCTTTGCTTCGTCATTCATCGATTCCTGATGATTTTTGAAGTACTTTGTCAGAGATTCAGTAGTTTCTTTAATAACTTCATCTGTTAAAGCGTTTTCTGACATCAGTTTTTGGCATTTTTGAACGAGTTGGTTAATAGAATCTAAAATTGTTTCACGTTGTATCCTGGAAAACTTTTCCATATCTTGCGAATATTCGCTTAATATGTTTCTTTCTCGTTTAATAACTGAAAGATTCTTTGATAAGATTGCGTCGTTTGTTTTTTCTTCATGTTTTGCTCTTAATTGCAAAATATGATTTTCACATTTCAAACGAACGAGTCTTTTATTGATTTCATTGAGCTCTCCCTCTTCTATCTTTTCTCTTTCTCTTTCTTTTGTTTCAACTTCCTGCTGTAGATGGAAAAGCTCAGAGCGCATTCTTTCAGTGAGCTCTTTCTCTTGATTATAGAGCTCGATTAATGAGGAGTCACCATAATCTTCGAGAGAATCCATCCTGGCACTTTTCAGTCACTTTTTCTACCAAGAAAATGTTACATTTGCTATTCAACTCCATAAAAATCACCTAAATTCATATGGATTGAGTTTTATGCAATATTGTTGCTGTTCTCCACTTTCCTTCCAAAGATTACAAATTTCATATCTTTTCGCTGATGATCTGATTATATTTATTTCATTCTTTGCCAATCCAGATTATCTGTATAGTCATTGAAATTGCACAGAGAGGAATACGCCATTGATTCTAGATTCTGATTTACTTATATTGATATTGAATGAAAATACTCTTGCAAGAAATACACTGCATCTCAAAATATAACATTCACATAGAAATAAATACATTAAATCAAGAGAAAAAAATAAATATAACCACATTTACTAAGCAAATTTGATTTTTATGAGTTAGAATATATAGTATAGAATAATGTTTAGATAAAGAATGAATCTTGCTGAGTATAAGCGTAATAATTCTTAAAAATCTCAATCTCATCAGGGAAAGAATGGTCCAAAGAGCATTTTCTTGCCGGGAGATCTGTTGAACACCAGATGTTAATAGCATTGACATAAATTAATTTTGTATTAAGAAATCTCTCTTCTTACGTTATTGACGAAATAAAAAAAGTTTGTTATTTTTTCTGGGTAAAAAAGATATGAACGATTTAACAAGCCTGATTGCATCCGAGCATTTATTTCAAGTAGAAATACAAGCCGAATCATTGCAAACATTATTCTCTGCGTTTTTTAAGAAAATGAAGTTTCAGGACTCAAGAATCGAAAAATTAGAAGAACAATTAAAAAATTGCATCCAAAAAGATGAGTATGACAATCACCAATCAGAAATTCGAGCTAGAATTAGTCAAAATGAGAACGATATCGAAGATTTAAATAACAAAAATGATTTAATGACAAAAAATCTTGCTGAATTTGAAACAAAGCTCAAAAATATGATTGAAGAGCGCGCAAATGACATTATGATGACAACAACAAGCTCGAATGAGCAAGCATATTCAAATATAACTTCAACATTTGAGTTATTACAAAATAGCGTACAAGACTTCCTAAAGAATCAGCCAAAGGAAAACATTACAGAGAGATTTGAAAAAATTGAAGCTAATATTACTGAATTACAAACAAAACTTGAAGAATCTAAGCAGAATGAAGAAAACTTTGTTAACAAAGAATATATTGATGGACGTTTGAGAGATGCAGTTGATGAAATTAATAGAAATGTTGATAGACAATTCGAAAATTATAATAATAACGTTTACAATATTTTAGAAGATGAAAGCGGTAATTCAAATGATAGATCTATTGCTGCAAAACTTAGAATTGCACTTGCTCACCTCAGAACAGAATTTGAAGAGTTCAAAAATGGTTTTGGAGATAAACATAAGCATTTGATATCAAATAACGTTCAACCAGGTGCTCAATCACAATCTGAACAAGATACAGGTGATGATTTTGAGATTTATCAAAAGAATATCTCAAGAGCAATGATGGCCATTAATAATACTATGAATAACATCATAGCTGAAGGTGCTGGCTTAGGAAAAATACCTTTCTTGCAATTAGCTCAGAATGCTCCTGCTATATTTATGGATAATTTCGTTGCAATTCAGCCAGATAAAGTTGGAGACCGAAAAATTCCAAAAATTTCGGGACTTACTGCTGCTCCTTCGAAGAGAACAACAGAGAAGATCATTATTGGCGAAGAAAAGAAGAAGACAGGATTAACTCAGGAAGATATCCAAACAATTTCCTTAAGAATCGCTTCAGAGCTCAAAATAGAAGACGTAAAAGCTAGAATGGATGAAATTGAAAAGCAGAACATTGATGTTTTAAGTGCTTTGGATAGAAAAGTTGATCGAGAATTTGATGAGAGATTATTCGAGAAATTCAGAGTTTATATTAATCAAATTAAGGAAACTGTCAATAATTTAAGCCAGCAAGTTGAAAATTATGCAACACGAGATGAAGTCGAAGAAGTGAAGAAGATTGCAACCGGAATTCCAGTTAAAGTCATTGATCAAGGCCCTGTCGTTAGGAAAGGTCCTGTTTGCCTCTTCTGTGGAAGGCCAAAGACTTCAATTACTGGTTCAATTTCACCAAGAACGGCCAGAAAGGTTGGAAGAGCTCCTGTTGCAGTCCCAACTCAATCAACAGATTTAGTATATGGAGAAGGTCAAGCATTTGTTAAAGGAGGAGAAACGAATTCAATTCAAAGATTTGATACAGTTCTTGCTGCAACTGGACAAGAATTAGATCAAGTTGAAGAGAAATAACTTATTTTGTTAATATATTATTTGTTTAAAGAAATTCTGTTTGAACTTATTTAATTTCATATTTTTTTTTGTAGTGATTATCCATATTAATATATCTTCAAAAGCAAAACATGCTCCGTACAAGTATATGAGATGCACTTACATGAGTAAAAGTATTGGTTGTCATGTTAACTAACTGATACTAATATCAGTTTGCAAGTATTTAACTGTTTCAAATCGACCTTCATGTGATACAAAAATAATTGCATTAAATCCATTAGTTTTATTGCACCAATCCTCGTCAAGGCGTAAATTGTTGGGAATGGAAAGAGTCAAAATTATGTTATTAGAAGTGAGTTTACCTTCTTTATATAACGTCCAGATCATTTGACGCTGTGTGCTGATTGAATTAATAAAATATCAATATTTCATTTAGAATGGCCAAGCAATTATTAGTGTTTAAAAATGATGTTCTCTCATAAGCTTATCATATTCATATGAATAAATTGATTTTCACATATGAACCTCAAAAAAGCTGTATTCGTACAGAGAAAATGCCTGTAAATAGCATCTGAAGCATTAGCAATGACAATTACAGTGGCAGAAAACCATACATAAAGGTAAGAATGTGTGGTCCTATCAGCAATTCAAATTTCCAAACGTGACACCATAAAACGTGACAGCTCCTGACAAAAATTTTCACTTTTTTGTGGAGATTTCGAAAATGCTGCCCACAGACTCCACAGAAATAACACTTATTTTCAGAACAAACTATCAAACATACCCCGGGCAGCAGATGTTCATCAGTGGAGATCATCCATTGTTAGGAGAGTGGTCTCGAACTCGTGCTTTTGCAATGAGATACGTGCGAGACTCGAATGATTCTCTGAATTGGGTTGGAAAGATCACATTTAGGAAACCAATACGCCAAATTGTAACTATCGAATACAAATACATTCTCCTTACATCAAGTTTTGATCCAAATGATCCTAGATTTCAAGGTGACGTCCGAAGAGATACAAATGCCGAAGTTTGTTGGGACTCTGGTCCTAACAGAAAGATAGTTATTGGTGAAGTAACTCAATCTCCTTATCTAGTTATGACATCTGATTTGTTTCAATCTCAAATCGAACTTCTGGAGCATGTATTCTTGAAAAATACATTCAGAGATGTCATATATTACCATCCTATCAACAAAACTCATGAAATACTCAGAGATGTGAAACCAACTCAAATTACACAGGTTCGATTTCGACTTTTAGTGTTACAACTACCCCCGAATTACCGTGTTTATATCACAGGCGATTCTTCCGTCTTCGAAAATTGGAAGAAATACGTTCCTTTGGTTCCGATTAACAACTTATACTGGGAAATAGCAATCGATATGCGGAATGATACGAGACCGTTCGACTACAAATATTTGATACTCAAAGATGGTGACAGTACACCAAAATGGGAACATCGTCCTAACCATAAATTTTATTTCCCATTTGAGAACCCGAGTGTCTTAATCATAAGCGATTGGCTCTTTAAATTCCCTGTAGTCAAGTTTCACGGTGCTGGAATCATCACAAGTCTTTATTCAATTCATTCACGAAAATCTCTCGGAAAAGTCGGCGAGTTCATGGACCTAAAACTCTTAGTTGACTGGGCTAGCCGCGCAAATCTACTTTTAATCCATTTACTTCCTTTACAAGATACAGATCGAGGTCTTGATGGCCCGGAAACGAATCCTTCCCGTCAAGTGTCGGCCTTTGCATTCAACCCGATCTATTTAACGCTTAGCCGTGTTCAAGGATACAAATCTGACCCAACTGTCAAGAGATCGACCTATTTGAACGTATATCTTGCGAAAATAAACGCATTACGAGAGATTTTCAGTACAATTGATCGCTCAAAGCTCCGAAAAGATCCAGAATTTCGCGAATTCGTTACATCTAACAATTGGTGGCTTCAAAACTACTCTCTCTGGGCCAGTTTAAGAGATGAGTGGCTGGAGAAAAATCCACCGCCAAATCATGACGAAAAATCCGAAAAATTAGAATTTCCTCCATTTACAGATTTTGCGCTTCCTGATCTACTCCTTACACCCGTTATTGAAAGCAAGCGCGATATCAACTGCCTGTTTATCGCCTGGGTCCAGTTCAACTGTTATAAGCAAATGGCCGAGGTCAGTGAGTACGCCCGTAGCTCCAGAGTAGTTCTAAGCTCCACAATGACTATTGGCCAGCGCCATGGAAGTACCGATACATGGTCCCATCCCGAGTTATTTGATGAAGAGTATAATATTGGGGCTCCACCGGATATTTTCTCATTCCATGGCCAGAACTGGGGCTACCCATCATGGAACTGGGAGCAGATGCGGAAAACTAACTACCAATGGATCAAACAACAGATTTTTTTCAGAAGTCAGTTTTTCTCGGCATGTATGTTCGACCATCCACTCGGATTGTTCCGTTGCTGGAATATTCCATGCGATGTCGAGAATCCTCTTTTGGGCCACTTTGTCCCTTCGTCACCTGTTGACGTCAAATCTCTTACCGAACTTGGTCTGAGAGACATTTCCCAGCTTTGCCGTCCTATCTTCCCCATCTCCGACGCGTTGAGCTTCTCTCTTCCCGAGAATGTCCGCGAGCAAATCATAAATCTTCTCGCAACATGCGATGGTGGTAACTGGCGCTTCAAAGCCGACTACGAGACTGATACCTCGATCAAACAGGCTCTCGCGAATATCGCTGCCGACTTAGATATCGAGAAAAAGCTTCAGCTTTCTTTAGCTGAAAAAATTTTACTTTCATATTTCGAAAGTGTCTGTTTGATACCTGATAAAACAGCTCCACACGAGAAATACTACCCGAGATTCTCAATGACTGACTCCGCAATCTTCAAACTACTTCCAGAACGAGATGCACAAGTCCTTTACAAGTTATTTGTTGACTTTTATTACAGAACAAATCTCTCTATGTGGCATGAAAACGGTGCACAAAACATTGGACCATTTGCTTCTGCGCCAATCCAATTCTTTGGATATGATTTAGGTGTAACTTTAAATGACGAAGAAAAAGCTCTGCACAGAGTTGGAATTTGTTCATTTAGAGTACAAAGAATTCCAAGAGAATCGACACAAAGATTCGATGCAACAGAAGATTTCCCTTACATGTCAATTTGCACTCCTTCCCCTCACGACATGCCTCATTTGACTCTTTGGTGGAGACAAGAACAAGCTGATGTTCAGCTGTTTTACCACCAAATTCTAAAAATGAATGGTGTCGCTCCTTTGGAGATAAACAAGGATATCGCAAGAGGAATAATCAAGCAGAACTTGGCGAGTGATTCTATGTGGTGCGTGTTTGTTTTTGATGATTTGTTCGCTCTGAGCGATGACTTCAAAGAAGATATTTCTACAACATGGATTTCTGACCAAACAAATGGAAGCAGGGCTCCTTTCAAGATGAGTGTTTGTTTGGAGGATTTGCTTGAGAAGTCTGATTGGAATGACTTGATTGTCAACATGGTCCAAGAAAGCGGGAGAGGAAGAGATGTTTCCCGCGGTTTCGCTGATTTGTATTAATATATTACTTTATACTATATTTTTTGTTTCTTTATATATATATATATCTAAAATAATATCATTGTTTATTATTTTTCAAATTTGATTTTTTTTTTGGCATAAAGGAATGTTGTAAGTTTGTGTCTTCACACTATAGATCACCAAACTTTATTTATCTCAATCGGACTTAAAATAACATGATATTCTTCTTAGTTTATTTGAAATTGATCTTAAAATAATAAGCCAACAAACATATTTCTAGTAATTTTAGTGATTTATAGAAAATCCTTCGATCAAATTCCGAAGATCTATTATAACATAACGCTTTGCAAATATTTGGATTCCAAGCAAAACAATCTATCGCATGAAGAGTGATAGAAATATGAATATGTATATATATATATATATACATATATATATAAGGTAGTCACAAAATCTAAGTAGTGAGGCTCTCAAAAATTGAACCGTACTCCATACAAAATTCGTGTACCCTCACTACTTAGATTTTGTGGCCTTCAATTGAGAGGTTAGTTTTGATAGAGCACGTTATAAAATTAAAAGGGAAAAATAAATAAAATTTAAACATTTAATTATATATAATGTAAGGAGTGTAATTCCAAATTTTCTAAAAACTATTCAAATTTGAGCATTTTTTTGGAAATAGTAAATCTAATATGTACATCTAATAACAACATGATTCATCACCTTTTCAAGCTCTGCAGTCAATTTTTTGAAATTTGATTGAAATAAATGTAGCAAAAATTACATTTCATTAGGGAATATATGAGTTTCTCTGGAAACAGGCTGATAAATTTTAAATTTTGTCCAATCAACATGAATGCATTGAGAAATTTGGATTGATTTTCTGGTAGAATCTGGAACAATTCAACCATGTATAAATGGATCATGTAATCATCATGAAATGTTAGTGTTAGAGTTCAAAAGAAACAGAATGAGTGGAAATCAAATACAATCTGAATAATTTTAAACGTATACAATCTTTAAGTTTGTATTTTGAATTCTACATATATGATTGTGTAAGGGTTTCGTTTTGCTAAAATTGTCACTTTTATAGCATATTTGTTTTTGGATGTTTTGCGAAACCAAAAAAAACTATGATATACAATGTGTGTGTAAAGAAAATACTTTATTTACTAGTTAAAAAATCATTTGGTATTGATCAAGTTATTTTTTCTGGATAAGATATTATATGGATAATTGGATAGAAAATACAATTATATAATCTTGTACCTGGTTTAATTAAGCTAATTGTCATCAGAAACTTGTAATTTTTATGAATTTCAGATTTTCTTTTCATTACTGCTTTTCTTAATAGGTCAAGTTCTTATTTACGTTATAAAGTATGATATTTACAAATATCAAGTTATCATGTTTTTTGAGAAATTATGAGAAACAAACAAAAATGAAAAAGATAGGAATAGCAATGAATAGTGATGTGGGTATAGAAAATGTAAGAGATATGAATGCAAAGCAATCAGTATTTAGGATATTGACCATAGATTTCGAAAAAAAAATGCTGCATATTGAGCGAAAACTATGATTATATTATAAGGCTGTCATTTAAAGCATAATGAAACTATTCCCTTTTCATTTTAATCGAATAAGATAGTAAAGATTTTTGAATTAGCTAGAAACTGATGAGATGTTTTCACAAATCAGATTTTTAATCTCTATAATGCATAATTCACTCAATATCTCAATTTTGATATTGCGAGATATTTTTGCTATCGGTTTCGCAATTTTGACACAATAGCAAGAGGGTTCTATATGCATTATTATCAACGTAGAATCTGAATATCATATCAGAAAATGTCGCAAATCTGACATTTACCCGACCAAATAGCAAAAATAATTGAATACTTTTCGCAAAAACTTTAAAAATCGATAAAAATATGAAATATAGATATTAAAGAGACTTTTTATATAATATTCATAAAGATTTTCCAAAAATATGATACCGCAAAATTAAAAAAGTGACGTCTTGAGTGGAATCAAATGTCGAAATTGCTAGCTAAATGTTTTTTTAGCGAAATTGCGTATTGTACGTTTTTTTCGCAAAACGAAACCCTTAGATTGTGTAATTCGTTCTTTCAAATTTTCGGATTCAGGCATGTTTTGATAAAATTCATTCCCAAAAACGTCAATTAACAATTAAATTTAGTGTATTTTAAATATATATACGTATTATATTTTATAAATTATATTAAATTCGCAAAATTTTAAGTTTTAAACAAAAATATAAAATGTTCAAAATATGAAATTATGCATAGGATATTAAAATTTACATGTGAGCAATTTTTTTGAATTGCTTTCAATTTTCAAATTGAAATTTTTAAGATTTTTTTCTGAAATAATAAGCAAGAATATCAACCTAAATAATATTAAATTCCATGCGTTAATTTCCCCTCAAAAGTCATTGACCGCCTCTCAATCTAGATTTTGTGAGTACTTTATATATATATATAAACATTTAAGGTTTTAGTGGTTTCGAAAACATCTGTGATTGTTATTTTTATTTTTTCGCAAAGCAAATGAACATCAGCATTATGATTCTTGCCGTGTTCATCGATACCTCAAATACAATAATTTCCTTGAAGTAAGTTGTAAAAATTTACACTTTTCCGGCGTTTTGTCAGGGGCGCGAAGCGACCTAAAAATGTCGGAAAAGTGTAATTCTCAGATAGAACAGCATTTGAATGAAAATCTTATTGCTTTAGATATTGTGTTATTTCACATATACGAATTTAATTAAAATTCATAAATTAGATCCGAAATTTGATCCGAATTTATTTCCGAAATCTTTTTGATCATTTATTTCGGCCTGTCTAACATAATATTTGTTTTTTTCTAATGAGTTTAAAAGATATTTAGCAAATTTGTCCGGACATTTCAGAGAATTGAGCCTGAGTACAATTCTCTGAAATAGTCCGAAGAAATATGAAAGTCTGTCATGGCTTTCAATGATTAGATCGATTTTAACGGAACCTTAAAATCGAGTATTGAAAAGTCTAGACAGACTTATATAGTTTTGTTCGAATATAATCGTCTGGATGAAAATTTTATTGCTTTAGACATTGTGTCATTTCACATCTATGAATTTAATTAAAATTCATAATTCATGAGTCTAATTGAAAAACCGCTTCACTCATTCAATTTGCCTCAGAATATGCTAAATTATATCATAAATATATTACACAGAAATTGAGACTTCGTGTAATATATTTTGCAAACTTTATACACTTTTTCAATATTTTTTTACATTGTTGTTTTGAAAGTCTCTGAAAATTGAATACGCAAATTGAAAAAGTGTGAAAAGTATCCGAATTTTGATCCGAAATTATTTCCGGAATCTTTGTGATCATTGATTTCCGCATATCAAACATAATATTTTTTTCTTATAATGAGTTTAAAAGAAATTTGTATCTTAAAATACAAATGTCACCTTTTCAAAATTATTAATGTCCGAAAAAGACATTCATCCAAATAATTTCAGCGAACTTCGAAGTATCTGTAAACACTACATTGATTCATATAATGCGTTGTATCAGCTGAAAACGGAAAGAGAAGAAGAATTAAAAGACATTTACAAACAGATCAAAACAGAATTGATTGATTCAAAGAAATACTCATCCAAAAAGATTATTGAAGACATATTATTTATCATTCCGTTTAATAACCGCTATACAAAGTCATATTTATCTCTTGTCAAACTCATATCTGATGATTATCATGTGGAAGAAGTCAACCATGTTGAATGTATTTCTAACTTCTTGTTTTATAAAGAATATGGAATTAAATTAGACAAATCTGATGATTTTGAAAAAAATTAAATCAGATAATCTCGATATTCATATAGAAAATACAATTTACAAAGCAATTATGAATAATGACTTTGAAAAATTCAACCAATTCACGGAAAGAGATGGATTTGATAAAGATCAAAGACTGTATAGCGAATTATATCCATATTCTTCCGAAGGATATTCATTGCTTGAATTATGTTGTTACCATGGAGCAGTTGATTGTTTCAAGTTATTAAGAACAAAATTTAGTTCAGAAATTACTCAAAAATGTCTTCATTTTTCATTTTTAGGAGGAAATCCAGAGATCATGAGTGAATGTTTGAAATATCAAAAACCAGATGAAAATTGCATGGATTATGCAATTATTTCACATAACATTGATTTTGTTACATTCTTGAAGAATGAATACAATATATAGATTGATTTATATTGTTGTGAAAAGTATTGTAATCTTGAATCATTTTTAGTTTATTTCGATCAAACTAATGATATTAGCAAATGCTTCATTAAATCTCCGAAATTTAATATTCCATCCCTTTTGGAATACTTCCTTTCACATGGTGCAAATATCAATGAAAAAGATAAAAATGGAAAAACCACTCTTCACTATTCAGCACGTCATTATAGTAAAGAGATAGCTGAACTTCTTATTTCACATGGTGCAAATATCAATGAAAAAGATAATGATGGAAAAACCGCTCTTCATATTGCAGCATTGAAAAACAGTAAAGAAACCGCTGAACTTCTTATTTCACATGGTGCAAATATCAATGAAAAAGATGATGAGAGAAAAACTGCTCTTCATTATGCAGCACTTTTTAATAGTAAAGAAACAGCTAAACTTCTTATTTCACATGGTGCAAATATCAATGAAAAAGATATTGATGAAAAAACCGCTCTTCATTACGCAATAGAAAATAATAGTAAAGAAATAGCCAAACTTCTTATTTCACATGGTGCAAATATCAATGAAAAAGATGATGAGAGAAAAACTGCTCTTCATTATGCAGCACTTTTTAATAGTAAAGAAACAGCCAAACTTCTTATTTCACATGGTGCAAATATCAATGAAAAAGATATTGATGAAAAAACCGCTCTTCATTACGCAATAGAAAATAATAGTAACGAAATCATCAAACTACTTATTTCACATGGTGCAAATATTAATGAAAAAGATAAATGTGGAAAAACCGCTCTTCAGAATGCAGCACTTAAAAATAGTAAAGAAACAGCCAAACTTCTTATTTCACATGGTGCAAATATCAATGAAAAAGATAATGATGGAAAAACCGCTCTTCATAATGCAGCATGGCATAAATATAGTAAAGAAATAGCCGAACTTCTTATTTCACATGGTGCAAATATCAATGAAAAAGATATTGATGAAAAAACCGCTCTTCATTACGCAATAGAAAATAATAGTAACGAAATCATCAAACTACTTATTTCACATGGTGCAAATATTAATGAAAAAGATAAATGTGGAAAAACCGCTCTTCAGAATGCAGCACTTAAAAATAGTAAAGAAACAGCCAAACTTCTTATTTCACATGGTGCAAATATCAATGAAAAAGATAATGATGGAAAAACCGCTCTTCATAATGCAGCATGGCATAAATATAGTAAAGAAATAGCCGAACTTCTTATTTCACATGGTGCAAATATTAATGAAAAAGATAAAAATGGAAAAACTGCTCTTCATTACGCACCACGTAATGATAATAAAGAAACCGCCGAACTTCTTATTTCGCATGGTGCAAATATCAATGAAAAAGATGAAGATGGAAAAACCGCTCTTCATAAAGCAGCACGTTGGAGTAGTAAAGAAACCGTTGAACTTCTTATTTCACATGGTGCAAATATCAATGAAAAAGATAAAAATGGAAAAACCACTCTTCACTATTCAGCACGTCATTATAGTAAAGAGATAGCTGAACTTCTTATTTCACATGGTGCAAATATCAATGAAAAAGATAATGATGGAAAAACCGCTCTTCATATTGCAGCATTGAAAAACAGTAAAGAAACCGCTGAACTTCTTATTTCACATGGTGCAAATATCAATGAAAAAGATAATGATGGAAAAATCGCTCTTCATATTGCAGTAGAAACTAATAGTAAAGAGATAGCTGAAATTCTTATTTCACATGGTGCAAAAATATAATGTTCTTTTATATATAAATTTCATTAGAAATATAAAACATTTCAGCTTAATTTCCCATTAGAATTTATACATAAAACGATTTTTACTTATATCACCTCTCATTTTTTCTCACTGTTTTTTGAGATGCCTCCACTCTTAATATTTAAGTAAATATATCTTGATGCTTAAGGGTGCCCTTACGCCCCTATGATATGGCCTTCAATTCAGATGTTTATGGTTAATTTTCAATGAAGCTTCACGCCAGTTGTCAAAAATTCGAATTAAAGTCAAGACAGCATATTAGGTCAAATAGGCTAATATGACCATCTGATTCTATATTTGCAGCATTCAAATGAGAAAATTAGTTCATTTTATTCAATATTTCGGTCAATGATTTTCGAAGAAAAATCGATAAAGGACATTGATTCCCTCTTCTGCAATCTATCTAATAATTTACTAATAAACTAAAAAAGGAAGAGAATATAATACTAAATTATTGATTTAAAAAAACAAAATTAAAAATTATATATAAAAAAATTCAATTCTATTCCGCAATTTCAGGTTCTTGTTCCTCTTCAAGACCTAAAACAAATGTTTCCATTGCTTCGCTAATAAATTGTTCAACTCTTGTGTTGAACTCGTTTTCATCTTCGATACAAGCTATTTCTGCGTATTCCTGTCTCTTTGGCTGGCAACTAGATGATCCCTGGCATGCACCAGATGCTCCATCAACAAACAACTGTCTGTCAATCAATGCCAAATGCCTTGAAAATGCAAAATACTTTCTGAGAAGGTCTGCGGCCATTTCTCTTTCGTCTGCTTCCTTCGGTTCAGGTGATATGATACGAGCAACAGTTGCTGATGAAACAACCATTAAATCGTAGTTCTCTGGAGTTAAAATGGAATTTTCAAAAGTAATAATTTCGGAGATTACGGAGTAATCGGCGACATATCTCGAAACAACATCTGAGAAAAGACATATTATTGCCTTCTGATCGTCTTCTTCGAGTAAGTGGAAACAATTACTTTTTATAAAGAAAAGAGATGCAGAAATATGGAACTGCTTGTACATATCCTGGTTGTCTGAGCTGTGGATTGGTGATTCATTACCTGTTGGAACTGTTGTTAATTTTGAGATGATCAAATGTCCAATTGTTTTTATATCATCCTGGTTGGACAACGAGACTGCCGCATCAGCAATAGATGCAAAAACTTCCCAGTCAATCATACCAAGCATGTCCCAGAAAAGAGGAAAACCATCTGTTCCTAAAACATGAACGGCAGCTTTAGCGTATGAGGAGAGATAAAGCTTGTTCTGGTCAGGAATCTCTTTTACCGCCGAAATAAAGTTGGCAAGTAATTTGTAGACCGATTGGTCGCAATCTGACAAATTCATACCAGCAATGAAGTCAAAAATCGGGGTTATACTGTCATTTTGGAGCTTTGTGAGATCAGAGAATATCTCAGCGAAGTGGTTTGCGCATGCAGAAAAAACAATTACTCTTGAATCTGGAGGAAGTTGATTAGAAACAGATCTTGCAGCATCTAAAAGAACTGCACGACCTGATATAACAAAAGCAAAGATAATTTGTTCAAAGTTCTCGATGTTAAAAACACCTTGAGGGTATAATTTGCAAACTATTGAAATTACCTTAAATAAATAGTCGTCAATGTGCGTAGCATTGGCTTCTTCAAGCATTATTACAGTTTGCGCGCACTTCTCGAACAGCTGTAACGTAAAATCAATGTTCTCTGGTTTTCTTATGAAAGGAATCGCCATTTTCGCATAGCATCCTAAAGCGATGACATATGGTGATTCTATATTCGATTCAATTTCTAACAAACCATTGAACATTGCCACGATTTCGGGTTCATTTGGAACAATATCCGTCAAACAAGCAAGAAGTGCGGCGCATCCATCAATATTTTCGGATGGTGATATTCCACTCGAGAGAGTTATGAACTCTTGCTGTAGATTTGATGTAGTTAATGATAAAGACTTCAAAAGTTTCAAAGGAGACTGCATTTCAAGGTCTTTATCTGGTCTGTCGCTTTGTATGATCTCTAATAACTTCTCCAATGTTGCATTCGCTATCACGTCGACGTAATCCGGATGAGATTTTGCAAATAAACGGATAAAATCCGTAATCAAATTGGAAATTTTGACATTTTGGAGAAATAAAAGTTTAGCTATTTCCAAAAATTGCTCTGCTTCGTCTGTTTCTACGATAGGAGTAACCATTACGTTAATAAGTTCGCAGATATGCATCATTTTGAGTTCTGAGCAATCTGACGTAAGTATTTCTCCAAGAATTGTCGCAATTTGTGATGAATTTACGAAATCTACGATTGCATCTAGAGAATCTGGTCTTTTCATGTAATTTGTCAATGACATTATAGCTGAATCTGTAGCTTCTGGTATTTGGAACAAGGCCATGATATCACCTAATATTGACAGGCAACCTAAAACTGAAGAATCAATCCATTCAACGAGTGTTGAAAAAGCTTTCGAAGATCCATCAATACCTGATTCAAGATCTTTGATAACTGTTTCAACTAGTAACATTTGGGATCCATCTTCCAACATTTTTTGTAAAATTGCATCGTTATTTCGAACAAAAACGGATGAATTTGAGTATAGCGAGTATTTCCATGCCGATAGAAATCCATATAAATGATTTTTAGGTGATTTAACGATTTCATTAAATATATTCGGAAGAATTTCTGGGTAAAATTGATGTACTAGGTCTGCTTGAGTGTCATATGTCTTTGTGAGAAAGCTAGGCTGCATGAAATTTGGATCTTCAAAGATTTTAATGAAAAATTCAGCGATTATATCATCATGTAAATTAGGATTAATCATATTCCAAGATCCGTGAATAAAGTGTGTTATATAGCCCAAGGAGACTTCTCTAGTATATTGATGTTTGAACGAATGGAGATTTTCTAAAAACCATCCCAAATTTGCTGCGTTTGAAATAAAATTTGGAACGAAAAAGAAAACTTCCATCTGGGTATCCATATCATCGACGTTTAGCTTCTTCCCGTATATGAGGAGAAGCTCCTCAGACATTTGCATTTTTCAAATTTTGACAGTAAATGTGGGTTTCTAAGAAAACCTGATATTTCAAAATATAATGTTCCACAAATTCTTATGGCTCTTAAAATCCATGAATATATCTTACTCAAAATTTTACACAATATCGTCTTAATCTAATGTTGTAAATTATGCTGCGTTCAGTGAGGATTGTAAAAATAATCAACCTTTATTTTATTAATTTATATACTTCCCGACGGTTTTGAGTAATAATTCAAAAGTTGTAAAAGAATAATTTATAAATGATCGAAGAAAGTGATCCCTCGAATGATTTAGATGCTGAAATTACGCAATGCTTAGCGAATCATGGCTATAACTTATGCGAGTGGATTGGTGGTGGTGCAAGTTCTTCATGTTTCCGTGTTTTTAGTTTACAATATCAAGATTTCTTCGTATGCAAAATTATCCCCAGAGAAAATGAATTCAATTCCGAATTAGAATTTCTTTCTCAGCTGTTTCATCCAAATATTATACAATGCTATACTTATTTCCAATCCCCCGGACTTCATTACTTAATATTAGAAGAATGTACTGGTGGCAATCTCTCAGATTACATACGAGATAAAGGTGCAATGAATCACAAAACTTTATTAAAGTTTTATTATCAGTTATTATCAGCTTTGGAATATCTACACAAAAGAAATATAGCACATATGGATATTAAGCCGGCAAATATCCTAATTAACAAGTTTGGTAACCCTAAATTAGCTGATTTTGGATTATCCCACACCGTTAAGCAAAACAAATGTTGTAGTTACGTCGGCACTAAAATTTTTGTTGCACCAGAAGTTAGTGATACTATCCCGTACGATCCTATGAAGGCAGATATTTATAGCTTAGGAGTGACTTTATATACTTTATTAACAGGATATGATTACGAAACTATGAACACAGTAATTTCAATGTACCTCAATATGAATTCAATTCCTTTTCCTCCGCAGACCTCTAAAATTTTACAATCAATAATTACGGGTTGCATAAATAAAAATCCAAGCGAACGATTGTCTATACCTCAACTGAAATCACTACTAAAAGATGAGTTCGAAAACCAAGGAGTACCTTCTGTAGCATCAGCCTGTGGAGTTCAGACAGTTCAAGGTTCATCTGGTTCTTTCAGAATTAGCAGGAAGAATTCTACAGATTCTCCAGCGTTCGGATCATCAATAGTAGGTAGTAATACATTCGGCTTGCTTAAAAAGCCACTCAGTAGAAGAAATGTTTTAATTCCTCACGGAAAAACTCCGCCGAAACCTTTATCTATGTTGCAGATGAGTAGATCACCTTTACCACCTGTTTTGTGGCCTCCAGAATAAGCGTTATTTGTATATCTTTTTGTTGTATTTATTCATGAATGAAAAAAATTGTTTTAGTTAAAATATATTGTATGATTAGTCGATAATTAATAGAATTTTACATTATTTTTGTAACAGTGAGAAACGAAAATTGTCAATAAAAATTTCCAAAATCAGAACAACCGGAAAAGTGATAAATCAAGATGTCTTGGAAAATCAATAATAGCTTTCGAAAAATTATCCTGTTTTAAAATTACAGATTAATAGCACATCAAAAAATATGGTAGAAACATATAACTCGATTCACAAAATGATTTTTCTGGATCGATTAGGGCAAAATTTAATATAGTGATTGATATCTTATGCAAAATTGCAATACGGGGAAGTATCTCATTTGCCTCATGTTTTCATAATGCCATAACTCATACAATAGACTATATACTATTCTTAATGTGGAATTTTGGTTAAAAATTGATTTAATGAAAAAATAATTGAGATTGATAACATCGAAAAAGAATTACAGTTAAAATTTGTTTATCACTAGAGTGATGATAATGATTGAAAAGACTGACATAATCATTTTTTGAAATATCACTGAAAGTAAATCAAGATTATGGAAATTCAACTCAAAAATGGGTTATTCTTGAATTCTTAGAGTCCCCCAATAGATTACAAGCTTCATAATTTTCCAAAAATTTTACATCTTCCTAAAAATCAGGTGTAATTTTGTAGATCTCGGTATGATAAATATACTTTTCAAAATATTTTTGAAATTTTCATTTTAATTTTTTAATTAATTCGATATTATTTCATGAAATAATCAATATTTACACTATATAAATCGTGTAATTTAAATTATTATTTTTATTATTATGAAATATACTATGAAACTAGAGAAAATATATATTTTTGATTTTTTGAATATAATTTTTTTTTAGTATTAGCAATCGTTATTGAAAACTTTGCAATAACATGCTAAAGTATATATAATTACACCGTCCAAATTCATTTTTCATTTTGATGAGATAGTTCCGCTATTCAAGCGTGTTTATTGACCAGTTTACTTTAGAGCTATAGTTGAAAATATCAAGGTACATAGCTAGGATATTTACATTCGAATAAAAATTAAACTATATCAACGAACAAAGGGGATATAACTACACAAATACCATTAAATTTTAAAAAGAATACCTACGTTATATCTCAAAAAGATTTTTACCAGATGACCTATACGTTGTAACAATTTTTTTATTACTGGTAAAGATAATATCCACAAACCAATTCTTTCCAAAAAATTCATATGAAATACTCAGTCAACGATCAAAAACAACCAATGATACAATGTATCCATCTGCATATTTTCAACTATTCGTTTTATATTTGTATCTTCATACTTAAATCTGACCGATATCCCATATGATAAAACTACACAATTAGATTAGCATCCATTAAGTTTTACTATCAAGTAAACTAACTCTTAATGGAATATTTATTCATTCTTAATTTATTTTTTTTGCACATACTTCTTTCAAATTTATCGAGCCTAACATCGCATACCTTATACAATAGAATTGAAATCCTAAATTTAATGAAATTATATAATCACTACAAATATTTGAGATTATAACATTCTCTTTCAGTAATTAATTTAATTTACGTTACTGATGGTATGTTACCATTTATGTGAGCCGAGTTACTAATTTTTGAATAATTGTTTTAGGTAATTGTCGAATATAAGCATAGACACACATAGTATTGTCATATACTTCTCATGGGATATGCGGAAACAAAAACATAAATTGCTTATACATTTCTGTTTACTAATTTTTTTTGATTTGATTACTTTGAAGTTCAATATTTGGTTTAGAAGTTTGTAAACACATTGAGTTCTAGAATCCAATCACAATGATATTAAAAATTATTGATAAGATTTTGATTGCATTGCCTATGAATCAATAAATTAAAAATGATCTCAAATCATAAAATTCATATTGAATACAAATAAAACAATGAAAATAATAAATTTGATTTGCTTTTTATCAATAAGATTGACGTGCGAATGAGTTTCAAAATTGTAAATCAAGAGAATATTGTTATTCATGTCTAAAACAACAAATTCTCGGTTCTTAATAATTTAATTCTAATTAGGTCATTCATTGATTTTTTTCAAATTGTGAAACTTTAAAAAATTAACGTATATAATAAGTCTTTAAATGTCCAACTAATGGTCAAATTTCCGATTGAAAGCTGTGCGGTTTTATTTTTAAAGGAAAACCCGATCTACACACTCAAAATGTAAAGAAATATTTCAATAATTGAATTATCTCAAATTTTGAAATAAGCCGTCCCGTTAACACTCAAATCCTTGCCGCTATGCTCTGTCACCTTTTCAATATGTGATGTAAATTATATGACAATCACAAATAATCATATAATGACTGAAGTTCAAAGTTTATTAATTATTTTTTCAATCACCAAGAAAAAAATTACATATGATTAAATGCTCATATTGTTTTCTTTATGAATATTTTTTTTATTTATTTATATTCTCAATTTTTTTTTCAAGAGCTTTTTTTTTCTTTCCAAAATGATTTGCGCAAAAGTGAATGGTACTGAAGTTTGTTTACCAAAGGGTTCGACAGTTATGGATGCTGCAGAATCACTTGGCATTTATATTCCAAAACTTTGCGCACATCCAGATATCCCACCACAAGGAAAATGTAGACTCTGCGTTGTAAAAACAGCAGGGAATAACTACACACTAGCATGTTCAACGAAATTAGTAAATAACATGGAAATTACGACGAATACACCAGATGTCAAGAAAAAAGCGTTAGATGCTCTTTCACAATTCAATGATATGTCTTTGATGCCATTAACACCCGAAATAGAAGAAATATACAAATACTTAACTAATAAGAAGCCAACCAGAGGTCGCAAAGCCGAAAAAACTCATGCACTCTCTTTTGATCCTTCTCTTTGCGTTAATTGTGGTCGATGCGTTAGAGCATGCAGTGATATTCAATGCATAGGTGCTCTTGATGAAGAATCTCACTCATTAAACGATAATGATTGTATACAGTGCGGAATGTGCACTACAGTCTGCCCAACAGACGCCCTGATTCATAACTCATCGGTACCTCAATTGATCAAGGCTATATCGTCCGGAAAAACGATGATTTTACAAATTTCTCCTTTTGTTAAAATTAATTCTGACACACACTCCAAATACTTGACGAACCAAGTATCAGTCGAAAAAATCATCGGAGCAGCAAGAATTATGGGATTTAGATACGTTTTCGACCAAAAATTCGGAACAGACGTTTCTATCATCGAAGACGCCACAGAATTAATGCAAAGACTTGAAAAGAGAGAGAAACTACCAATGATTACGAGCTCCTGCCCTTCGTGGGTCAACTTTATCGAGAAAATTTTCCCGGATCTTACAGAAAATTTATCGACAACGATGAGCCCTCATATCATTACAGGCAGCCTTATCAAGAACTGCTTCTCAAACCTCAAGAATATCGATCCTATGAAGGTTTTTGTCGTTTCATTATTACCATGTACCGCTGCAAAGGACGAAATCAAGAGAGAGTCACTTAATGGTATGGTAGATGCTGTAATAACAGCAAACGAGTTCTTGGAATTGATGAATACCTTCGATATAAAGTTTGATGACGTAATGGATTCAAAATTCGACAATATACTCGCCGATAACTCAGCAACGCCTCTAGATAGCAAGATCTGCCAAAATATTACAGAACCAACGCTCTGCTACCTTCACCAGAAATATAATAACGAAGAATTAAATAATTTCAACTTTGAACACTTACACGACTTCAAGATGATCAGAACATCATCAGTAACTATCGGAAATCGTACTGTTAGAGCTGCCGTCTGCAATTCTATCGCTGATGCAAGAGATTTCATCGAATCAGGAAAATTCCACGAATACGATTACATTGAAGTACTTGCCTGCCCAGGCGGATGCTTCTACGGTGGTGGCCAGCCAAAAATGTCCCGAAAAACCGCCGAAATTCAGGAAACAAACGCATTAATCGAGAAAGAGCTTCCTTATCAGTTCCCACAGAAGCACATGGATGATATCAAGCTCATTTACAACAAATTATTCAGTGCTTCTGTCGGAGATTCCAATAATAATTTACTTCATACAACATTTTCAAAGAAAGACACTCCATTCCTCGAAATGAAGCGCAACATTACATCTCTACCTATTGTAGCGTTCGGATCTTCATCAGGAACAGCTTCTCGCCTTGCAAGAATCTTTGCTTCTTATTTCAACACATTACCAGTACAATTGAACATGGTTACGATGCAGACATTACAGAAGTCATCACAAATCATCATTTTCTGTTCCACTTTTGGAGATGGCGAATTTCCAAACAACGCACAGAAGTTTGTAGAGATGCTGAGTGACTCAAATGAAGATTTATCACATCTGTCATACGGAATCTGCGCATTGGGATCGAAAGACTACCAGAAATACTGTTTTTGCGGTCATCAACTGGATAAACTCTTCGTTCAGCACAAATCAAAGAGATTAATAGAGATGGTCGAACTCGATTCATCATCTCCTGACCACGGAGAGTGTTTATTTGAACTTTGGGCTGCAAAATGCGGAACAATGCTCGGATTTAAGATGCCAGACCTCGCAATCAGTACAAACTACACAGTAAAGGTATCAAAGAACCCAGATGATATAATACATAAGGAGAAAGAACAACCATTAGGTTACGAATACGGAATTTTAGTTACATCTCAAGTAATTACGCCAGAAGGCTTCGAACCAAAGATGCACAAGTACCAGATCAAGCTTCCACCTGGAGTTATCTATCAAACAGGCGATTTGGTCGGAATTCTCCCTGAAAATGATGAAGATGCAGTAAAAGCGGTTTTGGATGAACTCAAACTCGATCCCGATGATATAATCACTGTAGAATCGTCAATGCCAGAAGGATACAACATAATTCCGCCGAGAGTTACGATGAAACAACTTTTCTCGCAATATCTCGATTTGAATGGAATTCCGAGCCGTAATCTTTTGAGAGCGTTTCGGCAGTTTTGCGACGATCAGTTTGCTGTCGAACGTCTCGATCGGCTTTTGAATCCAAGCGATTCAAGATTATTTGACGAGTTCGTAAAGGACATATCGATATCGGAATTTATTCTGGAGTATTCCAGGCATTGCAAGCCGCCGCTCGATATTCTCATGTCTTGTATTCCTCATATTTGGCCGAGGTTATATTGCATCGCCAGTGCACCGACAAACTCTTCCGTGATAGATCTGATCATAAGCGACAGAATATTCGGAGATGGTAACTCGAGAAACGGTCTTTGTACCTCATATCTCAAACGTATCCCAGAAATGTCCAAAATCGCATTGAAGACCCAACACGGAATCTTCTATTACCCCAAGAACGTCGATACTCCAATAATTATGGTAGCTATCGGTTGCGGAATTGCTCCAATGATGTCAATGTTGCAACATAGACAAGCATTGATATACGAGGACAAGCTGAACATCGGAAGCGCTTCCCTTTTCTTCGGATGCAGAAACAAAGGAACGTATCCTTACTTGGATGATGTTCTCAACAATTTTGTGGAAAATAAATGTTTACAAAATTTGTTTGTAGCGTATTCAAGGGAAGGAACAACAAATCCGTACGTTACTTCTGCATTAATGGACAGGATGGATGAGGTATGGGAGAGCTGGAAGGATCCAAACTGCGTAATTATGTACTGCGGACCACCAATTGGAGTTCCCGACCAAATTAAAACTATAATGGTCAGAATTTCAATGAAGAAGGGTGAAATGTCAAGAGAAGAGGCTGAAAAGTTCTGCGCATTACATCCACATTTGTTCGAATCGTTTTAATTTTAATTTTTTTGTAATTTTTTTATTATTTTGTTTTGTATATTATATATTTTTGTGATATATTATAAAATATTGGTTTTTATCAATATGATAAGTATAAATTCATTTGATTTTTTTATAATTTTATTCAAATTATTCGAAATAAAGATGTAAGAATCTATTATTTATCATAACTTTCTCTAGTACATCATGAATTCATATGTATTTTTTGATGTTAATACATATTATTAGCTTATATTTGATATTACAAATTTTTTCAATGGTAAATGCGACCAATTACATATTTATTAAGTAATATTTAGTGTGATTTATAATTTTTCCTCTTGTTGGCTATACAAATCCAAGTAAATTTGTAATATGGAATCGAAATCATGAAAAATTTACGATATAATATGAAAACCTTTCGTTAAATACATGAAATACCTTACAATACATTATGGGATACAAGGTTATGGTCTAAATCCAGAGAAAGAGTATTTTGCCAGTCATTTGCTGATTTCTGACAGTGAAGCGACCAAAAAAGTGAATGGAAGCCCTCGACATTGTTGCTGCCCCAGCCACAAACTTCGTCAAGTCCTGCGTCAAGGTTCTCAAGCGCTGCACACTCCCATCTACAAAGGTCCTTAAGGATTCCGCTTCTGCATCTGCCGTTGGTTTCCTTATTCTCGGCTCTGTTGGCTTCATCTTCAAGGTCATTGCTTATCCAATTAACAACGTCATCATCGGCGGTATTGGCCAATAAAGAAATCAATCAGTAGATTGTTCTTTTTCATATTATTGTTCAAAATTGGCTTGTTTTGCAATAAATCAATATGAAGATACCAAGTAGTCTAGCTTGACATACTACTTCTATGAAATATTTTACTTTTTTTTACTGGCCATTTTTTATATTTTTAATATCTATTAATTCTGAGGTTAAATTTTGATTTGAGTTCCTTAAGCTTGCTGTTTCTGGTTGTTAAACTAGAGTTCTTTGGTAAGGTTTCTGTTGGAATTAGATTATAATGGAAAACAAAGTTTTTATCTTATCATCATGCAGTTTGCCTAAATTACAAACTAAATATCGCATAATATATGTATATCTTGCATCATCAAATTTTAACTGAATCACAAGATGCTTGAAACTAGCCCATACATTAACATATCTTTGTTAACTGGTGAAACCAAATTAGGATATCATTCTCTTGGCTTTGATAAGAAATTATTTTTGCTTGCTTTGAAATTTTATCGGAAAAATAAAATAATATCATATATAAACGCATAAATAACAAACACTATTTACATTTTTTAACTTCGTATAGAAGCTTGGAGATTGAATATACCGTATCTAATTCAATATCAAACGAGGAATTGTCAGCCACAGGAATAGACGGAAGTCTGAATGTAGTCCAATCTTGCTGATCATTGGGTTCTTCATTATCAACATCTTTTGCATCATATTTCTCACTATCTGAAGTTGTAGAAATATTATGGTTATCGAAAGGAGCAAAGTCATCTTCTTCAATTGGTTCAACAACATCTGGTAGCTGGGCTTCTAAAATATTGTCAGAATTTGTATATTCGTAATATTCTTGGTTGGAATTCGAAATTTCGGAATCTGAAGCATTTTCTTGCTCAGATTTCGACTGAGAAGAATCAAATGATTCAGGTTTGGTTTCTTGAACAGGAATTTCTGCTTTTTCTTGTAAATTTTTCAAAGATTTTCCAAATAAGCTCAAAGAAGCAGCTTCGTAATCGTAATTTTCCATAGATTGCAATTCAACATCATTTGATTCTTTAGGTTCATCTTTAGCTGTTTTCCTTCGCTTTTTCCGATGTCTTGTTGAAGATTTCGTTAAATCAAACATAGAAGAACTATCTCCTCGTGGAAGACGGAATAACGAATTCGACGGAGGAGTATGTAATTCCGGAGGTATAATGGGCTGTTTTGAGCCAGGAACTTGAGAAGAAGTTTGAGTACTTTCTGAGTCACTTCCAGCATCGAAAGGAGCATTTACAGAGTCTTCTGACGAAGAATCATTGAGGTCTTCTTGAAATTTAAATCCTTGAAAATTCGAAGAACTGTTGAAGTTTGAAGGATTTAAAATTAATGACGGCCTTCTTCCATTGGCTGGTGGTTCTTCTTCGTTTTCTAAAATAGGCTTCGGCATTTCAGTTGCATTGTAATCAATATGAAAATCCATATTAAATTGATCTAATTTATCATTTTCAGCTCCCAAAGGACCAAAATTTGCAAGAGAATCAGTTAATGGAGGAGGGATAAAAATACCAGACGATAGCATTCTCTGATTTAGATTAATTGGTGGGCTTTCATTTGCAGGGTTGTCAAATAAGACATCTTCATCCCTAAAACCAGCTGCTAAAGAATCAATATTCGAAATTTGTTCTTGATTTTTTGAAATATTATTTGCTCTAACATTAATACGAAGTTTTCTCGCGGTTGGATTAGCTAAACCATCCGGATTATTCTTCATACAAGCTATCAATGATGATCTTTCAGAATTCTAAAAGTGACAATAAATTTGAGTTTATTAATCATTCCGCGTAAACATTTCAAAGTAAACTATGCGAACTTGATTCCACATTTATAGGCTGTTATATACGTGAATGAACCATTTTATAACTATGTATATAAATAAGCTTTACTAAACAAATAATATACAAAGAAAACATTCTTATATTCATTAATATAACCACATTCACATGTTAAACTCGAATTGTAGATAATCATGAATCAATATACTTAGAGAAGTATCTAATTTATATATATATAAACAATATATATTCGCTATATCACACCCTTCAAATTATTTTGGGATTATGATTTGATAGAAAAAAACGGACCCAAAAAATTTGAATGGTTGGATATATATATATATAAAACTCTCCAGTTTTATAATCATTCAATTAATTACATCATATTATATTTACTCTACAAATTTAGAAACATTCGTCCAAACCAACACTTATTTACCATGTTAAATGATGCGCCTTTTCAGCCACTTATTTCTGTTATATTTGTTCGCTTTAGCAAATCAGAACTTTATCTTTTGGAGTTTTCTCCAAAAATAAATACAACTCATATGTTCGTGCTACCTAAATGCTAGTTTTCCTATACCTAGGATAATAACTTGGATGAGTTTTCCTATTGACATAAGGATCACTCTTTTGAGAGTTTTACATGACATTTGCATGCAAACTCTATGTAAAATATTCTCAATTATTTTCCTGGGGTTGCATGTGTATTTACGTTAAGATATTTGACAGAAATGCTATGTAAAAGTGTGACACTTATGGGTGAATGAAAACCCACAATGCTATCTCATAATTTTCATTTAATGAGCTATATCAAAATCCCACTCGCTCATTTCGATTTTTTTGGTCTTCCCTGCCCTTGCGGCATTATTTTACTTGGACAAAAGATGGACAATGGTATTGAATATTAAAAGGTGAATATTTTCGAGAGAACTCATTGAATTTATATCAATATTGTTCACCTTTGAGCAAGCAATTCCTTTAGAAATTAAAAATCCAATTATCTAGGAATCTAAAATAGAACCAGGAATAATTTTTTAAAGCAAAAATATGAATTTGAAATTATTAATAATAAATTTTTTACCCAAAAACGTTTCTTCATCAATCATTACTATCATGTAAAATATATCAGAGAAAGAGAGTAATCTGATGTGGAAATATTATTTTTTTGCACAATGTGAAATAAGAAGTTCGGCAGTTTCTTTTCTATTATAATCTGATGCAATATGAAGAGCAGTTCGTCCATTTTCATCTTTTTCATTGATATTTGCACCATGTGATATAAGAACTTCGGCAGTTTCTTTACTATTATATTCTGATGCAATATGAAGAGCGGCGTTTCCATTTTCATCATTTTCATTGATATTTGCACCATGTGATATAAGAACTTCGGCAGTTTCTTTTCTATTATAATCTGATGCAATATGAAGAGCAGTTCGTCCATTTTCATCTTTTTCATTGATATTTGCACCATGTGATATAAGAACTTCGGCAGTTTCTTTACTATTATATTCTGATGCAATATGAAGAGCGGCGTTTCCATTTTCATCATTTTCATTGATATTTGCACCATGTGATATAAGAACTTCGGCAGTTTCTTTTCTATTATAATCTGATGCAATATGAAGAGCAGTTCGTCCATTTTCATCTTTTTCATTGATATTTGCACCATGTGATATAAGAACTTCGGCAGTTTCTTTACTATTATCAGATGCTGCAATATGAAGAGCAGTTCGTCCATATTTGTTTTTATCATTGATATTTGCACCATGTGAAAGGAAATATTCGAAAAGGGATGGAACATTAAACATTATTGAATAAACAAAGCATTGGTTAATATCATTAGTTTGATCGAAATAAACTAAAAATGATTCAAGATTATTATAGATTCCGCAATAATCTAAATCGATCTGGATATTGTATTCGTTCATTAAGAAAGTAACAAAATCAATGTTGTGTGAAATAATTGCATATATCATGCAATCTTTATTTGGCTTTTGATATTTCAAACATTCACTCATGATCTCTTGATTTCATCCTAAAAATGAAAAATGAAAACATGTTTGAGTAATTTCTGAATAAAATTTTGTTCTTAATAGCTTGAAACAATCAACTGCACCATGGTAACAACATAATTCAAGTAGTGAATATCCTTCTTTAGAATATGGATATAAACTGCTTTTAAGTTTTTGACCTTCATCAAATTCATCTCTTTCCGTGAATATGATGAATTCTTCAAAGTCATTATTCATAATTGCTTTGAAAATTGTATTTTCTATATGAATATCGAGATTATCTGATTTAATTTTTTCAAAATCATCAGATTTGTTTAATTTAATTCCATATTCTTTATAAAACAAGAAGTTAGAAATAGTTGGAATATTTTTGATCTCTTTGAGATGATATTCATCAGAAATGAGTTTGGCAAGAAATAAATATGACTTTGTATAGCGATTATTATACCGATTGATATTTAAAATATCTCTTATAATATTTTTAGGGAGATATTCCTTTGAATCAATCAATTCTGTTTTGATCATTTTGTAAATCGAGTTTAAATCTTCTTCCTTTTCCGTTTTCAACTGATACAAAGTAATGTATGCGTCGATGTGATATTTATAGATGTCTCGCAATTCACTGAATTTATTTGGGTGAATGCCTTGATCAAACATTAAAATTTTTAAGGGTTCTAACCGACCACTTAGAGACACTCTTTCGACCGAAGTGATTAATGTTATTCCTTGCACCCATACACAATCATGCCATAGATATGTAAATTTCAAATAAAAAGCTTATCTTGCCTAATAAAAAAGAATGAAAAAAAAATATATTAAGAAAAATGTAAAATTTATTAAGCTAATATTCATGATATTATCTGTAAATTCTAGGTGAATGAGGAATTAAACTGATTACTTCAGTAATTTTTTTTTTGTATCGAAATATGACAAATAAAACAATTCTGCACATGGGTGAATTCAAACGCCAATTAAGAAAATGAAAAGGTTTCTTATTTCTACATTCTGTCTGAATAATTTATTCGCAATAAATTATTAACTCATTCGCGAAAAAAAAACTATCCTATGATTCATTTATCACTTGTATGAATCTAATGGAAACATCAGATAGGCATGAAATTAAGCATTCCTATACCGTTCCCTCGTTCAGTAAAAATAAAATAAAAAAATACAATTAAGAAGTTAACATGATTTTATTAATACATAATGTCTGATGGACGTTGAGACTTTGGAACAATTTGTTTCATAGAATGTTCAAGACAAGCGAATCTTACAGAGGAATCAATCTGAGACATCTTCTTATCTTAATAATGAATTAAATTATGATTTATGAACACACATTAATGAAAATATCATTGTTAATCAAAGTGATTATTCCTATTCTAGACTGTCTACTGCAGCAAAAATAATATCTAATGAATTTTGGTATTCTTCATCGAAATCTCTCTCTTCAAGATTGTCAATAGAATCAGAGAGACTTTCTTTTAGAAAGTTAAGAAATTCAACTCTTTCTTCCCCTTTAAATATGCTAATTATCTTTGGAAGACAAAGGACACCAGACCAAACTATTCTCTCCTCATTTCCTGCAATAAGTTCAAGAAGAATCTCCAATATATCATTTTCTTTCAGTAATGATGAATCAGAAATGTAATCAACAAGATGTATAAGTAATAAACCAATTTCTTTTCTAACATTGAAACAAGAGTTATGAAATAGCATGCAAATCCTTACAAGCGCTTCGTTATTCAGTAATTGGCCTCGAAACTGCTCGTTTTCAAGTAAGTTACTCATCATCCATATCAAATCAGCTGTAAGATCAGCAGAATTAAAATGATCAATAATATCAAATATTAACTCAAGAGAAACATCAGTAAATATCTGGATTTTGGCTAAATATCCGATAATCTTGGCTGCCAAATCAACAAATCTACGACGTTCAGATCCAAGAAGCAAAACTATTGAATTGGGTACGTCTAATTCAATAATTTGTTGACATGATAACAGTTTTGTAATTATTGCAATGGAAATTATTTGAAGGAATGTTGAAACAGTCTTATGGTAGTTATGTTCATCATGTAACATAGGAAGATATCGCCCAATATATTGAAATATCAAATTTGAAAAGCTTTCATCTTTTTTCCTGGAGAGTAAGTATATCATGCATCCATTAAACTGATATGATGGCATATCATTAATGTTTTCTGTTAAGTGAAGTAAATATTCGAGATTAATTTCATCAATTGCGATATTTGTTGTATTTTTGTTTTCATAAAATTGGTATATTAAGTCAAACATGGCAGGGGCTTTACTTATTAATTGCAACTCGTCTATTTTTAATTTTAATATTTGTAAAAAATCCGAAAAGTATGGAATTATTTGTTCTTGTGGCAATATTTCAACAAATAAGTAGAAAATCTGCGTAGAAATTACTATGACTTTATGATTTATAGTCGAATTGATGATGTTAATTATTAGTTCTATTCTATCTGATTGGATATCAAGAAATTCTTCTGCTTTTGAGTAGCTATAAAGGTATTTCTGTAAAGTAATAAGCATAAAATAAATAATTTCTTTATGATTATTTTGAAAAGCAGAGAGAATCTGATCAAATTCAGCATTAATGTCTTCCAAACTTGCTAAATCATCACTACTGTCTGTCTCTTCTTCCTCAAATTTAGCTTTAGATTTTGATGAATCTTCTCCATCTTTGTATTCATCCATATGATAAACCAAAGTGTAAATTAACACATATAATAGATAGTTCTATGAAATAATGATATTTATTATAATAATTTATTAATTATCCGTATAATATGGTAATAATTGAGAAGATTTGATAACTTACAGGGAAAAATTAATAAACAACATAAATAGGGGGAATACGATAGAAAACGTTTTTTTCAGCAAAAAATGAGTAAACAACTCATTAGAGATTTCGATGCCTATAAGAAAGCCAGGCATGATTTCGTATCTATGGTATCTGAAGCAGCAATGAAACCAGATAATATCAATACTTTAATTGAATTAAATGTTTTATCACTATTAAGACCATTATTACTTGATAACGTTCCAAGTATTCAACAAATGTCTGCTCTTGCTATTAGCCGTCTTGCCAATGTAAGTGAAAAGAACTCAGAGAAGATTATTACTACCGGAATGCTCCCAGAAATTGTCAATGGCTTAAATTCTAAGGATGAACGCTACCAGAAGAACTTATGCCAAGTCATTCGTTCTGTTTCCAAGCACTCCCAAAAGCTCGCTACAAAAGTTGTTGCAGGAGGCTGCTTGAAACCACTTGTTGAATGTCTCAAGTCAGAATCTAACGTAGTTTGCGAGGCTGCATCATCATCAATCAAAGCAATTGCAGCACATGATAGTAATCTCGCTCAGGAAGTCGTTGAAGCAGGCGCTCTTGCTCCTCTCATCAAATCCATCAATCGCGCAGAGAATACACTTCGTCGCACATCAATTTCTGCTATTGGCTCAATCTCTCGACATACTCCACAGCTTGCTCAAGCCTGTATTGAAGCCAAAGCAATTCCAACAATCGCATCTCTCCTTTCTACAACAAATGACTCCAAATTAAAGACACAAGCATGCTTAGCACTCGCAAATATCGCCACACATTCCGTAGATACAGCCGAACTTGTTGTAGAAGAAAAGATTTTCCCATCAGCTTTGACATGCTTCACAGATGCCGATGCAGACCTCAGAGTAGCCGCTGCTAAGCTCGTTCTTGAGATTGTCAAGCACACACAAGAACTTGCTCAAGGTGTTGTCGGTTTCGGAGGTTGCCAATCCCTTGTTGAATACATCAGGTCATCAAAGACAGACATGATTCCAGCCGTCAAAGCTGTTGGTGCCATTGCTTCATTCTCACCATCCCTTGCTTTATCTCTACTTGAAGCAGGTGCAGGACGTGCTTGCCTTGGTGTTTTCGTTTCCTCAAAGAGTGCAGAGTGCAAAGCAGTTGCAGCAAGAACAGTTGGAATGCTTGGCAAACACAATGCACAAACATCACTCAAGATCTCATCAATGAATGCTCTTTCTTTGCTCTTCCAAGCGATGAATGATCCTGATGGCGATGAAGAACTCAGAGCTGCAGTGAAGGAAGCAATGGTTGACATCATTAAGAACTGCGAAGATATTACTGCACTCGAACCACTCATTACTACATCAGAAGGTGAAATTTTGTGCCACGTTCTCGAAAGAATTTCAAATCTTCTCTCGAAGAATCCAAAGGTAAGAGCTCCATTTGTATCTTCTGGAGGATTCCGATCTGTACAATTGTTACAAGCTGACAATGATCCAAACTTGAAGAAGTTGATTGATGCAATTAATGATTGCTATCCAGATCAAGCTGTTAGATTCTATTCGCCTAATTACGTTGAAGAACTTAACAAAGAAGTTGATGCACACAAGATCTAAGTTTCTTTTTTTATATTCCTTTATTTTTTCTCTTATTTATTGTATTTTAATAAATTTATTCCCTTTCGAAACTCAGAATGTGTATTTTTAAATTTATTATCCCTAGTAAAGTCAAACAAATATCTCATAAAGACGTTTCACAATCTGCCTTATATCAATACAGAAATTCAATCGCATCATTTAGTTTCGAAGAAAATAGTGAAGTTTACAGTTTTGAATTCATGTTCTTTAGTGGAACATCAAAAACAAATCTCAGTAGTTGCACTAAACTTCCATATATAAATGAATTTACTTTCATATATTCTGCAAATTTAGAAACTCTTTAACTTCCACCCAACATTTCAGGAATAGGTCCTTCCTGCTTTGAAGAAAATTATAACCTAAAATCAGTAATTTTACCAGAAAATGAAACAGAAGTCGGAGTGGCAGCATTCATTTCATGTGTAAATTTAGATATATATTGGAAACTCAGCGTTTTCAGGTTGCAATATATTAACAAACATCATGATTCCCATAATAATAAGCTACATCAGCTCTAATGCATTTTCATCTTGCACATCATTAATAAATATCACAAATACCAATTCCATTTTCACACTCTTTTAATGGAATTGCAACTCCAAAAAATATCTCTATTCCACGAACTTTTATTGTTAAATCTAATTTTTCATTTATATGTTACACATCGAACAATTTTAACATATTCATCTAAAGAATTTTTTTTGGTGGAAAATCTGTTTACGTTCACTATGATAATAAAACAGGTATTTCCGATCTCACAACGATTGATGTTCTTCAATACATTACTATTGAAAACATCACTATTCCTCATATTCCTAAAACTGCAAATGACTTTATACTTCATCGACCTAATTCCGTATTCCTCTCTAATATGGTGATTAACCTTTGCTCACGCCCAGTAATTGAATAAAACTAATATTATATTTCATACTTTTTCACATCATTTTTTAAGGGCATAGTTACGCCCATCCGACATTGATTCAAATTTCTGACAAGAATCATTAAAAAAAATTTAAGGTCAGGTAACCCAGTCATAAGTGTATCCTTAATATATTTTAAAATTATACTAGCCTGCAAATGAGGTATTAGATTTCCGAGCTGAAATTGGCTCACTTTTTGAGTTAATTTTATGAGAAAAATTGTTTAAAAAATTAAAGAGTGTTAACAGGTTAAGAACAAATTCGGATCTAATACCGCAAAAGTGACACGAGTAGTTCAAAAAAATTAATTGATATTTTTTATATTTTTTTATCTATACATCACTTATATTATTACTATTATTATTTTTTGTTTCTCACAATAAAAAAATTTCAAATGTCGAACCCGGAACGCGTTGCTCTCAAGATCGTAGTTCTTGGCAACTCAGGAGCAGGCAAAACATCTCTGGTAAATAGATGGATTACAGGCTCACACAATAAATCAATTACACCGACAGTTGGCGCAAATCATCAGAAAAAGACAATCGAAATCGAAAAGAAAAATGTTGACCTTTTTATTTGGGATACAGCCGGCCAAGAGCAATTCCAAGCCCTTACTCCCCTTTACACACGTTCTGCTGCTTGCGCCATCATTTGTGCATCAATTACAGATAATGACTCGTTCGAGTCCTTAGACTTATGGAAAGAATTAGTCAATAATTCCTGTGAAACACCGCCTCCAACAATCTTAGCTGTTAATAAAATAGACTTGGCGAGTGAAAAAACACTTTCAAATGAGGCTATTGAAGACAAGTTTTCCAACCAATTTGACGGATTATTCTTCACATCATCTATCACAGGCGAAGGTGTTGAAGAAATGTTTGTTCAAGCTGGTAAATTAGGAATGAATTACACAAACCAAGTTACCGATAACGATGCTAAGGGATTACAAGATTTATCTACTTCCAATAAGAAATCTCGTTGTTGCTAATTTTCTATCCTAATTTTGTGATTTAATTATAATTTGTCTTAATAAACCTATACTGGTCATACAAGATTGTTTTTATATATATTTTCTAAAATGAAATTTCCCATTAGCTTTTAATATAATGTTGCGTGAATTTCATTCGATTTTTATTTCTTTTGATTTTTATGCATAAACAGCAACATTATCATCAGATATAATCGTTTTATCAAATATTGTCCAATTTCTATGCAGATTCATTATTGAGATATATTTTTTTCATCTAATGACATGGATAAATTAAGTAAATATCAAACAAACGCTTTTCATTGAATAATAGTGGAAGGAAATCAGTTTAAAAATGATTAGAGAAAGGGAGAGATCTGTCGCCGTTTAAATCTAAAAGAAGAAAGAAAGGGAAAAAGAATCAAATTTCAAAAAAGTTAATAATTTATTATTTATATTGAAATAGGATTAAATTATTTATTTGGTAGTATTTAATTGGGAAATATCGAGATAGCAAGCACGGCCGTCGGACTTGTTAGAAAGGATACAAGCAACAATGAAACCGTAAAGACCAAGAACTTCTCCGAAAATGAGAACGAGCATAGCACCCATAAGAAGTTGTGGCTTTTCGGCCATAACACGAGAAGCAGCATCACCAGCAACACCAATGCACATACCAGAAGCAAGACCGCAAAGACCGACGGAGATACCAGCGGCAAGGTGAGCGTATGAATCGAAAAGATGGAATTTCTCTGATGCAACCTTTGGGTTGATGATAACAGCTGCGACTAAGCCGTAGATACCGACAATACCAGCCATAACGACTGGAAGAAGGCCTTTGTAGATAAACTCTGGGTGAATTGCGCATGCAGCGAAAACACCGATAGCAGACTTAGCTGTGCCGTAGCCTGAGCCAATGCCTGTGAATGCAAGAGCAATACCAATACCAAGGTATGAGAAGAATGGAGCAACAGCTGGGCAGAGATATTCGAATGACGACATACGAAAATGACTATAAAGTTTACAAATCGTGTAGCCGATCGAATTGCGGTTTTATTTAATATTTGAACTAGTGTGTTCGGATGCCTAGCCGCAGTGTGATCGTTCTTGATTCTGAGTTGATTTTTTAAAATAACCATATGATACGCCTATAAATATGAATACTTTGGATAACTGTTGTTTGATAATTTACCCTATATTTCCAACTCTTGGAAAATTTTCATGACCCCCTACCCAGGGTCCTAAAATGGGTATTTTCCTCACACAGACACCGTGGTTTTTTGAGCCAGGAAATAAATAGCGCAGACAGTTTCTACATATAGAGACATGCTTATACTTAGAGTTTGACGAGAATCTAAAGTGATTTTTTTCTGCATCGCGAAATCTAATGCAATCTCAAAATCATGAAGAAACTGCGAATCGGAGCGCAATTTTTTAATATGTTAATATATAAAGGTACCCCTACTACTGCAAATGCTTCAAATGAAAATCTAAGAAATCAGATTAATTTGATCACATTAGTATAGTATTGGTCAAACCAAAAACTCATATGTTGATATATAGCCTATAGATATTCATATTATCTACTTTTCATTGAATTACATAAGATTTAATAATCTCATAAATATTCTTTTTAATTTTCCGAATTCCGTGTGCATTTAGATTGCCTATACCCGTATATAATAATTCTAGAATGGTTTGGTTAGATATTAAGTTTTTTAGATTAATATTTTAACATTTTGATAAAACAAGCATTTGTTCCATTTTAGAATCGCCATTGAACTCTGGTTTGACTAACATGATGTTGTCTGATCAAATAAATTCTAACTTCATGAGATAAATTTTGAAATTAGAAAATGCGATATCTGACTCAAATATTTATCTGAACACATTTAACATTCAATGATAAACTAAAGTACTATACAGCAGATTCGATTTGGCTTATATTTTATATAATCAACAAATAATCCTATAAAATTGTGCTATTCACGTTGCTCAAAGATGTATTGAACATTCCCTACTTGTGTATTGATAAAATTAGATATAGATTCTAATGTAAATCGATATTTTGAAAATTCATATATATTTTGTCTTGGTTTGGCATTTGATCGTGTTGAAACCGGAATTGCAATATATATCATCTAAATATATAACTATCAAAATATGAGCTATAGATTTTTAAATTATTCTCCTGAATATGAGTGACTAACATAATTATATTGAATTGAGTAGTAAGAATCAAATATTAGAATCTGACGATAATTTATTATAACTTTATATAGGAACAAGATTATAAATGATGATGAAAATAAAGATTAAATTTAAATCTGAAAATTTGAAAACATTAAGTGTATATGATAGCATTACAAAATTAAATTTTATGTGGAAGAGGAAATAGAGGAATTAGAAGTATTATGAGAAAATAATAAGATATAAAAACAAGATTCTATTAAATGAGTTAATTTATAGAAAGGAATAACAGTGTGAATGTAGTAAATGAATGTTTTCATGATGTATTATTGAAATCTTAAGTTTTGTTAAGAAGATAATAAGGGAATCAAATTTTGTATTAGGAAGTTTGACCGACAAGAGTGTATTGTGCACTCTTGTCGGTCTGCATGTCTCATTCCGGGAGACATTGTCACTGCATGTCTCCCAGAATGAGACAATCTTCGCAATCAAACTGCAAAGTTTGACCGACAAGAGTGTATTGTGCACTCTTGTCGGTCTGCATGTCTCATTCCGGGAGACATTGTCACTGCATGTCTCCCAGAATGAGACAATCTTCCGCATTCATAACTTGAATGCGGAAGTTTGACCGACAAGAGTGCACAATACACTCTTGTCGATCTAAATGTATCTTACAATCAAAGACACTTTCATACAATCTTTTCGAAGTTAAAAAAAAATTTAATTATTTCTTTCTTTTGTTTATTAAATCGCCTTACTCACGTACTAATCTCTTTTAGAGACTCTATCGAGCTATCCCCACATATAAACCTGTGACAATAATACATATTTACTCTCTTCATATTCTGATCTCATGACACATTATCGCAAAAACTATAATTATACAACACATCTCATAAAGTCTCATTTTAGCCCTATCTAAGCGTTCAAAACCTATTTTCCACACGTAATCTGATTCTTCTGGCTCCGCTGATTCGATTTCTGCTGTCAGATCGTGAAAATATGCATCACATAAAGAGATAAACACAACTCAAAATTATTGCTTTTTTTTTCAAATTGTCTATTCATCCATCTTTACATATTTATTATCTCCTCCGTTTCCCCTCACAAATTCTTTTAATTTTCTGAATAATACGTATAATAAAATGAATATCTCAAAAACTAAAACACAAAATTAATGTTGGAAAATGACTAGATATAATCTGAACTTTTGAATTCATACATTTTTGGAAAAAATTGAATTTTCAAAAAAAAGAGCTTATTTAAGGAAAATATATTAAGTTGTGCAATTTGCATTTATCTCTTTATGTGATGCATATTTTCACGATCTGACAGCAGAAATCGAATCAGCGGAGCCAGAAGAATCAGATTACGTGTGGAAAATAGGTTTTGAACGCTTAGATAGGGCTAAAATGAGACTTTATGAGATGTGTTGTATAATTATAGTTTTTGCGATAATGTGTCATGAGATCAGAATATGAAGAGAGTAAATATGTATTATTGTCACAGGTTTATATGTGGGGATAGCTCGATAGAGTCTCTAAAAGAGATTAGTACGTGAGTAAGGCGATTTAATAAACAAAAGAAAGAAATAATTAATTTTTTTTTTAACTTCGAAAAGATTGTATGAAAGTGTCTTTGATTGTAAGATACATTTAGATCGACAAGAGTGTATTGTGCACTCTTGTCGGTCAAACTTCCGCATTCAAGTTATGAATGCGGAAAGTGTCTCATTTGGGAGACATGCAGTGACAATGTCTCCCAGAATGAGACATGCAGACCGACAAGAGTGCACAATACACTCTTGTCGGTCAAACTTCCGCATTCAAGTTATGAATGCGGAAGATTGTCTCATTCTGGGAGACATGCAGTGACAATGTCTCCCGGAATGAGACATGCAGACCGACAAGAGTGCACAATACACTCTTGTCGGTCGAAGTTTTGCAATCGCGTTGTGATTGCAAAAGATTGTGCTATTCCTGCATATTTTCTACGAGCCTGCTTCATAAAATTGAATCCTTCTATCCAAATTAAATGCGATTTCGCTAATCTTTCATCTAAAATCACTAATCAGAAGCATATTGCAAGTTAACTTGAACCGGCATGTTCCTCCTATCCTGTCTTTCAGTTCTTTCTATCAGCCATGGTTCACAAGGAGGAGAGCTTTGCGCACAATCAGACATAAGATTGCGGCAGAGGAACCGGGAAGAGAGCAGCTTGAAGCGGTAAGATGTCGAATGCTGTCTCCCAGGTGTATCTGTCAGGCAAAGTTCACAAGGAGGAGAGCTTTGCGCACAATCAAACAGAAGATTGCGGCAGAGGAACCGGGAAGAGAGCAGCTTGAAGCGGTAAGCTGTTTTCAAGTCTTTAGTTAACAAACTTTAACAAAAGACATCTAAAAAATTTGAAATAATTGCAAAATAATATGCCGTCAGGTAATGCGCACCTAAGGGAGGTGTTTTGCGGGAGCTGGGGGTATCTTGGTGAGTACTCAGGAGGCCAAGAAGGGCACCCCAACCGACATTTTGCTGACGCATTGTGTAAGCAACCATTCTGATAACCGCTCAAACCGTCGGGACAAAATAATTTATGAAATTATAAGTCATCTTTCTAATACATATTTTTGGAAGGGCGTAAGATACGCCAACTTAAATATATTATTAAATATGAGAAAATCGCTCAACAAAAAAACAATTCTTTCAAAAAGTTTAAAATTTATCTTTCTAATACATATTTTTGGAAGGGCGTAAGATACGCCAACTTAAATATATTATTAAATATGAGAAAATCGCTCAACAAAAAAACAATTCTTTCAAAAAGTTTGACATTGATCTTTCTAATACATATCCTATGGAAGGAGTTTACATTCACAAAATAAAAACCAGTTCAAAATCTTATTACTCCTTGAATTAAAATCATTTAATTTCAAATCCATTCCAAATCCTTAAATCTGTATTAAAATCATTTTGCCAACAACCAACACAATACAAATTACATTTCCATATATCTTCTTGTCCATTTTAATTTTTTATCTCATTTTATTTAATTTTATTTAAAGCATATAGACATCGAGATCCTTTACACATAGTTATATAAAAGTCAAATACATAATAAATTCTTAATTCTAGAGATATCTCAAAATCTCAATTTTTTAATTTAAAATACCTTTCATTTTTCACAGTACTATCACAACAAACAAGCCATTTACTAATTAACACATATAAGAAAAATATCAAATTACAAAACAACTTTCAATATCATTCGCATCAAATTCTATTTTTTCATAATTATCAACTACATGTTATTATATAATATATGTCGGCGCATATTCCACTCTATACAAGTGTCAGACACACTCACACAAAGCTGTGAGATTCATACCTCTATCAGTAGGACTTTTTGAAATCTAATTGTAAATATATATTTTACTATTTTAATGATGCCACCATATGCTATACAGTATAAAGATCTTATAGCACAATGTCTTGAACAAAATGTCATGAATATTAATTTGATTTTGAATATCTCAGCTAATAGTATTCTCCATGTATGAGCAAAGATTATCTAGTTCAGCCTTGTTTAGGTTCATTTAATATATATAATTCATAAAGTTGATGTTTTTTGATATCACTAATATTATTAATAAATAAGCTAAGATCGTTCTAGTTATTATTGACACTTGATGTTTATATAAATATTTCAGGAATTCATTCAATCTATGATATTTTTTTCTTGCCAATAATCCCAGAACTAAGCAGATCAATATTAAGTTGAAATATGAGTTTAGGATTCTTCGGGGTATGCTAAATGTTTTCTACGATGCTGAATAACTAAAATGATTCTCCTGACAAATTCAATTTTGCTATTTGCATGTTTATTTTGAATCACCAATAAAGACATATCAAATATATTCATATGACTCCTTCAAACACAGCTATTTTAATAACAATTAGATTTCAAACAACGAATAATTATATAATAATGTGTTGGGCTTAAATTTTAGTGAAGCTTTATAATTTTAAAAGATAGTTGTCTTGTTAAATACAGTTAGACAGCTTTCAAAAAATCTCAAATAATAGTAGTAGGATATGATGGGTTTAGTGACTTTTTTTGTAAACGTAAGAATTCATACAATATCGAGCGATTTTGTATCATTTTTTTTAACATATGAAGTAAAAAATGTATGATTCTTACGGTTTTTATTCTTACGTTTTTGAATAAATCAAGATTTAAAAAATTTTCAAAATTGTAAGACATTTACACTCAGCCCAAACATAATGAAATAAATCATTAAAAAATTAACATTAATTTTAAAATAATTTTTTTTATCTTTTATAAAAGAAGCTATATATAGATGATGTCAGATATTCGGCGATTAATTAAACATTGTTTAAATCCTGAATGGAATCAATGGAGTCATAATCAAAGACCTCATAAACGAGTAAAAGAAATTAGAAATAAACTTCTTACGAAAAATTAAAACTTAGTTATGTTTATTATTTTATTTTTTTATTTTGTATGAAATGACCGTCAAAACTAACAACGTTAAAAAATTAGGATTCACAAACGAGGAAATAAAGGATATATTAGAGGAGGTGGGTTATGAAGTTGATAAATATTATTTAAGAAATTGTAAAAAATTCGCGGAGTTATTAAATGATTTAGATTATGATGGAAAAATGAATAAAGATGATGTTATAAATTTCTTATATCCCACATCTGAAGAAGAAAAACCTAAAGAACCTGATGTTTTCCCTGAATATTATGAAGAACGGATTAAAGATGATGAATACAATGAAATTGAAAGACTGAAAAAAATAAGAGATGAAATAGATGAAAAAATTAAGGAATTAAGAGAAGTTGAAAAATATAATGAAAATGAAGTAGAGGGTTTAATGAATATCCCAGCTTCAGAATCAGAAGGTCAGAAATCTCATGAAGAAAGATATAAAAATTATGTCTCAGAATCAACACAAAATTTATTAGATGGTGAAATAGACGAAACACTTTCAGAAGAAGGTACTAAATTTATTCGTAAACATAAGTTACAATTTATTGATAATGAAGAATACCCCTGTATCCTACTTTCACCACCTTTAGATTCCGAAAAATTCAAAAAAGCTCTTAAAAACGTGACATATGCAACTAATACGATTAAAAAGAAGATCATGATATTTACACAAATTATTATTTAAATAAATGCACAGGTGTTGATAAAGTTTTTGATTTATTAGATAAAATATCAAAAGAAACCATTGGAACATATAAAATTTTGTGTGATTGTGGTTTCATTGTTGAAGATACTAATAATGTTTCATATGAAAGAACAGCACCGAAGGAAGACGAAGTGGAAAGGTCTATACCATTCGTTATTAAGAATATAAAAGATATGAAAACGTATAAGCATTATATTTATTCATTTATTTCAAAAAAATGGAAGCAACCCATAAAACATCTTCTCATCATTTTATAGCTATTCATACATTCCTTTTCAAAGTTGTGAAATTAAATAAGACAGGAATTAGATTTAATGTATCAGGGTACGCATTCTTGAGTAAATTAAAATGTATTCGTCACGTCGCAGATGAAAAATTTATGTGTTCTTAATTCATTTTATGGGCTTTAAAAAATAAACTTTATTTTTATTTATTTTTTAATTTTTTATTCTTACATAAATGAACAAAAACGGAACAGCTAAAATGAATGATAATCAAATTAGAGCAGAAGGTAGAAGGTTATTTAAACGCTTCTATAACATTCCTGATGGTGCTAATCCTAAAACTCGTAGAAGCTATTTAAATGAAGCAATAGATGCATATGAAGGGTTTGACATTTCATCAGAAAGTGAGAGATTAGCGAGAATGTTAAATGTTAATATTGATTTCTATTATTGTGATCCTCAACCAGAAGACGTGGACATAAATAAGGTAGACTTTCCATTAGTGGAATCAATAATGATAGATCCAGAATTTGAAACAGTAAATATTTTATTAACACAGAGTCCATGTGGAAAACTTCACGCTGACAGAATAACAGACGTTGAAGCACTCACCGGCTATAAAGTTTGTCCATATTGTAAAGAAGAAGTTTATTCTATCCGTGATGATCCAGAAAGGAAAAACCAAAGAAGATTTTTAAAGCATTGTGAGAAATGTAAAGAAAATAATGGAAGATTAATTCAAGACGTTCAGTTGCAAAAGACACAGCAACCATATGCGCCACATATTACGAAACAAATATATCAGTGGTTATTAGCTCACAATTTGCAGAAATATTATAAACTGACAAGATATTATATTACTTTTGACTTTGAAACATTAGAGACTAAAGAAGAATTACAACTTTCTGAGTGTGCAACTTTGAACGCTTACTTAAAACCATTCATGGTATCATCAACGGTTAAATTAAACGATAAAACATATACGAGGAATTTTTGCTTAACTTCGAGTGATTCTTTTATTTCTGATTGGATTGAGTTTTTATTTTCAACCTGTTCATTAGTTTTTGAATCAAATATGAGTCAATACAATGAATTTTGAAGTCGCAAACGGCTGGGACTTTGTCCCATACATTAAATGAAAACAGAAGGAAGCATTTAAAGAACTTCTAGATGAGGAATTCAATAAAGTGAATATCATAGGTTTTAATTCGGGAAAGTTTGATTTAAATTTAATTCTTCGTGATTTAAACACTGCAAAATGGAAAATAAAATCAATGCTGGGTTCATCTTCACAATTTAAGCAAATCATTGTAAAGAAAACAAACGTTCCATATGAATTGAGATTTATTGACATCAGAAATTATATAGCGGGTGGGACATTAGACCAATTCACTCAAGATTTCGGAAACAATAAATCACGTGTTAAATCCTTTTTCCCTTATCAATTCATCACATGGAGAATTACGAAGAAGAATTATATAAAGAGGAACCATTCACGAAAGATTCATTTTATTCAGCATTAACCCAAGAAACTATATCAGATAGTGATTATCAAATATATCTCAATGATGCTAAAAATTTTAAGAATAGATTAGAATATTTTATTCATTATTGCAATAAAGATGTTGAAATTATGATTGACCCAATCGATAAAATTATTGAAGAAACATTTGTTTATAAAATTGACACGCTTCATAATCTTTCTTTATCATCGAATGCTTCAATGATTCGTTACGCTTTAGCATATAAAGACTTTAATCATAATGAAAAATATCCTGAGGAAGAGATAGAATCAAGTTTGAATTAACGAAAAAGTATTGGAAATATAAATTGAATCATATAAGAAACAAGATGAAAAAGCAGAAAGGATACTAAAAATAATGTTTCAATGGATGATTTTCAATACTATCACGATTTAATCCTTTCATCTAAATGCAAAATGTGTGGTAAAGCGTTTACATATGCAAATAAACCAACATTGGATAGAATCGATAATGAAAAACCACATACCAAAGAAAATTGTCAGTTAATGTGTTGTTATTGCAATGTCGTAAAATCAAATAAAGATGAAGATGTTCAACGTTTAAGAATCAATTTAAGAAATTATGCATTAAAAAATAATTTACCAATGACTTTAGATTCAGTTGAAGCTTATCACATTCTCCGTAATGGAATTACTGGTGGTTTATCAAATGTTCAACATAGAGTAAATCTTAAAGGAATCACGCACATTAATAAACTTGCATATAATCCAGAAACTAAAACTGTATCAAATGAGGACACCACCAACATTATGACTCATTTCGTTGGTGTTGATTTTAATTCATTATATCCTTCATCATTTTCATCTAATCCTCATGATTTCATTCAATATACCGACCATAAAATGTATATGCCGGGAAGATTGAATGGTGTTATCATTTGTGATACAGCAACAAAGAAAGCAAAAGCACTGGGAATAATTAAGAAGAAAAATACTTTATTCGTGGCTGAAGTAAAGGGTCACATTGATGAAAAATACATTAATGATTACATAAACTTTTTACCGATAATAAGAAACTTAGATATTATCACAGATGAAAAAACAATTGGCAGTTTTATGTATAATTACATGAAATCAAACAATCTACCGGTTGACCCGAAACAGAGGAAATTAACTCAGTTAGCATCAACACACAACCAATATCAACCATTTTCTTCTTATTATCTTTGGTATCTAATAGACAGATTTCATTTTATCATTGATGACATTCAATCAATTTTAACATTTACTAAAAACACTTGTTTTAATGAATTTGCGAACAATTTATGAACGAAAGACAAAAGGCTGAATTAGAAGGAAATAAAGGAAAAAGTTTATTTTGCAAGATTTCACTTAATGGATCATATGGTTACGATGCAATGAATACACAAAATTACGCAAAGACTAAAATAATGAATGCACAGAAGGCACGCGTTGCATGTATGTCAAATAAGTTTAAAAACATAAGAGAAATAGGTGAAGATACATATCAAGTGATGCTTAAAGATAGATTTTATAGATGTGATACATGTTTACAAGAGGCATTCTTCACTTTAGATAATGCTAAATACTGGTATTTGGTTTTCATTTATGATTTTATGTATAAATGCATGAATGTTAATCGTTTTCATTTCATTGAAGGTGATACTGATTCATCTTATTGGGCAATCGCTGGCGACCCAAATCTTCCTAACACTCAAGCATTTCAAGCAATTGTTACCGATAAACAATTTTTATGATAAAAACATTTTCAAATTCGCCATTTGATTTCTTCTGTTTTGATGAGAAATTTAAACCTAAATTAAAGAATAAAGCTGAAGAAAAAGCACATGAGAAGAATTATTGGTTTAGCAATTGAGAAACAAGGTGATAACATGGTTGCTTTATGCCCTAAGTGTTATACATCATTCAACGGTTCAATTGATGGAAGTGATTTTAAAAAGATTGCACAAAAAATGAAAGGTGTTAGTTTACGACAAAATAAACAATTAACACCTAAAAATTATTTGGATATAATAAATGATAAAGTGATATTTGATGGTCAGAATATTAATTTACAACTTAAAAACGGGTCAATGACTCGCTTAACAATCGGTAAGACTGCATTAACAGGAGCACACACTAAGGCTGTATGTTGTGAAAATGGATGTTGTATGCCATTTATTTAATACAATTTAAAATTTTATTTTTAATAAAATGCCACAGAAGAGACAAAAGGAACCGTTAATGATGGTTTTGATACTATGATTCAAAGAGGCGGGCACCCTTAAAACACTTATTTTATTTTTATATAAATGAATAGCGCAGATTTAAAAAATTTAATTTATGATTTAGTACTTAATCAAAATTTTCTTACTTATTATGAATTAAAATCATATCTCCAAAAATATAATAAAAATATAACGGGTGATGATGTGGATTATTATTATCCGTATTATAAAAATGAAATTTTGAAATATCATGATAAAATAATTTCTAAAATTAAAGACAAAATTAAAAATAATGAATATACAAAGGAAAAAACTAAATCACAACTTAAACAATTGAAAGATTTCAAAAATAAAGTATTAACAGAAGAAGATATTGATGAATTATATAAATTATATAATCATGAGCCGCAAAAAACAAAGGAACAAAAACAAAAGGTGCAAAACGCCCAGGTCCTTCAGACCATAAATGAAGCACAAGCTTTAATTTATGATTCATTAGTTAAACCATATTCAGCCCGACTTTTAAATGAAGATCAACTTTTGGAATTCATCCTTCAACATAAACTCGAAGCGGGAAAGTATATCAAACCTTTATATACAGCATATTTAAAACAAATGAATAGAATACATCCAGAATTAATGAAGGGGGGAATGAAATCCAAAATCAAAGCAGATAAAATTAAACCACTTGCAACACCAAAACCTCCAACGACAGTACCTCCTCCTCCTTCAGTTAATCCTTCATCATTCACTTTATTATATCCATTTCAAACATTAAAGAAGCAAAAAGATTTTAAAAAGGATTTCAAGATATTAAATAAACCAATTGACCCGAAAATTCAACCGTTAAAGGAAAAATTTAGTCGCCCTTCATTTGCTCCATATCCATATTCATACGAAATCGATCATCTGGAATATTCAAAAGGAAACGTTACTTATTTATTTGCCATTAACATTAACACTAGATATTTATATTGCATTCCAGTGAAAGGGAAAACAGAACAGGAAACAAGAAGAGCTATACAATACTTACTAGATCATGAAAGAGTAGATAATATCAGGGGTGATGGTGATAAAGGATTTCAGGCAGCTATGGCTCATTATTTCCCACAAATTAATTTTTTCTTTTCATCCTCTCCATATACGTTTCATAATAAAATAGTTGATGCGGTAATGAGAACTCTTAGAGATGCGTTAGGGGTTAACGGTCAGATATACTGGGATGGAAATCATGACTCCATCATACAACAGTTAGTATATTATTACAATAATACATGGCATAGAACTATAAACATGAAACCAGTGGAAATGAAAAATGATATTTCAAAAGAATGGGAATATATTAGAAAGCAAATGGAAAGGTTGAATGATGTTAAACGTGAACAAATTAATTCGGGGCTCATGAATTTTAAACAAGGGGATAAAGTTTTGATTCATCTCGATTATGGAAAAACTGATAAATCAATGACAAAAAGAAGACGAAGATTTGACACAATAGCTGAATTTGTTAGATATATTAACGGCAATGCATTAGTTGAAGTTGACAATAAATTAATAGAAATTCCGATTTATTTTATTACTCCATTATATTTAAATAATATTTAATTTTTTTATTTCGTAAGAAATGAGTGACAACAAAGCAGCCAAGAGTCCAGACAATGAATATAAAAAGAAACTAAACAGAATTAAATCAAAAATATGCTATTGCAAAAAGAAGCCGCAATGCGGTGGGGCTGAAAACGATGAAGAGAGGAAAGAAATAATCGAAAAATTAGAAACTTACCGTTCAATCCTTAAACTGAGTGAAGCAAAAATAAAAGAATTTAATAGAATAAATAAATTGATTGGAAGAGATGAATTTAATAAAGATGAATTTTTAAACTCAATCCAAATTTAATTTTTATTCCTCTTCGACAACGTCTCTTCGAGACGCCGAACCCTTCTGGGTTCTTCTCGGTTTTCGTGGTTTTTGTTTTTAATTCGTTCTTGCATCATTTTTATCATTTCCTCCCTTGTTATGATTCGTGGTAAATTTTGAGCTTGTGGGGTATCCATTTATATAAAAATAAAATTTTGTTATCAATTATTTCTGCAGTTCATCCATTACTTCATTACCTAATTAATTACAGACATAAAATATATTTAGTTCATTCGGTACCATGCGAATATAGTCACAAATGGTGGCATGTAATCTTTACCCAAGCCTGTTGGATTTGTTGTGAAAGTATGGACATGATTTCCTCCTGGTTCAGTTTGTCGAAAAGTCTTTTTTGCTGAATTGTTATAAGATGGAGATAAAACGTCATTGCCAGCTTTATAGTCTGAGTTGTATAATGGGTGGTCTCTTAATGAGTGGCTATGGTCGCCAGAAAAGTTTGTAGTTCCTGTATGAGTGTGCGGTGGAAGGTTTGCTTCTTTAATTTTCTTTGAACCACCGGCTTGCTTTGAATGGTTAGCACAGTATAAGAATTTGTCTACAATCTGCTTCCACGTACCAAAACCCAGAACTGTTGCGGGATTTGTTGAGTTCATTGACGTATAAATAGAACCAACAGGATATAATGTTTGAAGTATTTCATTTTTCATGCTTGTAATCACATCATTTACTTCCGACTTCTTTGCATAATTTTCATCAACATAAGTTTTATCTGCTTTAAGGTCTAAACATCCTGAAACCCATCCTGTATCAGCTTTAACTTTAAAAGTCTCCGATGTCCATTCATGATACCATTCAACCTTTTCTTTAATTTCATTATCTTTTTCATCAACATAAGTTTTATCTGCTTTAAGGTCTAAACATCCTGAAACCCATCCTGTATCAGCTTTAACTTTAAAAGTCTCCGATGTCCATTCATGATACCATTCAACCTTTTCTTTAATTTCATTATCTTTTTCATCAACATAAACCAAATTTGCCTTCTTATTTAATTCACTATCCACATATTCCTTATCCACCTTCTTCATTATGTCGTTTAGGAAACCTTCTATGAATTCCTCATTTAAATTAAATCTTCCAATCTTCAAAACTTTAGGAAATGCATTTAATGCGTAATATCTCTGTTCTTCTGGGAATTGATGTTATATCATCCGTTATTCCTTTAATTTTTGAATTCATAAATAAAATTTCTTTTATATTTGATATCACTGCACCACCTTTGCAAACGAATTCGAAATGGTCATTTTTCAATACTATCTCCAAATCTCCATATTTCAACCTTTGCGTTTGTTCTGCCGTCTTTGAATTATATGCATATATGGCGTATGTAATGGTCTGAAGGACCTGGGCGCTTTGCGCCTTAAGTTGCTGTTGTGTTTTTAATCATTTATTACGATTTAAAAATAAATATTTAATCCGTTATCTCATCAGCTATTTTCTCTATTTGAAATTGCCATAATATTTCATTCATAAATTCTAAATCACAATCAAATAGGTCAGTTATTCTAAATTTAATATTTGATAAATCTTTTGAATGAAGAATAAATGAATTCCCGGATAATTGAAACGGATATGATAAAGAAAATGTGTTTAAGTTGATGGATAAAATGTTTTGTATTGATGGGTAAGAGTTAGGGTCTAATGTTTGATGTGAAAATCTCATTGGGGTATTAACTTTATCACATTTGATTAAAATGAAATTGGAACCAGTGTCAGAATACAAAACATCCCCAACATCTTTTTCAAAATTTAATATCCCCAACAATGAACGAAGATGAGGAGTACAAAATTTAATTTTCAGCGGGAATTTAATAAGGTTATTTATTTCATCAAGTTCAAAAAGTTTATCGGGTTTTGATTTAAAATTTTCTTCATACCATACGATAAATGATTCATTTAAATAACTTAAAATCATGTTAATATCCCATTTCGCTATCACATTATTTATATACATATCATACGTTTTTTCAAGGTCATCTTTAATAAATGATATATAATCTGAAGGGTCTAAAAGAATGGGATTAAATTTACCACTCACAGAAACGAGAGTAACATTATAAATTCCGCTAACTGTTAAATTTAATTCACAGTATTATTCGAAATAATATTGATAATTGACATTTTTATTACGATTAAAAATATGGTAAAGCGTTATTTTCCAGTGATAAATAAAACTAGAATAAGATTACCTCAAGAATTCATAAATTCAACGAATAAGAAATTCATTCATGTTATAAATTTTAGTGTTTTCAGAAAATATGAGTCAGTGTCATATTCATCAACAGGTTATATTTCACTTCATTCAAATTTAGTTCAATCAAACCCATATAATGACCATTTCATAAGATTTTCAGATGGTATTAAAAATGTAATTGATAGATTAAAATATGAACAGATTGACAATATCGAATTTTTGGAATTTTGGTTTAATATCCCGATGGAAAAAAGATTGAAGTTAAAGATAAAGCTGATACTATAACAAAAACAATTACAATGACCGATCCGGATAGTGGGGAACAAAAAGAAATAAAACAAACGATAGAAACTGGTGAAAGGTCAATTATTATTGATTATGATTCAAAGGATTATTATTCGATAATGTTAATGCTTGAATATTAAATAGCCTTAACAAAGAATTTTTCAAGTGATATTTTATATTCATCAACTATTTTATTATAAATATCATTATATGTTAAATGAAGTTCAGTTGTTGTTCCGTTCTTTGATATCTTAATTGTGCTAATATCCTTTATAGGATTTATTTTTGCAACTGTTCCGCAGCATGAAACCTCATCATCTATGAAAAATTGAATCTTAACGTCTGAATCTTGAACATCACAAAGAATGGCGATAATGTGAATTAATGATTCATAAGGTAAAATAATTAAACCGGATTGGTCAATTAAATTTATTATTGAATCATAATTATTAATTATTATATCACGGTAAATTTTCATTAATTCAGAATTAATGTCTATTTTATATGGGTTCTCGATGTTTGATGAAAGAGGTGGGGGTATGTTGGATAAGTGGGAATTTCAACAGGTTCTTTACCGGGTTCAGATAAAATGATTGGGTCTCCATCTTCTTTATTTTGCTCCTCCTCCTTTTCGGTAAGTCACGAGTTAATAAATTTGGTTGAGTTGCTGACCTTGTTAATTCAGGGCTAACATTAACTTTAACATTTTGAATAATTCGTGATTTATCATCATTTACGTTATAACCAACCGTAATCTCTGCTTTTGCGTTAGTGTTCTTTTGACTAGTGAAACGTCTTCTCATTTATATTCGAATAAAAAAATATATTTAAACTTTTATTTTGCTGGAAGTTTTGAATCTATTATTCCCTGTATTTGTTCTTGAAGTTGATTTTTAGCTGGTTCATTGTAATTAATAGACCTAATATATTCATTAATTGCATTCTTATAATCATCTGATTTCTCAAATTTTCTTTTATCTAATTCCTTAACTAAATCATAAGTTAAACCTCGTTGCTGATATAATGGTTTCTTAATTAAATCTTTGAATGCTTGAGATAAAGCACCTGATGCAATTCTTGCTACTATAATTGGTTGGAATTGATGTTTAAGTTCATCTTTAACATTTGCGAAAACTGGATCGAATAAAGCAACTTTAAAGAATTTCTTAGCTGAAATTTCAGGTCTAATATTTGCATATTGACCATCAAACTGGTTATAATATTGTGGTAATCCATCCGGTCCCTCTTCAATAGCATTTAATTCTTCATTGAAATAAGAATATGGATTATAACGGTATGAATTAATTGGACCATTTTCACCTTCTCCAATGTATTGTTTAACAGCTTTTCCATTTTCATCAAATTGCATAGGATAACGTTCATTATATGCTTTACGTTTAGGATAATCAGTTATAGTTAATTTGTAACCATTTATGACTTTAATATTACCTTTGACATCAGTAACGAAAACTTCATTTATACCATCAGGTTTTCCATTTGGACCCGTAATGTCTGCTTCGTGTGCTTCCCAATTGGACCTTGACGTTTGGCATATGCTTGAGCTTCTGGTAATGTTAAAACGTTTCTCATTTGTTTAACATCTTTTTGAAGACCAGCAACAATATGAACTAATTCTTTCATTCCATCAGGAACTTTCATAGTTCTATTATATGCACCCTTTTTGTTTGTTCCTTGTTTTAATGGAACCTGTAGAAGATTTGCCATTTCTGTCATGTTTAATTATAAATAAAAAATAAAAATTAATTATAAAAAGTTAATCAAATTTAACACTTCCTTTATTTAAATCAACTATTATTTTTCCATGTTCACCTAATTGCTGATATTGTGTGTAAAGTTCATTAATGCTCATTGGTAAATTCACTTGATAAAGCATAACGTTCAACTGTTGACGACTAAACCCACTGAAAATGAAAAGTGTTGATAGATTTGATTTAATGTTTGTGCTTAATGCTTTGAAATATTGAACAGCCATAAAGAATGAACACTGAATGTGTCGACATTGAGTTAATAACTGATTAAAATATGATTTCTCATTTGTTATTAGTTTTGATTTCACTGCATCATCTAGAAAAATGAGTGAATGCAAAAATTCTCTATCAAAATTTGAAATAGAAAGTGTTTCAAAAATTCATCCCGTTGTTTATCAATAATTTTATCCTCTAATCCTTGCTTCTTGATTGTATTATATAATTCTTTATACATTAAAAGTTTTTTAAATAATCTTCTGCTTCTTCTTGTGATAAATAAATAATTGGAATTTTGATTAAATGCTTTAAAGATTCAAATGTATCATCTGAAGGTGAACCTGAACGGTTGATATAAATTAACACATGTGAATAGGGGGAAGTGTTAGCAATAATGATAATTTGTTTTAATATCGTTAATGTTTTACCTTTATTCTGTTTACCAATTGCTGCAGTGATTGAATTTAAGTAACATTCAGAATATGGAATTTTCATTAATTTTTCCTTAGATAGAGCATTTCTATTATCACTCAATGCTTCATTAATCATATCATCTACGTATGTATTATATACTCCCGCTAATTCTTCATAAGGGTGGATGAATTTAAATCCATTTAATCAAAAATAAATTTATAATTTTTAAACATTTCTATTCATCAATATTTCATCATATGAACTTCTATACTGTGGTGGTGTACCTGTTGGATGATATTTCAAACCTTCGTCCGGTGTCCATGTCCAATATGTAGTCCTAGTAAACCAAACCTGAGGAGGATTTGTCACCTTTGAACAGTAAGTGTCATTTTCACCCTGAATGATTGGATAAGCTTTCACTTGTACTGTAACTTGTGAGTTGAAAGTTTCTAATCCATCAAAGAATATACCCGCTCCATCACGTTGAACTGGAATAGTGCATAAGAATGAAGTTTGGTCTTTCCATGTTCTAGCTAATGGCGTGCCATCATCTGCATTCAGTGGTCTAGTTAATGAGTCCTCGTATTCTTCTGTGCATTCATTCACTCCATCTAAATCAGAAGCTTGAAGCATACGTGTAAAGAATATGTCGCCCACTGTGGTCATCGCTTGATCGGGGAAGTTTCTGGAATCTATAGTGACCTGAAGACCTCGAAGCATTGGATTTTCTAAAACCGTTCTTTGCATTGCATTCTTCGGAAATGTTAACACAACATCTGTAACATTATGAAGAGCGTATGAGAAATCTGAGCTAATACCTTCAGGAGTGATGCAACCTCCATTTAGTGAACGAACGTCAATATGTTGAGCTGGAATCATGAATGGATCTTCCTTACTAAATAAACGTGGTATTGCTTTAACTGATTCTTCAATTAAACCGTATCCTGGTGTAATGCATTTATCCTCTAAAACTTCCATCTTTGTGCATGAAATAATAACGTCATCAACTGTTGCCTCAGCAGATGTAGCGGCTAAGCTTGTAATTAATTTGGTAGGAAGTCCGATTTGTTGGAATTTGCGATCATATTTATAAACATGATTCATAATCTTTTCATAATTTTCATCAGTTATCTTTTCATAAACGTAATTTTGTAAATCAGCAACTCTTAACGGGTCAACCTGAAAAAATACTAAAGTATCCCTGAAAACATAATATTTAAGAATGATATCACCAAATGATTTAGGATAATCATCGAACGCCTGAAATGCTAACAAATCATTTACCGGAATAATCATATCAAAAGTGACATCAACTTCTTTGCTTTCTTGAAAACTTCTGAAGGGTCAATATATTTACCACATACTGAGTTATCATATTTTTGAACATTATTATATAACGAATGAACAAACTTTTTAACTTTCCTTTCTGATTTTGGTTTATATGTTGCAAATGCGAAAGATTCACGGGCGCAATCCATCTGAAGATAACCGGCATCACCTCTTTCGGTTTCTACTTCTAATTGTTTAAAGCTTTGATTTGATGATTTGTAACCAACGAATAAACGCATGCATTTAAAAGCGGCATCACATGTGAAAGCTTTATTTGAAACTAGAGTTGCTTTAACTTTGCGTTTAATATATGTGTCACCTAATTGATTCACATCATGAGCCGGATTTGTAATTCTTAAATGAGTTTGTTTATCATCAAAATATGGAGCATCAGAGTCATAGCATGAACTTTCAAGTTCTCTATAATATCTTCTACCGTCATTCTTTGCGAATATTTCATTTATCTTTTCGAATGAATGAAACACATTTCCATTAATCGGTTTAGTGTTTGGCACCAAATAGTTAGTCGTCATTTATTAATAAATAAAAAATCAAAATTAAAAGATGAAAATGAATTTTTAATTTTAATGAAATAATCAACTATGGCTGCAGGTATATTTAAGAAACTGTGGGATAAAGTAAAAAGAGGAGCGAGTAAAGTTTGGGAAACGTTGAAGAAGGGAGCAAATTGGATATTTAAGAATAAAGAAGCAATTAGTGACGTTGCTGAATCAATAACACCAAAAGCTGCCCCAATAAGAGAAGTTTTAAATAAAGGAGAAAAAGTTTATCAAAGACTACAACCGATACTAAGATAAAAATAATTTATTTTTCCACTATCTACCCCCTATTTTATTAAGTATTCCTTCAGCTATTCCACCAATTGCGTTACCTGCTTGTGCTCCCATCGCCGGATTACCTGCTTTAGTACCTAATACTCCACCTATGATAGTTCCTGCCGTTTTCGCTACTGGTGCCAAAAAGTTTGCAATGGGTTTAATAATCTTTTTATGAACCCAATCCGCAGCTTTCTTAATTCCATCCCATAATTTTTTAAAGAATCCTGCCGCCATTTCTGATTTAATATTAATTAAAAAAATATATTTCATCACTTATATTCTAATTTTTATTTAATGATAAATGAAACCGATTTTAAAAATAAATGAAACAGAGGAGGAAGAAATAAATGAAAGTGAAAATGTTCAACAAAAAATAAACGTTGTTAAACCAATTACTGAAATAAAAATTTTTTCATCTGTTGAAGAATTTAATGACTATTATGCTAATAATAAAAAATTATTTGAAGAATTGACAACATGTAAATTGAATAAAATGTTTAAAGTTGATGGATTCAAAATTTCAAAAATAAAGGGTGGTTAGTTTGAAATCTATTCCTCAATCAAGAATCACCTCATTAATGAAAATAGATGATTTAACAAAAAGAATAGAAGAGATTGAAGAAAGAATGAATCAAATAATTGATTTCATAAATTCAAATAATCATTAGTTTCTTAAAGTTCAATGTTGAACTCATCAAATTCTTCTTCATCATTACCATTACCTTTAGCGAGTTTATTTACTCTTTCAACTTTATCTTTTGATAGTCTATCGTTTAATTTTTTCTGAAGTTTTTCGTTACCAAGTTCTAAAATTTTACATGGATGATATTTAAACCCGTTAAATTCTTTTTCCTCAGTTTTAATCATTAATCTACAAAGAACTTTAGTGAGGTGGTTTTGTTGTTTAAACCATTTATCCTTAATATTTGTTATAAATTCAATATCCGGAATTAATTCCCAAATTTTTGAATTTTCGATTAATTTACCATCAAATGCAAAAGCAATAGGTTTAATATTAAACTTACCTTTATAAAATAAACTTTGTATGTAATCATCAAAATAAACGTCTACTTGTTTAACCTGGGTGAGAATTGGTGAAAGTTTATTCATTAATTGATTTACAGTCACGAATTTTGATTCACTCATTTCATACAAAATAAAAAAATAAATTATTCAAAAATGTAAGACATGAATTTTTAAAGTTTATTTTTTATTCATGAAAATAATTATTTCTAATTTCTTTTACTCGTTTATGACTCCATTGATTCCATTCAGGATTTAAACAATGTTTAATTAATCGCCGAATATCTGACATCATCTATATATAGCTTCTTTTATAAAAGATAAAAAAAATTATTTTAAAATTAATGTTAATTTTTTAATGATTTATTTCATTATGTTTGGGCTGAGTGTAAATGTCTTACAATTTTGAAAATTTTTTAAATCTTGATTTATTCAAAAACGTAAGAATAAAAACCGTAAGAATCATACATTTTTTACTTCATATGTTAAAAAAATGATACAAAATCGCTCGATATTGTATGAATTCTTACGTTTACAAAAAAAGTCACTAAACCCATCATATCCTACTACTAATAATCCAGCTAAAAAAATGCAAAAATATATGAAAAAGCAAAATATAATTACTATAATTTAATACTCGTAATAAGTCAAAGCTTATGTGTACTTGTCCATGAATTGATTCTGGAACTTGGTGAGGCGGTCAATGACAGCATCCATCTCTTCAGCTTCTGGAAGGAATGTAGTTCTAAAGTGGTGTGTTCCTGGAACTTGGCCGAAACCAGAACCTGGAACGACGACGATACCTGTCTCGTCCAAGAGCTGAAGACTCCAGAACATATCAGGAGCAATATGCTTGCCATTAATACGTACTGATTTAGCTGCTTCTAAGGCCTTGAGTGGTAAATGAATGGATGGGAAGAGATACATTGCACCATCTGCTGGCTGGCAGTTCAAACCTGGTAAGCTGTTGATGCATTTAAGTAATCTTTGGCTCTTAACCTTGAGATTGTTCAACTCTCCGTCTCTTTCTTCAATGTATTGCTTCTTGCACTCATCTGATTGTGGTGGTCTGCACATGATATCAAGGATGATCTGACCAACAGTGTTAGAGCAGAGTTGGACTGAAGCCATCTTATAGAATTGGGCTTGGACATCTTCTGGGATATGGAATAACTCCATGTAGCCGGCACGGTGACCGCACTCGCCCATGAATCCCTTGGAGATTGAGTTAAGAGAGATGAGCTGGACGCCAGACTTCATTTCGGTGACAATCTGCTTGAATGAGATGAAAGGTTTCTCCGGGTTGTATGTATTGAACTGGTAAACTTCATCTGCAATGATAAGGATGTTGTTTTGCTCGCAAAACTCAACAACACTGCGCATCTCTTGAGCGGTGAGGACAGAACCTGTTGGGTTACCTGGGTTGATAACGACAATAGCCTTCATGTTGACACCTGCCTTCTGTGCAATGGAATATGACTCATTAAGTTCGTTAATATCAAGAGACCAGTTAGCAGACTCCTTAAGATAGTATGGAACAACGCGGCCGTTCCTGAGGGCAATTTCTGCGGTGTAAAGTGGGTATTGTGGGAATGGGATCATGATACCGCAGTTAGGATTAGAAATAATCATTGTTAAGATGGCTGTGACGGCAGCAGATGCACCAGATGTGATGAAAATCTTATCTGGCATTGATGGGGCGCCGCCATCTCTCTGCTTAATGTACTCAGCAATAGAATTACGAACAAAATCGAAACCTTGAGAATGGGTGTAGGCTCCCATACCGGCTGGGAAGTGCTTAAGGACTTCAGCAGCACGTGCGCGTGCTTCTTCTGGAATATCCTTGCTCTGGAGGAGATCTGGGTTCTCAACACAAGAAAGGACTTGACGTGGGAATTTGATAGCCTTCTTTCCGACAGCAAATGGGTTACCAATATTGCAAGCAATAATGCTATTGAATGGAAGTCTTTCGCCAGCAGCAAGTTTCTTGGCATAATGATCTGCTCGGATAGCGATTTCACCGCGAACAGCATATTCTGCTTTAATAACCTGTGGGTTGATGTTAGTGTAATGAAGGCTTGGTGTAGCTCTATGGTAGTTCTGGTTCATGGACATGGAACAAAAGTGACCTGAATTATATTTTGTGAAGGCGAGGACGATAGGAACTATGAAAATTTTCAATGGCTCTCAATTTCTCAAGCATCTTCACAATATTTTATATAAGTCGCCTCAAATATATTGATAACAACCAATTGGATAACTCTATCGACACATCCATACGCAATCATCAACTATAGTATTTATTCAACCAAAATAAACGTCTAATATAAAATTCAATCATAATTGAGAGCAACTCAATTCGGAAAATAAAAACGATTAATTTAGCCAGATGATAAATTATAACATCATATGATACAGATTAGATAAAGAGTGATTTTTGCTATAACGGTTTTTCATTCGTAAACTGTCTTTATTTCATTTTATGCTTTTAGACAACCACAAACTCCAATCTTTTTCTAAATTCGACAGCTACTGAGATGGGGTATTCCATTTATCCTTGTGCAAAAAAGGAAATTCATACTTTCTCAAAACATATATCTCCAATTAAAATTAGAATACAACTATTAACTGTCATCTAATGGGGAGAAGCTTCCTAAACTTTTTAATCCCATAAATATGGTCATTATCTGGAATAAAGAGTTAAGCGTCATATGTCACTTTTTGTACTAAGGAAACATCGACTTTATGCGTTATGACTTTTCGATGAGGAAACAAGTGTTCACGTATTATAAACTTCCTTATCCCAATAAACCGGCCCTAAACATAATTAATTTTAAGCATTATAATGGTCTCTTTTCTATGATAACCAAATCAATTTGGTTATCATAGAAAAGCACCAAAAACTAGAATAGGAATCGGCAATATGGAATTATGAAACAACTAGGATAAAATGGATATGGGACATTCATGAATGCATTCACTTTTTTCAAGACTTTTTAATGAATTTCAAATTCCTCAGATTATTTTCAATAGATTTTCCGTACCATATCATTTTTATTAGACAAAGCTATCTTTTCGATGAAATTTTTGCAAAAATACTCTGTTTTGAAAAAGATTTATGTAAATTTTTTGATAAAAGTGTCTTGAATGATTATCATTGATAATACCATTCCAATTGAATGCTGTTTTCGGCTGCTTTTATAAAAATTTGATCATATTGTACTCATAATTTTTTTTGTATTTTGGTCAAAAACTAAGCTAACATCAGCTGTATATTTGCATAAGCCATTAATAAGCTTTGGTATAGGTTATACTGAGTTTAGACGATCATACAATTTAGACTTTTTTCATTTAATTTAGTCTAACAAAGAGTGATTATCTTACTATTTGATTCATAAATATATAGGAAATAATAGTTTTATACCTTAATATGATAAAATTTTATAAAATTTTCCCTTCTCCTTTGGCAATATTAGTCATTAATAGATATATTTAACATGATGGTTCTAAATATATGAATAGATAAAATTTTCCTTTCAATTTTACGAACCAAATTTATTACCATATCCTAAATTTTTTCTATGTTTATAGACCTTTGGAACTTTGTATGAAGTCTAAATATACATGTAGAGTATTCAAACAAAACAAATATCAAAATCTAAACCTTTGAATTACCTTCAATGCTTAACCGAATTACTAGATCTTATATATATGTGTGTACTAATACCTTTTGATGCATAAAAAACTCCAAAAGAGTTTCATTTTTAAAATAGTCGATATCAATTCAAAAAATTGAAACTATACCGTCAACTGTCAATTTTTCAATAGTTCGTTTTTTTAAATGTAATTGCTTTTTTTATATGCATTAATCATTTGATAGTAGTGGGATCAAATTACATATCTTAAAAATGTATTCCGAGTGGAAAAAAAATCAATAGAATTGACCACAGATATCTGTTTAATCCAAAAATATTATTAGAATCATATTTAATAAAAATGCTATGCTTTTAGAAATAAACGGAAGAATAAACGCACTGTTTCAAACCGTCAAAATTGAATTTGTGTCAAATATCTTGAATTTACAATTTTAGCTATTTAGATAATTAGAGAAGCATTTGATCAATTTTTGTGTTAAACAACTATTTTTCGAATTTCTGAGATATGAAAATTAATTCACTAACTTCTTAAAAACATGAATTGAATGAAAACTCTTAGAAGAAATGTTCATATCACTTTCATTAATGGAGTACAAGGATGATTCCGAGTTCTTGGATGATATCCAGAAGTCCAAAACCCGATCCAAGGAAATCGTGAGAATGCAAATGCACTTAGCTTATCTTGATGAATCAGAGCCCGCAAGTGAAGATGAAAATCAAGCACCAGCTAATGCCGAAGAATTTAAAGTTGTCAGAAAGTTTAGCTTACAAAAATTCCTTGAGGCACACCCAATCTTAAATGTCAAAGACCTTTGTAACTTTTCTTTGGATCAACTCTTGTATTTAGTTGATGTTGTTCGCGAGCATGAGTTTTCATCCAGACGCGGTCGGAAAAACGGTTGTGATCCATTAGATGCGTTATTCCTAACATTAACTTACTATTGCACTTATCTTCCATTGCAAAAAATGTCAGGAATTGTTAGTTTGAAACAGAGTTACCTCAGCAAAATCATTAACAAAACAACAAACAGGATGTTCCCAATTTTCATTGCTGAATTCATTCCAAAACAATATTCTCCCTGTGACAAGGAGTTCGATAACTTTCCAACATGTGTTGCTGCAGTTGATAGCTCTACTATTCCTTTTACCGTTCCTCTTGATCTTGCTGAGCGTAAAAGTTCATGGGATGCTAAAAACCATTGCAATGGTATGAAGGTTCAAGTTCTTGTTAATCCTTTAGGACAGGTAATTCACATGAATACAAGTTTTTTAGCTTCAGTTCACGATAAGAAAGTATTTGATTTATCAGGAGCTTCAGATTTTTTACATGTCCAACGTGGAGTTGAATCTGTTGCATTAGGACTTCTTGCAGATAGAGGTTACATCGGTATTCAGAAATACCATCCAACAGCCGTCATTATGCAAAGAGGTGATGACGAAGAAGTTACAAAACGCAATAATGCGATTGCACATGATCGCCAAATTGTCGAACGCCGCTTTGCACGCGATAAAAGTAATTGGAGTGTCTTGGCAATAGGATATCGTGGTGAAAAAGGCAATCTTCCACTTATTGTTCAAGGATTGTTTGCTTTAGATAACTATCACATCGATTCCACACCTCTCAGTGAGAAGGATAACTGCGATTTTCCTTGCACTCCAAAAGATGAAAAAGAAGCTGCAGCAACACCAGAACCAAATGGTTCAGGAAGCCCAATGCCAAAGCCAAGATGTGTTCCAAAAGATCTTTATCTCCAAACTCCAGAAACTCCAATGAAGATTCCATCTCCACTAGCTGGATATGAAAAGATTGATAAGATACTTGTTAAAAGAACACAAAATGCAATCTACAACATCGAAACAAAAATGTCAATTCCAGGATTACATAATGAGGGAGCTACCTGCCATGTCAATGCCGTTTTGCAAGTTTTGTTCTACGTAAATACTTTCAGAAAAGATGTAATGGAGCATTTGGGAGATGTCGAATATACGCCAGTGAAAGCACTTGCCGAAATTTATGATCAGATGTTGCACTACCGCCACAAGGAATACACAATTTCATGCTCACAATTCATCACAACACTCGGCAAGCAATACTTCCAGCAGCAAGATGCCGATGACACATTTCAAAAGATTGTACATGATGTTACGGAATCAGCAAACAAACCAGATATTGCCGTTACATTCCAATATCAAACTGAGACTCCTGATGAAAGCTTCTATTCGGTTTCGCTTCACATTCCTCTTGGTGCAGCAGGTATTGATCAAGGAATTAAACAAATGTGCACAGATGATTCTCATATCAATGAAATCTCAACATTCCTCTGGGTCGACGTTCAGAGGAATTGGTCTGATCCAAATGTCTTCTTTGACAAATTTGAGATCAAGAAGAACTACAAAACTCAACTCAGTGATGGAACGTATGTATTTAAGATACATTCCATTATTGCTTATCATCAAGGTCATTTCGTTGCCTTCGTCAACAAAGGAAGAGTTTGGTTCATGCTCGACGATGAAATTACTTACATTGTTCCTGATGGTTTGATCAAAGGTCTTCAAGGTGGAGATGTTGGCAGCGATTTGTGGTCATATCTTGGTGGTGTCAAATGGCTTGCAAAATGTGTCATCTATCGCAAACACAAGTTCTATGGAGTTGGTGATGATGATGATTGAAAACAGTTTAATTTTTTTTAATCTTATTATAAGGGATAATTTTCTAAATATATGATTTTTTCTTAAGTTAGTGAATATTTTTCTTGTGTGCTTTTACTTATTTAAGTATTTAGTATTATTACTTAAAAATTTTGAACATTTATTTTATAATATTGAGATTTAAAATAAACTATTGCTCGATCGTATCTTTATTTGCTCTTTTAATAAAAAATCTAACTTACTATTGATTAGATATTGATTTAAAAAAATAATATAATAGCATAATAAAATTTCTTTATTTCCCCGTACAAAGATATAGCCGTAACAAGACATTAACGTTTGGAAAGTAAATTTGAAAAAAAGTATTATATTATAAAAGAAGTTACAAATTTTTAGAATATTTTTGTAAAATAAGAGCAAAAAGTAGAATGCAAACTCTTCGGGTACTAAAACCTGCCATTAAATTGAGATAAATAATAGATTTTGTAAAATTTTGTTGTAATTCTTGTATCAGTCTTGCCTTGAGTATGAGTTTGAGTCTACCCTTGTTTCCATATTGCCTATTCCTGTTTTAACGCGGCTATTCCTATTCCAGTTTTTGGTGCTTTTCTATGATAACCAAATTGATTTGGTTATCATAGAAAAGAGACCATTATAATGCTTAAAATTAATTATGTTTAGGGCCGGTTTATTGGGATAAGGAAGTTTATAATACGTGAACACTTGTTTCCTCATCGAAAAGTCATAACGCATAAAGTCGATGTTTCCTTAGTACAAAAAGTGACATATGACGCTTAACTCTTTATTCCAGATAATGACCATATTTATGGGATTAAAAAGTTTAGGAAGCTTCTCCCCAATGATTATGATTTTATTTAGATATTTACTAATTTCAATATTTTCATTTCAAATCCTTCTGATCAAAGAGCGCGATCAAGTTATATTATTATACAATCAATATGGTGAATGTTTTTCAATGAATTGCAGATTTTAAACTAAAAATTTATCATCTTCGAAATTTAGCGGTGTATCTTTGCTTGCGTCATTGATTATTTCATACTACACACGATTGCAAAGATCTCTCTGATCTCAAAATATTCCTACTCTAATTGATATACTGACTTTTTACCAATAATGCTTTTTTAACGCGTTCACTGATATAAATTACTATCGCCTTGAAGAAATCTTTGAGCTGAACCAAGGAGTCATTCCTTTTGATTAAAACAAAAAGTGACAATTTTGCTCTTTATTCGAATAATTAGAATGAAACAAAGGTATGGAGTTGAGGCAACAAACAAAATATCACATATTTGTCAAATTTCTATCATTATGTCCATTTTTTTCGCTACACATTCCATAGATTTCCTTTATTCTTCCAAAATTTATTTATTTAATATCGGTATTATATTTCTGGACCTATTCGCTCTGGCTTCGTACATCATTATTTTAGTTATTCTACTTAATCCATCAATTATCAAAGATTTAAAATTACGTTTTATAATAGTAAGCATTATTTCGTTTATCTTCTTTATAGTAATAATGTACTATGGTGTTAATTATGCAATAGATCCAATGAACTACTTTGTAACTTTAGAAGATACATGGTATAAAAAACAAAACCTTGATCAAATTAAAGAATTTCAGCGTATATTTCAGTGTTGCAACTTCCAACCAACTATTATAGATTCTGCAAATGAATGCCATCATGGTTTTAAAACTCCTTGCATAAAATACCTATTAAAACACCAAAGTAATTCAATAATTATTACTGGAATGTGTAGGATACTACAAGCTATTGCACATGCACTTGTTTTTTCAACTAGTTTTGGTTTTGCTATATCAATCAAGGAATCTAATCCATTTAGCCAACCATTTAGCGTACCAATATGAAGGAATTATGACATATATTATTAATTTGTTTGTATATTTATATTAGTAAACATATTTTTGGATATGTATATTATTCACATTTAATTGACCTGAAACATAAAGTACATTGATTCTATGATCTAAGCAAATTAAATTCCGACCTCTAATAATCTAAATTTATCAATATTATTTATTAATTTTATGTATTAAATATGAAAAAATGAGATATCATTAATTTGGAAGTTCAAGACCAACGGATACCCATCCTTGGCGAAGGTTATGAGGACGAGCAAATATTTCACAATACATTGAATTTGGAAATACTCTTTCGATAAGCTCGTATATTTCAATTGGCTTATGGCTTTGACGAAGAGAACGTTGCTGGATAATAAGGTCGTTAAACTTATTAGGTCGCATGTTCTCTGGATCTTTTCCTTTATGGCCAATAAGCACCGTTTCTTTGTTATGCTGCAAATAGTAACCGTGTGATGGCATGTATCTTCCATACTTGGAGATTTTTACCCAATTCAGATAGGTCAGGAACTCGTATCCCCAGTTCTGAAGAAGCTGGATACCATTTTCCAATTGTGATGCAATAACCCAAACAAAAATGTAGCCATTCTTCTGAATCTTTTGCAATGGTATTTGGCCAATAATATCAGTTGAAAGCTGATCGTAGTTAATTGCGACACCACGCGTGATTCCAGCCTGAGCAATGAGCCACGGGGGATCCATTGTAATAACATCGAATTGGGTGATTTCACCAAGTTTATCAAACGGAAATGTACGAACATCGCAGTTAATTGAAGCGGAATGCTTGATAGTTTCATCAAATGCTGGTATTACAGTGCATGTGCAGTCGCCCTTAACTCCGTATTTCTTAATTTCCTTTTCAATTTTCTCGATTTCTTCATCAAGCTGCTCATCTGTAAGTGAACGAATTTCATTAAGATCTGTTTTAACTAGTTCTGCTTCGTATCCGAAATATTTAAGTTTGTCTGGGTCGTCAGGTTTGAAATCGGTAAGGAAGGTGTTTACACCTCTATGATTGCTTTTGATGTACTCCTCTGGTCTCAAAACAATATCTTTAAGCTTTTCAAATTCGATGAATTCGCATGGATCGCCTCCTGGGCAATGTGTTAAATCATCGGGTGAAAAGTCAGTAACAAATTTTGCTGGGGGATTATAGGCCATTAAACCAAGAGGGATGCCTTTGGATTTGTCTGTTCTAGTTTGCTTTGGCTTTTCACCCCATGTGAAATCGGAATTTTTCTTTCTACTTTTACGCTTCCATGTTTCGTCATCAGATGAAGAAGAAGATGAAGATTGCTTCTTCCATTCTCCTCCATCTTCATCATCCTCGTCACTCGAGTAGGAAAATCTATAGCTCGCAACGCGGCGATTTTTCATCGCGCGAGACGACATTTTTTTAGTATATACGTTTAGATTTTCCCGCTAAAATTTCTATACTTTACGCAACTTTTTTACAATTTTGGCGCTAACATAAAACATTGGAATTAAATGTCATTTTATAATATTAATTCAGATAAATAGTTATGATTTGACATTTCTATTTGAAGTAACTCATCCAATAACGCTTATCTCATTCCAGATATGAAATTATATTTTTGAAATTAGCATTTCTATGCAAATCTTTCTATTTGCACTAGTCATTCATTAAGTACCCGTGTAAAAGTATCATCTTGGCGTATTAAAAATACTATAACTCTATTAAACTTACTTGAATAACCTTCATTAGTGAATTTTTCTACCTCAATCTCATTTATTTTGTAGCAAATGATTATGTGTATCAACCAGTGTTATATGATAGCTCGATGTTGCCGTAAAGGTACATTCACTAGGCGATAACAGTAAAATGGGATGAAAATAGGATAAATAGCATCCCTATATAGTGCCTAACAATATTTATACGGGCCAAAAAAATTTGGCTAGAGATTTGGCGAGTTATAAAACTTAGAAAATTGAGAGGGATTTTTATTTTTTATTTTTTTTTTGGAAAGTTAAAATTGCGATTAAAAATCGATTTCCAGGAGAACTAAGCATCTCATCATATATTTAAATCGATAAAAATATTAAATAATAGTTGAATAGTATAACAACGTGAAATTATGGCTGAATCTACAGAAAAAATGAACATATTTGACATTTTTGAAAATTCATACGTTAGATGGTGACAGACTCATAAACTATACTTTAGCTAAGATTGATATATGGTTTCAACAACACATGGTTAAAATCGTAAAAATATTTTAGATTTCAAAAAGATATATATGGTAATATAATGGAACAAAGTCAACAAATAGCATGTTAAATATGTTATAATTAACTTTTTATTAGATCCAATAGTATATATCGAATGGTTTCCAGCTTTATGGTTAAATATTTTCTTTTCGAGCTTCTCTTTAACTGTTGTATTAAGGTTGTAAATTTTTGATGCTAGAAACTATGGAATCTTCTTTGCTGCTGCATTTTTCTTGAGAGTTCTTGCAATTTCGAATAGATCTGCGCATTGTATGAAATGGAGGCTTTAAAATATCTTGAAAACAGAATAGGACTGCTTTTCCAAAGGAATGCTTACTTGTAAATCAGAGAGTTTCAAAATTGACAGCAAGATTATCATCATAACTTTCGATTTTGCTGCGAAAAAGGAAGACAAGTAATTAACAAATCATTTACTGTTGTTCATCAAAAGAAGAAAACTTTGATAACAACTAATGATGATAAAATCAAGCTATCTTTTAATATTTTAAATTGATAAGACATTCAAAATATTTGAATGGTTTAAAATATTTTCTTTTAATTTCTATAAGATATTATCATGATTATATAATAAAATTTAAATTTTTATTCAAAAAGGCAATATTTCAAACTTTTAATTTCAAAAATCTTAATTCTGCAATAAGTGTATTTAATTGTAGCAAATTTAATGATCCTTCGTCATGCTTAGCAATTTGGAACTCATAAATTAATGATTTCTTCAAGTAAAATTCTGCATTATTTCAAAAGTCAATAATTCTCTAGTAACTTTTCTTCAAACCCTAACCATTATATTATATGTATAATGGAGAATAATTGCAAAGAAAGATAGCCGAATTTACTGGGTAGTTCTTGTGATGCGAAATAATTGCAAATTAACACCTAGTTTTAACAGCATCAATCTCTTTTTGCTCTCATTTAAATGCATTCGCACACTTTAATTTTGAAATATAAGAGTTTTGGAAATTATCAAATTTATCTGCTCAAATAATATAGATCTTCATAAGTGTTAATAGAATCATTAGCCTTACATATAGTGTTTAATATAATGATGCACATTATACTGGGATTCATTCCTTATTCATCTAGTTATTATAAGATTTACAACCCCATGAAAATTTAAAATTTTGTCAAAAATAGTGAATGTACCTTTGTTGCCGTTTAGAGATTCTCTTTGTAAACTATTCAATATCAATTAGCGGTTTGGCCCAATCATTTTTGGTCATTACACGGTGGCTAGCTGCATGGCTAGTCTCCGCCAGTTTGACCGCATAAACGAGGTTCTCAAACGGTAAGCATCGTGTGATCCGTTTCGCACAGCTCCTCAACAAATTCTTAAATTTCTAGAGTATTTTTTTTTTTTTAATACTTAGTTTGAAAGCTTAACTTATTTCATTTGCTTTCCATTATCTGCGGTACAATTTATTATTATCTACAATGAGCTAATTCTAGATGTTGCTTTTTGATAAATTTATCATTTGCTGTTTTTATATGCTAGATTTGTTTTTCTGATTTGTTTTCAAGACTTTTATCCAGATCTACTGTAATCTTGCTTTGTATTTGCTTAGAAATAAGTTTTTAATTATAAAAAAGTGACAAATATAAAACAGAAATGAATCCTCAACAGTATTTATCTCCTATTGGAAAATGGGAGCACCAAAATAAAGTTAGTAAGTTTTTCCATCCTACAAAACAGAATTTTGGAATCAACAGAAGAGCTGATGCAAATACTCCAATTGAAATCAATTTTGGGCCTGTTCACTTAAGATGGCAGGATGGCTCTTGGACAAACTTGAATCTTCCTGAGCAACCAGCTAATCCAAATCCAACTCTTCAAGAGATTTCAAAACTTCAACGCGAAAACGCTCAATTACAAGTTGAATGCGAAATTTTATTACACATGCTTACGGTTTCGGAAATGAAGAAGGTTAAATTCCAAAATCGCTTAACCTCATTGAAAAATCAAATTGCTTCAATCTTAGAGCAAATTGAGAAGGAAGAAGAGAATATGGAATAAGTTTAATGAATGTTACTACTAAATAGCTGTTTGTTTTTACTTATTTAATAAATATAGAAAACGGAAAAAGTTGTTTTTATGTTTTGATTCTTCAATATAGAATACAAGTCTAAATCATTTAAAATCGAATGTAATTGATTTGTAGATAAATCCTCATATATGAATATTAAAACTCTAATTTGAGCTAGCTCATGCTAATCACAATATATTCTCATTCTACGAAACTCTTAATGACAGGTACGTATTTAGATCATTTTATTTCACAATATAATAAAAATTGTATTATCTTTGAAGGAATGATTGTAATACTATTATATTAGAGTTCTATTTAACAAAGAGAAATATAAATCATAAATTTTTTTAGTAAAAAAGCAATATAATAATAAAGAAACGAAACAAACTATAAAAAACTAATCAAGAAAACAACATTCTTTTTTTTCCTTAAAGCTTTGTGGCTTGTTCCTGGAAGAACTTGAGCTTGTTGAGATCAGCCTGGATTCTTGAGAAGAGACGTGTGAGGGAATTCTCATCGAAGTCGAGATCTACGATGCCATAAAGAGCACCGAGATGAGATGTGAAGAAATCGATAGCTCTCTGCTTTTCCTGCTCGACTTTCTGTTTAAGTTCCTTGAGCTCCTTCTGGTGCTGCGTCTCGATGTTCAACATCTTGACATTTGCGGCGGCAGCGGCGCTCTTCTGTTCCTTTGCTAACTTCTCCTGCATAAGCTGGGATTTGTTCTCTGCGGCTGTAACATTTCTTCTAAGGGAAATGTTTTCTTCATCAAGTTCTCTGATCTTTGCATCGAGTTGACCAATTGTTTCTTGGAACTGCTTTGTAAGGACGCAAGCCTTCTCAGCCTTCTCCTGCAACTCATTGATCTTAGCAGCGGATTCTGCCTGGTTGTCGTTCAATGACTTCATTGCGCACTGGAGATCGCTTTCGTGCTGTGCCTTCATTTCATTAACAACAGATTTAGCTTTCTTTCTTGTTTGTGAAAGCTTCTTTGATGTAGCATCAAGGGCATCCTGGAGCTCGTGGACTTGGTTGTAAAGAACTAACTCTGCCTTCTCATGCTTCTTGTGCATTTCTTCGATTTCTGCCTGTGAATTTTCCTTGAGCTGTGCAAGTTCTGTTCTGAGCTGCTCGTTTTCGGCAACCTTTTCTTGAAGGGCCTTCTGCATGCTCTTGACTGCCTGGCATACTTCATCTGATGAATCTCTTGAAGCAATAGAAGCAACAGATGGAGTCTTTGGAGCTTCAATGACAGAAGCTGATGCAGAAGAAGATGTGTCGAGTTTAATTGGGTTTGTCTTCTTCTCTGTTGTTGTTGGAACTGTCTTCTTGATTCTGTCGATCTTGTCTTGTTCGTCCTTGAGAATTCTGTCTTGGTAAAGCTCAACAGAGTTCTTGAGGTTCTCGTTTTCGTTCTTGAGATTTGTAATCTGAGACTTGAGATCTTCAATCTGCTTCTTGTACTGCTCTTCCTGTTGTGTCTTGCTGTTGAGCTCGTTTCTAGCAGCGACAAGAGCCATGTGGATCTCTCTGCGTGTATCCTTGAGGTGCTGGAGCTTCTTCTGAAGTGCATCGAAGAGCTCTGGAGCAGTAGAGATGTTCTCGATTCCGAGCTGCTTGAGGGAGTTGTTGATTGACTCCTTCTGGTCAGCGCTATCGACGAGGACATCGATCTGCTTCTTCAGGCGTTCGTTGATGAGGAAGAGAGCGGCAATGAGTGCGGCAAGATCCTTATCTTCTTCAGCAATCTTGTCGACAAGAGCCTTACGTCTCTCGAAGCATTCCTCTCCTGGTTCGAATAATTCTTGTGGAACAAAGAGTGGACCAAGGAACTTTAAGCATTCGTTAAGATTTTCAAGCTTGAAGCCTTCTTCAGCAAGGAACTTAAGGAATCCTTCATCAGCTGTGCAGAAAGCAATAGCATCGATCTTCTGTTCGTTGCATTCGAGGTTCTTCCACTCGCGCATGATAGAGAGAAGGAGATTGTAAGTTTCTGTGAACTTGGATCTGATTTCTTCGGAATCATTGAGCTTCTCAGCATTATCAGCTTCGAGCGCTTCGTTGTCTTCACGGAGTTTGTTGAGATCCTTTGCGCATTCGTTGATGATGAGCTGGATCTTCTGTGTAGACTGGAAGTGATCGAAAGCAAGGATCTTGTTGATGCGTTCTGTAAGCTCCTCATCGAATGGATACTTGATGGCCTTGATATCGAAATTATCTTCGAAGAGACGAGCTGTTAAAGCTGTGGCCTTCTTAGCCTTTGCAGCTAATGCGCTGTTATCAGCCTTAAGAGACTCGATCTCTTGTTCGTATTCAGCTGTTGCATTGTTAAGCTTCTGGACTAATGTGAAAAGCTTTTCACGTTCATCAGAGAGCTGTTCGAAGTCATTCTTCTGAACATTATATTGCTCCTGAAGATGGTCAATAGCTGCATGCAAATCTGTGCATTCGTCGGACTTTGCCTTGAGGGAATCTGTAAGAGAAGCATTTTGGCTCTTCTGCTTTTGGATTTCTTCCTCAAGAGCAGCAATCTTCTCGGATTGGCCCTTATTTTCAAGGGCTAATTGCTCCTGAGCTGTGTTAAGATCTGCATACTTCTGTGCTAATTGGTCAAGCTGTTCATTAAGCTTCTGGATCTTATCCTTACCTTTGGCTTGGATCTTCGTTAATTTATTGTTCTTTTCTAAGCAGATCTTGAGTTCGTTCTTAACATTAGAAAGTTCTTCTGCAAGTAAATCACGTTCCTTTCCATTATCAGCTGCGCTCTTCTTAGCGCGGGCAAGTTCCTTTGATTGTTTTTCAATTTGGGAGTTAAGGCGGATTCTTTCTTCCTCTGCTCTGTTTGTTAAATCAATAATCTGTGATTTAAGGGTAGATCTTGTTCTATCACCGTTTTCGGTTGCCTTTTGGAGCTGAAGCTTAAGGTTGGTGATTTCATCATGGAGTCCATTAACCGTTGATGCTGTTTCAAGAGCCTGTGCAAGCTGATCGTTTGTAGTATCAAGGTTGGTTTGAAGTTGATGAATGATTTGACGAAGCTGTTCATTCTGAAGCTTCATTTCTTGTATTTGGAGAAGGTCTCCCTTTGTATGGCTGCCTTGTGAGCAACTCCAGTTACTCATGCTGCCTGATTGAGAAGCTGTATCCATGATTTAATGAAAATGAGATAAAGGGCACGTTTACAATTATAATTCAGTGAATGTCGTTTACAATTTAATTTTTACATGTGGTTAATGTGTATTTATACATTACATCTAAAATACTGAATGTTTCACACTGTTAATTTGAAATTTCGTTTGGATTTAATTTCGTTACATTGATATCTAGCCGAAATAAATATTCCACACAGAGATTTGAAACTTATGCATTATATTTTACTCAAAAATTAGGTATAATCTCGAAATCAAAAGTTAAATGCCTGTAATTAGATCATTTTAAATCCTATCAATATAATAATTTCTGCGTAACAGATCTATGAGACTTATTCATTTTGGTTGAATTCCGAGTCAGGCCATTTCATATTGTTATTTTCGATCAAATCTATCGGCGTGATGCAACGCGTTGCATACTTTAGTTTACAACTATTCAATTTTTATCAAAATGATAAACATTCTCAGCATACTTTTTATTATCGAAAGAATGATACAGAAATAACAAATATCATCTGAAATTCATCAACATATTGTTTAATTTACTTTAATGAATAATAAATAAAGAATAAAAGTTAAAATGACTGATTTTTTAATGAAAAAAATAACAGATTAAAAATAATAATAAAAATTATATATCATCATCACTATCTTCGCTAAGGTTGTATTGGATTCCAAACTTCTTCAATTTCTCAATGAAATCTTGATTCAATTTCTTTGACGTATTCTTGTTTTCGTACTCATCTTCTTCATCAGATTCAGATTTCGGAATCAACTTTGGCGGAGACTTTCTAGTTGGTTTTGGATCGCTATCCATATCATCATCTTCGTCATCCTGCTCTGGAGGAGGCTTTTGATGTATATTTACAGAAATCTTTGGTTTGATTTCCTCAACTACGTCTTCCTCCTCTTCTTCTTCCGAATCAGAGTCATCAGGAAGGTTCTGTACAACACTCTTCATCGAATAAGTTTGATTTGCTGGTGTAACTAAGTATTGATCAATGTCATCATCAGAAGTTTCTTCTTCATCGTTTGTATTGTGATTTACTTGTTTCTTGATTGGTTGCAACTCATTGTCCTCGTCGCCATAATTACGAGGTAAACTGGAGTTTGGATTTCTCTTTGATGTGTATGTCACTTTTTGAACGTTTTCGGCTTTTTCTTCTTCCTCTTCTTCTTCAATTTTTGAATCATCTGAATCGAGTCCTAAATTCAAATCCAGCAATTTCTTCTTTGTCTTATCGATGTCATCTTCATCATCAGAGTCATTTAACACTGGTTTGTTCTGTCTCATTGGTGACATCTGTCCAGATGGTTTCGGAATTTCAGATGAAGTGAACTGAAGTTGTTTTTTATGTTGAGGCATCGGAGCTGATTCTTTTCTTGGCGAGTGTTTGATTACAGCGCTGACTTTCATTGGAGGCGCTGAGTATTCGACAGCTTCATTGGAATCACTGGATTGTTCTGTTCTGATTTGGAATCTCTGTGGACTTGGATTTCCTTGTTCTTGATCTTCTTCTTCACTTTCATCGGAATCAATGATGAAGTTTTTGACTGGACGTGGTGGAGGTCTTGGTGTTGCTTTGTATGGTTTGTAGTTTTCTTCTTCCTCTTCTGTGTCTTCGTCTGTATCTTCTTCCTCTAAAATCTTCATCATTTCAGCTCTGTAATCTGGAAAAACTGTTTTTGATGGAGAAACTTTTTGTGGAGAATTCGATGACTTTGGAGAAACTTTTGGTTTTTCTTCTTCTGAATCATCTGAATCTTGTAACTTTGGTGAGACTTTTGGTGAAGAAACTGGCTTTGGAGATGTTGTCTTCTTATAATTTTGGTCATCTGAATCTTCTTTATCATTTTGCTTTGAATAATTCAATTTTGTTGAAATGATTCTGTTGATTTCTTCATCATCTGAATCCTCTTCATCTTCATCTTCATCATAGATCTTCTGTGTTGTTGCAGATATCTTTGGTGAAATCTTTGGTGAAGTTGTCACTTTTTGTGATGTATTGAATGACTTTGATGGAGAAGAAACTTTTGGTTTTTCTTCTTCAATTGAATCATAATAATTAGATGTTATTTTTGGAGATACTTTGAAGGAGTTTGATGAAACAGGATTTGGCTTTTCTTCTTCATCTTCTTCCTCGGATTCATCGGAATCATGATACTTTGATGCTGTGAATTTAGGAGATGTCACTTTTTGTGATGTATTGAATGACCTTGATGGAGAAGAAACTTTTGGCTTTTCTTCTTCATCTTCTTCCTCGGATTCATCGGAATCATGATACTTTGATGCTGTGAATTTAGGAGATGTCACTTTTTGTGATGTATTGAATGACCTTGATGGAGAAGAAACTTTTGGCTTTTGTAATTCATCGGAATCAGAACTATCTGAATCTTTTGAGTGTAACAAAGATAAAGGAACTTGTTTAGGTTCAGGAAGTGTTATATCTTCTGATGAACTTGTTCCGAAAACTCCTCTCTTTGGACTTAACATTCTTGGAGTGTCATCATCTTCGTCATCATTAATTTGTTGTTTCTGAGGTGATTGTCTTGGAGATGGAATTGGAATTGGCTTCTCTATCTTTGGCTCTTCACTGCTTTCATCTGATTCTTTCTGTTCTTCATCAGAATCTTCTGATTCTTCGAAATCAAAGATGGATTTCTTCTTTGTTTGTGGAGCTTTTGCAGAGAAAGGATTTCTTTGTAAAACTTGTGGAGAAAGAACAGGTGTTGGAACTTCTTCATGGAAATCTTGTGTACTCTCCTCTTCTTCTTCTTCACTTTCATCTGAATCGGCTACTTTCTTGTTGTTTTGTGGCTTGTTGAGAAGAGATTTCTTGATGTTGTTGTAAAACTCTTCATCAGATTCATCGGAATCATCTTCTGTTGGTTTAATTCTCTCAGGAGACTTTGGTTTGAGCATTAATTCCTCTGGTCTGTTTTGTTCTCGCTTGGAAAGAGGAGAGGCTGGTTTTGAGGAGATAATTGGCCGGGGAACTTCACCTTTGTCACTTTTATCTTCTTCTTCTTCGCTTTCATCAGAATCCAAAATCTTTGAAGGAATTGGCTTTCTTTGTGGAGAACTCTTCTGAGAAGCTGGTTTCTGAGGTGGAGATCTTGGAGGAGAGCGTGTTATCTTTACGTCTGGGGCCTTTTCCTCAACGAAAAACTCATCATCGGACTCTTCTTCCGTTGAATCTTCTTCGCTTGAAAAATTCTTTGGTTTTTCTGGAGACAAACTCAATTGTTTGTGTGCAAAGTGTTCGCGTGGATCAGAGACATCATCAGAAGATTCCTCGTCCTTCTTTGAGTCATCGTCATCTGTATCTTCTTCCTCTTCTACCTTTTTAACTGAAAGTGGACTGAAACTGTTCCTTTGGAGGTGTTCTTTGATGGATTCAAGGAGATCCTTGCTGGAATCCTTCTTCGTTGGTGTTGTCTGAATTGGTTTCTTTGGTTGTGGTGCTTCTTCTTCCTCTTCGGATGAAGAATCTTCGGAATCATCCATGTAAATATCTGATGGATGCTTGATACTTGGGGATTTCGGATTGGTATATGTTGGTTTCGTGATTTCTTGGGATTTGGCTGGACTCTGCTTCTTTTCTGGAGAACTTTTTCCAGATTTGTTCTTTTCTGAAGCAGTTGATGACATCTTCTGTGGTGATACTGGTTTAACTGGTGATTTAGCTGGTGAAGCCTTCTTCTGTGATGACTTGGAAGCTGTAGAAGATTTCAATGGAATTATTGGCTCTTCATTTGAGTCTTCTTCCTCTTCTGATGAGTCGGAGTCTAATATTGGAGCAGTATAATGCTTAGCGGCTGGGCTAGACTTCTTTGGAGAAACATTATTTTGCTTGAATAAGATTTCATCGTTATTCTTATTCTTTTCTTCCTCAATAATGTGCTGAAGGTCATTAACAAGCTTAGTTAACTTCTCAATTTCATCTGTCAAAGCATCTGAAGCGAAATAATAACTTGGATCGCTGATTTTGAGTTTTAATGGCTTCTTTTGCTTTGTAAGCATTTCTGTATTTGGAATTGTGTCTTGTTTTGGTGATGTTGCCGGTTTCTTGTTAAGGAATTTAAGAAATTCGTTCGAATCTGAATCTGAGTTATCGATATCATCCAAAAGCTTCTTATTTATCTCCATCTGTCTATTTGGTTTTTCTACAGATCTGTTGATTGAAGATTCGTATGGTTGTGGGATTGAAATCGAAGAAGACGTTTCAATTGCAGAAGAAATGTTTTTAATTGGTGATTTCTTCTTGGTTGTAATGCCAGGAACGATGAATGGGTTCTTAATTTCATGATGTAGCTCAGATTCTTCTGTGGAATCTAATGCTTCATTGTACAGCTTGGTTGTTGTTCTTGGAGTATATTTATTAGCAGAGAAAGCATCAGAACGTGAAGAAACGGAAATATTGAAAGATGGCATCGAAGATTCATCTTCTGATGATGTGGAAAGTGTTGGAATATTACGGATATTTGATACTGGTGTTGGCTTAACAGATGAATTTCTTGTTGAAGCAGCAGTTGTATTTCTTGTTGTCGAGACTGAATTTGAGGTTGTTCTACGAGCAGAAGCTGTTCTATCTTCTCTTTGTGTTGTTTTCTTTGGAGCTTGACCCCATTTTGGCCTGTTTGAAAGAGAAATTGTTGGTTCCTTTTTAGATTTCTCTTCCAAATAGTTTTCGAACTTTTTATTCACGGTTTCCTGCTTCCTTTCACGCGCTGTCTTTGTATTATCGGAAGTTTTAGAGGCAGATGACGAGGCTCTTTCCTTTGATTTTGTAGAACTTCTCGATTTTGTTGAAGAATTGTTTGATCGGACTGGTCCTATCTCAAATGGTGGATTTTTGGCACTAGACTTAGTACTTTTGATATGAACGAAGCGAGAGTGAACTCCTCTATCGCTCATTTTTGATGCCGTTTAATTATTCCATTTATGATATTGTTTTCGAAGAATGGCACTATAAATATACTTGGTTTAACATTTCACACAAAAATCATGAAATTCATGTTCAAAATAAGCTTAAAGAAAAACATTTCAATATCATTGAACAATTGTACTTTCTCATCATGCTTGTTGTTGTATAAAATTCATATTAAAATACAGTAAAGAAGAAATTCAAAAAAATAGATGTAAAATTTTATTGTTCACGGATTGATAATATATATTTATGATAAGTTTGAATATTCTCAAATAGAAAACCCTAAGACAATTACTATCAAATTGATTTTTAACTCCCTACTCCATCCAAAGCATTCATAAAACTTACTAATGTCAACAATTAAACATTTGCTAACGCAACTAATTCCATTCCAAGAAAATCCAGGACTACATTTATCACACTTCGTCTGAGAACTGCATTCATCACAATTACACATGCATCTCACGCATTCCCTTTTTGAATTTGAATAATAACCTTTTTCACAATTTTGAACGCATATAGACCCTTGAAGAAAATATCCTTCATAACAAGAGGTACAAAAGTTTGGTAATATACTACATGATGAACAATTCCTACTGCATTCATGACAGATGTTATGATTATCACCATAATTGTGATCATTACACTTTGGTTGGCATTTGCCATTTTGTAAATAAAAAGATTCTTCACATTTAATACATTCTGTTTGAGATTGACAGTTTTTACAATTTACGGCGCAATTCTTGCATATGTTTTCATTTCCAAAATAATAATCACCACAATTATTCAAGCACTGGTGAAGATCTTGTCTAGAATTATATTCTCCTGTGCAAGAAAGGCATTGATTGCTATATGGTCCAGAACATTCGTAACAAGAGCTTTGACAAAATTCACATCTTCTAATGGTTTCATTAAGATAATAGTTTGAACCGCATGAAGAAACACACTCTGTATCTTTCAGGTAATATCCATCTGTGCATTTACTGCATTTTGTAGCACTTTCATTACATTCTGTACATTTTTCATCACATGGTTCACAAATTTTTGTAATGTGATTTGCAAAGAATCCAAGATTACATGATCTCACGCATGTATTTCCTTGCAAATAATATCCATCTCTGCAGCTTGTGCAATTTGTCGATGAAAAATCGCATTCCTTGCACGGGTAATTGCAATAATAACATCGATTTTGGCCTTTTGGAAAGTATTTTCCTGGGCTACATTCCCTAGCGCATTTGTTATTGTCCAAATAATAACCATTTTTGCAAGAATAGCAATATGATAAACTGTCACATGATTGGCATGTGTTATTGCATGCATCACATATTCGGGTACTATAATTTGGGAATGTTCCCATGTTGCAATCTTTTTTGCATTTATCTTTATATAAAAAGTAACCTTCTGAACACCCGGTACACGAATATTTTGAAGTGCATTGTGAGCATGGATAGTCACATCCGGTACAAATAATATAGCCAGAATTATAGTATCCATTAATACAATTAGTTACTCTACATGTGAAGTTAAACACTTCACTTTTTTGACCATACAAATCTTTAGCATAAATATTACATGTATAAACCTCATTGATTCGAAGGTTTCTTGAAACTGAAACATTATCGACTATAACTAACTCTGATCCATTACATTCAAAATTTTTGTTATATTCCATTTGGTTTATTATTAAAGTTACATTTTCTTCATCTTTGATTTTAGCTTTAAAACTAAAAATTTCTGGATATGTATAATTCTCTTTAAAGCTCGAAAGTACTGTGAGGCGAGGGAGATTTTTATTAATAACTGGAACGTGGAGTGTGTATGATCCATCTAAATCTTTAAGAATATAGGTGATATTGTAAAATCCTAATGGAGATTTAGGTAAATTAATTGTATCATTCAAAAAGTACGTGTCTCCATTATCAATAAGATTTGTGAAATTTTTGTCTTCAATTTGAAGAATTCTTTCACTATAACCATATCTATCCTTTTGTATATAATTTGTTTTCCTAGTAATATTAAATACGGAGTTTTTAACTGTTGAATCAATAGAAAGTTGAATAATAAATTGGCTGCCTGTGTCCTGGTGTTCGTCAATTGGAACTAAAAGATTAATTTGATGGGTAACATATTGGCCGAAGCCGACACAGTATGTGTAATTCTGAGTTTCTCCTGCTTGTATTGTGCGATTATTCCAAACAAAATTAAATCCTATCCATTTAGGATCAAAGTAAGCAGACCACGGATCTATAAATTTAATAGCACTATCCCAATATTGAGAAAAATAGTCGACATTTGTTACAAACTTGGAATTATTAACATAAAAATTCACATCACCTTTATGACCAACAAACAGTATACCTTTTTTCCCATTAATATCCAAGCAAATTATATTCCCATCTCCATTAATTGCAATAAACGAAAAAACTAACAAATCAAAATTAACAGATGAATTTCTACGATTTTCAACTTGATTTGTTATTTTAAGATATTGAACCCCATCAATTTTTTTCATAATTGAAACATATTTCAAAGTCTTGAATGATGATAGATCTTTGTCTTTTATATTTCCACAATTGTCCCAAATAATGTATAGTGTTATTAATGCGCAGACCAATATCAACACCACCAACAGTAAATATTGTTTCTCCATAATTAATTTGATACATGGTCTTTTGAGAATAAGTATTGTAAGTAAGAAACCATTTATTATCTGACAATTTTTATGATGTAGTATATATTTTTTGCATTAACAGATTGAATAATATCTGAATATTGATTTCTAGTCAGAGAAAAAAATCAAATTTTTAAAAGAAATGGGAGAGAGACACCTTTAAAGGTATATGTGTTTTCGAACTAAGTTTAAATTTTTCGGCCTTGAGAGACCTAGAATTTAATATATTTCAAAATTTAAAAATTCAACCACTAATTGAAAAATTAAGGTTTAATAGAAAAAGAAAACTTACTATGGTTTGTACAATAGAAAGCCGTGCACACGATGATAAAAGTTCAAATTTATATTCAAAGATTTAACATATTTTTCCGGACTTTTCAGAGAATTGAGCTGCGGCTCAATTCTCTGAAACAGTCCGAAGAAATATGAAAGTCTGTCATAGCTTTCAATGATTAGCTTGAATTTAATTTAACCTTAAAATTGAGCATTGAAAAGTCTAGATAGACATTTTTTTCTCTATTCCGAAATTCTGGAATAAATTTACATGATACTCGACTACTTTTTTCCTCTTTGGTTCGTCTTACATCTATATCAAACTCAGGCGAATCCTATGGGGTACCAGTCGAAGATTTGAAATTTAAGGTTTGTGTTCATTAAAAACATTAAATAAAGTTTAAAAACATTTGGGTGTTATTTTTCTTAGGAATGAAAATAATCAATCGAATATATATATATTTATTAACATGGAATTATTATTTTTATATTACAAAAATAAAATAAAAAAAATTATTCATCTACTGGTTGGATATTTGTTCCTGGATCAGTTATTTCAGGAAGGACATTGAAGAAGCTACTGAGTGCCAAAGGTCTTACGATGTAAGCCATCTTCTTTCCTTTTCCTTTGAGTTCAATTTCACCTCTTCTTTCGATGTTGTAATTCATGTTTACAATCAATTTGTATGTTTCTTCAGATATCTGAACTGTTCCTGGAATACCTGTTGATTGCAAACGAGATGCGACATTGATTGGATCACCAATGATATCGAAGACTGGTTTATCTGTTCCGAGAACACCAGCAATCAGAGGACCATTAGTATTAATACCAATTCTTGTCATCAAATTAGAATTGAACATGTTATTTGCTTCATCCAAAGCTGTCAATGATTCCAAAGCGAAATTAACCATCTGAGATGCGTGTTTCTCAGGAGCAATGTCTGTTCCGAACAGACCAGCAGCAGCCATGTAAACATCACCGATTAATTTGATCTTTGTGATCAAATTATATTTGGCAACTAAAGTGTCAAATTTTGCGAAAATTATGGAGAGATGATCCATAATTTGTGCGGGAGATAAAGTAGCCGCGTAGTTGCTGAACTTAACAATATCAATGAAAATGATTGTAGCGGATGGAACAGTGAAATTGATGTCTGTTTCTCCAGAGTTGAGTCTTGTAACAATATCTCTTGGAAGAATCTGGAAAAGCAATTTTTCTGATTGTGCTTTCGCTTGTTCCGCTGATTTTCTTTGATTGATAAGTTCAGTTTCATCTCTCATGATAACCACGAAAGCCTTTGGTGTTGAAGATCCGCTATCACTTATTCCAATCAATGTTGCATGCACTGGCAAACACTGTTCGTCATCTGTCAATCCCCTCAATGATTTCTCGTATGTCAAAGCGCATTGGCCGTTCTTCATCATTTCAATTTGCTTGTAGAGTTCTTCATTAAGGGATTCAGTCAACACAGTATGCAATGGCTGGCCGAGTAATTGGTCTGGTGTGTAACCAAACAAAGAAGTTGTTGCGTTGTTTATCCAATCGATATTCAAATTCTTGTTGACGAAAATTACAGAGTCAGGAGATGAATAAACAACTGATTTTGCAGGAGCCATAGTTTCAGTCTTCTTCTGAGAATCCTTATGTGTTATATAGTTCATCAATGTCTGTGATGATGACAATCCAAGTGGCGGAATTCTCAACAAAACTTGGATGCAGCCTCTATAAGAAATATCTATTTCATCGAAAACTCTCCACATAACAATTGTTATAATAACAGCAATAACAAACGTTGAAATGCAAATCAATGCAATATGTACTCTGAAATCTTTAATTGTTAATCTTGCAATTTTATAGATTTCATTCGTAGACTTCCATACTCTATCAACAATATGAGAATTAACAATATGAAATGCATTAGCAATTGCTCCATCTCTTTCAAAGATTGTTGCGTTTGGAGCACTGTTTGCGAGATTCAAATATGCATAGAGTTTAGTGATTGCGCCATCCAATGAATAGCATTTGTAATCATTGTGATCTTTGCCTTCGAAACCATCTTCGATACATGTTTCTTTAATATTATATTCATCAAGTTTTTCAGAAATACCAACACAACCTCTTGAATTGTTGCTGCCTCTAAGGAGATAGTTATTATCTCTTGTAACAGCAGTCATGAATCTATTTGCCATGTATAAGAAGAAATCACTTCCCATGGCCATCTCAGGAAATCCATGTCTCATACCAATAACTAATGTAGAAAATACAACAGCTTGAAGAGAATTATATGATCTTGTGATAGAATAATATGCCCAATAGTTATATTCCTTGAATGCTGCATTCTTTGATTGGCAAAGTGCAGGAACAAAAATAAATAACAAAGCAGAAATAATTGGTAAAGCACAAACTAAATAAAGAATATAAATCTTAATTGTATGTGATTTCATTGTCTCTTTGATCATGTTATCTTCATCTTCTGATCTTGTTAATGACTTTGAAGCAACTTCTCTGATTTGTTGGTTCAAATTACGTAATAAACTATGAATATACTTCAGTTCTTTGATATTAAGGAACAAATAGATATAAAGAATAGGAACAGCTAATAAAAAGTAAGCTGAAGGGACAATTGTCATCATTAATAAATTCAATTTGTTGTCTTCGAGTTCTAAACCATGGATAAGGCCTAAAACTCTTGTACCCATATTGAGAAATGCAACAGCTTGTTCGTGTGCGTTAGAAAGTACTTCGCATGGTCTTGAATCTTGGTCAACAGGGACAGTGTTGTCATCTGCATGCATTTCACGAAGGGATGTGAGAATCCTGATGTAAATGTCCTTAAGTGACTCGTTTTTGGTGTCATTGTACATATCATATAATTTGCAAACGTGTGCTGGGACCAAATCAGAGATCATTTCACGGTAAGCAGTAATATCAAGGTTCTGCTGTGCCATTTCCATGATATCTTGCATTGATCCGGTGAGATTGTCCGTACAACCGTCGGAATATCTTGCAACTTCTGAATCTCTTTGGGCAAGGTTGATTTCGGTTGGCAGACCCTGAATAGCCTTTATTTGGTCGTACATATCGTTCGGAATTTGGCCGATCTCTTTGAATAATGTGAAGACAGAAGAAGCGAGGGTTGAATCGAAGTTATATTTGATCGTGTTGAGGCTGATGAGTCTGTGAATGGAATCATAGCGCCTGTCAAACTTATTGAAGTAGAAAATGAAATAAAATACAGAAATAAAAGTGACTAAAAAGAGATTCCAGAGAATAGATACATGTAGATGTTTGTTATATTTGAGTTTCCTGGTCTGTATGCTATTCTGGAATTCGAGTCGGAGCCTGTAATATGTAAATAAATTACGAGCCAAAGATTCTTCGATTTCATGGTCCAAGACGCCATCGATAGTTCCAGAAGACATATCTGTCATCCTTCCACGGGATCCGGAGTTAGTCGTACTGGAAGATTTGTCTGGGTCGGTACTTTCTTGGATGAAATCGCCTTTTACACTCATAACATTCTTCTTGAGGTATTCTGGATATGCTCTGATTAAAGATCTGAAGGAATTGTCAATGGCAAAGTTCTTTCCTTGTTCAATTAATTCGGCTCTGTGCTTGATTTTAACGCCTTCCTTATAATCCATGGCGCCCTCGATCAAGAAATGGGAATAGTTCTCACAGATCCTTACGTTATTTGGCCATCTTTCCATTGCTTCTGCATATAAATCTCTGATGTTCTTTGTTCTCTTCTGTATATTAAAGAAAAAGCTCAAATCATCTGGTAACGTGATCCAAAACTTCTTCGCATCATCAATAACTGTATTTGACTTGTTACTGAGGTGCGTAATACTTTCGGCGATTTCAGAGTTGGCAGAACTCTGACGCAAGGCCTTGATATTGTTGATTTGGAACATAAGGAACCTTTCTGCCAGGGAAAGATCCATGGAACAAGCAATATTAAAGAATGTAGATAATAATCTTGATTCGCAAGGGAAGAAAGACAACATTTGAGTGATAAGTGACACCATATGTGGTGTTTTGTGGAATTCGCCTGTAAATTTCGACAAACTCCAGTTCAAGAATAATTGACAACGATTTGCGATGCCAACTCTCAAATATGTCTCGCATTTCATGGCAGAACGGTCTAATCCAAGCTTATGGAAGTGAACTCTCATCTTGTCATCCCTTAAAACGACCAAATTACTGTCAACTCTGTTATAAGGAATTGTAGTGTCTATTTCACCCATATCGTCTAACGCCTGGAATGAGAGTTTGTAACTGATGTTTTTGATCCTTTTCTTGAAAATGTAGTTCAAAACGAGAGTAATGATAATAACGGAGCCAATTGAGACACTTAGGATTACGTAGTATCTGATTTGGATGCCGTACTGGTAGCAGAGTTTGAGGATAGTTGGAATGTTGATGGCAATGTAAAGAGATGCGAAAATTGCGTTCATGTGGATATGAGAGAACGGGAAATGGAACAGGCGAATAACCATATAGATATTGAATACCATAGAGAGTACAATTAATATTGTCATGAAGTATTTCGGGAAGAAATCAATGATATAAGAAATAATCAAAAAGACACTTGGAACAAGAGTCAACATGAAATGTGTTGAGCCACTCCAACATGTGAGAAGCGATGGTGGGATGTATGGCAACGTGGCTGAGAAATAAGATTGTAAATATGAAACAAAGATAAGAAAGAAGTAATATATAGTTGAAACAACTAGGAATACAACATGGTATGTCTTTGTTTCTTTAATTGTGTATTTCAAACATCCGCCGAGGAATAATGAAATTGGCATTAGTAGAAGAATAGGAATTATATCAAAACATGTTCTTGAAAGTGATAAGGCCCATTTGAAAAATCTTCTGGTATGATAGTACACTACTAATTGTAAGCCAATTGATCCAACTAACAATAAAACAAGAACAGAAAAGATTATAAGAGAAATCTGGAGAGCTTCTTTGGCTTTTGATACTTTACTGATAAATGTGACTCTAAAAATCCATAAGCAAATGACGTCATCCCAAGAATTTGTTAATTGAAGAAAGGTGAAAGCAGGCCAGAGAGAAAAAGAAAAAATTTGAAGCATGATGATTACTAACGTGACCTGTTCCAAGAACACGGGAACAGTACCAACTTTCAGCATTTCATCAAAAACAGAGAATATTTTGTCAATGAATGAATGCTCACCATGAATAATCTTATTACGTGCATCAGCTGAAGTCCCGGAAGACATGGATCTTGAAAGCTGTACAGAGGCATAGCTTTCAGAGGCACGCATTTTAGATTTGAATAATATTGAAAAAAATTTCAGGCCGATAACAAAATAACGGGAATAATATTTTTTAGTATATGGTTTTTATGTGATTTTGGAATTTCGAACAAAATTTGAGGGCAGATAAGTGATACAAATTTATTATTAAAAAGAAATATTTATTTATATAGACTATCTTCAGTTTCAAGAATATGATACGTTTTAAATTATATTTGATTCAATTTTTGTGAGATGATTCAAAAATTGATTTTACGCTAATTCAAAATGAATTTAATTAATAATATGGATATTATATAGAAGATTCATTTTGAAAAAAACTATGAAGATGGGGAAAAGATTTAAAATGAAAATAACGGTCATTTTGACATCAATCATAAGATTTAAAATGTTTAATTTAGGATACAAAATAGGTGAAGATGATACGATATCTTAAATAAAATAACGTATATTAATTGTAAAGGTTCGTGGATGATTTTGAGACCACTTGTTGGGTCCTTATTTTCATATCATTTGTTTGCAACAATAAATTCTTGAAATTAATTGTTGAAATTCAAAGAACCTAAATTTCTTATATTTGTGTTAATTAACTTATTATCGATATTAAATATTTATAAAATTCAATTGAATAAATAATGATTCAGAATTGATTTGAAATTTCATAACGAACCTTCTTAAACACTAAATTCCGTTAAAATCGGTATAATGTTGTTTGTTATCCATTCCTTAGTCATCGGTATGCATTATTGTTCAATTCATCACAAACAATTGATAAAAAGCACTGTATGAGGGTGTGTTTATAGAATCAATAATAAATTATTAATTAGTTAAAATCTTAAATATAAAACCGATATTTTTACCGGCTTCTCAATTTTGGCAGTATTTTTTTCAATGTTCATTCAAATTCTCGTTCGCTTGGATAATTAAATGCCTTATAATACTCTAGCATTTGGTATCTAAAATATACAAAATCTTAAGCTTTAATGAGAGTATTTTCCAGAACAATTAATAAGATTTTGATGTTTGTTCGTATTTCTTGCCAGAGACTGTAAAGTATTCAATTTTGATTTTTTTATGTCCCGATTCCAATGACTTCCAAATTTGATCATCCCACAAATTTGATATATATGATCTGGATATTGCTTAAGTGGGATAATGATCCCAAATAAAATCGAAGATAGGGAAAATTCACAGACATTTGTGCTGAAATAATCTTTAGTAAAGCATATAACTCTTATATTCATAGTCACAGTGCTCGATATATCCATTCCTAAAATATAAATTCTATAATTTTAAATTTTTATTAAAAATTAATGGAATTTATAGAGTAATTGTAAATACTTTGAATTTTTAGCTTCTTATTAACGAAAATTTATTAGAACAAATGAATATGGCTTCGTATTTTTTCATGATTGTAAATTTGAAATTAAATGGCCATTCGTTGATCACCTAAGCATATCTCATTTACTATCAAATCGATGCGAATTTATGTCTTTGGTTAGTGTATGTTTGTTGTTGCAGCATTTATATATCCGTAAGTCTTTACAATTTCATTCAAAATTTGTGAAAATACGGAATTAATAATGCAAAATGAAACAATGGACATGTGATATGAAAAGAAATGGTACGAGTTAAACATCGATATATCATTTTCAAAATAATTCCAGAAGACCTTAATGCTGCAGATTTCGGTGATGGTTACAGTATTCCAAAGAGTTTAGCGAAACCATTTATTGATATGTTCGGAGATTTTGGAGCTGGAAACGTTCTAACTTCTGTTAATTTAGTTGTATGGCAACCAGAAAAATTTACAGGTGTTTTAAGAGTAGCTCGTGATTGGGCAACAAACTACGTAAAAATGTTAGACACAATCAAAGATATCAAGGGAATTAAAGCAGACATAAAAGTCCCTCATATTTCAGGAACAATTGATCAAGCCCAAAGATGGATTGCAAATAACCAAGAATCTTTGAATTGAAATTTTCCATGAAATATTATCGACATTACTTTAATTTATGAAATGGAATGTTGACAACTCTCAACATTACATTCTCATTCGACTTTTTGACTCAAAAATTGATTCCAAAACGTTTTAAATGTTGAATACGATTTTATACTTCTTAGATTACATTTATATTAATTTGTGTATACCTCCTATTGTTGCAGCGACCCCATAAACCCGTATTCCAAAAATATTTCGGATTTCAAACATATACATTTTGACTGGGAGATCCTTAACTCAAATTTACGCCATAGTCACTACATTTATGCTAATATAGCATGTTTTCATTCATCTATTTACTTGTTGTTGTTGAAATAAAACCATTATTATTTTACTATCTTAAACTAAGAATTTTGTTATGGGAATAATATTGTAACAATAATCACAACTTTAAATTAACTCCGAAATGGATGTTTATCAATTATGATATCAAAATCAAAAATTAGATCTTTTTTTATGAGTAAAAACGAGGTAAATCGATCAATTTACTAATTATACAGTACTTTTATTTTCCAAAATTTTTTTGAAATTGATTTTTTGATGATAAAAATGAAATTTTTTATTTTGATTTTTAAATTTTTGAATATTTTTTGGAATTTTGAACGAATCAATTAGGCCGAATAAGTTATGTAATTGCGTTATATCTCTCATAAGGTGATGAATTAAAGGTGGGTCGACATTTTCGCAAAATGATTTCACCAATTCAAATGTTATTCTTTATTGGGGGCGTGTATCATAATAAAAATTTTTCGAAAAATAGGGGGTGTTAGTATACTCAACCCCCTCATTAATTATCGTTCCTAAAGGAATAGGAACAGAGGCCTTTTTTCAGGTAACCTTTAAGAAGTTTCCGAAAGAGTTTATGCTCATATAACCTCATTTCCAGGTAAATAGGGGGTATTGTTCTACTAAAAGTTTAGTTGCATACTGGCCTCATTTCCTAAGAAACTTAATCAAGAGGCTATCTCAATAAGCCTTGACTAACAGGAATAGGATAAAGGAATATGCAATACTGAACTACCGTAATCTTAAAGCAATAACCGATAGACGCAAGCTCATCACTACTTGTTTGGTTGTTCAACGAATCTTTTTATATCATAGTACACCACGCGTATCTCATACCTCCATCCAATAGATGATTTACTCATAATTACATTTAAAACCCAAAAGTCGACATTTTTTTTTGAAAATATTATTCAGATTCAACGAAAACTTTCATTCATGATACATCTATATAAAATCTTCCAAGATATAATTACTTATATTCACAAAAAATATCATTCTTTTTCTATATTTTGAACAAATTTATGCAACCATCATGATTTTCGTCCAGGAATCAAGTCTCATACCTCTATGTATATATGAAATCATATTTTTCCGTAGAATGCTACATTTTTATATTTTTTCCTAAATTTTAATTTTTTACTTCTTTTTAATTTCCTTTTATTAATAGCACACTATCTTCCAAGATGGATTTTCAATTTTTGCATCACAACTACATTGCTACATATTTTTTGCATAATAATTCTTATCCTTTTTTAAAATCCACTAGGCTAGTGCTCACATTAGTTTTATATATTTGAAAATACTTATAGCTTCTTAAATTCGCAATTGAATCTTATCTTTTGTCTGGTTATTCTCCAAATACAATTCAAAATACTCTTTGAATATTCTGATAAGCCATTCTCAGCTTACACATAGTAAACCAAATTCGACCACAATCATCTTTCAATATTTATGGTAATACTTGAATTTTTATCTCATGAAACAAACTTTATTATGAAAGGCATATTTCAGATTTAAATTCACATCAAACTAATGAAAAATGTATCTTATTGACAAATCCAGACTTCAAGATATTTCATGAAATTTGATTTCCTTCAAAAATTAGAATAACTATTTCAAATCAAACAAGCAAAATCATAAAGTAACAATATTGGTTTATTTGGCTCTGAAAATAATTGCAAATATTGATTAAATAACCAATTTAATATATTATTTTTCGAGCAAAGAGAATATTATTCAAGAAAATTAATAAATTCGACATCTACTATTAATTTTCACATATTTTTGAATGTATTATCTCAACGCAACAATACTATTGGATAAAAAAATCGGTATGTAATGGTTTTATTTGAAAAGCGTATGGGTATTGTTTAAGATAATGTATATAAAATAAACGAAGTTACTTATAATGATGCTTGAACGAAAGAATAATGCTGCATTAAAGCAGGTAGGTCAAAGAACCTAAAAGCATGTTTCGGTAATATTGATTACTTATTCCACAAGAGTGATGGTAAATCCTATTCCTGTTAGTCAAGGCTTATTGAGATAGCCTCTTGATTAAGTTTCTTAGGAAATGAGGCCAGTATGCAACTAAACTTTTAGTAGAACAATACCCCCTATTTACCTGGAAATGAGGTTATATGAGCATAAACTCTTTCGGAAACTTCTTAAAGGTTACCTGAAAAAAGGCCTCTGTTCCTATTCCTTTAGGAACGATAATTAATGAGGGGGTTGAGTATACTAACACCCCCTATTTTTCGAAAAATTTTTATTATGACGCTCGCCCCCATTTTTAGCATTGTTAACAGCGTCTAACTACAATTTTCGATTGTTGTAAACAGAAATTCATCAAAAGTGACACCTCAGAAAAGCTAAAATATTGAATTTTTGGAACTTTTGATAGAGCACGTTTTAAAATATTAATTAAAGTAAATGTATATTTTGTAAAGATTCTTTTTAATAAAAAAATAAAATTTTGAAGAAGAACACAAAATCTTCTGAAAAATAATATCACATAAACTCATATTATTTTCTAATATATAACTATTTTATATAAAAATCAAATTCAATGATCTTAAAAGCGAAGGATAAACCTCAAAATTTACGAATATAATGAGTGGGAATATAATGCTTATCTATCATAAAACCATATGAAATATCAATTTTTGCTTTACGCCTAATTTTTGACGACAATTAGCAAAAAATGTTAAATGTTAACACTCAGTCCATTTGAATATGAAAAATAAAATTGACTTTGATTAAATGTTTTTATTTATCATGCAATTCTTCTTGCGACCAAAGATTTGAATAAAAGTTCAAAAAATAAGATAGCTTAAAAAATAATATACGGTAGTGTTTACTAATAGATGAATAGTATATAAATTCCATTAAAATGGATTTGATCCAAAAAAATATAAATCAAAAATAATTGTTATAATTTAAATGAAGAAGTAATTTAAAACGATTTTATTTATGATCAAATTTTATATATTTTTTTGGATCAAATCCATTTTAATAGAATTTATATACTATTCATCTATTAGTAAACACTACCGTATATTATTTTTTAAGCTATCTTATTTTTTGAACTTTTATTCAAATCTTTGGTCGCAAGAAGAATTGCATGATAAATAAAAACATTTAATCAAAGTCAATTTTATTTTTCATATTCAAATGGACTGAGTGTTAACATTTAACATTTTTTGCTAATTGTCGTCAAAAATTAGGCGTAAAGCAAAAATTGATATTTCATATGGTTTTATGATAGATAAGCATTATATTCCCACTCATTATATTCGTAAATTTTGAGGTTTATCCTTCGCTTTTAAGATCATTGAATTTGATTTTTATATAAAATAGTTATATATTAGAAAATAATATGAGTTTATGTGATATTATTTTTCAGAAGATTTCATTCTATATGCCTATGAAAAGTACTCTCAAAACTAACTTTTTCCTAATTATAATTAAATCTAGAATATTGTATTATGCTTAGTATTATTTCATTTTTCTCATTCAATTTAGAATTTACAAATGTCAAAAAATTGAGAGCTGTCACTTTTGATGAATTTCTGTTTATTACACGATCATATTTTGAAAATTTAGTCAAAGATTTTATTTAGGCAAAAATCATTTGTATGAAAGTCTTTGTAACAGGCTGTCTTCATGGTGAATGGGATAAGCTCATTGATACGGTTAATGCCCTGATCGAAGATGGTAATAAAATTGAGCTGATTTTGGTAACAGGTGATTGCGAAACATTCCGTAATGAAGAGGATATGAAATCATTTACTGCACCACAAAAGTATCATATATTAGGATCATTTTATAAGATTTATAATGGTGAAAGGTCATTGCCTTGTTTAACAATAATTATTGGTGGCAATCATGAAGCATCAGATTTATTCCATCAACTCCCATTCGGTGGATGGGTTGCTCCAAACTGTTTTTATATAGGTCGTGCTGCTCATGTCATTGTTGGCGATATTTTAATTTCAGGAATAAGTGGATTGTATAAAGAATCTAACTATTATGATCCAGTTAATGAAGAATTCCCACTCAGAAAAATTGGAGATATGCATTCAGCATATGCTTTTCGTGCTTTCTCAGATTTCCAACTCTTTGGTCTTAAAACAACTCAAATTATGCTTTCTCATGATTGGCCATCAAAAATTCCATTGAAATTTGGAGGAAAATACCTTCAAAACAGAAGGCCAGATTTAATTGAATCAGATAAAAAAAATCTCTTTGGATTGCCAATGGGTTTGAAGCTTATAGATCATCTCAAACCATCCACTTGGTTTGCATCTCATCATCATATTGTTTTCCGTGCTCAAATTAATCAAAATACGAATTTCCTTGCTCTTCCAAAACCAACGCGCAATGATTGGTTTATAGTTGCTGATGTGGATGGGAAACTCGGTCCTTTGAAATATAGCGGAAGATGGATCCAAATTCTTAAATCTACAGGAAAATTCATGGAAAATCCTTCACTTCTCAAGGAAGACTGGACAAAGCTATGGGCAGATATTGGAGAGCTTCCAGAAATAGACCCTGTAGAACCAGAGCCATATAATGCAAATCCTGTACAAACAACTATCGATTTTTGCAAGAAGCATGAAATTTATTGTCCAAATCCAGAAATAAGACCTCTTATATAAGTAAAAAATAATTAGTATTGATATCTTTAGATTGAAAAATCAAGTGGCCGTTTTTAATACAATTTTCAATCCTCTGTGTAAACTTTTCAATTCTCTTGGATAATTGAACGCTTAGGCCATCATGAAAAAAAAAATAAATAATATCTTCAATCTGTAAAATTAGTACCTAAGGCATTATAAACTAATCTATGAATGGAAAAATTCACGTTTAACATTAAGTTTGTTATTTTCGTGGTAAAATCTTTGAAAATAAAATTTAATTTTTGAATTTATCTAACAATAGATTTATAAATAAAACGAAACAATATTAAATAGATTATATATCTTTGTCCAATTGAAGGAGTTGTATGATTGCGTCATCCAGTGGTGGCTTCAAATCGACGTATTCCTGAGGATTAATTTCAGGATCAGAGTTTCTTCTTTCCCATTTACCAACAACTCTGTCCGCAGTCTTGAAGTTGTTGAGTCTTGATTTGGAACCTTGCATGTATCTGTCGTCATTGTTGATTCTCTCGTAGAAATCATCATCAGACATTCTTCTCTGCTTCCTGACACTTGATGTTGCACATTTTTCAACAATTGTTGCCAATCTGATGTATTCCATCTTCATTGCGTGCAAAGCAATCTTCCAAGTGGTCGTGACATCTTCCAATCTGGCGATTTCATCTTCTGTTTGGATGAACTGTGTTGTGACATCACCCAAATTCTTCTCAATCGCTGCAATTTTCTCTCTTTCTTTTGCGTATTCCGCGCTGAGCATCGTCGTGTTTTGTTTGGTCGATTGGAGATACCATTTCCTTTGTTCCAAAGCTTTTCCTGCTCGAGCGTTTTTGTTCTTTCCGTAGGCAAGTTGCCATTTAGCAAATGCCTCATCAAGAACACGTCGAGCTCTCCACTGTTGGCCGCTTTGGAACAATAAATTGTCCATTTGATGTTGAGCACGTTTTTTGATCGCGTAAATTCTCCATTTCCTGAAAACGGCAACTTTCGGATCTTGTATGTGGCGTTTCCACATCTCAATTGCTTTCATCTTCATCTCCCTGTGCTTCTGTGTCGTATCTTTCCAAGCGATAAAAGTGCCACGTGTCAATTTTTCATCATTTGACTTTCTCTTGTGTCTGAGGATAACTCTGTCTCTGCTGTACGCGTGCCACTTTGTGACTAACGCGCGGACAACAGCCATCCTTTGCTGGTGCTGGCTGCGGGAGAGTTTGATGTATCTGTCCCATTTCTCTTTGGTTTTGAGAAATTCTTTCGTTTGACGGACATTTGTGAGCCAGAACTTGAACGTGCGTGTAAGGCAGTGCTTCTTATAGAGAATGGCCGCGTTCCTGTCTGATACAGTCTCGCGCAGGGACTTGGAATGAAATCTTGCGTGCCATGCAATGAAAAAGTTGAACAGAAATGAATGTTGGTTGCGGAGTTCGACATAGGCTGAGACAAGTGGTATGTATTCTTGTGGGGCTTCCCGACCAACTTTCTCTAATTCGGCTTTCATTTTCGGAACCATGGAAGTACGCCACTTGGCCATGGCTTTGCGGGATCTTGGTCCCATAGCTATTTCTTTCCATTGTACTAAAGCGCGCTTATGACGCTTCTCTGTGAGCTTTTGTTGGAGATCTAAAGCTTTTGATTCGTTTCTGTTTGTCTGGTAGGCTTCACGTTCAGCCCATTTGATCCATTGCTTGGATGCATACTTGGAGACTTTAGAAATAGAGCGAAAACGGAATTGCTGAGCTCTGGAATCTGAATACTCCATTTGAGCAAGCCATGAGTTCAAAGAACGATGTGTCTGCTGAAGTTCACGAACTTTGTAATTGTGAATTGCTTCCATAGCTTTTCGTAATGTATTTTTTCGTAATTTTGATCTCCAAAATCGCTGAATTAAAGCAGCTGTATTGTCAAGCATGATTTCTTCTGGAGAAACAAAGCATTTTTTGAGTGCGAAGAGTTGTTGATTTAAGTCGCCGAATTTTCGATTTAAAGATGCAGGAATTGATGGATTATCATTTGCCCAAACAGGATACATTTTGGACTTTTCACGAATAGCAGCAATGCGTAATCTTAATTCATTATATTGTCGTTCATATTCTTGAAATTCGAAAAATTCATCTTGTTTTTCATCTTGTTTAATTGCTCTTGCCGCGTGTCTATTTGGATCACCTGGTTTTCCATCACGAACTGGTACTTGAATACGTCCTTCCTTCGGTAAGATAGGAACATTATATTCAGGTTGTTCGCTTCTGCGTAAGTAAATTGCTTCAACAGTTGGTTTATAGCGTTTATCATTAAGTTGCTGGGCAGTAGGTTTTAGTGGACGTAAACTTTCCCTATAAAATGGATTATCAATAGTTGGAAAATCCATTTTTAGTGTACGTTATTAGCAAAATAAAATGACATGTAAATTGTAAAGTCAAAATAAAAATTTAGAATGAATTGTTTCGAAATTAAGAACAAGAATACTAACTGAAATATAGTGTAGAATTTTTCACGTTTTTAAAAAATTTGTAAAGTATTCAATTTTGTATATTCTAATGAGCGAAGAAATAGTTCAGGATTTTGAATATATTGCAGCTCACTTGGACGATTACATTAACGATGATAAACTTTTTAGTGTGTTCGAAACAGAAGATATCATAAAAATCCTAAAACTTTCACATTTGACAGCAAATGACTTCATTAATCTTCTCAAGCAATCGCCATATACAATTAAGACAAATGATTTATACAAATGTACTAGAAAAACAAATGTTTCTATTCAAAATTTCGAAGAAGTTGTTTCTCTTCTGAAATGTATCAAGAGATACTTGAAACTTGGAATACTTGATGGCGTAATTGATATTTTGAAACGGATACAACATGAGATGTCTGATTCAGCCGAACAAATACAACAACTCCAAACATACTTACAAACTGTTAAAAATCAAAAACAACAATTCCAAACAGAATTACAAACTGTTAAAAATCAAAAAGAACAACTCCAAACAGAATTACAAACTGTTAAAAATCAAAAAGAACAACTCCAAACAGATTTACAAACGGTTTCAAATCAAAATAAACAACTCCAAACAGAATTACAAACTATTAAAAATCAAAAAGAACAACTCCAAACAGATTTACAAACGGTTTCAAATCAAAAACAACCAAGTGGCAAAGAGATTAAATCACTAAATATCTCAACTCAGTCAAAATACCAATGGAGACAATAATGATATTGAAGAAATACTTAATGCTTTTAATGATTTTGAAAGTGTCTACAATTTTCTTGATCGACTTTCTAATAATGGAAATCAAAAATTAATTTCAAAAACTTGTGAATCAGGGCTATGGAGAAGGACCGATACACAACAATCTCAATATGCTTATAAACAGAATAATGTACTTCATGTAGCATGCGAAAAAGGAAATCCCAGACTTGTTAAATCTCTCATTGAATGTGGTTGTAATAAAGAATCAATGAATGCTGAAAAAAATACACCACTGATTATTGCATCACAAAATAATCGACTTGAAGTTGTTAAATATCTTATCTCAGTTGGAGCTGATAAAGAAGCAGAGGATAATTATGAAAATACTCCACTTCTTTGTGCATCATTAAATGGCAATCTTGAAGTCATTAAATATCTTATCTCTGTTGGTGCTGATAAAGAAGCAAGGGATTATAATGAAAATACTCCACTTCTTTTTGCATCATTAAATGGCAATCTTGAAATTGTTAAATATCTCATCTCTGTTGGTGCTAATATAGAAGCAAAAGATAAAACTGGAGGAACACCACTCATTTGAGCATCAAAGAATGGTAAACTTGAAAGTGTTAAATATCTCATCTCTGTTGGAGCTGATAAAGAAGCTAAAGATAATTATGGGAATACTCCACTATCTTATGCAAAATCATACGGTCATAATGAAGTTATAAAATATCTTACCTCTATGGGTGCTAATCAAAATGTAACAAATAAATCCAGAGGAATCGCGATCATTATCAAGCCTTTCTAATCTAAATTTAAGATGTACTTACCTTACCTTTGATGTCAATATTTCTAAAGTCGTCAAAAAATTGTTATAAATTGAGTGATTACTGACACAAAACCCCACAATGTCAAAAACTTTGAAAGGCCAAAATTTTTTAGTGTCAAAAAGTTTTCAAAATTTAACAACCATATTAGTAACTATGTAGTAAATATTTTTTCCAAAAATATTAACTTTTTATCATAGATAATTGTGATATAAAGCTAGAATACCAAGAATTAAAAGAATGTCAAAAATACGGATGTCACAACTCTTGGATTTCAGGTGTGGTCAGTGTACCATGATATATTCTTTCGATGATAAATTACAATAGAATACATACAGGTTTTCATAGAATCCGACCTGCAACTATTGCTTCTTTCGAAAGTTACTACATCCATAGTCAAATAGTGGTAAGTGTACACCCTTGAGACGCAAAATCTTTAAATATTCTTGCTTTTATTATTAAGGATGATAAATATCTTTATTATAATAGCAAAAAAGTATAACAATCATACAACGCATTATATAAAGATTTATAATAACTTTTTCCCGACCAAAAAATATTAACATTTTTACCTTAGAAAATTGTGATTTAAGGGTGCACTTACCACTTTCTGACACTCTCTCAAAAAGAGATATACGGGCGCGAAGAGTCATAGAAAATAAAACCTTAAGCAAGAAATTTGAGAGAATGTCAGAAAGTGGTAAGTGCACCCTTAAAGCTTGGATGTCAAAAAATTGAGAGAATGTCAGAAAGTGGTAAGTGAACCCTTAAATATTTTTGAAGCCTTAAGGGTGCACTTACCACTTTCTGACATGCTATGAAAAAAATTAATATATCTTTATTTTAATAGCAGAAAAGTATAGCAATAATATTAAATACTATATAATGATGTATATTTACTTTCTCCTGACCAAAATATTAACTTTTGACGGTAGAGTATTGGGATATAAAGCTTGCGTGTCAAAAAATTTAGAGAATGTCAGAAAAATGTAAATGCATCCTTAAAATAAAACCTTTAATTGAATTTTAATGCCCGATCAAGGCATTCAATTAACAATAGTGAATTGCCAAGTATCTGTAAATATTACATCGATCTATATAATGCATTATATCTGTTAAAAACGGAAAATGATGAAGAATTAAACAAGATTTACAATATGATCAAAACAGAATTGATTAATTCAAAGAAATATCTTCCAAAACATTATAAATGATATTTTTTGATATCATTCTGTATAATAATGGCTATGCAAAGTCTTATTCATCTCTTGCCAAACCCATATCTGATGAATATAATGTCAAAGTGGTCAGCAATGTCTCAAAGATTTCAAACTATTATTACCCTGTGCTCTGATAAAAAAAATTTGAATCAACTAGCGATGTTGTATTTTTAGGTAAATTTCTGATTAGATTACTTGGCTCCAATAGATATTAGATAATTTCTTGTCATACCTTTTGCCACTGAGAGTGCAGTGCTTCCTCCTATAGTCTTTGCTTCTTTATTAGCTCCAACTGAGATAAGATATTTGACAACTTCAAGTTGACCATATCTTGATGCATAAATGAGTGGAGTCCATCCAACATTATCCTTTGCTTCTTTATCAGCTCCAACTGAGATAAGATATTTAACAACTTCAAGATGACCTTCTCATGATGCATGAATGAGTGGAGTAGATCCATATTTAGACTTTGTTTCTTTATCACAGCCACATTCAATAAGTGATTTGATAAGATTAAGATTTCCTTTTTCACTTGCAATATGAAGTACATTCTTTTCATACTCTGTTGTCTTTTTCCAAAGTCCTTCTTCACAAGCCTTTGAAATCATTTTGCCATTGCTTTTAGAAGAAAGTTCTTCAAAGAATTGGTAAACACTATCAAAATTATGAGATTTCTTAAGTGATGAGATTTTAGTTAAAAGATCTCGTGAATGATTGATGCTTTCTTGTGTTCGATTCTGTTCAATTTGAAATGATTGGATTTGTTCTTGAGGTTTTGTGATTTCCTCTGTAGGATTACGCGTTTCATTATTATTTACCTCTAAAAAATCAATGATACCATCAAATATATTGAATTTCATGTATTTTTTGACTGATTTAAGAATTGAAAAGACCTCGTCGATGTTTTGGATTGTAACCTTCGCATTTCGTGTACATCTATATAATTTGTTGGCACTGATAGTTGGTGATGATTGTTTGAGAAGAGAAACGAACTGAGTTGTAGTTGATTTGGAATATCTCATGATTTTTTTGATGTCTTCGAGATCGAATGTATCAAAAAGATTTTCATTTCGAATGTAATCATCGATGTGAGCACCAATGTATTCGAAATCCAGAGTAAGACCTTGACTCATTTTAAAAATTTTGTAACTTTACAAAAAATCTGAAAAATATCAGAAATCGAAATTTTGCTCACAATTAAAGAATATAACTTAAGATGGCTGTATCCGGTTGATAAATTCAAAATCTGGGAAAAGTCCCTCCGAAATAAAAAATCTCCTAAAAAATTTCGGGCTTCCAGAGGCAGAACTAGCCCCTCCACCATATGGCCATCTCTGTCCATGAACGGCACAAGTTAAAACCATCTAATATGAATTTTGCCCTATATTAGTTTTTCCTTTTTCTTTCTTTTCCACCTTTTTCCTTTTATTTTCCTCTCCCCATTCTGCTTTTTTATTTATTTGTTTATTACTTCTTGATATTATGATTTTTTTTTCAAAATAATCAAAAACTTTACTTGAAGATTACAGTAGATAAAAATTTATTATTGAATTTGTTATCGATTGATCATGTTTTTTTGAAATTAATTTATTATCCAGATTTAGAGAAGTAACAAAAGATCGAAATTAATATGTATGCTTCCTTTAGAAGCATCAGTCGAAAGGTTATCCCTCTTTTTAAAGTATAAGTTTATCTAACGACTGGCGTGAAGCATATTGTAAAACAAAATTTAAACTCGCTCGCTCAATTTTTTTGACATCGCTAACTTTACGTCTCAATTGATTATGCGAAAAGATGATATTAAAAAACCACTGTGTAATAACGGATGCAGCTATTATGGCGTTTTACTATTAAAACAAGGATTTGTTGATTTTGTAAGAGCTTGTCAAAAAGTGGTAAGTGCACCATTAAATATTCTTAAAATAAAAACAATTTTACTTATATACAAAGAAAATATATATATATTCTAATTCCAATCAGGTTTGAAAAACTCAAAATTAGGTAGTTCCAAATTTTGTTTCTTGACTTCCTTATTTGTCACAGCGTAGTATTCCTGTATCCAGAGTGCTATCTTTCCGATATTTACTGGCAAAAGAGTTGCCAAAACCCTCGGAAAAGCTTCCATCATCGATGTCATTGTGATGTCAGTCATTAGCAAGTAACTATCGAAAGAAGCAATCAAAACAGCAGTGATAAAGTACAAAAGGAATCTGTCTGGTTCTTCACAAGCGTTAAACTGCATCCATGTTGTCCAAATGTCATCAAATGACCTCTTAAACAAAAGGACAAAATCAGAAAAACACCAAAGTAAACCTTGTAAGTTGTGTCTTCTTAGCCAAATCGAACACAATGGTGATACTTTGTTCAATATCTCTTCAACTTGTTCAGCAATATGACCGCAATGACCTGTTACGTTCTCCAACAACTTAATTTGTTGAGTATTTATGAGCATTGACTCGTAACACCAGAAGATCATGGGCTTAATCGGTTCGTAATCAAGCGTATTCCCATCTTTATCGAGTGGTGTCCCGTCATCGCCCCATTTCGGAATAAATGTGGTAAAAAATGGAACAAATAAGTCGTTCATGCCCTGCAAATAGGAAATGGGAGGGTTGTATATGGCATACATCTTAAGAAAATCACTAAGGATTAACAATCCGGGACTGTTATCGTTCTTAAAAGCTGGATTTAAACGATCAGTACGGACAACATCATGATCTATGACTCTGAATGTGGAGAATAGCTTACTGTTGCCATCTATTTGCGGTTGCTGTATTAATTTGACTTGTTCTTGCAAAGAATAAAATTCTTTGGTTAATTTTTTGTAAATTTCTTCTCTTTCTTGCTTTGTACTATCAAGGGGATAGACGTTCATGGCAAATGGAATCAATTCGGGTAATAAATCTTGGTCTTTGTTGCTATGGAATAATCGAAGTTTAAATTCTGAAGGATTTTTAAGTTTTCCTGCAGAATCGAAGGCTTCTGCATAGCTCTCTTTCGTAATATCCGCGTAAACAGGTATATTATTGATGTAATCGTTAATTTTTTCGATAACTCGCAAATGTACTGCTCTTGCTGCGGTATTGATAGGAAATGCAGAGTCTGATGGTATTGCATGGCTTGCATCTAGATGAATCATTAGTTTTTCAAAGAATTTTAATACATTATTCCACAATTCTTCGAGATTTTTAAATAATCTGTCATTTAGTTGGATATGAGCCGGAATAAATGCGTATGTTCCATAGTGTGCACCTTTGTAAAACTCTAACGAGTACCTGGATGACACAGAAGGGACTGCAATGCCATTTAATAGTAATTGTTCAATTAAAATCGTTAATGGTATCAATTCTGTTTCAGTTATTTGGAATGTTCTGAATAATTTGTTATTATTGATATTAATTTTGATGCTGTAAGGATTTTCTGAAAATTCAAATCTTCCAAGTTTTGAACAATCTAAGCAAAATGGCTCAAATAGTGTCCAATTATCTCCTTCTTTGATTTTTTCATAATCAAATACTGCTGTGATATTCTGTGTTGAAGTTCCATCTAATGGAGTCCAATAAAGATAGAAATTTTGATTATATCCAACTGAGGCAAGAGTTCCTTGCACATTGGTTCCATTTGAGTCAATCTCAGTAAAATATTCAACTGTACAAAGCACTGTTCGATTCATTCCAAAAAAATTATTTTTTTTATCTTTCCGTGTAATGAGAAAAAGCAGATACAACAGTTAGATACTCATATTTTGGAGTTGAATAGCTATGCAAGTTTAGTATTGTCTGATCTTGTGTTAATAAAGCAAAACAAAGAATATTATAAAATTAATTTTTGCGATTATATAGTTTTATGACCTCTAATAAGAATAGCCCCAACAAATAGTCAGTTTACATCAAGATATTCGTAAGCAGGCATATGTAAACCATATATATTCAGCATAGATTAGAAATATCGCACTAATCGCATTATACTAAAGTCCATTGATAAGCAAGTTGATAGCCCCAATATATGTAAGAGCAATCATTTTTCGAATAATGCATTATTCTTCATAATTCGATGCCATATATCTGGATTTTCAAAATTATGAATTAAAAAATATTCTGCATTAATGTTTTTGTTGTTCTTTGATTGTTTTCAATTTATTTTATTTAGTCAGCAAAATCTCCAGACTGTCACTTTTATTAAAATGTTAGCTGCATTTTTGGTCTTTTTTGCAAGATCAAAAATGAAATTCCCTGATATTATGATGCACGATGGAGCAGATGAATTGGGAATCAAGCATATCAAGAATATTCGAAAAATTATCAACAATAAATGGGGAATAAATTACAAAAAAGAATTTCTCAGAGCATTCAACGATGATTACGAGGTTAACTATGAAATCATTGCTAATTTATCGAAGCTTAAATTCCCTCCTGCGTTATATGTTCTTGGAGAGATGTATTTATACGGTATAGAACCTGTTACTATGAACATTTCAAAAGCTTATGAACTATACAGTGAAGCTGCAAAGCTTGATTTCCCTCAAGCTTATGCACCAATGGCATTTATCAAAAAATTTGGACTTGAAGAGAATTCTCAGCCAAATAAAGTGTTTACAGAAATTTCTGATCAATTGGGTATACATTTTAATTCATTTGAGTCTATATTTTCTGTATATTTTGATTATATGAATTTATTCAAGAAATATGGCCGTAATTTCCATGAACATGAAGCCATCCTCTTAAAGGACTATGTTCTTAACTTCCACGAGCATTATGTCAATCCCACTTTTACAAATTCAGGATTTGACACAAAACTCGCTGAAATCAAATCACAAAAGAGACTCAACAAGTACAAAGCCAAATACAATGCAGAGCAATCCCACCAGCAGCTCGCCATGTCATATTTCAACGGAGATTCCGGATGCAAGAAAAATTACACCAAAGCAGCTGAATACGCCAGGAAACTAGGCGAGAACCATACGCTTTACAAGACTGTCAGAGGTTTCGAGCTCTTATCCAAAGGAGATCCGAAGCAAGGTCGAATGACTTTTATTGACGGCTACCAAGCCAACGACCAGTTCTCTAAATACTGCAACGCCGGTGCCTCTTACACCTACAATGATTTGGATGACGTATTTAATAAAGATCAAGGAAAAATTTACAGTCTTGAGAAAATCGAGATTTACTTGAACAATGTCAAGTCAGCAAACGAAAAAATCTTCTCAGATATCATGCTTTCCCTTGCTAATACCCTTCCAAGTCTCGCCAGGACCATGCTTGTGTACAGATTTACAATTTTGCCAACAAAATACAATATGCCAGACCTTGCTGTTAAGGCAGGAATGCAGCTATGGGATGAAGTCAATCCCAACATTCCGAACCAAAATATCGCCCTTGAATGGTATAATGAAGGAAAAGCTGACTCCGCGATCATATTGTTTATGAGAATCGCAAACTCAGGATCAGCAAATGCAGCTTCAATTGCTTCCAAGCTCCTTTTGAACAAAAATTTACCTGGCAAAGACCGAAATTACACTTTAAAGACAGCTTCCAGGTTGCATAGATTTGCTGTAGCTGTTAATGATAAGTATAGCAAGGACAATGAGCTTTTTGAATTGGCCAAAAAATATAATTTGTCAATTCAAATGACAGAAGACGAAACATTCAACAAAGTCCACTTGAGTTACGCTAAGATATCAAAGGTCGATAATCCTTACGACTTAGTTGTTTGGAAACTCGAAGGAAATATGAGAACCAAATTATTAAGTCTTCTTGTGAACATGAAAGCCTTGTATTTGGTATTCCCGAACTTGGTTAAGACAACTAAACTCGTTCTCCTTTTGTTCCGTCAACTCAAGATTTATTCAGTGATTATTTTGATCCTTTTGTGCTGGAGAATCCATTGGATAGTCTTCTCTTTCTTGACAGAGAAAAGAAAAGCATTGGAACTCGAACAAGCCAAGGAAGAGCAAAATAATTCAAATTGATGTTGGTTAATTTATAAATTATTTCTGTAAATACATAAATATCTGATTATAACTCACTTTTTAAATCATTTACACCTTCAATATAATTTCGAAAAAAAATGGAAGAATACAGACACAGACAGAGAGAAATATGAGAGATAACGAACGTCTTCAGTCATCACAGGAAGAACTTCTTGAATGGAGTAGATGAGGAGGGTCATTTTTCGGACAGATATCGGTCATGTCTCCACAAGGACCGAAAGACAAAGGCATAGTGTTGACAATCAAGGAATAATCCATTTATTCTCTCGGGTTTCGTTTCATTGAGAGATAAACACTCTATTCTGAGAAAGGATATAAAAATTCTTGCTCTCTCACTCTAAATACAAGCCTATTCAATGGAATACTAATGAAATGTGCAAGTAATTTGCTGAAACGAAGTCTCTTATCGAATGAGAGGTTTCGCAAGAACTTTGCATCAAGGAACTCCTACTACTCTTCTTTGGTTGCCAAATTGCCAAAGATTCCGTAATATGTCGAATTGGACAAAGTCCTTCCGAAGTCTCTCATTCGATGAGAGGTCTAGGAGGAACTTCGTCACAAAGTAGTATACTTGTAGTCTCTGACCTGCAAAAAGTCAGAGATTGTAAATTTATTCGACTAGGGCAGAGTTTTTCTAAAGTACCTCATTTGATGAGAGGCCTTGGAATAATTCTGCCATAGTGTAATGTAGTTGTGGTGCTTGGCCCACAAAGAGCGAGAGAGCATGTCTGTAATTTGTTTATGCTGAAGTTATCTGTAATAAATAAATGTACATTGAATAGTTATTTCAAACTGCTGCATTATGTCAATTTATTTAACATCTAAATTCATAAAACTCAAATGAGATAACATTACAGTCTTGCCAAAAAAAATCTTGAATAATACAAGTATCTAGAATAAAATTCTATTTTCATCGGCTTTTCCATTGTTATTGCATCACATCATATCCATGGACTTAATCAAAATTCATAAATTATATCCGAAATCGTTATGGTCAATGTTTTCTACATATATATCTGAGTATTTTTTTTTCTTCTAATGAATTTAAGGGGTAATTCATATGGTAAAACGTAAATGTGTCCTTTTTAAAAATTATAAATGTCCGAGCAAGACGTTGATCCAAGCAAATACAACAAACTGCGAAGTATCTGCAAATACTATATCGATTCATATCTTGCATTGTATCAGCTAAAAACCCAAAATGAAGAAGAAATAAAGTCAATTTACAAAATGATCAAAACAGAATTAATTGATTCAAAGAAATATCTTCCAACAAATGCTATTAAAGACATTTTAGATATCATTCCATATAATAATCGCTATACAAAGTCATATTTATATCTTGCCAAACTCATATCTGATGATTACCATATCACAGAGGTCAGCAGTGTTGCAGCTATATCAAACTTCCTGTTTTATAAAGAATATGGAATTCAATTAGACAAATCTGCTGATTTCAACGAAATTAAATCTGAAAACACAGATTTTCTTACAGAAGACACAATTTACAAAGCTATTATGAATAATGACCTAGAAACATTCATCTCATTCACTGAACGAAAAGGATTTAATAAAGACCAATGTCTTAAAAGCCTATTATATCCAGACTCTTACAATGAATATTCATTACTTGAATTATGTTGTTACTATGGAGCAGTTGATTGTTTCAAGTTATTAAGAACGAAATTTGACTCATCTATAACTCAAAAATGTTTACGACTATCATTTTTAGGTGGAAATCAAGAGATCATGAGTGAATGTTTGAAATATAAGAAACCAGATGAATATTGCATGGAATATGCAATTATTTCACACAACATTGATTTTGTTACATTCTTGATGAATGAATACAATTTAGAGATCAAATGAAATCATTGCGGACAATATCATAATTTTGAATCCTTTTTAGTTTATTTCGATCAAACTAATGATACAAACAAACGTTTCGTTTATTCAGCGATATTTGATGCACCATCCTTTTTGGAATACCTCCTTTCACATGGTACGAACATCAATGTAAAAGATGAAGATGGAAAAACTGCACTTCATATTGCAGCAGAAAATAATAGAAAAGAAACTGCAGAAGTTCTTATTTCACATGATGCGAATATCAATGAAAAAGATAAATTTGGAGAAACCGCACTTCATATTGCAGCAGAAAAAAATAGCAAAGAAACCGCAGAAGTTCTTCTTTCACATGGTGCTAATATCAATGAAAAAACTAATAATGGAGAAACTGCACTTCATATTACAGCTCGGAAATTTGGAAAAGAAACTGCAGAATTTCTCGTTTCACATGGTGCAAATATCAATGAAAAGGATGAAGATGGAAAAACCGCACTTCATATTGCAACAGAAAATAATAGTGAAGAAATTGCAGAAGTTCTCATTTCACATGGTGCGAATATCAATGAAAAAGATAAAAATGGAAAAACCGCGCTTCATATTGCAGCAGAAAATAATAGTAAAGAAATTGCAAAAGTTCTCATTTCACATGGTGCGAATATCAATGAAAAAACTAATAATGGAAAAACCGCACTTCATATCGCAGCCTGGAATCATAGAAAAGAAACTGCAGAATTTCTCGTTTCACATGGTGCAAATATCAATGAAAAAGATGAAAATGGAAAAACCGCACTTCATATTGCAACAGAAAATAACAGAAAAGAAATCGCAGAAGTTCTCGTTTCACATGGTGCAAATATCAATGAAAAAGATGAAAATGGAAAAACCGCGCTTCATATTGCAGCAGAAAATTATAGTAAAGAAACGGCAAAAGTTCTCGTTTCACATGGTGCAAATATCAATGAAAAAGATGAAGATGGAAAAACCGCACTTCATATTGCAACAGAAAATAACAGAAAAGAAATTGCAGAAGTTCTCATTTCACATGGTGCGGAAAAATAATGTTCTTACATAAGATATTCTTTAGTTTTCTGGTATTTTCAAAGAAGATTTTTGGATTGATAGTAAAACAATCGTTTTTGTCCATTTTTTGCACATGAGTTTATTAGATGTGATGTGTTTTTCAAATCCACAATCAAGTAAAAAACATATGAAATAGTATTAAATTAGATTTCGTTTTCATTTGATTTTGCATCTTCGGAATCTTCTGCAATTTCTTCTTTGGTATCAACTTCTTCGTTGATTTTAGTATCATCTTGAGAAGTGTGTTCTTCTTTTTCTTCTTGAGTTTGAGTTGTTTCGTGATTATCATTTGTTTTTGTTTGATTTTCTCTGTATTCTTCTACAGATCCCTTATAGTAAGGGTGTGGAGGAGAAACATATTGAGTTTGAGAAGGTTCCTAAGGAGAAGGTTGTGAAGGATAATAAGGATTAGGAAAATCAGTTTGAGAAGGATCAAAAGGAGAAGGTTGCGCAGGATATGTATATTGTAGTTGGGTTTGTGGACCAGGATTTTCAATATCATTTACTGCTTCCCCTTCTTTATCTTCATTATCAGATGAGCTGTAATCATCATCACCTACTTTTATCCAGCCAGGTGCTTCATTGAATTCTTTTTCAGAACAACAACAATTATTTTCAAATTTAACTTGATCTGGTGAATCTGCTGTAATTATATGTAAGATGTGAAAAGCAACGATAAAAATAGAAAGAGCAAGCAAAATTGCTAGTATAATTAAAAGGCATATTACTGCACCTTCGGCTGCATCGTCATCATCATCTGAATAACCCATTCCTCCTACATCATCGAAAAGGCATTCACAAATAGTGCAATCGCATACACAGCCTTCTCCAGCACAACAGCTTTTGGTTTCAGGATTACAGCATATTGGGCACAAAACTGCTGTTGAACTATCATTATATTTGAAATGATGAGTTGAATGTGAATTTAATTTACCGTGATGATGATCGCAATGGTAGCTCTCTGCAACTCCAGTTGAGCAACAGCAACCAAGACAGCAGGATTCGGCCTTTTTACAGGTGCTACAACTCCTTGTTATTGGTGCAGAGCAACATCCATATTCTCTAACTGGTACACCATAACTTTCATTGCAGCAGCAATAAAATTTGTCATTTGTGCAACATAAACAATTGTAACAGCAAACATCGCATTTTGTTGCTTCTATTATTTCATCTTTGCGCTTGTACTCCTGTTTCTTGCAGCAGCAACAAATTTTCGAAGAAATTGCTGTTAAATAATGCATGAACCAGTTTCCCTCATTGCAGCGATTTTCATCGCAAAGACATTGGCAACATCCAGGAATTAAACCACATCCCCATACGCAGCCAAGGATTCCACAATAATTTTTGTAAAGATATTCTCTCTGATTTTTAAATGGTATTCGGTTGCAAAGGAACCTATTATATAATTTTGAAACGCAATTATGACAACAATTGAGTTTGAGAAATCGATGAGGGAAAATAAGGAATAGTATTAGCATTAAACCTATTTCGCTACCAAGGATGATACCCCAAATCTTTAAGAGTAGAAGTTAGATTGGGACAACCTCAGCCATCTTGAAAAAATGAAGAATTTATTAAAAATTAATTTGAGAATAAAGTCAAAAAATTCAATATGAGATGTTGTAATTTGACATTTTTTAAAATTTAGAAATTCATTTGTTAATGATTAACAACAGTATTTGGAGCATATGGCGAAATATTATGAATATAATTGAAAAGCTCTCAATTTTTTAAAGAGGACATGGTTACAATTTACTTCGGATCCGCCTAAAAGTGTCAAGGCAGTTAAAATCAGATCTTGAAAAATTTTCAACAAAATACTTTTATATAATAGTCACTCATAATACGAATGCAAAATAAAAAACGACAATCAGAATGAATATCAAATAGGGTGTATATCATAATGGATATGATTTTATATAGAAATGCTTTTCTAACAAACAAAACAGCTAAATATTAAGTGTGAATACTTTCCTTTCCTCCGAATTTCAATATATTTCTTTCTAATTGGCAGTAATTCAAAAATTCATCAAAACAGGAGGAAAGATTGATATATTCATCCAATTCATAGGGAAGGCTGAAAAATCATAGTTTTTTGCTTGAAGATAAACAAATATTGCTGATAGTTTCAAAACAATGAATTTTCAATATTTTTCAATGAATTTTTTCATTAATTAGTCATTACGAGCCTAGAGACTCACTTGTGAAGCAATTCTATTGCATGCATATCTACATCAACAAACTAAAACAATAATTCTGTATATTTCAAATTTGAATTAAGTTGAGAAGATTTGGAGCTGCAGAAAGGAATATATGGTTTTCGTTTCCATATGTATTGACGAAATGTAGGAAAATATTCTATTATTTGAGTAATAAAAAGATATATCTGAAAATTATCGAAAAAATTTCATATATTTTGAAAAAATTGGTCATCGAAGTTCATTATTATGTAAACAAATTTCTTTTTGAGCTTATTCATTCTCTGAATCAAAGCTAAATATTGAATTAGAAGAATTCTGACAAAAGTTATTGCTTTTCTTCCAAGTCCTTATGACTTCAGGAAGTAATATTAACGGAAGTTGTCTTGTGTGTTCCTCTTGATGTACTTCTGAACAGCTTCTAGTTTATATATGTAAAAGTGACAATTTCTGTGAAAACCAGCATACATTCTCTTTATGAATGATCAAGTGCTAAGTTAGCAGATACAATATTGGACTAGCTATTGATTACCTCTTTCGTGATCAAGTTATTTTGCAAAGTCCAACAATTTTTTCTTTAATAAAATTTATTTATGAAATGAATTCTCATATGCATAGAGGGTAAGTTGAAATTGAAGCAAATATTCGCAATGCATAAGTTGGATCTTCAAAAAGATATCGTATAAAAAAATATATCAAAATAAATCCAAAAAAAAACACATAGCCCCTAACATAAAAAGCAAGAAATACTCATATGTCATTTGATTTGAGTTACTCAAACTATGACTTAGCAATATCAAAACCCTCAAAAACGTATTTTACAAAATCTTATGGAATCAAAATGTTTTGATTCTTGTGGATTATAGGGAATTGATATTTGAATTTTTTTTTGTAAAAATATCTAGAAAAAAAAAATTGATGATTATAGAGATTACCATTCGTATTAAACTGTATTTTACCATGTTGGCTCAGCATGCTTCTTCTTCTTTTCAACTGTCCACTCGAACTTTCTTAGACGACCAAGGCAATACATTGTAGCCTTCTTGCATGACTGGCATGTGAAACGAAGAGAAATCTTCTTGGATGTCTTCTTGGAACGACGGAGAATTGGTTTAACACGGCCACCGAAACCTTTCTGCTTACGATCGTAGCGGCGACGACCGAGGGCGGAGTGGCGTTCTTCACCACGGGAAGCCTGGGAAACCTTGCACATTGTGTGCTTCTTGCAGAACTTGCAGAAGAATTTCTTGGTCTTTGGATGATGGACCATCTTTCTTCGAAAAGGCCGACCAAACCGCCGATCATTTTTTCGAATACATTGTTTTTTAAATAATAAATATATGTGCACTCACCTTTAAAATCAAAATTTTGTGTTTTGGAGCGATTTCAAAGAATATTTTTTTTTAAATTATTTTTAAGGGTGCGCGGGAGACGATAAGTCACGCATAGATGGTTCTAATAAAAATAACATTTTTATTGATAAATTTTGTTCATTTGAAAGTAAAACTCCAACAGATGATGATTTTACTTATTTCAGGGGCATCAACAGCACAATCCTCCAAGGATCAATTTTTCTAATGGTAAAATGGTAGAAATTTTTATCTCCACCTCCAAGTGGAGGGGAGCTGCCTATTTGGAGCTAAAGGAGGGCAGCGTGTTGTAACTCGGAATTTCTATTCTTTAAACTGGAAATGATGTCCCCACTTCAGCTCCATCTGCTTCATCGATTCGAGGGCCAAATACGCGAATTAATTTGATATCAATTTATTAGTTATGTGTTTACAGTTTTGATAATCAATAATAAATATGGCATGATGCTGGTTCATAAAATAGATGTGTTCAAGCCAAAGATAAAGTTTCATTTTTAATTGATTTTGTATTGAGGCTTTAACTAGCATACTATATAAAAACTAACTTAGTAACTTTTAAAAAGCATAAAATAAAAGTAAACAAACTAACTTTTATTCAATCTAAGGTATACAAGCGAAATTGTATGTGTGAAATGCTCTCCTATGATGGATAAATTGATAGCCATGTTTATGCTTCTTTATTTCTTGTTTTCGAAAAGATTATTTTGATATAATATGAAGATCAAAATTTTTTATTTGTTGACAAGGTTATTGCATCTCTTGCAAAATGGGTGCATCTTCACTATGTAAGCATTGAATGAATGAAGCTCTATTCTGCAGCTCCACTATTATATAGAGCAAGATTAGTCTCGAACTTTCCTACATTACATTCGAAAATGTACTGTGGGATAGGCTTTTTTAGCATTGACTAAACTGCGTGACAAAAGGCGTAAGTTCACTTTTAAATTGAGAGAAAGTTTTCAGAATATTCTATGAGAATAATTTTATTTAATATATAACATAAGATTAGTAAGTAGATAAATATTATCAGAAAATTTAAATCCGCTGTTCAGGATTAGATTATCTGATATTTGATACCGTATATAAAAAGGTCCAAGAAATTATTTTTGACCAAGGAATGCTATCAAAACATGATCGGCACTATTCAAATCGCTGGCAAATATGTCAAAAAATAAGAATAATATGAATTTTTTACTACTTTGGATTATTGTAGATACTTGAAATAGATAAAATCTTAAACTGTTGGTTATTAAGTATTTATTTATTAAATAAAAATGATACCATATTATTCGAAAAGTGTCACAACGTTAATTTTTATAATTCATGTCAAGTTCAGAACAATCAAAAAATGAAAATGGATGTGACTTTGGTGACATTAAACCAATTAAAGAATTTGAATACCCTAATCAAGCTTCTATAATTATTTGGGGTGTCAATTCCAATAATATTTTACAAATATCTTCACAAATTATAGAATTCATTACAAATAACAAAATATCTATCCAAATGGCAATTCATCTGGTTGATATTTTTTCGCAAATTCGTGTTAAAGATCTTAAATTATTTACGGAACTTTACAAACAGATATTAAACGAATTCTCATGCTTGATCAAACCAGAAAATGAAAAATTGACAACAATTTTATATTATAAAGGTTTCAGATTTGAAAACTTCAAACCGAAAATGAAAGAAGAGGAAATTCTGAATTTATATTCAACAAAATCTCCTTTATACTATATTGAATCGGATAAAATTGATGATCTGAAAAGTAAATTTCCAAATCTTGATATCAATCAAAGAATTAATGATATCACACCACTTAATTGTGCAATTAAATATGGATCAGAACTGTGTTTCAATTACTTGAAAAACGTAGGAGGTAAATACACATCTAACTCCGAAGAATATGCTCTTCAAGGCGGAAATAAAGAGATTTTTATGCAAATGATTGAAGATGGTAAAACATTCGATAATATGATTAATACAGCATTGAAATATCGAAACTATGAAATTGCTGAGTATCTTAAATCAAATTTTGGACAAACTCCTAATTCAATAGCCGAAAGCATGTATTTCGGAAATTATGATGTTGCATCTTATTTACTTACTAATAGAGAAGATATTAACAAACTTTATATTCTCTTTATTTTCATATTAATCATTATTTTATTACATTTTCTTTCTTTTCATATTTTTCATTGCTTTATGAAATTCTCTCGATATTAATCAGTGCCCTCTTAGTATTGCAATCGAAGTCAAATCAATAGATATTGTTAAATTCTTAGTTGAGCATGGTGCAGATGTTAACATGAAACTTATTCTATTTCTTATCATATTTATCATTGCTTTATAAAATTCTCTTTCTTTTCATATTTATCATTGCTTCATGAAATTCTCTTTCTTTATATATTTATCATTGTTTCATAAAATTCTCTTTCTTTTCATATTTATCATGTTTTTATATAATTTCCTTTCTTTTCACATGTATCTTTGTTTTATAAAATTCTCTTTCTTTTCACATGTATCTTTGTTTTATAAAATTCTCTTTCTTTTCATATTTATATTTGTTACATGGAATTCTCTTTCTTTATATATATATCATAGTTTTAATCAATCCACTTTCTTCTTATATTTATCATTGTTTTATACAATTCTCTTTCTTTTCATATTTATCATTGTTTCATGAAATTCTCTTTCTTTATATATCTATCATAGTTTTATATAATTCCCTTTCTTCTTATATTTATCATTGTTTTATATAATTTCCTTTCTTTTCACATGTATCTTTGTTTTATTACATTCTCTCAATAGTATTAATTCCCCTCTTAGTATTGCAAGCAAATTGAATTCAACAAATTATCAATTTCAACAAATTATCAAATTCTTAGTAGAACATGGTGCTTCAAAATTCATATAATTATTTTTCTAGTGCGCAATTCTGTATTGAAACAAAATTTAGTAATGCTATTTGAAAGAGATTACAAATATTGGTAAAATTGATAAAAATTTTAATTTTACAGTTGCACTTACCACTTTTTGACATGCTCTCAATTTTTTTGACAAATGGGCTTTGAAACTGGGATTATTTGCAGATCTCATATAATATTATGACATTGAATAACATGCTCATATGAATGTTAAATTGAAATACAAAAATTTGGTTTATATTACTGTAAAATCAACTTCAGTTGATAAAGAGTGTCAAAAAAATTGGTAGAAAAACTTTGAGGATTAAGCTAAGAACTCGGAAGGAAGATAAAAAGGTACAATTACTTGATAAACGTAGGAGGTATATAAGTCCATGTGAAGGAGATATAATAATATTGTATGTCCGAATCAAAGAAAATAAAATATGCTCATTAATTTCATGCAGACATTTCTTTTTTGGAAAATATTTTGTATCTTTTTTTTAATAAGTAAAAAGTTATAAATTTATTCTTTTTGCATCGACATTGATTTTTTCATTCACAAACCCTTTTAATACATCATCTTTATAATACAATTTTATGAAAAATATTTTTAAAAGTTTTATTCAACCGTTGACATCACAAAATAGGAATTACATCAACTTGAAAATTTCAGCTCAACAATTTTAAGGTCGATGTAGATCACGAATTAAAATTAACGGCGCAGATACAATTTTCTGACATCTTCTCACAGGTTGAAATTATAAGCATCTATTCACTCTATGTATTTTATCAGGCAAGTCTTCATTGATGCATAATATATCAATAGAGGATGTCTGTAAGCGGTAATTCTAAACTAAACTATATATATATAAAGGTTTTTCACGGGGTGCAAAAAATGCGCAAAAACGATTATTTAAAATTGAATTTCCGCGTTTTTTGCATATTTGAAATTTTTTGGAGTTGACCATTATTAAAAATCAAATCCATTAATAAAGAATAGCAACAGTTGCATATGTGAAAAAAAATATAATGATAAGATTTTATTTATAAATATAGGAAATTATCAATATAACACAATGTATATAAGATATAATTAATGAGTTTGAACTTTAGCTTCATCTGCCTGGATTAACTTAAGTTGCATATCTTCAAGTTGTTCCACAGACAAAGAATATGTCTTCAGACCAATTTGATCTTTTTTATCATTCAAAGCGTGGAGTAACTTTGGAATTTCATCACAAACAGGGAAAGTCAAAATATCATCTCTTTCTTCACTAACAACTGCTTCTGGAATTATTGACTTAACGAATTCAGCGATTTCCTTGCAATCAACGCCATCATTTGGTACAACTCCCAAAACATGACCACATTTGTGTTCATGTCTTAATTCAGTTGATGTTCCACAGAACTTCAATTGTCCACTTGATGCAATAAACAATTTTGAAGAAACAGCTTCTGCTTCTTCCAAAGCATGTGATGTAACAATGGAAGTTGTATCCTTAAGAGAAGCAATCATCTTCCAAATCAATTGTCTCGCCTGTACATCGACACCTGCTGTTGGTTCATTCATAATAACTAAAGGAGGATTTCTTAATAATGACATAGCGATGCAAAGTTTTCTCTTTTGTCCACCAGATACATCTCCTGCTCTGTTATCCATCATATGTGTTAATTGGAGCTGAGAACCAAAGAATTCGACAGCTTGGTCGATCTGATCTCTTGGAACTCCTCTAAATGCTCCAAACAAATACAAATGCTCGCGAACACTCAATAAATTAATAATAGCATTTCCTTGGAAACAAACGCCCAAATAATGCTGCATTTCTTTAAATCTGTCCGCCTCATTTCCTCCAAGAATATTAATCTTTCCTTCATCAGGTTCAATAGCTCCTGCTAAAATATTAATAAGTGTTGATTTGCCAGCACCATTTGGACCAATCATTACAATGACTTCCCCGTGATTGATGTAAAAGTCAACATTATCAAGTGCAGTGACTTCTTCTCCTTGTGCTTTAAACACTTTCTTTAGTCCTTTTACTCTGACAAATTCACTTACTTCTGCATTAACTTTTGATGTTTGTAACAATCATTTCCAGTTTAAAGAATAGAAATTCCGAGTTACAACACGCTGCCCTCCTTTAGCTCCAAATAGGCAGCTCCCCTCCACTTGGAGGTGGAGATAAAAATTTCTACCATTTTACCATTAGAAAAATTGATCCTTGGAGGATTGTGCTGTTGATGCCCCTGAAATAAGTAAAATCATCATCTGTTGGAGTTTTACTTTCAAATGAACAAAATTTATCAATGAAAATGTTATTTTTAATAGAACCATCTATGCGTACTGTACCTGGACCTTTGTTGAAAACTTTCCATTCCACACGTTGCAACATGATTAGAGTTAATTTTGAGTAGTTTACATATCGTCGCCTGGGCACCCTTAAAATATTGAATTTCCTAATTTGCAACATTTTCATATGTGCGATTTTGCAAATTTGAAAACATTAGAAATGAATGATTATTTCCCTTTTTTTGCATCAATATAGGTCTTAAATTTTTATGTGATGCAACAAGCAGTCCAGTTTTTCGATGTGATTTATGAGATTATTATATATATTGCTGATAAGGAATAAAAGTAACCGCTTAAAATCGAATTTTGAGCATGATTTATTTATGAAATTATTTGATCATTGAATTTTCGGCGATTTAAATGGATTAATTCACAGTTCAATATAACTAAAATTGATGTATGATATTAGTTTAAAAACGATTCAAAATTGCAACCGAAAATGGTCAAAAATAAGTCACGAAAATATGAAATTTAGTTAGCTAATTTGATTTAATTAAAGACGGCGAAAAAAGTGCTTCGCTGCGCGCCGATATAAGCTGACAAATGGAGGAATTATGCCATAAGGTAGGAAACTTGTAGTCCCTGACTCTTTTCAGGTCAGAGAATGTAGGAAAAGCTTTTGACATTCAGTCTCAAAGTTTGATAGGGAAAATTAAAGTAAAAGTGACAAATGAGCGAAAAATCAGAACTTGAAACTTTTTATTTCGCTCAGAGCTTAGAACCACAATTTCTTAAATACAACGAAATATTATCTGCATATTCTCTTTTTATCAAGCTAAATTCGGAAAAAAATCAAGGAATCAATCAAACATCTAAACTCATCAAAGGAGACTTAGAAGTTTCACAATCATCAAATAATCCTTGGACTTCTCTCGAATTAGAATCACTAATACAAGGCATAAATATATATGGTATTGGAAATTGGGGTTCAATACGTAAAACTTTTCGCGAAATTTTTAATGAAAACCAACGAACTCGTGATGATCTAGCCAACAAATGGTATTCTCTCATCAGAAAATCAAAATATAAAAGATTGGATATCAATGAAATGGCGAAAGGCATTGATTAATAATCACATTTTAATATCTTATGCATTCATAGAAAAATACAAGTCTTTTTAATAAATTATTAATGAAATTTTTTTTTCACCTGATTCAAATTAGCAAATTTGATCAAATCCACACAATTGATTCTCTATACAGTTATAACACAATCAAGTAGCTCCTTGATTTTCGTTTAGTTCTAAAGATTCCATCAAAATCAACTTTATCGTTTAAAGTTTCATTTATTCGAATAGTTTATAAATCATGCCATCAATTCAAATACATTCTCGTATAAGTTTTTCGAAAAAATCTAATTTGTTCAAATATTACTGTACATTAATATAGTTTCCGTGCTACTTATCAATACATACTTCCTATTAATGTGTAGCAATCTCTTTCTCATTCATATGATCACAGATTTTAACTAAATAATTGATCATAAGAAAGAGCGTTATCCTTTTGCTGTTGATTCAGATATACTTATGTATTTTGATACTAGTTGAATAAAACAGTTAAATTTTTTTTGTATTTTTTTTTATTTTTCTGAAGATAAGCTTGATTGATGTATGTGTTTCAAAATGATTGAAATAGATGAAGAGATTCATACGCTTTTATTGAATACATGAATTTTAGTTAAAAATGATTAAAATATCACCTAAAGCTTTTGCCATATTCTCAATACATGAATCACACTTGCCAGGATAAGTTATTATATGAATATCATGAAATATGTCAATAAAAATAAATTATAATATAATAATAATCCAAAATATTCAAATCATATAATGGAAAAAAGACAAACTTTAGAACAAGCATCAAAAATAAATAATGTTTATTATTCCAAAATTTTTTCATTTTGCAAATTTTCATGGGGAATTCATATATCTTCTCTTGATTTTCAAATTTTTGAATCTTTTTTGGAATTTTAAATGAAGAATTGAGAAACCTAATATAGATGACTGTTATCTCATATGTGAATATATTTGTTTTTTTTCACAGTTTGGAATTTTCTCTTGTTTAATGACGAAATTGAGTTTCTATTCCAGGTTTAGATAGCATATTTAAGGACAGATTACACAAATTTATATTTTCATCATTATGGTATATTGAAATAGGAGACTCTCAATATTACAATGTCTTTCTTAGGATTCCAAATGTATTCAAAATTCCTGAAACTACAATTTCTGTAGTTTCTAGCCACATATAGGAAGCAATACACAAATGTCTAGTAGGTAGTATATCGTTTTATCTCACAAATGAGCATCTTAGGAAAATTTCTAGATACTTTTTCAAAACATATAATAGCGCAAAATCTATTCTATAAAACCGATTGATAGTACAAATACGTTTATTTGCAGGTCATAGAATCGAATATTAATTTTAATAATATTATCTCGAAATCGCTCTTGCAGTTTTCTTCCATTCTTCGTCTATTAGTCATAGAGTATCTACATAGTGTAAATCCGTTACCAAAATCAAGAAAGCATCGTTTTACCCAATCCAAAGGTTGGCAAAATAAAATTTTTCTAAAATTTCATCATCAAAAAAGTGACAAAATGCAAGTAAATGATTATCTTGGACTTTTTGAGACACTTGAGCTCTATGATGCCAGTGCATTTTCTCGTACTTTCAATGCTGTTGAAGCAGAAAGTGATAGACAAGTATCAATTTTAATTTATTATAAAAATTTCCCAAGAGAACAGATTGTCAGTATTCAACCTCCAGATATTGATTTCATAGGACTCACAACAGTTTACGATATCACCGAAGATCAAGATTTTATTGTTGTTCCTCAGCAAATCGTTCCTGCAGGCGATTTAATTACAAATTTACTTCCAAATCCAATTCTTTCCGAGAGATACATATCTACAATTGCATTCTGCTTACTTCATACATTAAGAGTTTTGCATTCAAATAATATAATTGTTCGTAATTTATCTGTTTATAATATTATGTTATCAAATGAACAATCATGCCCATTCAAAATCAAAAATTTCTATCTAGCAAAGATACTTGATGTTCAAATTCAATCACATATTCTTGAATACGATGATTTTCCAGCTCCAGAAGTTTTGGAGAGCAAACCATACGGACCTCCATCAGATATTTGGTCGTTGGGGTGCATATTATATTTACTACTCAGAGGACTTCCTCCATATCCATTTACAAAGAAAAATGATGCGACATACATCAAAGAACACCCAATCGTCTTTGATGATGATGTTTGGTCAACAATATCTGAAGATGCACGTGAAATTGTTCAAGGAATGCTCCAATTAGATCCACAAAGAAGATCTACTGTTGATGACCTTCTAGAAACAGCCTGGATCAATGGAAACTGTTCCGAATCAATTATTGAAGATGCTCAATCTGATCTACAGGCATCTCTGATGACAATTAGACTCCAAAGATCAATTGCAGCTGCAAGTTCGATTGAAGTGTTTAAATCTTTCAATCGCCAAAAGGTTTTATATAATTCTAATGAAGGTAAAAAATAATGTTTGTTATTCATATTAAAATCATCTATTTTTTTTCTCTGAATTAAAAATATCGAAATTTAAGAGTGAAAAAACACAATACAATGATAGAATTATATAATTCAAAAACACCAATAAATGTTATATAAATGAAATAGCAAAAAGAGACTTGTGAAACATATAAATTTGTCCCTATTAACTTTTTTTGTAATGACCAATATATACTTATGAAAGATATCAATACACCACTTCTTGTAGATAGTCAAAGACATTCCAGCATTGTTATGTGTACAGATATATAGAAAAAGGATTTAATTATTTTCATTTAAGACTCTGTAACTTTTCGAAAACATAAGTCGTCTTAATTTAAAAGTATTGGTACTCGCATTTTTCGTTGAATTTTTTGAATTTTAATTGTATCATATATTATAATATTAATATCTGAAACTTATTATGAAAATCAGATGAAATGAGCTTGCTTTCTAAGATTTCTTTGATCGGATTAGGAACCTTATAATCCGAAATTGATGCCTAAAAATTTTTATAATTTCTTGAAACTCTATATACTTTATGACAAACAAAATACAAAACAGTCTATATTTATGAGTCAGAGAGAAAATCTCTCCGACAGATTGGACATTGACTATGAAGTGCTGCCCAAGCTTCAATACATTCAATATGAAATATATGCATGCATTTAAGTTTAACACTGTCAGTTGTGGTCAGGCTTTGCCGACAGATTAAGCAAACTTCATCTTTGACTTCATCTTCGGATGGCCTCTTGTACTCCTGACGTAAATTATTAAGAAGACTTCGTTCAGTTAAGTAATCACGAACAATTAGAAAAGCTTTTCCAAGAGTATAATATGCGGACATCCCAAAATGTAATGGTAAGTAACCCGAGAGTAAATGATCTATAAAGAAATAAACTGATAAAGCGCAAAGGGATAAATATAAAATTACGTCACTAATGATTTGAATATTTCCTGTTTGATCAATAAAAACAAAGCAATGCTGTATAATTGATTGTAAGCAAAACATTATTGACGATATAATGATGAAACTCATGAACATTACGAATGGATTATATACAGTCTGTAAAAATAAGTAAATTCTTCTATAAATTATGCAGAAAAATATTATGCATGCGAATTGAAGGACAAACAAGTTACGATGAAATGAAAATTTTTGAAATCTCGGATGCAAACTTAAATATTTCACTCGAAAACTTAGAATGTAACTTAAATACAACAGGTCAACTATGTCAAATAATACAAGAAATCTAAAAAGTGTATCTGTATTGTAATGAATCATTCCTAGAAGAAGGAAAACGGCCAAATAGTAAGTAAAGGTCGAAATTTCTGTAATCTGTTCCATTGCTAAGGGTAGGATGAAATATTTATAGATTTTGTGGAGTGTTTTATAACTAATTGCCATTAATAGATTAGTTATAATAAAAATTGCTATCCAACTTTGTTGCAATCGCAAAACAAACTCGTCAACATTGCTAGAGTGGAACCATAGTTTGAGAAGTAGCGATAAGCAGACTGAAATCGAAATTATCATATAGTATTTTAATGATAATGTTTTCATTCAGTCTGTCACTTTTATTTTTAATTTGATTTTCAGAGGTAGGGCAACGATAGGTCAAAAAGGCTTCTCTGATAGATTTCCTTGCCTTTTGGATATGCTATAATATATAGCCTAGCATGATAGGATAAGATGTCAAAAATTAGAACATAACTTAGGATCTTGAGAAAAATGAAAAACAAAAATTACATAAAAAAGAAAAATTTTATCTAATTTGTTTTTTTGGGCCGAATAAGTAATTTTATTGAATTTCAATACGACACATAGATTTTATTATTAGTAATAAATATAATGGTTTACTATTAACAAGAACCTAACTAATGAAATTTGATTTCAAATTGTATATGTTCATAGATTACCAAAATATATTGCTATTTATGAGGATATAATATTGATTATTAGAATCGTATAAATTATAAATATACCATGAATATTGAATGATTTCTTGTTCATAGGTAAAACGCGCTTTTATATGATTTAGACAGAGAATTTATGAGATGTAAATAACACAAGGTTTATATTGATATTTTCTAAAAATAAATCGAAATTATAAACAATACATTTATTCATTGAAACTACTTGGACAAATATGAAACAAGCATTCAGGCAATACTTTTGAGACTTCAACGCATCTGATAATTTTTATATAACTTCACCTCTTATGCTTAGAGTGGAGGTATTGAGATCGTATAAGTATAGATGAGCTCACATTCAGATATGATGTGTGAACTTCTGTTTTCACTGCAATTTTGAATCAGAATAAACTCAAAACAAGAATAAAATGATATACTCACTCTCTAAATGTGTTCGAGATTTAAAGTTGTATGAATAAAACGATTCATCTTTCGAAGCCTCCCATTTAATGAGAGACTTCGAAAGATGAATGTATTCATGTAGATGAAATACTATATATGACCATGTGTGATACTAAAGATATCAAAATGTTCATTTTTAAGTGCAATAGAAGGGTTATCTCTCGTAAAATCTCAATTTAAGGAAGATTTAGAAAGAACTCCTTTCCTAAGTAGATAGTGTGTGGTTTCTGTCTTTTGGTTGATCAGGAACTATGAAATTAAGTCGGACAGAAAGAAGTTCTTTCCAAAACAGACTCCAAATGAGTTGTTCGAAAAGAACTTCCTTCTGTATATGGATAATTGTAGTTACCGCACTGAAGTATGTGATTGTGATGATGGAGTTCTCGATAAATCTAAAATCGGATTAAGATTAATTGAAAACTCAAGTAATTCTTTGAAATCTTGTGTTGTCTGGCACTATAATAACCAAAGAATGAGAATATTATGTTGAATGATGAGTACGTGTGCTCGGCATTCGCCGAGCGAATTGAGTTTAACGTACTATGAAAAGTGACAAATTTGGGCTTTTTTTCCTAGGGTTATGATCTCTTCCTTTCTGCTCAATACGACAGAAATGAAAGAATGAATTTGTACTCCCTAATTGATTACTACAATCTGTATCTATCTTTAACATAGAATTAGCTGCATTGTGATTTATACTCCAGAATTATTCAATTTAAGATCAACCTCGTAAATTTTAATCATATTGCACCAATACTCCTACGTTGAGATAAGAACATGATTATACATACCAAAGCCCCATATTAAAAATCAAAATTTAGCACCTCCATTATGCAACCACATTATTCGTCGCAAATAAGTATATTTACGCATATTATGATGCATATTCACACAACTCGTATACATGAAAAGTTATTAAAATCAGACAAAATTATTGCAATAAGGAAAAAAAAACAACTTTATTATATATGTTAGTAATGAATTACAAATATTTCTACAAAGAATGCTCAATACTTCATATAATCTTCGAATATTTCTTATTACAAGTTAATACATTTTGACTCGAACATGATAAACAAAAGCTGACACGCTGATTACTACATTTATGAAAATATAGTACGTTTCCATTCATCTGTTTACTTGTTTTTGTTGGAATAAAATCATTTTTTTTTTCTTTCATGAAATAAGAATTTTGCTGCGAAAGCAATATCTCTAACAATAATTAATACATTACGTCAACTCTGGAATGAGTATTTATCAAATATGATATCAAAATCAAAAATTAGTTGTTTTTTATGAGTAAAAACGATGTAAATTGATTATTTGACTAATTATCAAATACTTTGATTTTCCAAATTTTTTTCGAAATTGATTTTTTCATGTGAAAATTCAAATTGTTTAATTTCATTTTTGAAATTTTGAATTTTTTTTGGAATTTTGAGTTGATCAATTCAGCAGAATTGATAATGCTATTGCTTTAGGGCATACCACAAGGTGATGAATAAAAGGTGAACATTAACAAATTATTTTAAATCACAAATATCATCCTCATCAACTTTAATTCTAAAAAGAACTGTACTGAATTATGAAAATGCATGATTTACATTATTAAAATCTTTGAATGAAAATAGTACAAGATAAGTTTTTATTCATTTTTAATTAGATTTAAACGAAAAACTACTCCATATTAAAATTTAAGTCGAGAAATCGTATTTTGTTCTTATTTGTTAGCATTTTGTAGACATTCTAATCTTGAATTAATTTGTTACATGATATTATTAACAAATTTAACTGAAAAAATATGTTAATATGGAATAAACCATGATTATATAAGCTATCAATGCTATATATACATATGTAAAAGATTCATATTAACTCAATTAACAAAAATGATAGATTTTCATAAAGGTTCAATCTAGGTTCGTCCGAAAATTTTGATTTTTATATAGAAGACATAGTTTCATATACATAATTAAATTTTCAAACAAATTTGATCATACCATTTATTAAGCAGGATAGTATATTAATTACTATCAGTATAAAAATATAAAAATGATTATATTTAATTATTGCATAATTTAGTCAAAGAGTTATAAGCCTCAAGTGATCGTTATCACCTTCAATGCACGTATACTTTATTGATTCATAGATATTTAATCTATGTTTGACATGTTGTTGTCGTCATTCGTTTTGTTCCCATTCTTCCTAAGTTAGAATTAGAGAATACACCATCCACATCATCTAATTTGGTCCTCAGCAATAGATTGGTTCATTTTGGAGGAGTCCCATCAGACAGTTTTCGAGCACCAAATATCAAATTTTAATGTATACAAATCTTTAGTGATTTATCTCTTTTATGATGAGTAAAAGGTTTCTGCTCATCAACATTTGATTTCCGACATATATGATTTCTAATTGCAATTATTTACTTTCTTTTTATAATCTAACTCTGTGACTCATACCATAAATTAATTATTGGAAAGTGTCAATATGTTTGGCACAACGCATGGCGGAAGATACCAAACCATGCAGGGAATATGATACGTTTAAGATCTCCGAACTTTTTTTCCAAAAATTTTCTATCGTTGCCCTACCTCTTGATTTTCATTGTCATTCAAATTTTCAATAAAATTTGACATCTTAAGCCTCGTCAATGTTAGACATTTGAACCACTAAATTAAATATTTTCGTTTCATAAATTTCATTTTTTTACTGTTCCATCATTGATTGCGCTCACAAAAATTGCAACCCTAAAAATGAATGTGCAAATTCTATATGTGAATGTGATATAGTTTCTTGAATCAAAATTACAGTATGAGATGTAAAAAGATGGGCGTAGAAGATTTGTGTTTAACATTCAACATTAACTTCCTTAATTTACATTTTTTATAATCACCGACTCCATGGTAACAAATGGCGTTGGTATCGCACCGAGTTGAAGAATTATGACTGTGACATGTGATATAAAATATAATGACTAATACACTTCCTCCCATTATTTTTTTGGATGGAATATCTGCATTGTCAAGACAAAATGATCCACTAAATACAGCTGCATGTGAGTGGGTCAAAAAGATTGTTGAGTCTCAAATTCCAATTTATTTGCACTTAATTTTGCCAGGAATCATTGAATCCGATTCTAATGACATTGAAAACATTGTTATTGCATTCTCCTTTTCTACTTCTTCAGAATCTTCAACTTTAATTCTTAATGTTTCTAAAAAATTTTCTCCACTATTGTTTGTGCATGAGCCATTTACACAATTACGCGAATACTTAGAAGATAGGAAATACATTAAGTATGTTTTAAATGTTAAAGAAGCTCAAAAAACTTTTAATACTATCAGAGATCATTTTAAAATCATTGTTAATCCATTCAAATGCGTATTAGATGAATCACATATGTGGAGTGAATATATTTATAATGAATCCGTACAAAAGATATTTCAAAACGAATTATCAATTTTTAAAGGACAAATTGATATGGATGTGTTCAAAAGTAGCATATTTAACTTAAGTGTTACTATTTCAAATCCAATGTTTTTATCAAAAGATGAAAAAGCAGTTTTCATTGCTCTGTTTAAGATTCTTTTTGCAATAATGGCTGATAAAGTCAATAGCAGTGCAATCAATTAAATTTCTGGAATACAAAAACAAAATTTATAATTTTTATCAATAATTATAAATTTTTTTTCCCAAATGAGGTACTTCTTTAATGTTGTTTGAAGATAGATATCTTGTTTCAAGATCTAGAATTCAAATCTTTAATTTTCATTTGAAATTTAAAGTAATTAGAAGCCATAAGAACTAGCATCAACCATAATTTTTGATACTTAATTCAATCTTTTAATAGAAAATATAGGATTGCCAAAGATTTCTAAAATTATTTAATATTTTATTTAGAAAAAGTAATTCTAATTGTACTTGTTTATCATGCCTTAGGAATAAATTGATATTACTTTGTTTTTCAACAGTTAATGATAAAAATAAAATTATATTAAATAAAGAAATCAAAATACAGATAATAGTTTACATACAAATAAAGTTGAATAAAAAAATTCAAGCTTTTTTCAGAGCAGTCTGAATTTTCTTAAATAATTCAGAATATTCTGAGAATATCATAGGAATTTGAGAAGTTGGTCGGATCATTATAACAGGCTTTGGAAAACGATCAGCTTCTTCATGTTTGATCGCGTGATCTAACTTTGATCCGGGAATTATCTCATCATCTATAAAAACAGATATAGCGCGCGATTCATCGAAAACTATAATAGGCGGGGAATGCATTTGCACATAGAAATAATAATTAATAATGCATCGGGTAGCAACAAGAGTTTCCTGGTCATTCCAGAGCATCAAGTTGGGATAGAATGAGGCAGACCTACTATGGTAACTGAGAAAAGAACGACTTTGATAAGGTGATGAACAGATATTCTGTCTTCCGTCGTAATGAACACATAAAAACAGCTGGAGGTTCGGGAATATCGAAAAAGTAGTATCTGGCTCGTCTCCTGGGAAAATACTGACGTTTTGCTGATATGCTTCATATAAATTTTTAACAAATGTGCCAAGCATTTGGTTTGAAATTAAATATGGCATAAGCTGATACGCGTCGACCCCAGAAGCGACAGGAATAAAGTTTTCTGATTTCGGATAAGAATGAGAGCACCATTGGATCTCCGTAAACGCCTGATCGCCTTTAAAGTGTTCGTATTTGACTTCTACAGCAAATGTTGATGGAAGAATCGAACACAAAAATTTATGTGGCGATAATAAAAAAGTTTGGTAGAAATGGGAGGCGCAAGAAGCATATTGGAAATATGTCTTGCTGCATCTGTAATTTGTAACCTCTGCTTTAATGGTAACGTTGTAATATTGATCTTCGGATGTTGCTTTTTCGATTAGCTTACGGATTTGCTCATGGCTGGTATCAGAATCGTATGCATAAAGCGATGTATCTAAGAAATATCCATCAATGTTGATAGATGATGTATTTGAAACCATTGATGGAGAAATCCAGTCAACGCATATATTTTTTTCTTCTTTGCTTAATTGGCCTTGATTACCAAACAATATTATTCGAGAGAAACATGTATCATCACCTCTAAGTTGGCCGATTAAATCATCAATTCCACGGCTACGAGTTGTTTCAGCTTGTAGACTTCGAATAAATGGCTCAAGAATCTTGAGATTATTTCTGTTAGCAAGATCTCGACGAATATTTAAATGCTTTGAGAGAAGGATGTTATGTGGAATATCAAAGGTAACAACGTTATTATCAAAAACATAAACATAAACATTGTATTGCTTGCGTAATATACAAATAAGAAATTGTTGTGTTGGAGGCAACGCTTCAATAGCTACAGTAATAAAACTTTGAATATATGACATTTCTTTTTCAGAACAATAAGGATCTATTGCAAAAATTAATATTTGCTTGTAATTGTATGTGATAGGTTGCCTAAATAGGAATCTTTTGTGTTGTGATTGTTCTTGTGCTAATATACTGTTATTTGGCTTAAATATCTTGGAACAATTGACGCATTTAACCTTTTCACCTTCCCACGTGCATTGAGAATCTATGATATACCTACAACCAGGACATCTTTCCGGTTGTTGATTTTCAAAAGTTGTTTTTTGCTTATCCCAGTCAAAGGGATAGTAATCAATTATAACAGGAATGAAGGATGCAGGATTATTAGATGATGTTGGCCATGTCGGGATCGAGCAATGCATCGATGCGACAAATCTGTCAAAATTTTTTCAATCATCCAATTTTTTAAGAGAATGATAACATTATCATCATATGCAATATTTTGATATTTTCGTTGTGTGAAAAATAGTTTGGGGGTAATCACTATTTCTCCCTAGATTTCAAATTCACAATGGATGATTTTCTTCAAAAATTAAAAGATAATGGTATTGGTGGATTTTCAGAAAGAATTCCAGTTGGTGTTGGAATTCATCGAAATGGAGTAATTAATGAATCAGACTTAGTTCAAGTTCCAGATATTGAAGAATTTCCTTTACCACAAATAGAGCCACGTCCTGCAATACAGCCTGATGTTTTAAGACAGGCAGTAGTTCAGTCACAATTCGAAATTTTACTCTCTCAGTTACAAACAGCAATATCTACAAGTCATCCATCGAGTGAACTAGAAAGACTCGAACCAGGACGAGAATTCGAGTCACCCGAAGAATTACTTAAATTTAAACGCGCTTTAGCTACATATTATAATGAAGAAGCACAAAAGATCGGATGGACGAAACCAATTCAAATATGCCAAGAACCAATATGCCTTAATATGGCAATTCCTTCATTTAATTATTGCTCAAATCATCTTTCTAAAGACCCGAACTTCAAATCTCAGTCATTTATTAAAAAATGCTCTGCTGTTGACGAAAATGCTAATGAATGTCAGTTTCCTGCACAATCTGGCGTAGGATTATGTATTCATCATTCAGAAAAATAAATTGTAATTTTTATTATTTTAACGACTAGAAATTAAGTTTAAATATATTATGATAATACTAATTTGTGGATATATGTCCTCATTTACAACAACATTTGCTATTCTTCAGTATAAATCATCTTATTTCTATCAAAATTGAACAGGTAAAGCCTCATTTTTATATCTCACCAACTGTAAATATAACAAATTTTCTTAATAGATACATTATATCAGTCTTAACATTAAAATTCTGTTGATTTATTGTTTTCATCTAATTTGAAAATGAATTCAATAATTTAATAACCACTTCCATGTAGACTAGCGGCATGTAAACGTGGTTCCTTCAGTTTGAAAACCAATACAAAGACCAACTATATTTTCAAAATCGAATAAGGAAATAACCGTTGATGGCTATCATGAAATCGTTATTCTCCGTATAATAAGTATTTTTTTTCGTCAATAAAATCAACAAGTCAAAATTGTAAAGTTCCCAACAATGTCACTTTTTAAAGAAATAGGCATTCAAAAAATTTCAATGTCAAATAATTTTTTTTTGAAAAATATCCCATTTGATTATTGCTTTATTTTGACCATTATTATATATATTTTATCTTTGTAATCATAAATTATATTTATATTCCTAATGAACAAGAATGATACTGATCCTGTCCTCCAGATAAAAGATCTAGACAATGGAACAGTCATGAGCATAGAGGAATTGGAGCGTAGCAATAATGAGTTTACGAACAGGATGCGCTCCAAAAGCACAAGCAAAAAGAATTTAATTCCCGAGGAACTTCAGTTTACAACATTTAATAATCAAGAAAAAGATCCATTTTTTAAGAGAACAGCAATTGCTGACTATTTACCTGCTCATAAAGGCAATGTTTGGTGCGTGGCTGGTTCTTCCGACGGAAAATATTCTGCAAGTGGTGGCGAAGACGGTCAAGTAATCATTTACACAAATGATGGTGGTCTCACACAACTCAGAGCTTTCAAAGGCCATACGTCAGATGTAGTCATGTTAGAATTTTCTAATGACAACTTCCTTCTTAGTTGTTCATTAGATTCTACAGTCAGACTATGGCACCCTACAGCAGAAAAAGAATTAGCAATTTTCCAACATGAAGATGCTGTCACTGCTGTTTCATTTTTGCCTACTGACTCTTCAATAATATTAGCAGCAACATTAGGAAATACTGTTTTTGTTTGGTCGGTTAGAGAAAATGAAGTTATTCACAGAATTACTTTTGTTTCACCACCAACAGCTGCAGGCTTTTCACCCGATGGCAATTATGTCGCAATAGGCTGCCTTAATGGTTTCGTTTTCGTTTATACAATGCCAGAATTTCGCTATGTTACTCAATTTATTGCCGGCCCTCGTGGCAAAAAACAAACATCGAATGAAAAAGTTACATCTATACAGTTCTTAGGAAATGAACAATTCTTGATCGCAACAAATGATTCAAGAATTAGATTATATGCTTTAGAGAATTTCTCAGTTGTTAGGAAATTCCTAGGCCACGAAAGTAAAGAGGCTCAACTGAGATTGTCGGTATCTTCTGATAACCAACTTTTAATGACACCAAGTGAAAATACAAGCGAAGTTTTTATTTGGCCTGTTGACCACTCAAAATACTTCAAAGGCAGCGGCTTGTTCGGATCATTCTTGAAGGATAGATCAAAGACTTACGAAGGTTTCAAATACGGAAAGAAATATTTGATAAACGCTGCTGCTTTTATCCAAAAGTCATCTATTCAACACCTGGCTGTTATTGTTGGCGATAATCGTGGAGGAGTGTCTAAAGTTATAAGCATACAATAAAGATCATGTTAATTATTTTATTTATCATCATTTTTTCATTTTTTACTTACCACACAGCATATATTTCCCTTATTAATCTATCTTTATAATCGTAGAGGCTATTTCATTGAAATTGTTTGATTGATTTCACATATCTCGAAAATATAAATCTTTATACTATTTAAAAGCACTTTATGTCGATGACATTTATTATTGTTGCATTGAAATTCTTGCATAAAACGTGCTTAATTTGAATAGCGGACATAAAATTTTTTTCAACGTGCATAAAATGATTTTGAAACGAATAATGATCGGAAAATGGACATTTTAATTCGCCGGCAAAATAGCTAACATTGGAACAAGAATCCAATATATTATAGTATTAATCGATTTTGATGATCCTGTGATCGAATGCGATTATTTCCGACAGATTTTTTGCTGTATTTCGACTATTATACTCACCAAAACACAAGTACTATCTCATTATTTAACATTCCCTCAGTAAATCGCTATTATTTCATTTAATATATCGATATTTTATAAAAAACAATTATTTTAAGTTTTAAAGCGAATATTTATAAAATATGAATAGTTTATCAATAAAATATTAAATACAATTTTATTTCTTCATGATGAATATTATTAATGTTAATAATCCTGATAAAGAACTGGCTACTAACATAATAGAATGACGTAGTTTAATTTTGCTAAGATCTCTAAATAGATAACGTGGCTCGAACCATGAGGAAAAATCAGTAATAAAATAGTAAAATGCGGCGCCTGCACCTAGTTCAATAAAGAAGACAGCCCACAGGGAGAAGAAATTGAGAAGTAATGCACCCATTGCGGCAGCATAAGCATATAATGTTGGTTTCGAAGTTTTTGATAAATCTTTGCTGGAATCAAGTGGATTTAAGTTCTTAGTTTCAAAGTCCGATACTATTTTGAGAACTTTGTATTGCGTGTATACAAGAAAGCCAAGAAGGCATAGAGTTATGATAAAAATTAAAGAGGATATTAACATTTTGTCACTTTTTATAATGTAATGAATGATTACAAAAATTTACAAGAAGATGACCAAAATGAAGTAGATAACACAGACCAAAAGGAACAAGAGTTTATAGTTGATTCAGATGCCCTTTTTATGTCAGATATCGAACAAATTGATTTATATAATACACAAGCAGACTTTCTTTCAGAAATGAAGGTATTAGAGCATATTATAGAGCTTTTTAAAGAAGGTAGACACATTCCAAAGGAAGTATTTCCATATCCATTATTTTTCGATTGTATTTCTAATTATTTAGCAAATTCCGAATTACAAAACTTTTATCCAGCTATAGTCGTGACTAATTCAGTCATTCATGATAGCAATCAAGAAGAAATTGTTCCAATTTTCGAAAATACTCAATGTTATAGACAATTAATCGATATATTTTTAAATTCCATTGATTACTATGACGAGATAATTCAAACTTTTACAATTTTAATTCAAAAGAAAGAAATATCAGATTTTTTAATTGAAAAAGGAGTTTTTGATAGAATAGATATAGTATTTAACGAAGAAGGACTTATGACAACAGAAAGACTATTCTTTTCTGTCCAATTTTTAGCCCAATTAACAAAAACAATTTCTGTTGAGGATGTCGGCCATATTAACGCGATGGCAGCATACTTTGTATTACAGCTTGATCCAGAAGTGAATGGACTAACAATTCTCGATCAATGCGCAATAGGATTATCAAATTTCTTCCAAATGGATCTTAAAAAGGAAACAAGAGGTGTTGCAATTCAATATGACATTGTTCCGAGATTACTGAATATAATAAACAAATTTGGACCTTCAATTGATGAAATGAGCGTTAATTTAACGAATACAGCCCTATTTATATTTCAATCTATCTTCTACTATCCAACAAAGAAACTACTTGAGAGTCTTGATGATTATCCGGACTATTTATTTACATTAATAAATTGTGCACGTCATTTCGATCAAGAAGTAGCCAAAAAGGGTATTTCCATACTTGCCAACCTTATGCTTGATGGACTTATCGAAGATGAAGAAATAAATAATTCTGAAATTCCATTAGTTCTTCAATTCAGCTTTGAAGATGGAAATTATAAGCTAAAACTTGCAGCCTTGAGTCTTGCATCGGCAATTATTCAGGAATGTGAACCAGAAACGATAAAAAACTTGTTTAATCCTGTTATTGTTCAAAAATTTGTAGAAACAATGATATATGATAAAAGAATAGACTACAAGAATGTTTTGATATCAATACAAACCTTGTTACACAAAGCAGATCTCTCAGGAATCTTAGATCCAGTTGTTGAATGTTTTCAGACAGAAGAATTCAATGAATACTTGCATGAAATAGATGATAACTGCGATGATGAAAAATTAAGTGAATTAATTATGGAAATTGTGAGAGCTCTTCACTTTGATGAAGAATAGACTTTTAATTTTTATTTTGTTATTAATCAATAAAGATATAGAGTTTCAATAACATCATCCATTTTTTCATCATTATCTAACATATTAACATCCTATTCCCTATTTATGAAAGCATTATGTTGAATAACACTATCTTGAATTATCTCATGTTCGTTTTTTAAACAAGAAGCTGCTCATGATGAATGTTTATATGGTGGAAAATAAGGGCCTGGAAGTAGATCATGTACGCGGAGACTTCCCGAGGAGAATGATTTTAGGAATTCATGCATTGTTCAAAATTTATATAGTTAAACCTTAATACTATGCAAATAATCTCTTGGTGTTTCTATTTCATAGCTTGAGATTCCCTAGATTACAACTTTTTAATCTGGATTTTTATGGGAATACAGATAGGAAAATTTTACGAGTAAAAACAATTAGTACTGTATTAGCCTCTTTTAATTTTATAGCTCTTGCAGTAATAAATTGATAGGGGAAAAATAACGGTTTTTTCCTACGTTAGAAGAAAATGTTGAGTACAAAGACATCTCCATTCTTCCCAGGATACGATTTTCGTTCAGCTACGGGAACAAATAACAAACCAAAAAATCAGACGCTTACAGTCGTTCACGGCCTTATGAAAACAACAATGCCAGATCCAAATATTCTTGATATTCAAATAGAAGAAACCAAAAAGAAGCTTGCAGCTCTTCAGGGTCAACAACCAGATGCAACACAACGCACATCTTTTGTTCCAGATCTTCAACCAAACGAACCACAGGAAGCATATACACTTCGTTTTTACGGTTACTTCCAGCAAAGTCTCACAGAATCACCAGGCGAAACATATCGTATTAGATACGTCAATATCTATGTATATACAGAAGATGATACAGTCATGATTGAAGAGCAAAAATCAAGAAACTCAGGTATGACACAAGGCGTTCTTCTTCGCAGAATGCGTGTTCAGAATCCAAATGCAGAACCTTATGGCTCAACATATATTGTCCAAGACTTCCAAATTGGCGTCAATATTGATATTTCCGGAATTGTTTATCATATTTACGATTGTGATCAATTCACACGTCAATACATGGAGTCCATTGGCATCCAGCTTGCTGATTCAGAACAAGCTCCAGAAGATCTCTACACAATCAAAAGAAAACTTACAGAGAGACCAATTCGTGTTTCTCATTGCAACCCAGATCCAACAAATCTTGCAAACTTCCTCAAGTACGATGGCAAAGTCCTCCGTTTCTACGCTGTTTGGGATGATTCAAAGAATCTTTTCGGCGAAAAGCGCAAATTCGTTATCATCTACTTCCTTGTTGATGGCCGTATCGAAATCAGACAAGTCAACGAGCCTTCTTCAGGTAGAGATCCAGTTGCAAGATTCCTTGCTAAAACAGTCCTTAAGAACCCACGTACAGGCCAGCCATATTCAGATCAAGACCTCATGGTTGGAGAAACAGTCACAGCTTTCGGCAGAAACTTCTTAATTTACGATGCAGATGAATTTACCAAACAATTCCTCGACGACAAGTACGGTATCCACGACTGGACACCAATCAAGCAGAAAGATCCACTCGATGTTTCTCTTGCTACATCCGAAGCTCCTCCATATAACGGATGGGGCGACGAAGAGGACTCTCTTGGCTACTGCCACTCATTACATCCAAAGCCACCACGCAAGAACATTGTCAAGCTGCTCAACAACGATGGCAAGGTTCTCCGCTTCAAGGCCGAATTCAAGAATCCAAATCCAGTTGACGATGGCCGTATTTTCGTCATCGCATTCTACACAGCAGACGACAAACTCGCGATCTTCGAGTCCCCACGTCGCAACTCCGGTTTCCAGGGCGGCAAATTCATCCAGAAGGGAACTTACAAGAATATGCTCGCTGGTCGTAACTTTATTGCCCAAGATTTCTATGTCGGAGCTGAAATCATGGTCAATTCATACAGATTCATCCTTACAGATGCTGATGAATACGCTTACAACCAGATGGAAGCTGAGCCTGAAGAATATCCTGTTGCAGATTTGAGCGCAATTATTGAAAATCTCAGAAAGAACACAGAAGGAATCGAAAAACTAAGAAAGGAAATGGAAGCCCAGGATCCAGAACTCAAAGGACTTATTCCTAAGGACGATGCACAGAAATTGATGGTTAGAGTCTTGAGATTGCAATACCACCAGGCAATTACAATAGCAAGAAGATATTCTGATGATAAGAATATGTTTAACTACTTCGATTTCGTTGGCGTCTTCACAAAATAATTGTAATTTTTTTTATATTTCTATTTTTTATATAATTTCTTTTGGTATCAGGAAAAAACAATATCCAATCTTGAAATAAAATGCTTTGATTATTTTTGTAAATTAAAATATTTTTTTTTCCTACTCCTATGACGATTCATACCCGGAAAAGATTATTTGCGTGGATAACCAAAGCACATTTACTTTGCCCTTTGAAGATTTAATATCTTCTTAAATAGAATTAAAGTTTTGCTTCAGTATCCATGAGAACAAAGCGATCAAAATTTGAGGAAAGTTGATCGTATAGGCATTTAAGTGATATTAATTCATCAGTTTGAGTAGAAAATTTATCTCTTATTCGATTGAGTTGTTGCTTTGATTCTTCTTGAGCACGAATTTTTGCATTTATAGTTGAATTGTTCGCTCCATATCATTTAATTGAGATTCAAAGCTGTGGATTTTTGATTCTTATTAAAATTTATATAATATTAAGCTTTATGAAAATAAAAATAGTAATTTTTGAATTAACAGGTTGTTTTTAGTCGTTCTTTTCGTGTTCTGGAACTGGATTGGTAAGATAAATATAAATTGTTACTAATGAAACAATCATTGCAACGATAAGGCAGAACAACTTCTTACCGGGAGTCCAGAAAATCTTTTCTGGTCCTTGTCCATCGAAATGGAATTCTATATATGTTTCATAATCGTAGTTCTTCACACCAAAGTTCATGAAACCATATTCGTTGTATACTTGGACTTGAACTTTATTTAATTTATTCGCCTTGGCTTCCATAACGAGAATATCATCTTCATCTGGACAGTCAGATTGACGTGATTGGTAAACTGTTACATCATGTGTTGGCTTTAAAACAAGAAAAACAGGTCTTGTGTTTGTTTTAGACATAGAAGACATGAAGTAGTACCATTCATTTGGTGCAATTATTTTATTGATCTCTTGAGCATAGAAATATTGTGTTCCGATTGGGCACTGAACAGTTGAAGAGACTAACTGCGAGAGTAATGCAAGCATCATCCTTCAAAAATAAATTTTTTATTGGCTAAAATTTTGTAAACTTTTCTATTAATATTGACGTATTTTAAAGAAAAATTGAATCAAATGTGAGTGTTTAACGGAGATATTTGTGGAAAACAGTATTCTGTTAGATCTTCCATTCAAACAATACCAACTTACATTAATTCAGCATAGAGACGTGATAATAAAGTTTATTTACTTGAATCATAAACTAATTATTTTGATGATTTGATATCAGCTAGAAGCAATTCTAAATATTGCTTCATTTTAATAAAATCTTGATAACGCAAAGTTTCTGAGAGATTTAAGTATCAAAAAAAGATTTTTTTTTTGAAATTTCATAGAAAACATTAAATTTGATTTTTTTTAATATAATATTATTAACCTCTATTTACAATGATACATACAGATCATGTCCTTTCTTAGGTTAATTATCGGAAAAGACTGACCAACATTAATATAAAAAATCGAAGGAGGATCCATAAAAGGCACTCCCAAAAAGCTTATTATATATCTATTCACCGGATCGTAGAACGCGCTGAACGAATGGAACGATGGCAACAAAAATATTCCGTTGCTTACTTGACCATCGCTGAATGTCGTTGTATCCTGATCAGGAGACACGTAAAGTACAAACCACCAGTTTGTTTCTAAGTCTAAAGCGTAAACAAGTGTTAATTCGTTCTTTGTTTTTCCGCCAAAACAAACTAAGTATCCGTTGCAATAAACTAAAGCTCCGTTGATTGGATCTTGCACCGGAGCTGCTCCAATGCATGGAGAAATCGTTGCAGTTTCATCATCAATGTTGATTATGAGAAGATTTGAACCTTTGTCGCCTCCGTAAGAATAAATATAATTTCCGTACTGGCAGTGGGGTGCTTGACAACTCCAAGTAACCGTAATCTCGACTTCATGCCATTCATAGTTTTGGGTATCTAAAACAAACAAATCGGAGTAAATGGAGCTCTTAAACCCACCGAAAACAATAAGCTTGCCATCATGAAAGCCCATGTAACAATCGGAACGCGCAGGAGGAGGATATCCATTTGTTCTCACCATTTTAACTTGACCTGTGTTAATATCTATTGTATACAAGTCATTATAGAGAGTATTATTCTGAATACCTCCAAAGACTATAATTGTATCATCTAAAAGGCAAGCTGAGGCTCCAGATCTGGGAGTTGGAACTTCCCCAGTTAAATGAATTCTCGTCCATGTCTGAGAATCAATGTTAAAGCACCATACGTCTTGTAGCAAGGTACCAGCGGCTGAAACACCAAATCCGATATAGGCGTTTCTAGAATTTTCGTTGAATGCAAAAAAATGACCGTAGCGCGGTATGGGGGCCATTCCATGCGGTGTTTTTATTGACCAGAGACATGTAAATGCTGTTTTGAGGAGACTACAATTTCCAAATGGTTGATTATCTCTTGCAAAATCTGCATTATTTGCCGCTTTTTCTTTTCCTGTTCTGGGCATGCTGATGGGCTGCAAACTTTGGTACTCGAAATTGGCGGATGAGGGACGAGCATAGCTCACCTCGTTTCCCATATGTTTCGCAGACTTTTTTTTTGAAAACCGCAAAATTTTTTTTGAATTATTTACATTATGGATTCACTGAGATTTCTGAAAATGACTTCACAAAGGAAGATGGAATCTTTCAAAATATTATTGTTTCATATCATGCAGAAGAATATAGTTGATTAAAAACTTATTGATTTTTTCATTGAGAAAAAGTGTTTATAAAATTGCTACCGCGTTCTATTTTTTATACTTTATATCGACCTTTTTCACAATTTTTTTTGTCAATCAACTTTTGAGAGAAAAGCAATTGCAAAAAAATAAGAACTAAATTTGGAGCATAATGACGTTTGGAAATACAGATTGATGAGAATATGAATATTCAATATGCAAATTTTGGATTCAAAAAATCTTTCCAAAATAGGATCTGGAAATAAATTTAACAATATTTCAATAAAAACAACAGGTCACTCATAAAAGAGTGTTAATTTTCGGGCGGTTACGAATAATGAAAAAATAATCGTCTTTCGACGAAAAATGAAAATAATTGTCAAAATCACGACGATAGAGCTTGAAACGCAGGAAAATTTTTTGTTGATTTTTGAATTGTTATTTTATTTTTTGAAAAAATTTTGGAAAATTATCATCGCCATTTTCATTTTATAACACATATAATTCTCTTTTTATGCCGATTGATCACCGTTTCTCTTATTTTTAGATAAAAAGAAAATATTATGCAATATTCTCTATACTTTTATGAAAATAGCAAATATCACTGATAAATTTTGCTTTTACATCATCAATAAATACTGATTTTATTCATATTTATCCATTATATCTCGTTTCAGGTTTCTAACGTATTCATTGATTTCCAAAGACGGGGATATATGCATTAAATATTAATGCAATGCAAAATATATTCAATGCCCACTCTTGGTTAATCCATTGTAATACATATCTCTGACTTAGAAACGATTTTTTTTAAATTAAGCATACAAACTCATAAATCATCCGCCACATAATTACAAACTTAATGAAATTCGAATGCTACACTTAAAATCCAACCATTACGATAATTTAAATAATATATTTTCGAAAATCGAATTTTTCACGAAATTAGTTATACAAAAATGCTTAAAACTCAGATCTACAAGCATAACTCGCATGTGAAGTATTTGATTTAAAATTATTCTAAATCTCAAGCAATTTAATACTCAGTTTATACTGGAGAATCATTTCCACAATCACTTACTTTAAAAAATGTGACATACACAAATTTTGATTATGAATTTAGTCGAAAACATAATTACATCAATGACATATGTCATCACCATGGGGAAGAAATATCCTCCTTATACTTTCTTAACTTTTTATGAATAAAAATTTATTTATATTTTTGATTTCATTTTTCAACCTTTTTTTCATAACAATATATTTATCTTTCATATGTAGTTTAAGATTATGATGCTCGCATTCTATTTACACTTCTTCTTAATGAAATTTATTTGAAAAATAGATATCTTACTATATTATTGGATTTTCTGATATAGAGATACAACTTATAGAATGAGTTTTGTAAGATTCCAAACAATAATAGATCTATCACATACATCTATGAACAAACTTAATAAATACCTCATCCTAGATGAGTTCTGATCTGAGGATATATTCATTCCTTGTAAAAACCAATATTTGGGAATCTCACCCTCTATCGTCGTGATTTTGACGATTATTTTCATTTTTCGTCGAAAGACGATTATTTTTTTCATTATTCATAACTGCCCGTTAATTTTCATTTTTTCATTAAAATTATCGGAAGAAACGTTTTCCCCGAAAAATAATCGTGGGACGGGAAAAACGTTAAGCTTAGAGCTAATGAAGGTTTTTACATTGTAGATAAATAAACAAACATATGTGTCATCATTTCTATGAGTATGGTAGATTTCGAAAAAAATTTAGTGCAATATCACATTGCATTTCGAAACATGAGAGAAATAAACCTATGTATACCTTATTACATATATATTTATATACTATTCTATATCATTGCAATGTTAAAATAAGAAAAACTCTAAGTATGTCATTTGAAATATAATCTATGTTATTTTTATATAGCAATTATCAATCAGAATGAAAATTTATATTTGACTAGACTATAAATGATCAAAGGTAACTCATTTTCAATAAAATTGTTTTTTTTTTATTCCTAATGAAATTCATCTTTGATAATATCAGAAAAAGAAAGAATAGTATCTTATATAAGAATATTATATTTTTGCACCATGAGAAATAAGAATCTCGGCTGTTTCTTTACTATTCGATTTTTCTGCAATGTGAAGAGCGGTTTTTCCATTTTCATCTTTTTCATTGATATTTGCACCATGTGAAATAAGAAGTTCAGCTGTTTCTTTTCTATTATATTGTGCTGCAGTGTGAAGAGCAGTTCCTCCATCATTATTTCTTTCGTTGATATTTGCGCCATGTCAAATAAGAAGTTCGGCTATTTCTTTACTTTTATTAAGTGCTGCAACATGAAGAGCGGTTCTTCCTCTAAAATTTTTTTCGTTGATATTTGCACCATGTGAAATAAGGATCTCGGCTATTTCTTTTCTAGAATCTTTTACTGCAGTATGAAGAGTAGTTTCTCCAAAATCATTTTTTTCATTGATATTTGCACCATGTGAAATAAGAAGCTCAACTATTTCTTTACTACTAGTTTCTGCTGCAATATCAAGAGCGGTTTGTCCATTTTCATTTTTTTCATTGATATTCGCACCATGTGATAAGAAATATTCGCAAAGAGATGGAATATTTAACATTGGAGATATAATAAAGCATTTGTTAATATCATTAGTTTTATCGAAATAAACGAATAATGCTTCAAGATTATTATGATGTGCACAATCATATAAATTAATCTCTAATTTGTGCTCATTCATCAAGAATGTAACAAAATCAATGTTATGTGAAATAATTGCATATATCATGCATCCTTCATCTGGTGTTTGATATTTCAAACATTCACTCAAGATTTCTGGATTTCCGCCTAAAAATGAATATTTTAGACAGTTGTGAGTTACTAATGACTTATATTTAGATATTAATAGCTTGAAACAATCAACTGCGCCGTAGTAACAACATAATTCAAGTAATGAATATTCTTCTTTAGAATATTTATCTAAATTGCTTTCAAGCATTTGATATTCATCAAATCCATCTCTTTCCGTGAAGTATATGAATCTTTCAAGGTCATTATACATAATTGCTCTGTAAATTGTATCTCCTGTTTGAAAATCAAGATTTTCTGAGTTAATTTGTTCAAAATCGGCAGATTTGTCTAATTTAATTCCATATTCTTTGTAAAACAGGAAGATTGAAATAGGTTGAGTATTGTTGACCTCTTCCACATGATATTCATCAGATATGAGTTTGACAAGAGATAAATATGACTTTTTATAGCGATTATTATACGGAATGATATATAATATGTCTTCCATAATCTTTTTGGGTGGGTATTTCTTTGAATCAATCAATTCTGTTTTGATCAGTTTGTAAATGTCTTTTAAATCTTCTTCATTTTCTGTTTTCAGCTGATATAATGCATTGTATATGTCAATATCGTATTTAAAGATACTTCGCAGTTCGTTGAAATTATTTGGATGAATGTCTTTTTCGGACATTAATAATTTTGAAAGGACAGATTTGCATTTTAAAAGATAAATATCTTTTAAACTCATTAGAAGAAACAAATATTGCGTTAGGCATGTGGAAATCAATGATCACAAAGATTTCGGAAATAATGTCGGATCCAATTTCTGATCTAAACCTCTGTAATATGCGTATATAGTAATCTTACAATATGCATAATCATATTATGAAAACGTTTAACTCCTTTTGCAGAATTTTTTTCAATCAAGAATAAATGATGATAACTATGAATATTTAATCGATTGTCATACATTCTAATTCCTATTCATTTCATTTAGACTCTATTGATTTGTTAAGATTGAAAGTTTATTTTTGATTATTGATCAAGATTGAAAAAATATAAAAATAAGAAATCTCTTTATCTACTCAGAGGGGAGAAAAAGAGTCTTGAAGTAATAAAGAAAAACATTTTTATTTATTTATTTCGGAAGAGGAACAAATCTACAAACAACAACACCTGGATTTCCTTTCTGCAGGAATGTTTCGGCACCTGCTTTCCTGCACATTCTCATAACTAATGGTCTCAAAACTGACAACTTGTCCTTTGAGTGAATTCCACGGCCAGTTACGAAATAAATAGAACCAACTGAGTTCCTTGAGTTTCTAATTGCTCTTGAAACATATTCAACGGCTTCTTCTGACTTAAATCCGTGAAGGTCTATTGTCAAAGATTTTCTTGCGCGTAAAGGATCCTCCCAAGGCTGTACACGTCTTATCCTGATCTTTCCTATTGTTCCTAGAGACTTAATAGCCTTCTGTATATCATTGTTGTTGTCTTTAAGTGCTTTTTTGGCTCTTGCAAGCGAAACATCCGGTCTTACGCCAATAATTATGTCTTCCGGTGGCGGGGCATCAAATCTCCTTGTAAGTAGGTATTCGGCTGCTTTATCTGGGTCGTTATGAGCTAATTTAAGTGCTTCTGTGATTTCATATTCAGAAGAAGTAAAGAACAAGGTACTGAGTCTATTTATCACGTCTCCATCATCAACTTTAGGTAAGGAATTCATGGATGAAAGCGTTACAACAGCTCCATTTACGTCATTATGGCTTTGATCAAGAATTGTAGCAATAAAATCAGGATCGGTGCCAGGGAATATCTCTAGTAACTGTTTTATGCCTTGGTTTCGCTTTCCTTCGTCATTTCGGTTTAATCTATATTCTTCTGGAAGGTTGTGGGCTCTTTCATTGTATCTGCGCTCTAATTTACTAGGTCTGTTTTGTTGTTTTGGCCGTTTCAGCTCTGTTTGTTGTGATGAATCTTCTAATAAAAGATTTGCAGCTCTTTGGGCAGAGTAATTGGTCTTTTTAAGAGCTTCACGTATTTCTAATGGGGTTTTATGAGGACAGATTGTTTGGATCTCTTGAATTAAATTATTTATTTCATCTGCTGATTTTTGTTGTTGTACTTTCGGTGGTTTGACTTTCGCATTGAAGTCTATTAAGTCTTCGTATGAATCGTAAGGATTTGACGCTGGTTTTGCATCTGGTGGATTTTCATCTTCAAATTCGAAGCCATCAGTATCATTATGAGCAAGTTGTGGTTCTGTATTTTGAGTAACTTTAATCTCTTCGTCTTGAAGAAGCGTAGTTTCTAATGGATTTTGATTATCAAATTTTGGTTGAGAAGTAGTAGTCTGCATAGCACCAAAGAACGGGTTCCAGTTAGAATTCTTTTGATCGGATGGTGGATTTTGAGATTGAGTTGATGAGATTTCATTTTCAGGAATATATGGTTTAAAAGGGTCCCATTTCTGTGTTTTACGTAATACATCTGGGTCTAATTTATAATCCGGTGTGTTTTGAAGTTCTTGATTTGAATCATTTGCAGAAGTTTGATCAATAAACTCAATAACCTCCTGAGGTATGTATGTATCGAGTATTTTTGTAAATTCGCTTTCCATTAATGAGCAATCTTGAAGAGCAACATCAATATTAAAATTTGCCTCTTCGAGAATGACTTGAGCAATATCTTCATCGATCATTGGGAAGTTTTCCTGTATCTTTCGAATTAGAGATCCATTTTCGTCGTCTTTATGTTCCTCTTGTTGAGGTGCGCTCTGAAATGATTCTCTGAGAAACGCTAGCGCCTGATCAAAAGGAGCATAAGCAATAGCACTTCTACAAACATCATCCGGTGCTTCTGGAACAAGCTCTTTTAAATCATGCCATGTTTTTGTCATCTAAAATTTTGGAAAACAAAATTTTTGTCACTTTTTAGATCATCAACAATTTCTTTGGATTTTTCCAGACAGTTCAAAAAGAAATGAAATGAAAGTTGAATCGAAAATAAACTAGATGTCAATGGTAAATTCAATATCTGTGATATGATCGAATAATTCATATAAATTTAAGTTTATTTTGCCAATTGGAATATATTTTTGGTAGGAGTTCAAATGCAACTATATTAAGGATGTTATGAAGTCTTTTTGGATTATGAATCCACAATGTAAATTAGGATCATATATGAATGGCTGTATATATTTTTAAAAAAAATTATATAAGCATTTCATCAAATTCTGTATATATTAAATTGTCGAATTCATCGTCAAATTCCGACCCAATGTCAATAGAAAATTTTTGTTTTTCCTCGACTTCATGAAGTTTTGCTCTCATTTTTTCCCCTCCATATTTGACAAGAAGATCCTTCATTTCTTGCGTGCGTGCATAATAGATGGCAGATCTTCCTTTTCGATCTTCTGCAAATAAATCAGCTCCTTTAAGTATAATAGATTCAGCTAAGTCTTTGTAATTATTACAAACTGCAAACTGAAGAGCAGTACCATCCCCAATATCTCTTTCATTGACATTGGCGCCGTGTTCTACAATAAGCTTTGCAACATCTTTAGAATGATTCCTAATTGCAGCAATAAGTATTGGTGTAGCATAAATTTTAGCATTAACATCAACACCATGAGAAAGGAAAATTTCTGCAGTATCTGTACAGTTGTTTCTCAATGGTATTTGATATTCATTAATCTCAGCTCCATGTGAAATTAGAAACTCAGTTAACACTTTATAATTTTTTTCAGCTGCGTACTCAATTGGAGTTTTGCTTCCTGAATCTTTTGCATTGATATTTATTTTGTAAACTTCTGGTGAACCTAATAAAAGTTTACATATCTCTATGTTATCATATAAAGCAGCAAAATGTAGTAGGTTTCTCTTACGTCTATCGACTCTTCCAAAATCAAGATTCTCATTTTTGAGCAAATCAATGGATTGTGGAAACGCTGCACACCATGGAATTATAGAGTTTTTATCTTTCTCGAAAAAGATAAATAATGCTTTTAAGTTCTGAGCATCTGTGAACTTTTGACAATCAAAATTAATGAAATTAACATCATAATTCACATATTCAAGGAAACTATTATTATGAGATGAAATCGCATTCATAATGCAAATATCATCAATTGGATGTAGTTTTAAGCATTCATTGATAATATCTGTATTTCCGCCGATTAATGATAGTTGAAGACATTTTTCTGTTATTGCAAAATTGCAACTCGAATGAAGAAAATAAAAAATGTTCACTGATCCTGAATAAGCGCTAAATTCAATAAGCGAACATTTCCCATGATATATATTGAATGTAGCTTTTGTACAAGATTTCAATGAATGATTATTGGCATAATCCTTAAATTTATCGATTTGATCATTTAAAATAATGAATTCAAGATTATCTTCCGAAAATACAAAATAAAACCCAACATGTTGGTCAAATACGCAGATTTCATTATCTTCAGTTATGACTGCGAATGGTGGAATAGCCGCAGCACCAAATCTCTTGAAATCATTCACGGTTATGGAATTTTTTTTGCAAATTTGGTTGAGAATATTAAGATAAATTATTCGTGAACGCCAATTATATTTGGATGCTGTTGATATGCTTGTAATAATTTTAGAATAAGAAATTTTATATTTATCCACTAATACTGTTGAAATTAAATTAAGAATTTCATCAATGGATTCATTTGATCGTATATGAAATATCTTCTCATATACAGCTACTTGTTCGTCATAGAGCTTCAGGTACTCAAGAGACATCTAAAAATGATTAATGGAAAAAAAAATTGAATGCATTTTCAAAAGTAAACAAAATGGGATTGATGGATTTTTTATTAATATTTTATGAGTTTATGGTTAATGGTGCATTATACCCATTAAATTTCTGACAATGGGTGAGAAATGTCATTGAAATTTTTCCATAAACGACTTATTAAAAGTGTCATTCCGGACCATCCATCAGGTCATTTTCACGCTCGATTGTTACAGGATCAATCTTATGACTAGCACCTATTATTGTTTTATGGGTCCTTTGATCATAGGTTCCTGAAATTTTAGTTTTATCAGTTTCAAAAGTTCCTGTAAAAGGATCTCTCGAAACTTGAGCTCCGATTTTCTGTCCTCCTTTTAATGTTATCTCTCCACCAGCAGTTACACCTTTTCTCTGTGGATCATATTCTAAAGAGATGCCATGTTTTCTATCAGAAAAAACCTGTTGTGATTTGGGAACAACCTGGTCCTTTCATAACTCCCATCGATATTTCTTTGCCAGTTGGTGATGTATAAGATCCACTAGCAGTATATGCCTTCCTAAGTGGATCATATTGGATTCATAAGGAATCTTAGCCTTTTCATGGCTTCCTAGGTGCTGGAATACCAATTGGAACTGATGGATCTGATGGCTTCACAAGTCTTATTGGTTCCTTTTTTGGAACCGTTATTGGAAACTTGTCTGGTTTAATTTGCGGCGACAAAACTGGTGGGACTGGTTTAACAGATGGTGGCCTAATTATTGGCTTTCCTGGCCTAGTGATTGGTCTTGGCATTGGTCTTGACATTAGTCTCGATAAAATTTTTTTATATATTTATGCATATTGTAAGATTACTATAATTTGTATTCTTGACGAAATAGTATTCTATAATTAATGATTGGGACGTTTTCGAATCTCTCAGTTGGTGATAGATATTTTCTGTACATATAAATGCTACCAAATCCGTAGAGTCGAAATATTTCCGAAATCTTTGTGATCATTGATTTCCACATGTCTAATACAATATTTGTTTCTTCTAATGAGTTTAAAAGATATTTATATGTTAAAATGCAAATCTGTCCTTTTAAAAAATTTTGAATGTCCGAACAAGACGTTAACCCAAATAAATACAGCGAACTGCGAAGTATCTTTAAATACGATATTGACATATACAATGCATTATATCAGCTGAAAACAGAAAATGAAGAAGATTTAAAAGACATTTACAAACTGATCAAAACAGAATTGATTGATTCAAAGAAATACCCACCCAAAAAGATTATGGAAGACATATTATATATCATTCCGTATAATAATCGCTATAAAAAGTCATATTTATCTCTTGTCAAACTCATATCTGATGAATATCATGTGGAAGAGGTCAACAATACTCAACCTATTTCAATCTTCCTGTTTTACAAAGAATATGGAATTAAATTAGACAAATCTGCCGATTTTGAACAAATTAACTCAGAAAATCTTGATTTTCAAACAGGAGATACAATTTACAGAGCAATTATGTATAATGACCTTGAAAGATTCATATACTTCACGGAAAGAGATGGATTTGATGAATATCAAACACTTGAAAGCGGATTATATCCATATTCTAAAGAAGAATATTCATTGCTTGAATTATGTTGTTACCACGGAGCAGTTGATTGTTTCAAGTTATTAAGGTCTAAATTTAATTCAGAAATAACTCAAACATGTCTGGAATTTTCATTCTTAGGCGGAAATCAGGAGATCTTGAGTGAATGTTTGAAATATCATACACCAGATGAAGGATGCATGATATATGCAATTATTTCACATAACATTGATTTTGTTACATTCTTGATGAATGAGTACAATATAGAGATTGATTTATATGATTGTGCAGAATATATTAATCTTGAATCATTTTTAGTTTATTTCGATAAAACTAATGATATTAACAAATGCTTTATTATATCTCCAATGTTAAATATTCCATCTCTTTGCGAATATTTCTTATCACATGGTGCGAATATCAATGAAAAAAATGAAAATGGACAAACCGCTCTTCATTATTCGGCATATCAAAATAGTAAAGAAACATCCGAACTTCTTATTTCACATGGTGCAAATATCAATGAAAAAATGAATAACGGTGAAACCGCTCTTCATATTGCAGCAGCTCAAAATAGTAAAGAAACAGCCGAACTTCTTATTTCACATGGTGCAAATATCAATGAAAAAGATAAAAATGGAAACACAGCTCTTTTTGTTGCAGCATATATTAATTGTAAAGCGATAGCCGAACTTCTTATTTCACATGGTGCAAATATCAATGAAAAAAATATACTCGGAAAAATCGCTCTTCATTCTACAGCATGGAGTAATAGTAAAGAGATAGCCGAACTTCTTATTTCACTTGGTGCAAATATCAATGAAAAAGATAAAAATGGAAACACAGCTCTTTTTGTTGCAGCATATATTAATTGTAAAGCGATAGCCGAACTTCTTATTTCACATGGTGCAAATATCAATGAAAAAAATATACTCGGAAAAATCGCTCTTCATTCTACAGCATGGAGTAATAGTAAAGAGATAGCCGAACTTCTTATTTCACTTGGTGCAAATATCAATGAAAAAGATAAAAATGGAAACACAGCTCTTTTTGTTGCAGCATATATTAATTGTAAAGCGATAGCCGAACTTCTTATTTCACATGGTGCAAATATCAATGAAAAAAATATACTCGGAAAAATCGCTCTTCATTCTACAGCATGGAGTAATAGTAAAGAGATAGCCGAACTTCTTATTTCACTTGGTGCAAATATCAATGAAAAAGATAATGATGGAAATACTGCTCTTTACATTGCAGCAGAAAATAATAGTAAAGATACAGCCGAACTTCTTATTTCACATGGTGCAAATATCAATGAAAAAATAATTACGAATTGACACCTCTTAATATTGCAAGAATAAATAATTGGAATGATACAGTTAAACTTCTTGAATCATATGGTGCAGAAAAATAATATTAATCTTCTATCGGCGAGCAATTGTGCAGCCCTAATAAAATCATATATTTTCATTAAGGGTGCACACGAGAGGATCATGTAAACTTCAGAATTTAGAACCTTATTTTTAGGCATTATCTTGGCTACCTATTTAGGCTCGAAAAGCAAAAAATATCAAAAAATACAACTTGAGTCCATTATGACCCTTTCATGGAGGTAGTTTTTATCCGCTAGTATTTTCCCTTTGAATCTCTTTACAATTCGAAATCAAATTCAAAACTCAGTAGAAGAAAGGAAGAATCGACTTACTACGGTTGTAATACGAATAAATACATATATTGAATTATTTTTATTTACATAATAATTGTTTGAAGCTCATATTCCAACAAATTTTTAAATAAAAACATTAAAATGTTGAAAATGTTCATATATTTTAATAGGGTTTTGGCACTTTATTGAGGAATTACTACATACATAGTCGAACTGAACTTGATATTTTGAAATTTAAATTATTTATCAAAATTAAAATTTAACTTGAAATTTATAATTATTTAGTCATATTTTGCATAATTCTAAGTAGATTTTGTAAAAAATCAAGAAAGAAAAATTTTAACGTGCTTTATTTTTTCTTTTTTATAATAATACATATTATTATATAATTAACATATTCATAATGTTTCACCCTTTCAAAAATATAATCCTCCTCCTCTCAAATAAACGTACATACGGGTGGCCTCTTTTTTCAAAAAATTAAAATTTGAAATTTTGGGCTCAAATATTAGAGATTTTTTCAACCTTCAACGATATATGTTGTCTATATCAGACCTCCTTTCTTTTTGATACTTAACATTGTTCCTAAATCTTAGCCGTTAAGGCTGTTCTGAAAATATTTTTTTTTCGAAAAAATTCGAAAAAAATTCTTAAAATTCAAAAATCCCTTAATTCCTGAGGATTTTGGAAAAAAGTTTTTACATGAACATGTGTATATTATATGAAGTATATTGATAAGGTAAAAATCAAATTTTATTGCATATTCATCGAGAAAATAAACTAACGAATCCCTCAAAATTGAGATGGTAATCCTCCTCCTCTCAAATAAACGTACATACGGGTGCACCCTTAACGATTAAAGTTCTGAAATTTGAATACCTGGAAACTTTTTTTTCAGCAATTGAAGGGTGCACTTACGCCTCTATGACATGGACTTCAATTCAGATGTTTAAGGCTAATTTTCAATGATGCTTCACGCCAGTTGTCAAAAATTTGAATTAAAGTCAGATGGGCGTAAGTGCAGCCTTAAGTATATTCATGGAATTAGTCTATAACGCCTTAGGTACCTAAATCAGCTATATCAAAGGTTAATATATGCATAAACTATATATTTACCCTTTTCTGAATTACATTAATGTTTTTTTGATTTAATTTGATGTAAAACTACAAAATCTCATTAAACTTCGCATTTGCAATCGATGATTTCATAGATTTAAACACTTTAACTTAAGAGACTTATCATATTTAGAAGAGTATCAAGAATACTTTTGGATTTAAAGCTATTAAACAATATGACGAGACTTATACCGAAATTCTCTGGTTTTGTTTGACGCTTCACGCCGATAAAAATTTTCACAAATTTCTTATATGGAGAACAATAAATCAGTTTTGAGGAGAACTACAGTCAAAAAACTGATTCATTCTGCAACTCATGATGAACTCCCCGAACCAATTTCTCGATTTTTTCAGTCGTTATTAGCTTATCCGGACGCTATCGAACAGACTTTTGAAGAAATCAAGTCGATTACATCAACTAAATTTATAACATGCATATTAGAAATAGTTTATTTAAGTTTAAACGATCCAAATAATACGTTTTCAGAAGAATTTAAGGTAAATATTGTCAAATCCTTATTGCAATGCGTTGAAACACACTTCCCATCCTCATACACAAAGTCAGAAACATCAACTTTCTTATTTTTACTCACAGTTTCGAAAATTTTATGCATTTATCCGAAAATTACTATGACAAATCTACCAGAAACACAATCAAATCCAAATGTTACTGCTTTGATTCTTATTTTTATATCGCATTCGAAAGATATCGATCCTTCTCCTTATATGTCGTTGATTTCAAATAAACTTGGCAACAACCTTGTTTCTTATGCATCGTATTATGTTATTGAATACTTTTCATCGATGACAGAAGGCCCTAGCATCAAAAATATTATTTCATCGTTTAAATCTATATCTGACGATGCTATAATTCCACACCTTTCATCACCAATGATAGAAGCTCTCATTAGAAGACTAGATGCTACAAATGTCAAAGAAATTACAACTTTATTAAGCTATTTACCGAAAAAACTACGAAAAGATCCATCAGGAACGATAAAATTATCAAAATTAATAGAACAAGCCTACGAATTTCCAGATGCTCCTACAATTTTCAAACCTTATTTCGAAGAAATTTTAAATCTTTGTCTCATCACAGTAAAAAGCACAGATATCAAGCCAGAAGAAGAGATCAAAGACATAATGACTGTTATCCGCAAAGAAATTGCTGATTCTTTCATGCTTCTCATACAAAAATTCAATTTTAATCCATTTGAGTCATTTTTCGCCTCCAAAGCGGTAAACCATCAACTCAATGTTCTTCTTATGATGGCTTACATAGTCAAATTCGCTCCAGAAGGCTTTGTTCAAGAAAATTATTTGGATATCTTTACAGGAATCGTTTCAACTAACAAGAAATCAGATGTATTGAGTCTATTAGTCCATATCTGTTACTATTTTGTCCAGAAATTCCAATCAAAAAAGGCATTAAAAACAATAATTTTAGCTTTGGACCATGATTCTGAAGTTGCATCACAATACTTAGTATCTAAAGATTTGTCATTTGATTTCCTATTCGATGACTTGGCTTCAATGTTTAAACCAGATTCTTCTCCTCAAATTTACTTGAAAACAATTACACTTGTCCTAAAGGCACATTTGCCAGAGTCACCGCAACTTTACGTGTCAGAAAGATGCGATATTCCAGAAAGTGACTCAAATTTCGACTTAATTCCAAGAGCGGACACAGCATACGGTTCAGAACAAGAGCAGGCACCTGAGGCAACACCTACAAGTAACACGATCTTGTTCTGTTCCGTTTTGACCGCTTTGGAAAAGAATGTAGCTTTATTTGACTTATTACCACTCACGGCGAGCGCCATTTCGCCTTCATTCTCACAGGCGCTTGTAGCTAAGTTCCCCTCTCCCAAAAATACTCAGAATTTCGCAGCAGTTATGAATAAAAGAAGATTTCAATTAGATTCTCTTGCTGCTTACGGTACTGCGTTACAATCACTCGATAAAACGACCATTAATGCACTTGCACAGACGTTCCTTATGCTCAGACCTGACGAATCTATGTTATATCTCGCAATTACGTTACAAATGGTTCCGAAAGTAGTTGCAGAGAGCTGTCTTAAGAAGACATTGCATTTTGCACCAGACTATCCTGAAATCTGTGGCAAAATGATAGCTCTTGTGTCGTATGCGCATCCATCTGTTGCAATGAACTTCATTAACACGATGATTAACGATGCTTATAGTAAAAGAAGGTTTGCTTTCTTTAGATCATCAGTTCTTGACGATAAAATGGTGATTGTTGTTTTGAAAACTCTTGGATCTTGTTCAACTTTCATAGAAAGCGAATCTTTTAACAACGATTTCCTCAGTTTCACCACAAACTTCCTAAATAAGTACTTGAGTGTCCCGCAACCCTCTCAGGCCGTAAATTCCGCAGCTTTGTTCGCCATCAGAAAATTGGGACAACGATTATTTTTGTATCAACAGGAAAATACAGAAAACTTATTTGCTTTCAAAGATTTCTTAGTGCAGTATGTTTGTACATACTACCTGGATGTAGGAGACTCGATGCTGTCCAATAATACTGTCAACAACGAGGTAGAAATCATTATTAATATTCTCAGCGCATTGGCAGCCATGATGCCCATCAGGCCTATCAGAATATCAGACAAACACCTCAAAGTAATCGAACTTACAGCTGTTTTGCTTCAAGTTATCGATGTAGATAAATTTAATCCGATTTTAAAGGCCACAAACTCATTTTTATGCACATGCGTTGATTGCCAACCAACACTATCTCTATTTACTATCGCTATTAAGCCTTTATTCCCTGCATTACTGATGCATTCAGAATGGAAACAAATTTCGATGCTTTTATCATCAGTATGTTCGAAGTGGGAGAAGGTATCACTCGCAGAATCATCAGAAACACTTAATACAGCGATTACGACCATATGTACCTTAATATCTTACACATTACCTTTAGTTTTATCAGAAGAAGCTGGAAAAAGTGCTTCAGAAGTTGTTTCCAGCCTCATTTCTCTTTCCAGCGCCGCCAGAAACCAAATTCTCGGTCTTCCTAAGTCAATTCGACCGGCATGTGGGGATACGACTGGTTTAGAAGGCGATGAGTTGATGATTGCTGTTTGTTCTTTGGTTTCCAAGTCATTTTTGACAGCGCAAGTCTTTGATATCGTTAATTCTCTAATAGATCTGTTAGGAAACACTAAAGTATTAACGTGCCATTACTTAGGACTTGCTGTATCAGTAGAACAACTGCTTAAACTTCGAGGACGTGAAGAATTTCGGTTTGATAATCAAATTGTTGGTGGATTATGCAAAGCAGCAGCCGGAAAAGACGAAAAGATCACTGAAGTGTTTATGCGGATACTTAGTATGTTGTTCAAATCCCGATTAGTGTCTGTTCTCACTTCATTCATGGAAAATTCATCATCTTTGTCAGACCAATTTATTGAAAATATTTTCAAAGAAATCTCCGAAATTGACGATGGAATTACTAAGTTAACTGAAGAGATTTCTCGGACATTGAGTTGCGAATCACCATCAACAGAGACATTGAGTTTCTGTAACAGGTCATTAGGAATATTGAATTCTTCAAAACATGATATTCCTGATGATGTTTTCTCGAGATTGGTCATTTCATGTTTGAAACGTCCGAAATCTTTTCAAATTTTGAGTGGAGAAGATTATGAAAAATTTGTTTTGCAAATTCCTAAGGATCATCCTTCTTCTCTCCAAACAATAGCTAATGAAAAGATATCTATGGATGCCGCTCTTTGTCTAACTTTCGCAAATTCTGATGATAAAACTTGTTCTGAATTTTTGAAACAAAGTTTGGAAATTTTGACAAAAAGTGCCAATAAAATTACCAAACAACATTTCACTTTGTTGCAAAATATATTCAAGAATAGGTCTCCTAATGCATATGAATCGATTTCACAGTCGATTTCGGATTTTTTGGTAAATTATTTATCAGATGAATCGGCATTTGACGTCATCATGTCGTATCTAGAGAATACAACGAAGAAAGATGATTTCTGGGTCTCATTGGCTAAGAAAGAAAGAGAAAGTATCACTCACACAATGCCAATAAGTATCAAGATTTTCAAAATTTCTTCTCCGAACGCAGAAGCAATTGCACCTTTATTGGCAAGGTCCGCAGTACTTAAATCCCCTGAATCCGATGACTTTATCAAAATAGCGGCAAATTCATTGAAAGTCAAAGAAGGAAAGACTTCATTTGAAACAGCCGTGAACATTATGAAGTGTGAGGAAATGTCTTCGTATAGAAAAGAAGTCCTTGAAGGTCTCACGAGGTTCATAAGAGCGAATGACCATGCAGACATCGCTTCTTCAGCTGTTACTTCACTTTGTCAGTCAATTACTGATGAAAACGCTTTTGCAATAGAAGCTGTAATAGAAACACTGCCAAGCGCTTTAGCTGGCGATAATGATTCTGAAGTTAATGCTATTATTAGATTGTTATCTAACTAATTAATTTTTTTATTATCTTTTTGTAATTTATATTAATTTTTTGTATAAAATATAATTTGTCTGTTTTAAATCTCTTTTATATATATGTACACAACTCTTGAAATAGTCTTCCAATGATAGCATACGATGCACTTAATCTCGTTTCATTCTCCATTCTTCAATTAGCTCATTTCGTTATGAAAATAAAGATTTTTTTTAGTTTCAATATCATTGACTCTAGAGAGAGAGAGTAATGTAATCCTGAAATTCGAATGTGTAACTCATACCATGATGACATAATCTTATATATTATTGAGATAATTAATGGGTTATATACATTTTTGTTATTTCGCCACATAGTCATTCCCTCCCATTAACTCATAATTGTTAGGGTTTATCATAAGATTGGTTGATTATTTTCGAAATATATGAATAGATATATGTCTTATACATATACTAGTATGATGATTGAATTAACTTTATTATGCAATATAAGGGTTTCGTTTTGCTAAAATTGTCACTTTTATAGCATATTTGTTTTTGGATGTTTTGCGAAACCAAAAAAAAACTATGATATACAATGTGTGTGTAAAGAAAATACTTTATTTACTAGTTAAAAAATCATTTGGTATTGATCAAGTTTTTTTTTCTGGATAAGATATTATATGGATAATTGGATAGAAAATACAATTATATAATCTTGTACCTGGTTTAATTAAGCTAATTGTCATCAGAAACTTGTAATTTTTATGAATTTCAGATTTTCTTTTCATTACTGCTTTTCTTAATAGGTCAAGTTCTTATTTACGTTATAAAGTATGATATTTACAAATATCAAGTTATCATGTTTTTTGAGAAATTATGAGAAACAAACAAAAATGAAAAAGATAGGAATAGCAATGAATAGTGATGTGGGTATAGAAAATGTAAGAGATATGAATGCAAAGCAATCAGTATTTAGGATATTGACCATAGATTTCGAAAAAAAAATGCTGCATATTGAGCGAAAACTATGATTATATTATAAGGCTGTCATTTAAAGCATAATGAAACTATTCCCTTTTCATTTTAATCGAATAAGATAGTAAAGATTTTTGAATTAGCTAGAAACTGATGAGATGTTTTCACAAATCAGATTTTTAATCTCTATAATGCATAATTCACTCAATATCTCAATTTTGATATTGCGAGATATTTTTGCTATCGGTTTCGCAATTTTGACACAATAGCAAGAGGGTTCTATAAGCATTATTATCAACGTAGAATCTGAATATCATATCAGAAAATGTCGCAAATCTGACATTTACCCGACCAAATAGCAAAAATAATTGAATACTTTTCGCAAAACTTTAAAAATCGATAAAAATATGAAATATAGATATTAAAGAGACTTTTTATATAATATTCATAAAGATTTTCCAAAAATATGATACCGCAAAATTAAAAAAGTGACGTCTTGAGTGGAGTCAAATGTCGAAATTGCTAGCTAAATGTTTTTTTAGCGAAATTGCGTATTGTACGTTTTTTTCGCAAAACGAAACCCTTATGCAATATATAAGTTATCTGATACATTTGACACAACACATTAATTTTGAGAATGTTAATATGGAATGTTTAGTCATAAATAAGATGAAGATTTTAGTATATCAGATTCAAGTAGCACCATGTTCAACTAAGAATTCTATAATCTCTGCTGTTTTTGCTGCCATTGCAATACTAAGAGGATTTTCGTTTAAATTAAGAGAACGTTATAAAAACAAGGATAAATATGAATAGAGAGAGAATTTCATAAATCAATGATAGATATGAAAAGAAAAATAATGTAATAGAATAATGATAGATATTAAAAGAGAAAGAATTGTATGAATCATTGCTAGATATGAAAAGAAAAATAACGAAATAAAGCAATGATAAATATGAAAAGAAAAATAATGAGATAAAATAATGACAAATTTGAATAGAAAGAGAATGCAATAAAAAAGTGATCAAGATGAAAAGAAATAGAATGTGATAAAACAATTATATACATGGGAAGAAAGAGAGTGCCTTAAAACAATGATAAATATGTAAAGAAAAAGAATGTCTTTAAACAAAGATAGATATAAAAAGAAGGATAACGTCATAATGTAATAATCAATATATAAATAAATGAAATTTCACAAAACATTGATGAATATGGAACAAAATGGAATCGTATAACACAATGATCAATGTGAAAAGAAAAACAATTCGATAATTAAATGATAAGCATTAAAAGAAAAGTAATTCGATAAAATAATTATAAATATGAAAAGGAAGAGAATAAGTTTCAAGTTAACATCTGCACCATGTTCAACTAAGAATGTAACAATCTCTATTGAGTTTGCTTTGATTGCAATACTAAGAGGACATTCGTTTAAATTGAAAGAACTTCATAATAACAATGATAGATACGAATAGAGAGAGAATTTGATTAAACAATGATAAATATCGGACAAAAGATAATTACAATAAATAATGATAAATATCAAATGAAATACAATCCAATAAAAGAACAATAAATATATTAAGAAAGAGAACTTCATAAAACAATAATAAATATGAAAAGAGAGAGAATAGCATAAAACAATTATGAACATGAAAAGAGAGAGAACTTCATAAAACAATGATTTAAATGAAAAGAAATAGAATACAATAAAAAAATGATTAAGAAGAAATGAAATAGAATTTGATAAAACAATGATAAATATGGAAAGAAAGAGAACTTCATAAAGCATTGACAAATATGGAAAGAGAGAGAATTTCACTAATCAATGATAAATATGGAAAGGAAGAGAATTTCAAAGAACAATGATAAATATGAAAAGAAAGAGAATGTCATTAAAAAGTGATAAATATCAAAAGAAATGCAATCCAATAAAACAATGATAAATACAAAAATAAAGAGAATACCATAAAACAATGATAAATATTAAAAGAGATAGAACATTATAAAATTATGATAAATATGAAAAGAGAGAAAACATCATAAAATAACAATAGATATGAAAAGAGGGAAAACGTCATAAAATAGCAATAGATATGAAAAGAAAGCGAATGTCATTAAAAAATGATAAATATGAAAAGAAATGTAATGTAATTAAACAATGATAAATTTGAAAATGAAGATAACTTCATATAAAAGTGATAAATATGAAATGAAAAATTATTCGATAAAACAATGATAGATGTGAAAATAAAAAGAATGAGTTTCATGTTAACATCTGCACCATGCTCAACTAAGAATGTGACAATCTCTATTGATTTTGCCTTGATTGCAACACTAAGAGGACATTTATTTAATTTGAAAGAATTTCAGAAAAACTTGGTTGATATTAAAATAGAAAGAGCTTTATAAATCAATAGATTGATATGAGAAGAAAAATAATGTGAGAAGATAATGATAAATATGAAAAGAAATACAATCCAATGAGCCATTGACAAATATGAATAGAAAGAGAATGCCATTAAACAATTGTAAAAATGGAAAGAAAGGAAATATCATGAACCTATGACAAATATGAAATGAAAGAGAGCGCCATTAAACAATTGTAAAAATGAAAAGAAAGGAAATATCATGAACCTATGACAAATATGAAATGAAAGAGAGCGCCATTAAACAATTGTAAAAATGAAAAGAAAGGAAATATCATGAAACAGTGATAAATATGAAAAGAAAGAGAATAATATAAAACGATGAACAATATCAAAAGAAAAGTAATTCGATAAAATAATTATAAATATGAAAAGGAAGAGAATAAGTTTCAAGTTAACATCTGCACCATGTTCAACTAAGAATGTAACAATCTCTATTGAGTTTGCTTTGATTGCAATACTAAGAGGACATTCGTTTAAATTGAAAGAACTTCATAATACAATGGTCAATATTAAAATAGATAGAGTTTTATAAATCAATGATAGATATGAGAAGAAAAATAATGTGAGAAGACAATGATAAATATGAGAAGAAATACAATCCAAAAAAGCAATGATAAATATAAAAAGAAAGAGAATATCTTAAAAAAGTGGTAAATATGAAATGAAAACGAATTTCATAAGAAAGTGATCAATATGAAAAGAAAGTGATTCTTATAACACAATAATCAATATGAAAAGAAAATAACCGTAAATATCGTTGATATCTTTTCCATTAGAAAGTAAATAAGATGCAACATCATAGTTTCCGTAATACATGCTTTCTGCTATTGAATTAAAAGTTTGTCCTAAATTTGATTTAAGATACTTTGCAATTTCATACTGTCGATAATTCAATGCTATATTAATCATTTTATCAAATGATTTACCGTCTTCAATCATTTCCATAAAAATGTTTTTATTTCCGCCTTGAACAGCATATTTTTCGGAGTTTTTAGTATATTTAGCTCCTAAATTTTTCAAGTAATTGAAACATAGTTCTGATCCGCATTTAATTGCACAATCAAGTAGAGTCATTTCATCATTTATTTTCTGATTAATATAAAGGCTTGGGAATTTACTTTTAAGATCATCAACTTTATCGGATTTAATGTAAAATAATGGTGACTTTCTTGAATATAAATTGAGAATTTCATCTTCTTTAATTATAGGACGAAAATTTTCAAATTTGAAACCTTTATAACATAATAGTGTTGCTAACTTTTTATTTTTCGGTTTGCAGATGTATGAAAATGCGTTTGATAACTTTTGATAAAGTTCTGTAAATAATTCAATGTTTTCATCACGCATTTTTGAAAATACATCAATAAAATTAATTGCCATTTGGATAGAAATTTTGTTTGTTTTAATAAAGTCTATAATTTGGAAAGATGATTCTAAAATATTATTTGATTTGAGGTCCCAAACAATTTTTGAAGCCTGGCTAGGGTATTCGAATGCTTCAATTGGCTTAAAGTCACTAAAATCGAATTCTGTTTCATTTACTGGTTGCATTTCACTTGAAATGCTTTTAGTAATGGCACTTTTGAGTACATAAAAAAAAACTTTTTATGAATTGGTATATGTTA